ACAGTAGAAGTCTCGCGTGAGAAGAAGGTATGTCTTCTCACGGCCCGGATGCCCCGCAGTCGGTGCATCGTGATACTCATACATGATCCTGAGTCGCAGGTCATGGACATTGGGCACGACAACGCGGTCCGCGTTGTCGTCGACTGCACTGTAGAGTAATAACCCGTCGTGCACCTAACGGCGTGCACGAGCACGAAGATGCTTCGGCAGCTTCTGACGAGCTTGGTCAGAAGGCGCTGAGCCGTAGGCCAGCAAGAGCTTCGCGTCCACGTCGTCCGCGCACGCGACCTTCACGTCGTCCAACAGTGACGACGTCGGGGTGCTCGATCGCATGGCGTCAATGGCATTGACGTCGGCATCAGCCGTGGCGTAGTCAGGTCGACGCGAGAGCGCGTCGGCCACCACATTGAGTCTTCCGGGTTTGTACTCAACCCGGAAGTTATACTCTGCCAAGAATGAGAGCCATCTCGCCATCCGTTGCGAGATGTGCGGCGACTTCACAGCCGTCCGCAACGACGCGTGGTCCGTATAGACCACGAACGGTTTGCTTCCGAGTAGATACACTCGGAACTTCGCGGGTGCGTACTTCATGGCAAGGAGCTCCTTGTCATGTACCGGGTAGTTGCACTCAGCTGGCTTCAGCTGACGCGATTGGTAGTAGACGACACGATCACGACCCTCGTGATCGTGCTGCATCAACGCACATCTGATTGCGAAGTCGGATGCGTCACACACAACGTGGAATGGGCGATCTTGGTCGGCCACCGCCAAGATCGGCGCCTCAGTCAAGTCCCGCTTGACTGCATCGAAGGCCTGCTGACACTCAGCAGTCCAAACCCGCTCGGCGTCCTTCTTCAGGAGCTGTGACAGCGGGCGTATCAAGCCCGCGTAGTCCTTCACGTACCTGCACAAGTACGTGACCAAGCCAAGGAACTGCCGCAGTTCCATGACATTCGACGGCGTCGGCCACTCATTGATCACTCTGACCTTCTCAGGGTCAGGGCGGACACCGTTCTTCCCAACAAGACACCCGAGCACGGGTATCTCGCTCGCCCCGAAGATGCACTTCTTCAGGTTCGCATAGAGCTTGTGCTTGCGCATGAGCGCAAGCAGCTTCCGGAGATGCACCTTGTGCATCTCAACATCGCTCATCCCGTCCGCAGCCCGGCTGTGGGCGAACACATCGTCGAAGTAGCTCGGTGCGAAATCGCGCGCTGAGCGCAACAAGTGCGTCGCGCACCTGTTGAAGGTCGCAGGGGCGTTCTTCAGACCCTGCGGCATCACTAGCTATTCCCAGAGCATGCCGCTCGGCGTGCTCACTGCCGTGAGAGGGATATCGCTCTCACGCATGAGGATCTGATAGAACCCATCGCGCAGATCAAGAGCACTGTAGATAGTGCTCCTGACCATCGAATCGATGATAACATCTTTTCGAGGTATCGGCGTCTGCGCCGGATCGTCGCATCGTTCAGCTTGTTATACGCATGAACGATGCGCCAGCCGCCCTGTGGTTTCTTGACACAGAACGTCGGAGCACTGTGCGGGGATTTCGATTCCCGCACTTGTCCAGCTTTGCGACGACTTTCGAAGAAGTCGTCGATCGCTTTGACCTGCTCTCGCGGCAGTGGCCACTGCCGTGTGACACAGTACTTCGTGCCCGGCACGAGATCAATCTCGTACTGGATTCCCTTGTCCTGCGGAAGCTCCGCAGGAATCTCTTCCGGAAGTACGTCCGCGTACTCCCGTAAGATCTCGTAGTAGGGACTCGTTGAAACAACGAGTCCCAGGTCTGCTCTTCAAAGCGCTCCTTCTTCGTCTTCGCACTGATAGTGTCCTCGCTCTCTGTGGTGGTCTCCATGAACAACTGCCTCAGTTCTTCATTCTCGCTCTTCGTTCTCTCGGCGTCCGTGAGAATGTATATTTGCTCGATGCGTCCATCGTGCAAGTCACGCGCGAAGCGCTTCCAGCTCAGGACTGGAAGCGAAGTCAACTTCGACGCTTGCGTCGGAGGCTTAGCGAGAGTCATCTCCCTGTACCGGAACCCGGCACAGGAACGCGTCAAGACGTTCAACGTCTCAACGTCCGGCTTCTCAGCCTCCGTCTGCCCGGCAGACATTCCTTGTAGCGTCTCGGCCCCAGGCCGAGACTTGCGCAGCGACCTTCGCATGCGCCGTCTTCTTGTTTTGCGGAGCCCGGCACCGCTTGGTTCTTGACCTCGTCCAGGCCCAGCCGTGAACGGGTGTTCTTCTTTAGTACCGCCGGCGGGCTCATCCTGCGGGCGAGCGACTTCAAGCCCGGCTTGGTCGCCCGGCGCTTCGTCGTGCAGCCCGGCTGCACGACAGCATGCAAGTTTTTCCGGTGCGGGACGTTTGCAACCGTCCGCACCGCCTGCAGCGTCGGCTCCCGGTGCCGACACGCCATCTTCATCTCAACGCCAACCATTGGCGGAGACCCCCATTACGGAGGGTGCGTCGGCTCCCCGAGCCGACGAATCAAATTCACCCAAGCCATCGACTCCCGGAGTCGATGGCGTTACGTCACCTTGGCTCTTATTATTGGCCAGACCTGATCCAATCAGATTCGCGTCAGCCTCCACGGCTGAGGCGTGTGACTCGTCTGCGTCATCCGTGCCCCTTGAGATCGGAGACTCTTCCTGATTCGCTGAAAAGCGGGTGTCGATCTCCGAGATCAACACATTTTCTCCTTCAGCCGTCGGCGGCGATGCCGACGCTTGCTGCTCTTGCACGCGAGCTCGCGCGCGCCCAGGGCGTTCCGGGACAGCGGCATTAGGCGCTGTCTCGAGTGGGGAGTCGCGCGCACCTGTCGGTGCGTGCGTAGCGGCAACAGGGCCATCGCTCACTGTTCCGCTGTCGCGACCGAAGCGCACGAGGGTGCGCTTCTCCCAATCGATGACCGGATCATGCCGTGCAAGCCACGGCATGCCCAATACAATGTCAAACTTATCGTCCAGATCCAGGACGGTAAACGTCTCGACAAACTCTTGATCTTCATACGTGAAGCGCACGCATACCATGCGCTTCTCGGTCTTCACGACGGCACCCGTTGCCAGTCGTACTTCCAACATACTTCGATGTATCTTTAAATCCGCGAAGTCAAGCCTTGATAGACTTCGCAGTCGAACAAAGTTCTTCGACGCGCCAGAATCTACCAAACCACGGAGAGAGCCGCTTGCCCTCATCGAGTTCACATTCTGGATGACAAGGTCAGGCTTGTCATCTTGGTTCGTGCAGTGAGAATGAACCTCACTGGGGGCTGCAGTCCTCAGTGTCGCGTGTCCAAGGTCGACACGCGGAACTGCATTACCAGTAGGGCGCCCCGTGCCTACTGGCGTCCAGCGTTTTTTGTTTGGTTGCGACGGTGCCCGGCACCGCCGCGATAGCCACCCTGCTGGTGCACGGGGGCCGTGCACTCCCGAGCAAAGTGACCGATTCTACCGCATCGGTAGCATCGCACATTGCTGCTCCCTCATGATGAATCCCAGAGCAACACCATGTTGCTCTGTCGGCGTTAGCGTAGGCAGCATCGTAGCTACAGCCGCCTCACCAATGACTGTTGATAGTCGTTGGAGAGCTTCCCACTCTGGGTCGGACAGGTGGGGACAGTCAGCGCGTGCAACGTGAGTTGCAGGCGTAGTGGAGTTTTCCATGTACACCTCCGTATCCATGGGAAGGTTCTCAGCTCCGCGTTCGTGCGGTGACGTACGAACTCAGGTAGTCGGTCGTTGGACGGACTACAAAGTGCTACCAGGTGTAGTGGGCCTACCTTGGCTCACTACTACGGCTTACACGTATGCGCACGTGTATGAGGAAGCGTAGGTTTCTTTTACTTGAGTTAAGTGTACTCGAGACCCACAAATATACTTTAAACAAGATAAAGGCTCCAAGTAGCGGGTTTTGGTAAAAGATGAGAACTGCTATTTTTGTTTTATGTTTCTGACTTCCTCTAAATGTAATATTGTAAGATAGGAATCTGCCAACGGCTGGTTGGCAGAATTCCAATGCTATGCATGTCGCTCATTGGCTAAGAGATGGTGCTCTCAGCCAATAGGAATCCTAAGTCTCTATGGACCACCCGTCGTGGTGGTCGTAAATGTATGTAGTCTTTGGTGTGTCTACACCAAGGTCGAGAAAGTCTTTCGAACCTCTAACAGACGTCGTATCTGTTAGAGTTACAAGTGACTGTAGCCACTTGTGCGTGTAACCCTGTTACACAGTCCCTCAGAAAGGAAGGGTACCGGCGTGTTAGGCCTTATACAGGGGGACCAAGGTAAAACCTCGGTAGGTAGACTATTACACTCAGGGATACTCTAATCCCACAAATATATACTGAACGATACTCTAATACCGTTCCTGCCTCTCCGGCCACGCCAACTCTTGGCGCTGCCAAGGAAACTCTCGGTCAATGCACGATAAGCTCCCCGACAGGCATCCACACGCAGCCGAGCGTGTCCAGGCACTACAATAAGCTAGCTACACTTACCGAAGTCGGACTTGACCCTTGTTGGCTTTGGGGGAAGACTGTCTTTTTATTACTGAGTTTCCTGAGGCCCTGGGGGCCTCGTTCTGGCCATCCTATGATGAGTCCTATGTCCCTATACAAATATCTAGTGTGAACGATCGCAATAAGGCGATTCCGGACACATCAAATGACGACCGCGGCTACACTAATAAGTGCGGCCGAAGTACGTAACTAAATGCATCTGTACCTAAAAGTGGGTACCATGAAGCCTCGTTCGGGGTTCTATTAGGACCCGACGAGGCTTCGGCCACTGCCTGTCACTCTACCGAGGATAATGTCATCATCCAATCAGATGCAGCCATCTCCGTCTCTCGCCTTGATCGCCCCTTGATTGAACTTGATTGTCGGGCTGGCGGGTCAACGGCATTGGAAACTGCCACTTTCCAATACCACAACTGCCCCCGCCTCGACGCGAGCTCCCACGCTGGTGAGCGTCTAGGCGTCCTCAGTTCTTCGACTCCATGGCTCCTCAGTCGCGTGCATTCGCCGACGCGGCTGCCGCTGCTCTTCGGGCTCTCCAGTGCTCCGGACCGGTACGTTCGTCGCTCCCGCTGCTCCTCACTGTCATTTGGATCCTCGTTGACTCCATCTCTTTCTTGATCATCTCAGGGAGCTGTTGATGTCGCCACCGACACTTCGGGTCGTCGTCCGGCGCGCCAGGCTCGTTCGGCGGGTGCCCCCGCCCCTATCGCCGCTGGTGCTGTGCCCCCAGCCCCGGCCGCGCCTGCAGGTGACCCTACGCTCATTCCTGCCGCCTCCGGGACCTCGGTCGACCCTCCACCGGCTCCTCCAAGTAGTCCTTAGTCTGCTGCTGGGGCGACCAAGACTCCCTCGCCGGCAGTTCCCAGTGAAGAGGCTCCCGACTCGCCGCCGACACCGTCGCCAACTCCCGCGCCTTCGGTCACGTTGGCAACTCGCGGGGCGTCGGTGGGGGGGGCGAGGCAGCTGTGGGGGGTCGCGCCGGAGCTGGTGCTGGCCCGGCCAAGGTTCCTCCGACAGTGGTCGTCTTGGGCGAGCAGCAGATGCTGGAACTCGCTCGTCTCGTCGTGGGTGTTGCCCGTTCACCTCCAGCTCGAGTCAACGCTGCTCTCGACCACAGCCTGCAAGCTGCTACTAACGTCGGTGAGGTGCTGGCTGCTGCCGTTGCTCCTCCGCGTCTCCCTCTTGCGGAGGCTGATGAACGGGTGGCCCTCCGCCGCGAGAACGACCGGCTGCAGGCAGAGCTCTCCGACGCCAAAGATAAACTCGCTGAAGAAATGAACCTGCGGACCAAGTCGGACTACTTCCTCGTCGCGGCCAACTCCGAGTGCGACCAAGCTCTGGACCTCGTCCAGGACATGCGCGTCCAGCTCAGCAACGCCAGCGCTCAGTTGATGCAAGCGAACGCGGCCATCGCTCACCACGCTGACGTCACTCAGTCGTTGGAGAAGCGGACCTCGTTGCTGAGGCCGATTCGGCCGCTGCTGTACGTCGGAACACCCAGCTCCACGAGCGTATAAGTGCAAGCCTCGTTACCTACAACACTCAGTTGGAGAGGCTTCGGAAGCAGTTGGCCGACCGCGACCGAGCAAACGTCATCCCCGCACGCATTCAAGCGTTGACGGACGAGAACAACAGCTTGCGGCGAGCGAATTCTATCCTTCGTCGGCCCTCAGCAGCACCCGGACTCGACGTCGACACCTTGGTCCTAGCCTCAGCCGGCATCTCCGCCGCAGAGATTGATTGGAATCTTCTCGGGCTGTCCCCACCGACGGTCACTGTTGAGAGTCCACGCCATGACGAATCCTCGTCAGAGGAGGGAGAGGAGTCCAAGACGACCGACGTGCCGATGGCTGAGTCCACCGAGGCTACGTCCGCTCCCGCTGCTTCGGTGGGCGCTTCTGCTGGTTCCCCGGTCTCCACTGAGTCGTCATCGCGCAAGCGGGGTCGGCAAACCGAGTCTGCTTTCGTCGGGAATACGGCATCCCAGCCTCCTCCTCACAAACGCTTCGGCAGACCGCCAGTCAACCTGAGGGCCAGGGCTGCAGCGGCCGCCGCGCCATCTAGTCCTCGTTCGGCATCAGGAGGAGAGATTTCCCCGCCTCCTCGGTCGATGGTGCGTCCTCCAACGACGGCTCGCTCAAGCTGGTTGGAGTCTCAGCCTCTCCCGTACGAACACTCAGACGTCCCCTTGTATCCTCGGCTGGCCCGTCGCGCCTCGCCTCCCTCGCCAGCCCCAGCAGCAGGAATCGTCTGACGTGGCGTTTGGAGGGGGTAAGAGTCCTAGCGACACTTCACAAGATGACCTTGAGCCCGGCGAGATTCCGGGGGTGTCGGCCAGCGCTCAGGGTGTTCAAGGTTCTGCCACCGAGCCTTCCGGTACTGTCATCGAGGTTCCATCCAAGGGTTCGCCTTCCGCGGCGGCTTCCATTCCTTCGCCAGTCTCGTCTGGTACAGCCGGCGTCGGCCGTGCCCCTCGAGAATCGGCTGCTGGGGTCACCGAGGGCTCTGGCGGCCCGCCAGACCGTCCACCTAGCGGTGAGTCGCCTCATGAGTCCGAGACTTCCGAGGACCGCGCAGCGTTGTTCCTGGAGATGTTCGGCCCCGACGAAAGAGAGGAAACCTCGGTGGCGCAACCTGTCGCTCCTTCGGAGGCTCCTTCTCCTCTGGTTGCCGCGACCGGGGTTCCTGTAGCTTCACAAGCGGCCACCGTGCCAATCCCGAGTCGACTCCACACTCGGTCGGCCTCTGTTCACGCTCGGGCGATGGTAACAGCAACGGTGACAGCTTCACCGAGAGCTGGACCTGCGTCGATTGCCCCAGCAGTCGTTGACGCTTCCGACGTAGCTCCTGGATCGCGTAAGCTCAGTGGTCTTGCTACCCGCCGGGTTTCACGGCACCCGGAGCGTCGGAATGCTGGCATCTCATCCAAAACGCCAGTGTCCCCCTCGTCTTCGAGGACGACTTGGTCGCCCCCAGTTCAGTGGATGGAATCGTGGAGTTTGGCTTGTGGACGGATCCTGCTCACCCCTTCCAAGTGTTGCGCCAGCTTTTCCCAGACGAGCCTTGTTTGATCGATACGACGGGTTTTCCATCCTCGGTGGCTATATCCCGTCGTGCAACTGGTCGGACTCTTCTCGTTCGCCTATGGCGGCAGTTCCAGGGGTACTCCTACCACTCCACCGAGAGGGGCGACCTTGGTTTCACCTTGTGGGAGCGTCGCCACTGGATTAGGGGTAATGCTGTCAAGGCGTATATCGACAACCTCGCCAGCACCCTCGGTCAGCGCAACGTGCAAGTCCTAGCGCTTCGACAAGCGTGGTCCAAGTACCACCGAGAGCGCAGTTATCGTGCAGATCGCTTGCGAGACCAGATGCTCCACAAGGTGTGGAATGGGGCCAATACGTACGACGGACAACCTCCACAGCACCGCACCGAGGTTTTGCTGGAGCCGTCGTACCTGCAATACTCGTTCAAGGTGATGGAGTGGGTCCCCACTACCGACGACTGGGTCTCCGAGGTGGCGGACGTGGATGCCCGCGAGCCGTGACGTAACTGTTGGTTCCAAGCGCCAGCAGACCACCCCTACAACACGGCTTTCGCCCCTTGCAACGACGTCCCGTTGTTTGTCCCCAACGGATCGACTCGGGAAACCGTGGCGTCGTCGGTCGTGGTCGAATCTTCTCTGCGGACTTCGATGGTGGTCGCTCCATGGGTGGCCAAATTCGCAAACGCTCGTCGTTCTCGCTCTCCAAGCCCCGATGAGGAGACGAAGGAGTCGGGTGAAGCTTCTTCCGCCGCCGGGTCAAGTCTGGGCGTGTTGGCTCAGGCTGTGATGGAGATTTAGCCTCGTCAGGCCCCGCTCCAGCTTCACCGTTTCGTTCACGTTCTTTTCCAATGTCGACCGAGTTCCGTGGCGCTTTAGGCGACGCTGCATGTGCTATCCCAATCCAAAATAACGTCATGTTGTTCGTTCCATTTCATAATCTTTTCTCGCGTCAACGCACATCGCATTCAATACTCGGTCGCGGTTCCCAGAGCTTCTTCTCTGCCCTCGACCGCTGTGGCTGCCTCAAACCAGGCTTGGATCGTAGCTGCGGCAGCCGGGCTTCGTCTTGTCTCCCTGCAAGAAGATCGGGCTTATGCTCGTTGAAGACCGGACTTGATTCGCGGGAGACCGGGCGTACTTACGCTAGCTCCGTTGCGGGTATGTTTTCGCATGACAGCCCAATTTTGACAACTGTACACCCGGTCTGCTGCGGGTATCCGGTGTCGACAGCTTGCATACCCATTTCATCATCAACTCCATACTCAACCACGAAGTCGAGCGCACTTGTTCGTGCTACTTCCATGGCAATCACTGCGTCTGAAGCCTCGGTCGCCCTCCCATTTGCTTCATCATCACTTGTTTCGTCTGTTGAGGGTTTGACCGAGGCTTGATTGCGTCTTCCGTTGTCCCTGGCTCCATTTCGATATCTCCATTCCATCGTGACTCGTTCACTTAACACGTAACATGCAGATTCCAGTAACTTTCTTCGTCTGTCACTGCGAGCTGGATAGCCCTCGCAGGCAGTTCAATCATCATCTCCAGTAGCCTCGTTCGTCTGACATCGCGGGCTGGATTGCCCCCGCGAGCAGTTCAATCCTCGTTGGGGCGCAGAATTACTCCTCGTCGGCCACCTGGACCATTTGCAAACGTCGGTCGCTTCGCTTCCGGCTTAGGTAATCGTACAGGAGTCCACCGCACGAGAGATTGGACGCTGGTTCCCACGTCGGCTCGTCATAGCCGACCCACTTCACCTTGAACTCTCGGACGGCCCGGTGAGTGCTCGTTGACAACGGTGTCCGGTCATCGAGGATAGCCTCGACTTCATACTCGCCGTCCAGGCGGTCCGGCTCAAAACTGTCCTCAGGCAGTAATTCCTCGTCGATGTCCAGACGAGTGTCTTCGGTGACCTCACGAGCCAAACGAACCCTCGGTCGGCCTTCGAACTCGTCCACTGACTTGAGTCGTGAAACATGTACCACCGGGTAGAACCGGTATCCACTTCGGTTGGGTAATTCCAACTCATACGCAAATTCGTCGACCTTCTTCTTCACGCGAAACGGTCCGTGCCACCGATGGGCTAGTGTCTTGGTCAGTCCTGGTCGAACCCGCTCCATGTACAGCCACACTCTGCTCCCGGGCTGCAAAGAAAACCTCGTCCTCGTCACTGCAGCTCTACTATGGTCAGGGGAACTCGGTGCCCGGTCGACCGAGGTTCTATTCTCGTTGACGCCTGCCATGGCTTCCTTCTCCTTCCTGCCAAGCGACGCATTGTGCTCTTCAGCTCTCCGAGCCTTTTCCGCGGCTTGGTACTCCTTGGCCATCCTCAGGGCGATTTCCTGCTATCGGTTGACCTCTCGGCGCCATGCTAGCGCGTCAGTTTGGCTACCGAAGCCTCGTTTGAGCGACGAGGACATTGCCTTGAGCGTCAACTGTGCATCGCACCCATGAACGAGGTAAAACGGAGTTTCCTTCCTCGTCGTATCACGGGAGCTATTGATGGCGAAGAGCAGTCTTTCGGCGATCTCGTCCCGATCCTGCTGTAGTGGGTCTTCAGCGTATACGCGGACTGACTGCATGATCGTCTTCACCGATCTCTCCTGCTGGCCGTTGGCCTGCGGGCGGTAGCTCAGGGTCGCTCTCGACCGAGACTGCATCATTTCCGCGAAGGCTTGGAAGACCTCGCTCATAAATCGAGGATCTCGGTCATGACCGATCAAGGACGGTGCTCCAAAACGTCGGTAGACACACTCCTCGAAAGCTTGCGCAACGAGTAAGGCGGTAGTGTCAGACATGGCTTTGCCCATCACGAATCCCGTGAACGAGCATTTGAAGAGCAGGATAGCCGTGTTGCCACGGCGACTCTTCGGTAGCGGTATCACGAAGTCCATAGAGACTAGTTGGAAGGGTCTCTCGGCTAGGATGTTCCCTGGCGAGTACCCGCGGAACTGAGGTCGGCTCTTACTTGAACTGCAGTCAGGGCACGACTTAACGTGTTTCTCCACATCGGCATACTGGCCGATCCAGTAATAGTCTCTCGCCGCTCGATGTAGCGTACGGGTAATACCTTGATGACCGCCTTCAAGTGAGTCATGACAGCATTGCAGGACCTCTTGGATCATCGTTGTGGGCACCACGAGTCTCATCTTCAACTCGGCTTGCTCGCCGTCACTTGAACGACGGCTCGTTCTTGCGTAATATAACACATCGTCCTCGCTCAACACAAATTGGTCCGCCATTTTCCATGCATCTCGTGCTGCTCTGTATCCAATCTTCGCATCATCTCCCGGAGCACTGCCTTCAGATTCGACCACCGTAACTCTTCATCTTGAGCGGAGGCGATTCTCCTTCGGCGTTCTTCCTGTACTACCAGCGGGTCAATGTCTTCTGCGTTCGGTTGGGCTGGTGACGTCTCGGCACGCAGCGGTGAAGCTTCTGCTTCATTCTGAGACTCGTTCGGCACACCATTGGCTTCTACTCGGTGAGATGCGTCTCCCTGATCGGTGACCGAGACTTCATCTGCAAACCGGACGTGTTTCTCCTTTGCTCTCGTTTGACGTCTGGTCATCACAGCTACGTGTCCGGGTTCAGTCTCGTTCTGCCGTCTGCGGTCGGTTTCTCTTCGCACAAAATCGACAAAATTCTTGCTACGAGGTTTGGCAGAAGCTACCACGGCCCATACTGTGTTGGCCGAGGGTATGTCCTCGACGACGCAACCGTCAGCAGCCTCGTAGATGACTTCAGCGATATCATCAGCTCTAATACTCGGTCGTCCGAGGATACTACCGTAGACTCCTTGCACTCGAGAGTCTCGCTTGCCAGAGAGTCGGCCGCAGCGTTAAACTCTCTCACCACATGCAGGTACTTCACCGACCGAAGCTTGGCCGTGAGTTCTTGGTGGTGGCTGAGTTGTTGCAGCAATGACTCCTTCCGACAGGCTATCACCCCTAGGGCTTGCTGGATCGCGAGCCTCGAGTCGCCAACGACAACTAGATCGTCGGCTCCATGCTGTAATGCAGCAGAGACGCCGTTGTTCATCCCGGTGTACTCAGCGAGGTTGACCGTGGTGTTCTCGAGGTAAGCGCTCGCAGCAAGCACTACTGTCCACTCTGGTAGCTTCCATAGTATCCACGAGCAACTGCCGTATCCACCGTTCTTCTCGGTCTTCGCAGACCCGTCAAACGACATAACGACGCCTCGGTAGGACCGCGGTAGGCGTGCGTAGAGCAGATGCGGGTCCAAACGAGCAGTTGGTGGCCCTCGTGTCCGGGGTGTGACCAACGCCAGTGACTTATCCAAGTCAACGAAGTTCGTCAAGCCGGCTTGAAGTAGCTGAGCAAACGAACAGTCGGTTTCTTTGACTCGTTCGACCAACAGGTGCCACGGCGACAGCAAGACGGCGAACTGGGTAGCCCGACCGAACAATGTCTTGGACTTGTGGACCCAGTCGAGTGTCGAAAACCGAGTGTAGACCCGGATTCGCTGTCCAACGAGTTGAGTATAACACACCTTCAGTATCAGCAAAAGCGCGAGGACCTCTTTCTCGGCCGGGTGATAATTCATCTCAGCATCCTTCAAAACACGTCCGCAGAAGCGAACGGGGTGTAGTTTGCCCTCGTGCTCTTGCATCAACGTGGAACTTAGAGCCCACGCGTTGGCGAACAACATGACATGCACCTCCTTCTTCCGGTCGAAGTGTCGTAGTATCGGTGCTGCCGAAACCTTCTGTTGGAGCATCGCGAAGCTGTGCTTGGCCGCGGTGAGGTCACCCCCGGGCTGGAAGTCCTCGTCCTTAAGCTGGTACAGCGCTGCTCCATAGACCGCGAAGTCTTGGATGAAGCGACTGAAATAGTTGAGTGCCCCAAGGAAGGACTGCATTCCTTTCCTCGTTGACGGGAACGGAAGCTCGGCCACCCCAGCCAGCTTCTTAGCGTCCGGTCGGATACCTTCTGTCGAGACTTCGTGGGACAGGAAGTCTACCTTGGACTGCACAAAGATGCTCTTCGTGAAGCTGATACTAATACGGCACTCTTCAAACCGTGCCAGCAATCGGCCTAGCGTCGCCAAGCACGACTCGAAAGTCTCGGCACCGAAACAGATATCATCCACGAATGACCGGCGACTGAATACTGGTGTCAACGAGGAGTCATCGGGCTCCCCGTTGGCGAACATGTCGGTGATAGGGCTGTTGACCAGTTCGGCTACAGCTCCCTTACCAAGCGAGTTGTCTCGGTCGGCCTCGAACTTGGTCCGGAATGGCTTTGCCGTGCCAGTCGAAGCCTCGTTCACCCCAGCATGAGCTTCCTTGTCATGTTCTTCAGCTAGACGCATGCGCTCCGAGAATTTAAACCATCCTCCCGTCGGTTGGACGAAGCCCCAAAGCGCGTTGTCAATCATGCATTGATAGATCATCGGTGCGTTCTTCAGGCCGAAAGGCATACGCAACCATTCGAAGTGCCCCAGTGCGCAGACGAAAGCAGAGATCTTCCGAGCTCGTTCGGTAATCATAATGGCCCAGAAGCCGCTAGCGGCGTCAAGCGAGCAAAACCACAAGTACGCCTCCATGTCCGTCAGCAAGTCATCCACCAGGGGCATGGCGTACTCCATAATCTCGGTGATCGCATTAACGAGTTTGTAGTCGATACACAGGCGGATATCCACCCCATTCTTCTTCAGGACGATGACGATTGGCGACGCCCATGGGCTGTCCGAGAAGGAGATAAGCCCGGCCTTCAACAGACCCTTCAGCAATTCGTACAGCTTACCGAGGAAGCGAAGCGGGGTCCGCCGAGCCTTCTGCTTGATTGGCGCGTGCCCCTGTACATTTATGTCACACACGACCCCGTAGGCTGGAGGCGGCAGGGCGTTACCGCTCGCAATCATGATCTTCTCGTGGCTCTTCAGCACATCGACCAGGGCCGTCTGCTGCTTCACGCTGAGTTCGTCACTCTGGACGTTTTGCCCCGAGTAGTCCAGCGTCGTCTCCGACGCTTCGGTTAGGTCCGGCAAGAACGCCAGCTCTTGCGCGTAGTCGGTAAGCTCAATCTCGTTCGCGACGTGCTCCGAAACATCGTTCACGGTGTCGTCACCTTCGCCAGACCCTTCTGCAACCATGGCATGCATGACCGATATATAGGTCGCCTCCAGTAGCTGCTCGGGGTCGTCGATCGCACTTAGATCCGAATCATGGAATTCAGTGTCGGCGTCAGCGGTGGAGGTTCCGGCTTCAGTAGGAACGTCGTTAGGCCCTGGGTCGTGTTCACCCCAGTCGACTTCGCTACTACACACCGCAGCCGTCGTTTCCTCTGGCTCCAGGCTGGACGCAGCGGTCCCTGTTGGCAGGACATCCCATGTAGTTGTCTCGGCCACTGCTACCACGTCGCGGTCATCCTCCGAACCGTCGTTCTTCACGCTGTCACCATCACTCAGCTCATCACTGGCTTCCGATGCCTCAACCGAGGCGGATGTCGCTCCCTGGCCGGTGGAGTCAGCACCACTGTTCGGATTCACGGGCAGGCAACCCGCTCGGCTAGGCGGCGAGTCTCCGGGTACGTCCGAGTCATACGACGCGCTGGCCTCGTCGTCCGAACCATCGTTCGACTCACCAGCACGATCCACATCGGTTGTATCAGCTCGAGCGACATCGACCGAGCCTTCACTGACCCTGGGGTCGTCGTCGTAGCCATGTACATCGGGTGACGAGTACTCATCATCCAACGGAGCTTGTTGATGTCCTTCTGGCCATGGCGGTGCATCCGGTGGCCTCGGCAGGATCTTTCGCGGCGTCGGGTAAGTTCGGCGCTCGACCGCAGGCGGCTGTTCAGCCAACCATTGCTCGTAGAGACGACGTTCTCGTCCTTGCAGAGTCTCATCACGACTCGTTGAATAGGCCAACACCTGCCACTCTTTGTACTTGTTAGAGTCCAACCTCGCGTAGCCGGTTTCTCGCGGTGGTTCACTATGCGGTACCCACAGCACCACGGAGTCATGCTTGGCGCAGTGTCGTAATATTGGTGAGCCGTATCCACGTCGGCTGCCCCCGTCGAAACCTCGTTATGGTCGGCACGAGCTTGCCCGTGCGTCGTACCCACACATCGTACTCCGAACGAGGTAGCCGCTGGCGCGGCAGTCGAAACTCTCGCCACTCGCGACCGGGTACGTATAAATCCTCGATCGGCCCACACGAAGGCTGCGTGCCGTAAGGTTCGTCATCTTCAGCACTCTGCGACTTTAGCAGTGGTACCATGACCTCGTCCGGAAGGCGTGCGGTGCCATGAAATAGATCCAGCCGGATTCCAGCCGGGATCATGAAGTCCATCCCAAGGATCACATCCACCCCGGCACTGTGATCCATTATCCACATTTCAAATTCGTAGACCTGCTCCCACCCGAGGGTGATCTTGACGAGCGCCCGTCGCCGGGTCTCCATCACCCCTGGGTTGATGCAGCGGACTTCGAGACTTCGTCCGTGGTCCCGGACTTCTCGCACACGTAGCCGCTTGGCGAAGCTGGCAGAAATCACACTAACATTCGCTCCAGTGTCAAGGAGTATCCTCGTTCGCGCGTCGTCCACTGCACCATTGACCAAAGCCCTCATTCGCTTCCTCTTGTCGTATCGTTGGGACGACCACCACCCCGTCTCTCACCGGGCAGTAATTTCACCGCCCAAACGAGGTTCCGAGGTGGCCCCCTTATCTGGGCTAAACTTGTGATCAAAGCCTCGGTCGGGTGTCCATCACGTTCATCATCATCATCTTCATCAATACCAATCGCAACGAGACTTGCGTCCCGGTTCTCTCCATTTTCCGTCGGTTTCACACGTTCATTGTTCTTCAGGGCGTCAGGCCGTTTGCTTTCGCCCGTGAACGCGAACAGATAGTCCGCATCAACAGCAGGCTCAGCTAACTGTGGCAGCCCGATTGGGACCAACCCAGTTTCAGTTGGCGGGCTGTCTAGTTTAAATGGCTTCCATCCACCAGGCTTTGCAGCTCTGGTGACAGATCCTTCTTGTCGACCTTGGACTTCAGGAGCTTGGTGAGCTCGTGGAGTGCTTCACACTTCCCAGCGTCGTGCACCTGTTTGCACAGTTTGCACCGCCGGCAGCAGAAGTGCACCGAGTGGGACGGGCTTCCGCACGCGGCACACGGCCCATAGCGTCGACCATCTCGTCCACGGTTGGACGGGCCTCCTTCGTTCCTGAAGCGTCGGTTATCAGACCGAGCGAACGTTCCTTCGGCTGCGGCCCTGCGCTCAGCATCGTTAGCAGCAGCGACATGTCCGGTAGACCCATCCGAGTCGTAATCAGCGTCTGAATCCTGGTCCGAGCGTTGGTCGGCCGAGTATTGGCGCTCATCCTCGAAGTAATCCTCGTTCGCCTCAGCATCACGTCGGGGGGCGTATGGAGCCTCGTTGCGTGCACCGACCGAGCCTCCGACGTTCCATTCCGCCATCACATCGGCCAGCGCGTCAACCAAAGTGACTCGGGACTGGTACGGCGATCCATCGCGTCGGTCACGGCGACGGTCGTCTTCACTGTGGTCGTTGCTGCGGTCGCTGTCACGGCGACGTCGTTCGCTACGGTCTTCGTCGTGGTAGCGTTGTTCGCGGCGGTAGCCACCACGAGAATCCTCGTTCGACCTCGCATCGCGTCGACGTCCATCATCTTGACTCCGAGAGCGGCGGAACGACTCTCGGTTCGATTTGCGGTCACGGTGACGCAGGATGTCGTTGATCATGTCTTCGAGGTCATGGATGCTCTTGACCCGGACGTGGCACAGACGGTCTTCTAAGTTTCGGTCGTCACACGTGACCAAGAAGTGGTCCACGTGGTCCTTCGCGTCACGACCACCGTCGTTGCGAGCGTAGCCGTTGAGCCGGTTGAGGTAGTCACAAACGTGTTCATTGTCTTCCCGCTTGGCCGAGTAGTACCGAGCCTTCGCGGACTGGGAAAACTTCGAGCAATAGTACTTGATGAACGCCTCGCTCAGCAACTTCCACGTGCGTCTTGTCTTGCGTGGGAGCTGGCGACACCCGTGCATGGCTCCATCCCTGAGCTTAAGTTCGATCGGCATACACCACCCGTTGGGTGGTGCATGCGTTCCCTTCATCTCATAGATGAACGTTCGGAGCCACTGCATGGAGTGCTCGCTCTTGTCGCGCGTTCCGTAGAACGGCTTGATGTTGGCGAGAGGCAAATGCGTGGCGATCTCGAGCGTTGGGGTTGAGCTCTGGTTGTCGGTCGCCCTTAGCTCGCGCACCTGACGTGCCCATTCGCTCGGTAGGTCCCCTTCGTAGTAGTCGGGCCCGTGGTCGTCGTCGCTGTCCGACGAATCATCTTGGAGGTCGTAACGTCGGCCGGACCGACGACCGGTCGCTCCGCGCGTGCCAGGCGTGGCGAATGAAGCCTCGTTCTCCCTAGCCAGACGTTCACTACGGTCCGTAGATCGTGGAGTTACCATGTGCGCGTCTTGCATGTACGGCGAAGCCTCGCCCTTGACTGCGAAGACTCCGTCATCCGTGGCTGCCTTCCGAGGGGTCGCTGGTAGCGGGACCTTGGCGGGGTCAACCGCTCCCGGGACCGAACGAAGCTTCGTTGAGCCTCGGTCTGCCACCCCAAGGCCTCACTTAACTTCTTCCTCCACTTGGTAAGAGCCTTAGCGCCGGTGGTTGGCGTCCAGCTCGCGAGAGCAGCTTCCGTCGGGAGGATCTGAGGTTCGCACCCCATCGCCCGCAGGAGGTCCACAGTGTTCTGAGCGACCTGCCGAGTACTCGTTGAGTAGATCGGTGTTGCCAAAGCCCCTCCGAGGTCCATTCAGATGGCCTGGCGGACCTGCTTCGGGGAGAACAACTGCATCCACTCGCTCTTGGTCTTCATCAGCTCCAGGCATCGGCCTAGAACCTTGTTGGCCGCCGGGGTATCGCCGTTGATGGGAGGACGAGTGCCAACCGGCTTGGAGGTTGCCTATCGTCACCGAGGCTCTGAAACCCTCGGTCGCACCGTCATCCGCGTCATAGGCGGGCTCGGGGCCCGGCATGTCGTTGAACGTTTCGGAGAGGTCGCGGGTGATCGACCTCGATCCTCCACTGCGGCACGCCGACACAACCGCAGCTTCCGAAGTCTCGGACGTCACAGTCCTGACATCCCAGTCATCGTCTTCATCATCTTCCTTGGCGTCCGAGGAATCAATCGCCGTGTCGTAGCTCACCGAGCGCTCGTCGATCGACTCAATCCGATCCGTCGCTGGGGTCGAGAACGAACTCCCGGAGAACATCGAAGCCTCGTTGCGCGTTCCACTCGACTTCACCGGCGTCGCTGGTACCGCTGACTTGACTCCTTTCGCCATCTTCACACGTCTTCTTCATCTCTTCTCTTCTCTTCTTCTTCTCCTCTTTGCTTGTTGGGGTAAGACCTACAACAACCCAGACACACCGAAGGTCGCACCAATCCCGGGTCGCGGCACCAGTTGTGGTGTGGTAATTCCACTAAAATTCTCCTCTACCAAAAGGCATTAGAGACACCAACAACACGCTAACCCGCAAAGGTAAGCGCTTATTGGATCAAAACCTGAAGACCAGGACCGATCCCTTACACCGGGTCGGTTGCAAGCGCCTCTGTGCACCTTAGGTTGTCTTCGGTCAACCCAAAAAAACCTGTACCACTAGCCACGAGCTTAGGCTAGGATACTATGTAGCGCTTTCGCGCAACCCCACTACAGTCCCTCAGAAAGGAAGGGTACCGGCGTGTTAGGCCTTAAACAGGGGGACCAAGGTAAAACCTCGGTAGGTAGGCTAATACACTCAGGGACACTCTAATCCCACAAATATATACTGAACGATACTCTAATACCGTTCCTGCCTCTCCGGCCACGCCAACTCTTGGCGCTGCCAAGGAAACTCTCGGTCAATGCACGATAAGCTCATCCACACGCAGCCGAGCGTGTCCAGGCACTACAATATGCTAGCTACACTTACCAAAGTCGGACTTGACCCTTGTTGGCTTTGGGGGAAGACTGTCTTTTTATTACTGAGTTTTCTGAGGCCCTGGGGGCCTCGTTCTGGCCATCCTATGATGAGTCCTATGTCCCTATACAAATATCTAGTGTGAACGATCGCAATAAGGCGATTCCGGACACATCAAATGACGACCGCGGCTACACTAATAAGTGCGGCCGAAGTACGTAACTAAATGCATCTGTACCTAAAAGTGGGTACCATGAAGCCTCGTTCGGGGTTCTATTAGGACCCGACGAGGCTTCGGCCACTGCCTGTCACTCTACCGAGGATAATGTCATCATCCAATCAGATGCAGCCATCTCCGTCTCTCGCCTTGATCGCCCCTTGATTGAACTTGATTGTCGGGCTGGCGGGTCAACGGCATTGGAAACTGCCACTTTCCAAATACCACATTCCGTCAAACATCCTTCGCGAACGAGTCAATCCACATCGCATGGACTTCTCTGAGAACTCACATGATCTCACGCCATAAAGCGTTTTGGTTTTTCGGCCGCAAACAGCCTCCCGCACGATCCGCCTCGGAGCTTCGCTCTTCTGCACTGCGTGCCTCTGACTGCTCGCGAGCGCCGGCGCCCGCGCGCACACCCTCGACGCCTTCCAGGCTCCCGGTGTCTGAGTACTTCGCGGCACATCGCCTGAAGCACAGGGAGAAAGTGCATCATAAAGATTGCGAAAAATCAACAAGCGAGATACCCCCATCCCCATCCAAACCACTATCATCTGCATGTGTGTGCACATTCTGAGTGACATGAAACTAGCACATAAGCACTGTGGTTTCAGGTAGCACAGCAGCACACGCGCTTGTCAGCATTTATTATGACAAAGTCAGGCTTGAAGCGGACCTGAAACTCGCTAAAAATCACACGCTTCAGAAACCCTAGACACCACCAGATGTCGACGCATCTACGCTGAGATGCGCAGTAGTAAACAATTGATAAGAATCGACCAGCACAATCCGAGATACCCGCAACAAAAAACAGGATACTTCTGCTTCACCGCACCATGCGTACTATCCAAATGAACCAAAGCAGTGAGATCATAATCATTAGCCAATACGAAAAGAATCCACCTCCGATCCTGTCCCCAACAATGGTAGCCTAATGCCGTCCTCATCATTCGAATCACAAAACACGAGCACATACACAGGGGATCAACTTAAACCTTCACGATCGTACATTGAGCGCATACAAATCTCCATGACTGGAGCCATGCTGTCCGGCTTGTTTACGCACACCACGACTTCACATTGTTTTGCACCTTCTCGAGATCTGGAGCTGACCCTGCGATTCGGTGCTTACAAACCTCGCGTGACACAAAGCAGTATGCTAATTGAGCCACCATAGATGGCATTTCCTCAAGCTTAGCATTTAAATACTCCTTCATAGCCGTAGAAAACTTGGTGCTAACCGGAGACGGTGGCGCATCGTCAGCCATTGTATGCTCCTATTGCAAAAATAAAATCTTAAAATCCACGACCTGGACCTCTGGAATTCCCTGGCATTCGAGGGCCTTGTAGCAGCAGGAACAGGCTTCACCGGACGTCTCACTGCGCTTGGATTTCAGTTGGTCATCCAGCACCACATATCATGGCGTGTTAAAGCCAGCGAGCCTTCATCACGGTCGACTGGTTCATCGTACAGCGCACTAGATTTTTTTTTGGTAAACGTTGGTAAGCCCGCCTCAAACTCTTCGTAGGGGGTGGCGGCCCCTGTACGCCGGAGCTCGAGCTCGAGCCAAGGACACTGCTCTCGCCGGCCCTGTGTACTCTTTGCCATGGTGGTGGCAAAAAAGCGGCGGATATCGAGATACTTAGCCCTATCTTATTTATTATTGGAATCTTATTGATATGGCATTAGTGATACGTTAATTTCAGTATTGTTGTAATCCACGGCTTTGGTGACAAGTGAAGTATAATATAATAACAGTGCCCACCGCCTATTTTTATGTAAGCGTACTGTATCTCGGGATTGGTGCAAACTACCCTAATTATTAGTGCGTGCTTCCATCAGAAATTACTCCACTCCCATATGCCCGGCGTTTTGTGAGGTCCTCAGGGTGGGTTAAGTCGTCACTAAACTTCGCAAGCGATTGTTAGCAGAGCTCCAATCTGTCGGGTCTCTGCTCATGGACCACGCGTTTGTATCTAGTGTTATTAGCGATTGCAGGCTCGAAAGTATTCCGCGTCAAGCTCGATCCCTGTTTTTTATCTTTGGGCTCTTTCGGAGTGCACGCGGAGAAGATACATGGGCAGATTTTTTTCTACTATCGGTCAGTGGGTCGTGAATCTTGGAAATGACCCAGCACCCTTCGAATGTGCTGGGGTTGGATTTACGGGTGATTCGTTTGTCAAACGGCCCATGGATGTCGTCTTCAAAATGAAGGGGTCCGGATTCACGACGCAGAAAATGATAGTTCATCTCAAGGGAATCCTAGCCGGTGTGCCTCACGACAAAACCAAGCTTTCACACGCAGATACGGTTTTGCAAAATGGTTTCGCGACTTCTAAGCTTCGCGTTTACTGCCACGTGGACCCGAATTGCAAGAAGGATCCTAGGTCTTATTCCTCTGATACGTTGGAGTTCAGACAGCTTGCCACGTGAAAACAAACAACCGACATGTCTGTTTCAAGGCGGAGGATACGTGGAATGCGAAGAATGGCCTTACTCGCTTGACGGGGTCAGAACGCAGTGTACGAGTCCAGCGAACGGAGCGTGCAGTGGAGAAAATGCGAAAAAAATCGCTCCAGTAAACGCGTCGGTACAAAAAGGGTAAAGAATGAGAGAATTCGTGTTCTCGAGATGATGATGGGCGCGAGCGCAGCCTCTGCTTGTTGCCCTATGATCGCTGAACGACGCGTCTACTCCTTATTAGACAAAAGCCAAGGCAAAACTCACCCCTCTTTTTATGCCCCCCCCCCCCCTCAAGCATATCACCAGTTAGGCACCTACATACTTGATTCTTTTTCCTTATTGGCATAATGCAACATTCCAGCAGAGCTTGTTGAGACCTCTTTTAGAAACTTACGGAATCATTTTGACATGTCTCATGAGACAAGTCAACTATGGTGATTTGTAAGAGGCCCTGCAGTGCACATCACTTCATATTGGTAGGTTAAATTATAACATGATGACTACTCGATGTACTTTTATTTAGTACACATGAACGTACATTCTATGTTGAACCTATGTGAAAGAGCGCTGAGAACATTTTTTCAGGTGAGATGCACCCATAGTGTTTTGTAAAAAGCAAAAAAAGTGTCTCTACAGCACAAGGTAACCAGATCCTCTCTTTCCTGGAGCGGGAAAGAGCGGGTCGCGCGTACAACGATGTCAGCGTGTATGGTTCGGACTTGTGAGCATAAAATGACTTTAAACGCAACAAACCCTCTGCTCCATTGACAACAACGACTGTTAATCATGCAGTTTATTACTACGCCAGGAAGGATCGATATCTCAACGTAAAAGCTACCACTGTGCTTTCTCACTTTCTAGGGTTGATCCATTCTACCGTTGATACTGAAAGTAGAGGAGCTCCTCTTCAGCTTCGACGTCTGCCGTCTTGCTTCTCCTCTGCGTCTTGATCCACTGTCATAGAGCTAGGATTGAGGATGGAAGTGATGATATCCTTACCGATCGATTTGCGAAGCTCCACAGTTGCCCACGCGGCTATGTAGTTGGGGATACCTCATTCTTCTATCGAGTAGAACCCGCACCTCCCATGATGAAAGTATCGTCATGCGCTTGCGATGATAAATTTGAATTGGCTGACTGGATCTGATGACGTAACCCAGACTGAGCGATGTTGAAAACCATAGCGTAGTCGATTTACCGCAGGCAACCTTGAACCTGTTATGACTAATGAACTGCCACGGCACCGCCGACACCAACTGCGGCACCGACTCTAACCAAGCACCAACATAGTTCTAACCGCTAGCACCACCCTTGATGATGCACCTGATTACAGTGGAAGGCTCTCGACCAGGCTACGTGACATCATAGCAGACCACAAGGAACGCCGGTTGAACAAGGTAGCTCGAGTAAAGTTGCGATTCCAGCGAGGTGCATCTTCTCCGGGCAGTGTGGCGGTGAAAATGGCGATGAAGCTTCGCAAGACCATGAATGGAAGTTCAAGAGGTGTTTTGCGGAGAAGATTGCGAATGCCATGGTGGAGCCGATCGCGAGAAAGCTTCGCAACAGAATCAAGAGCAATCTTCAGAGGCGATTCTCGCATAAGAACGGCTGTGTTAAGTCGTCACTAAACTTCGCAAGCGATTGTTAGCAGAGCTCCAATCTGTCGGGTCTCTGCTCATGGACCACGCGTTTGTGGTGTTGCTGCATCTAGTGTTATTAGCGATTGCAGGCTCGAAAGTATTCCGCGTCAAGCTCGATCCCTGTTTTTTATCTTTGGGCTCTTTCGGAGTGCACGCGGAGAAGATACATGGGCAGATTTTTTTCTACTATCGGTCAGTGGGTCGTGAATCTTGGAAATGACCCAGCACCCTTCGAATGTGCTGGGGTTGGATTTACGGGTGATTCGTTTGTCAAACAGCCCATGGATGTCGTCTTCAAAATGAAGGGGTCCGGCTTCACGACGCAGAAAATGATAGTTCATCTCAAGGGAATCCTAGCCGGTGTGCCTCACGACAAAACCAAGCTTTCACACGCAGATACGGTTTTGCAAAATGGTTTCGCGACTTCTAAGCTTCGCGTTTACTGCCACGTGGACCCGAATTGCAAGAAGGATCCTAGGTCTTATTCCTCTGATACGTTGGAGTTCAGACAGCTTGCCACGTGAAAACAAACAACCGACATGTCTGTTTCAAGGCGGAGGATACGTGGAATGCGAAGAATGGCCTTACTCGCTTGACGGGGTCAGAACGCAGTGTACGAGTCCAGCGAACGGAGCGTGCAGTGGAGAAAATGCGAAAAAAATCGCTCCAGTAAACGCGTCGGTACAAAAAGGGTAAAGAATGAGAGAATTCGTGTTCTCGAGATGATGATGGGCGCGAGCGCAGCCTCTGCTTGCTGCCCTATGATCGCTGAACGACGCGTCTACTCCTTATTAGACAAAGGCCAAGGCAAAACTCACCCCTCTTTTTATGTCAGAAATCCAGCCCTGTTTATTTTCGATACGACATCCATGAGCCGTTTGACGAAAGACTCGCATAGGCTTGGTACCCTTGATAAGCACTAGGCTATCTCACGACACCAACCCGCGAAAGAACGGCTGCGTCGGCATGACGAACAGGACCGTTCGCCAAACGCTGCTCGCATTATGGGGGTCGGCGAAATACAGGTCCGTCTTGAAGCTCATAACATTGTCTATCTTGTTTCGCTTCTTAATCTAAAATTTCAAATAGAAATAACGTTAATAGGCACGATCTTAGTGGTTTCTGCGGCCGGACTCATTTCTTGTACCAGTACAATCATGCAAAGCCAACATGTCCTTACATCTTCCTTATTTTGTTGAACGCCAGCGAATTGCCATTCTTTGTCTGCTTAGCACAAGGCGCTCGAAATTACTCCTCTACTTTCAGTATCAACGGTAGAATGGATCAACCCTAGAAAGTGAGAAAGCACAGTGGTAGCTTTTACGTTGAGATATCGATCCTTCCTGGCGTAGTAATAAACTGCATGATTAACAGCCGTTGTTGTCAATGGAGCAGAGGGTTTGTTGCGTTTAAAGTCATTTTATGCTCACAAGTCCGAACCATACACGCTGACATCGTTGTACGCGCGACCCGCTCTTTCCCGCTCCAGGAAAGAGAGGATCTGGTTACCTTGTGCTGTAGAGACACTTTTTTTGCTTTTTACAAAACACTATGGGTGCATCTCACCTGAAAAAATGTTCTCAGCGCTCTTTCACATAGGTTCAACATAGAATGTACGTTCATGTGTACTAAATAAAAGTACATCGAGTAGTCATATATAATAATAAATTCGAAGTCCGTGAGTGTGTCACGCTTTTTAGCTCTTTGATTTGATTTGTATCACATATCAGGACTAACCTAAATTTCCGAAAATAATAATCCGGGCACTACTTAATAGTATCCTCCCATTTTGAAACAATATCAGATACTTTATGGATATTACACAGTTTTTCATGTGTAAATACGCTTTCGTAGTCGGAGTGCTGGCTGACGACGTGGCTAATGAGGTTCGTATAGCTACGTTTGGCATCTTGCTTGCGCTGGACACCGCACCGGAACCGGTAGTAGCCCACGACAAAATCATAAAATACATACTTGATATTTGTATTGATGTAACCATGTAACCCTGGAAGGCACCTATGGTTACGTTTTAGAGGGTACTATACGGGTAAGCGGTATTATTCAGGAATTCCCGTTAGTTAGTCATTTTTGGCCGCCCCAAATTATGTTTTCGGCTGGCTCCGCCGATGTACATGTCGCATCGTGATTTTACGAGAAAAAGTAGATATAGAGTGGAAGTATGGCATTCCTGGCCAGTTCGTAATAATTTCACGTGTTTCGACTTGTGCTCTGGATTTGCATGCAGTCAGCGCTTTTAGTTATCCGGTTAGTTAGAAGTTAGGTTAATGTTCTCTGGATTTTATCCAGAGTCCATGGGCCACTGAGGTGCCATTATTCTGACATCAAATACCTGGTCAATATGATTTTGATTTGGGCTCACATATGCAGTTGAAGTGCCTGCTTTACTAAACTAGGGCGCCGGGGATAGCTGGATTTTGGTATAAACCTCCTCTTTATTTTTATTAATTACTTTTCATATTAGCTACCGTCATCTCCTGCGCCTGCTTCGCAGCCGCAGCATCTGCCCGGAAATTGGTCTTAAAACTGTAGATGCCAGATATCAACCGGGAATGCTTTACAAAATTAAAAATGCGAACCTTGGCTGAGATCTGTTTGCTGCTTGAAGAAAATTTCGACTTGAAAATGCAAATACTTATCTCTAGTGCTATTACAGTCCGCTTCAAGCGTTCTCTCTACTTCGATTCGTCTCTCCGTACCTTGCTCAATATATGTACTGATTCATACCAGTATCGTCGGTAGTACACCGGTTCAGTCTGCTCACGCATATACTTAAGTAAACCTTTTGGAGGACCCAGTGCGGCACCAGAATCGTACCGGTTTCAAGAAAATGTACCGGTTAGATGATAAGACGGGTCATCGTTTGACTTGATGTACCACGGATATAATCCTATTTGGTCTGCGATAGCAGCACTAACATTGCTTCCTATCCCAGTATAACCGGTTACCTAATCAATTTATGCTGCTATGCTGACCCATCCGGTTGAGATTAAGACAAATTACCTATTATATTTGATACTCCCTAATCAAGTATATATACCTGCGACATCTAATTTGTCTGCCACTCAAGCAACATCCGTTGGATTTTTTTCGCTCGGTCAACATGCTGACGGGATCCCGCCTTGAAGGCGATGATTTCGACATCGCTTCAGACTAAGTGTAGTTGATCGAGGATTTACAGACAGAACACCAGCGTGGGCGCTGGAACGCCCAAAGCCACCAACTTTTACTATGATAGTGGAGTTTATGCTCTTCTGTGTGAATCTAATATTGAGCTCTCCTCTGAGCCTTGCCTGCCATGTATTGGGCAGTCCAGGAAGACTGGGGAGCCAGTGAAGCTTGAGAACTAGGGTAAGGGCCATAGGGCCGAAACCCACTACATTGTCCCCAAAGCTTCACATGGCGACGTTGTGGCTCGCAAGTCGCCTTGTCGCTCGCGCGTTTGGTCGCCTTGCTCCTCGATCAGCGAAGCAGCGTACTCCCAGTGTCGGCTCGCCGCTCTCCGGGAGCTGCGCGGCGAAAACGTGATGGAGGTGCTGGTCGCGGCGCTCCATAATCTGATAATGGTGATCAAGCCCTCTTTCTGCGAGCTAAAACCGCAAGCGTGCGAAGACAAGAGTCGCAGAGGCTGGACAGTCTCCAAGTGGCGGTCAATGACGTTCTCGCCGTTCAAATCATTCTCGTAAGGACCGTGGTCAGCACGACTAGCTTTCTTGCGGAGAAATGCAGTCGCTGTCGGTGACCGAGACGACATGAGCGGTGATACAAGCTTCGGGGGCAGTGTAGTGAATTATAGGTCCAGCTTGATGTCACCGCAGCATTACCCAACCTACGATCACCCAAGTGAGTCAGCAGCATTGACTGATGACAATGGATGATCTCTTCGAATGATTACTCTCGACGCTGAGGTGTCTTACGGCGTAAACAGGTCGAGCAGTTGCGTGGCTCGCTGGACTGAAGTGTCCAGTCAAGCTACACGAGGATTTAGTAGGCTCAAGTACAAGTTTATTCTGTGTATCCACTTCTTCGAGCAGCAGCTGCCTTCTAGACGCTTCTAGAAGCTAGATTCTCTCGTTAGAAGACTGGTGAGACCACGGGCTATTATCATCAGACCCAGTGCCTCACCCACTTCATCAACCCCCTCTCCAAGCGCAAAGACCCAAGTTCCTCACAATAACCAGGCTGTTGGACCTGGTTATTGTCGGAGTGCGCGGGCCTCCAATTAGATCTCGCATCCGCTTCACGCACGTCCTAGCTGCCATGGACCCGAAGCTGATGTTCAAGCTGGTCGTCGAGAAGGCGAACGAACACGAGCGGCAGCTCATCCGCCTCAAGCAGAAGAAGCCAGAGCCCGCTGAACGAGACCAAGACAAGTCAAAGAAAACCCAGCCAGCCAAGCCGAAGAAAGACTGGAACTACAACCACCTCGCAAAGCAGACTGAGGCTGTTAGCGCTAAAGCGAGATCTAATTGGAGGCCCGCGCACTCCGACAATAACCAGGTCCAACAGCCTGGTTATTGTGAGGAACTTGGGTCTTTGCGCTTGGAGAGGGGGTTGATGAAGTGGGTGAGGCACTGGGTCTGATGATAATAGCCCGTGGTCTCGCCAGTCTTCTAACGAGAGAATCTAGCTTCTAGAAGCGTCTAGAAGGCAGCTGCTGCTCGAAGAAGTGGATACACAGAATAAACTTGTACTTGAGCCTACTAAATCCTCGTGTAGCTTGACTGGACACTTCAGTCCAGCGAGCCACGCAACTGCTCGACCTGTTTACGCCGTAAGACACCTCAGCGTCGAGAGTAATCATTCGAAGAGATCATCCATTGTCATCAGTCAATGCTGCTGACTCACTTGGGTGATCGTAGGTTGGGTAATGCTGCGGTGACATCAAGCTGGACCTATAATTCACTACACTGCCCCCGAAGCTTGTATCACCGCTCATGTCGTCTCGGTCACCGACAGCGACTGCATTTCTCCGCAAGAAAGCTAGTCGTGCTGACCACGGTCCTTACGAGAATGATTTGAACGGCGAGAACGTCATTGACCGCCACTTGGAGACTGTCCAGCCTCTGCGACTCTTGTCTTCGCACGCTTGCGGTTTTAGCTCGCAGAAAGAGGGCTTGATCACCATTATCAGATTATGGAGCGCCGCGACCAGCACCTCCATCACGTTTTCGCCGCGCAGCTCCCGGAGAGCGGCGAGCCGACACTGGGAGTACGCTGCTTCGCTGATCGAGGAGCAAGGCGACCAAACGCGCGAGCGACAAGGCGACTTGCGAGCCACAACGTCGCCATGTGAAGCTTTGGGGACAATGTAGTGGGTTTCGGCCCTATGGCCCTTACCCTAGTTCTCAAGCTTCACTGGCTCCCCAGTCTTCCTGGACTGCCCAATACATGGCAGGCAAGGCTCAGAGGAGAGCTCAATATTAGATTCACACAGAAGAGCATAAACTCCACTATCATAGTAAAAGTTGGTGGCTTTGGGCGTTCCAGCGCCCACGCTGGTGTTCTGTCTGTAAATCCTCGATCAACTACACTTAGTCTGAAGCGATGTCGAAATCATCGCCTTCAAGGCGGGATCCCGTCAGCATGTTGACCGAGCGAAAAAAATCCAACGGATGTTGCTTGAGTGGCAGACAAATTAGATGTCGCAGGTATATATACTTGATTAGGGAGTATCAAATATAATAGGTAATTTGTCTTAATCTCAACCGGATGGGTCAGCATAGCAGCATAAATTGATTAGGTAACCGGTTATACTGGGATAGGAAGCAATGTTAGTGCTGCTATCGCAGACCAAATAGGATTATATCCGTGGTACATCAAGTCAAACGATGACCCGTCTTATCATCTAACCGGTACATTTTCTTGAAACCGGTACGATTCTGGTGCCGCACTGGGTCCTCCAAAAGGTTTACTTAAGTATATGCGTGAGCAGACTGAACCGGTGTACTACCGACGATACTGGTATGAATCAGTACATATATTGAGCAAGGTACGGAGAGACGAATCGAAGTAGAGAGAACGCTTGAAGCGGACTGTAATAGCACTAGAGATAAGTATTTGCATTTTCAAGTCGAAATTTTCTTCAAGCAGCAAACAGATCTCAGCCAAGGTTCGCATTTTTAATTTTGTAAAGCATTCCCGGTTGATATCTGGCATCTACAGTTTTAAGACCAATTTCCGGGCAGATGCTGCGGCTGCGAAGCAGGCGCAGGAGATGACGGTAGCTAATATGAAAAGTAATTAATAAAAATAAAGAGGAGGTTTATACCAAAATCCAGCTATCCCCGGCGCCCTAGTTTAGTAAAGCAGGCACTTCAACTGCATATGTGAGCCCAAATCAAAATCATATTGACCAGGTATTTGATGTCAGAATAATGGCACCTCAGTGGCCCATGGACTCTGGATAAAATCCAGAGAACATTAACCTAACTTCTAACTAACTTACTAAGACCCATTTTGTTATCAGCCTCACTTTGCCGGCCTCCGCTACCGAGGTCCGAATTTACCCGATTTGGGCTGCCTAGCAGCATGACCAATAGGTCACTGTCATCCCAGTATAATACCAGCGCAAGTTTACAATGTAAGATATGGTTCTCGTATACTTACCGGTGACTACAAGACAAAACGATGAACACGTGTGTTCGCTTTGTACCCTTATGTATTTGATGAAGCCGGTTTCTGTAGTTTTTGTCATCTTTGGCGGTAAGGCCCCTTGCGATGAGTCCGTTTTCACTATTGTGGCGGACATTTCACTCAAATGCATGCACCTGAACGAGGTACGGTACCCTGCCACCGAATCGTTCGGTCTAAACAGACCCCAAATGTAACTTTCGAAGCTAGACGAAATTTCATTTAACTGTAAGGCTGCAAAACTATCATTTCTACTTGGTCACCGCGATTAAAGCATGATTACGGTAAATGACACTTTGTTCGACCTTAAGCCGTTTAGCAACCGCATTGGTGCACTGCTGTCACTTCAGCGGTGCAGATTATAATCCAGTCTTGAAGGTGAGAGTGTTGGAATCTTGGTTGTGATGGAGAGAGCTCAAATAATTTGGTCAATACAGGATACTGCGATATCATCTGTATTAACACTTTGGTGCAGGTTGACATTCAATACAGTTAGGTTGTCGTTCTGCTGGCTACCTTGCATTCGGTGCGGCTAACTTTGTGTAAAACTTGATCAATCCATTTTGGGCCACGGAGGGGTCTCGATCGAGTGCATTCCGAAATCATGGCTGGGGCTGAGCGCGCGGTCCTGGTGCTTGCGGTGTCTCTTCCTCGCGTACAGCGCCACCCCAGCAATGCCGACGACTGCCACGACGCAGGCGATGACTACTAACAGCACCCCCTCCGTCCCAGTAGAGGAGCTCGTACTCTGAGAGCTGGCAAGAGACACTGCCTCGGTGCTATCCTCCGCACTGTACGACGTTGCTTCACTCGTACCTGCGGCGGCAGTTTGCGCAACCTGCTGGGCTTGTCCGTACGGTCCTTGCTGGCCTTGGTTGTACAGAGGCCTCGTCGTTGTTGGCGTTGGCGTCTTCGGCTTCCTAGTCGTCGGCGTTGGCGTCGGCGTCTTTGGCTTTTTCGTAGTAGGGGTTGGCGTGGGCGGCTTTGGCTGTTTGCGCAACCTGCTGGGCTTGTCCGTACGGTCCTTGCTGGCCTTGGTTGTACAGAGGCCTCGTCGTTGTTGGCGTTGGCGTCTTCGGCTTCCTAGTCGTCGGCGTTGGCGTCGGCGTCTTTGGCTTTTTCGTAGTAGGGGTTGGCGTGGGCGGCTTTGGCTTTTTTGTGGTAGGTGTCGGCGTGGGTGGTTTCGGCTTCTTTGTTGTTGGTGCGGGGGTCGGCTCGGGAGTGACGGGCTCCGCGGTCGTAGGCTGCGGCGTCACGGGCTCAGGGCTCGTAGGCTGCGGCGTCACGGGCTCAGCCGTGGTCGGCTCGGGCGTGACGGGCTCAGGAGTCGTAGGCTGCGGCGTCACGGGCTCAGCCGTGGTCGGCTCGGGCGTGACGGGCTCCGCGGTCGTAGGCTGCGGCGTCACAGGCTCAGCCGTGGTCGGCTCGGGCGTGACGGGCTCCGCGGTCGTAGGCTGCGGCGTCACGGGCTCAGCCGTGGTCGGCTCGGGCGTGACGGGCTCAGCCGTGGTCGGGTCGGGCGTGACGGGCTCAGGAGTCGTAGGCTGCGGCGTCACGGGCTCAGCCGTGGTCGGCTCGGGCGTGACGGGCTCCGCGGTCGTAGGCTGCGGCGTCACAGGGTCAGCCGTGGTCGGCTCGGGCGTGACGGGCTCAGAAGTCGTAGGCTGCGGCGTCACGGGCTCAGCCGTGGTCGGCTCGGGCGTGACGGGCTCCGCGGTCGTAGGCTGCGGCGTCACAGGCTCAGCCGTGGTCGGGTCGGGCGTCACGGGCTCCGCAGTCGTAGGCTGCGGCGTCACAGGCTCAGCCGTGGTCGGCTCGGGCGTGACGGGCTCCGCGGTCGTAGGCTGCGGCGTCACGGGCTCAGCCGTGGTCGGCTCGGGCGTGACGGGCTCAGCCGTGGTCGGGTCGGGCGTGACGGGCTCAGGAGTCGTAGGCTGCGGCGTCACGGGCTCAGCCGTGGTCGGCTCGGGCGTGACGGGCTCCGCGGTCGTAGGCTGCGGCGTCACAGGGTCAGCCGTGGTCGGCTCGGGCGTGACGGGCTCCGCGGTCGTAGGCTGCGGCGTCACAGGCTCAGGAGTCGTAGGCTGCGGCGTCACGGGCTCAGCCGTGGTCGGCTCGGGCGTGACGGGCTCAGCCGTGGTCGGCTCGGGCGTGACGGGCTCCGCGGTCGTAGGCTGCGGCGTCACAGGCTCAGCCGTGGTCGGCTCGGGCGTGACGGGCTCAGCCGTCGTCGGCTCGGGCGTGACGGGCTCCGCGGTCGTAGGCTGCGGCGTCACGGGCTCAGCTGTGGTCGGCTCGGGCGTGACGGGCTCAGCCGTGGTCGGGTCGGGCGTGACGGGCTCAGCCGTCGTCGGCTCGGGCGTGACGGGCTCCGCGGTCGTAGGCTGCGGCGTCACGGGCTCAGCTGTGGTCGGCTCGGGCGTGACGGGCTCCGCGGTCGTAGGCTGCGGCGTCACGGGCTCAGCCGTGGTCGGCTCGGGCGTGACGGGCTCCGCGGTCGTAGGCTGCGGCGTCACAGGCTCAGCCGTGGTCGGCTCGGGCGTGACGGGCTCAGGAGTCGTAGGCTGCGGCGTCACGGGCTCAGCCGTGGTCGGCTCGGGCGTGACGGGCTCAGCCGTGGTCGGGTCGGGCGTCACGGGCTCCGCAGTCGTAGGCTGCGGCGTCACGGGCTCAGCCGTGGTCGGCTCGGGCGTGACGGGCTCCGCGGTCGTAGGCTGCGGCGTCACAGGCTCAGCCGTGGTCGGCTCGGGCGTGACGGGCTCCGCGGTCGTAGGCTGCGGCGTCACGGGCTCAGCCGTGGTCGGCTCGGGCGTGACGGGCTCAGCCGTGGTCGGGTCGGGCGTGACGGGCTCAGGAGTCGTAGGCTGCGGCGTCACGGGCTCAGCTGTGGTCGGCTCGGGCGTGACGGGCTCCGCGGTCGTAGGCTGCGGCGTCACGGGCTCAGCCGTGGTCGGCTCGGGCGTGACGGGCTCAGCCGTGGTCGGGTCGGGCGTGACGGGCTCAGGAGTCGTAGGCTGCGGCGTCACGGGCTCAGCCGTGGTCGGCTCGGGCGTGACGGGCTCCGCGGTCGTAGGCTGCGGCGTCACAGGCTCAGCCGTGGTCGGCTCGGGCGTGACGGGCTCAGGAGTCGTAGGCTGCGGCGTCACGGGCTCAGCCGTGGTCGGCTCGGGCGTGACGGGCTCAGCCGTGGTCGGGTCGGGCGTCACGGGCTCCGCAGTCGTAGGCTGCGGCGTCACGGGCTCAGCCGTGGTCGGCTCGGGCGTGACGGGCTCCGCGGTCGTAGGCTGCGGCGTCACAGGCTCAGCCGTGGTCGGCTCGGGCGTGACGGGCTCCGCGGTCGTAGGCTGCGGCGTCACGGGCTCAGCCGTGGTCGGCTCGGGCGTGACGGGCTCAGCCGTGGTCGGGTCGGGCGTGACGGGCTCAGGAGTCGTAGGCTGCGGCGTCACGGGCTCAGCCGTGGTCGGCTCGGGCGTGACGGGCTCCGCGGTCGTAGGCTGCGGCGTCACGGGCTCAGCCGTGGTCGGCTCGGGCGTGACGGGCTCCGCGGTCGTAGGCTGCGGCGTCACAGGCTCAGCCGTGGTCGGCTCGGGCGTGACGGGCTCAGGAGTCGTAGGCTGCGGCGTCACAGGCTCAGCCGTGGTCGGCTCGGGCGTGACGGGCTCAGGAGTCGTAGGCTGCGGCGTCACGGGCTCAGCCGTGGTCGGCTCGGGCGTGACGGGCTCAGCCGTGGTCGGGTCGGGCGTCACGGGCTCCGCAGTCGTAGGCTGCGGCGTCACGGGCTCAGCCGTGGTCGGCTCGGGCGTGACGGGCTCCGCGGTCGTAGGCTGCGGCGTCACAGGCTCAGCCGTGGTCGGCTCGGGCGTGACGGGCTCCGCGGTCGTAGGCTGCGGCGTCACGGGCTCAGCCGTGGTCGGCTCGGGCGTGACGGGCTCAGCCGTGGTCGGGTCGGGCGTGACGGGCTCAGGAGTCGTAGGCTGCGGCGTCACGGGCTCAGCTGTGGTCGGCTCGGGCGTGACGGGCTCCGCGGTCGTAGGCTGCGGCGTCACGGGCTCAGCCGTGGTCGGCTCGGGCGTGACGGGCTCAGCCGTGGTCGGGTCGGGCGTGACGGGCTCAGGAGTCGTAGGCTGCGGCGTCACGGGCTCAGCCGTGGTCGGCTCGGGCGTGACGGGCTCCGCGGTCGTAGGCTGCGGCGTCACAGGCTCAGCCGTGGTCGGCTCGGGCGTGACGGGCTCAGGAGTCGTAGGCTGCGGCGTCACGGGCTCAGCCGTGGTCGGCTCGGGCGTGACGGGCTCAGCCGTGGTCGGGTCGGGCGTCACGGGCTCCGCAGTCGTAGGCTGCGGCGTCACGGGCTCAGCCGTGGTCGGCTCGGGCGTGACGGGCTCCGCGGTCGTAGGCTGCGGCGTCACAGGCTCAGCCGTGGTCGGCTCGGGCGTGACGGGCTCCGCGGTCGTAGGCTGCGGCGTCACGGGCTCAGCCGTGGTCGGCTCGGGCGTGACGGGCTCAGCCGTGGTCGGGTCGGGCGTGACGGGCTCAGGAGTCGTAGGCTGCGGCGTCACGGGCTCAGCCGTGGTCGGCTCGGGCGTGACGGGCTCCGCGGTCGTAGGCTGCGGCGTCACGGGCTCAGCCGTGGTCGGCTCGGGCGTGACGGGCTCCGCGGTCGTAGGCTGCGGCGTCACAGGCTCAGCCGTGGTCGGCTCGGGCGTGACGGGCTCAGGAGTCGTAGGCTGCGGCGTCACGGGCTCAGCCGTGGTCGGCTCGGGCGTGACGGGCTCAGCCGTGGTCGGGTCGGGCGTCACGGGCTCCGCAGTCGTAGGCTGCGGCGTGACGGGCTCAGCCGTGGTCGGGTCGGGCGTGACGGGCTCAGAAGTCGTAGGCTGCGGCGTCACGGGCTCAGCCGTGGTCGGCTCGGGCGTGACGGGCTCCGCGGTCGTAGGCTGCGGCGTCACAGGCTCAGCCGTGGTCGGCTCGGGCGTGACGGGCTCCGCGGTCGTAGGCTGCGGCGTCACGGGCTCCGCAGTCGTAGGCTGCGGCGTGACGGGCTCAGCCGTGGTCGGGTCGGGCGTGACGGGCTCAGAAGTCGTAGGCTGCGGCGTCACGGGCTCAGCCGTGGTCGGCTCGGGCGTGACGGGCTCCGCGGTCGTAGGCTGCGGCGTCACAGGCTCAGCCGTGGTCGGCTCGGGCGTGACGGGCTCCGCGGTCGTAGGCTGCGGCGTCACGGGCTCAGCCGTGGTCGGCTCGGGCGTGACGGGCTCAGCCGTGGTCGGGTCGGGCGTGACGGGCTCAGAAGTCGTAGGCTGCGGCGTCACGGGCTCAGCCGTGGTCGGCTCGGGCGTCACGGGCTCAGGAGTAGTAGGCTCGGGCGTGGTTGTAGCTGGCGTCGTCGTGGAAGGCATCGTCGTGGAAGGCGTGGTCGTGGAAGGCGTCGTCGTGGAAGGCGTCGTCGTGGAAGGCGTTGTCGTAGCTGGCGTGGTTGTAGATGGCGTCGTCGTAGCTGGCGTGGTTGTAGCTGGCGTCGTCGGGGAAGGCGTCGTCGTGGAAGGCGTCGTCGTGGAAGGCGTTGTCGTAGCTGGCGTCGTTGTAGCTGGCGTCGTCGTAGCTGGCGTGGTTGTAGCAGGCGTCGTCGTGGAAGGCGTCGTCGTAGTTGGCGTGGTTGTAGCTGGCGTGGTTGTAGCTGGCGTCGTCGTAGCCGGCGTGGTTGTAGCTGGCGTCGTCGTTGAAGGCGACTCCGTCACCGGCGACTCAGTTACCGGGGTCTCAGTCGTCGGTGATTCGGTCACTGGGGAATCCGTCGTAGGGGCTTCCGTCGTCGGAGTCTCCGTTGCAGGTGACAGTGTCACCGGAGACCCGGTCGCCGGACTCTCTGTTGCCGGCGATTCGGTCACCTCCGGGGATTCGGTAGCCGGATTCTCGGTCGTGGGGGCTTCCGTTGAGGGAGACTGCGTTGTCGCGGGGGGCTGTGTAGCAGGAGACGCTGTTGTCGGTGACTCGGTCTGCGGTGCATTGGTTGTCGGCGCCTCCGTCGTGGCCGGCACCTCTCCGCAATCGTACAGCTCCGTCAGCGTCGTGGTCTGCGAGAACCAGCTCTCGTCATAGTCCTCGTTGCCGTCGAACGCGGAGCTCGTGTCGATGCTCTCCACGACGTCGTCCTCTCCGTCGTACTCCCATGTCGGGCAGGTATTGTCGTCCTCCTCCGTCGGCACGGTAGCTGCCGGGGTCGCTGCCGGCGTGCCGCTGCCGCTGTCACCGCAGCCAATAGACGGCAACACACAACCCCAGGTGGATCCTGTGACGATCCGGCACTCGGCGTCCTCGGGCGCCACGCAGGAGGACCCTTCTACGAAGGACGGGAGGTAGTCGTGGCAGTCGGCCACCGCTACGTCGCCCCGCAGGGGGCAGGCCGTGCCCTCCGGCGCGGCGCCCGCGCCAGAGCACAGTGCGCCGCGGGCCTCCGACAGCGAGTAGGTGGCATCGCCGCACACGCTCACGTCCGCAGCGGTGGCGCATGCTGCGCCCAGCGCCGCGAGGCTGAGCACGAGCGCGAGTCGCATGCCGCCGGATTTCGAGGATTCCGCGGCCGAGTGGCAGCTACGCGTCTGAAAGGGAAGTGGTGGCGTCGAAGCGACTGGCACGCTTCCATCACGACGAACATGTGGGCATCGTTTACTGTGACTGCAAAAAAGGGAGATGAGCGCTCGAACGGCCAGCTGACCTGAGACCTTATACTGCTGAGTCGGGCCTTGAAACGTGGAAGTACGGGCTTAGGCTTTTGAGACTTGATATCGTGTCGTTATAGATATCAAGGTATTGCACCATTTTAGACAGGTATGTAGAGGCGACTACGTTATGCGCATAATGCGGTAAACTTTGCAGCGACATAGCGGGGTCGAAGCGGAGCTCCATGCTGGCCCAGGAAGATCGCGACCATTTTCGGGGCTTGCCGAGTGACCCGACCGCTAATTACGTGGTTGCACCGGGAAGCTGCCGCGCTTGTTGACCCAACAATGTTGGGTCGGTATCGGGCAGCCATGGCCACGGAAATCTGGCAATTGCACGGGCCGTGCTCGGCACGGGTGTGATATCTGAGTTTCTGTCGGCATGATCAGTCCGATCAGTCAGTCAATTGACGGGGCACTTGACAGGCATGACAGGGAGGTGTCTATGGGTACAGTCTAGCAATACTGCCACGCTGGACCACGGCAAGATCCAGCCAAGTTGAGCAGGAACTCGTCTCTGATCGGATGCATCGGTTCGGAGGCGCTGGACGGGAAGCGTTGGGACAAATGCCCCCCAGCTGGACGCCTTGGCCACAAGGTGAGACTGTCCTTTTGATGAAATGACTGGCCCCGCCGCGACAACGAAATGGTCACTTGCCGACCCGGCAGTAATGAGACCAATGGCTAAAGTAGCCTTCAACGAATGATGAAAGATAAGCCATTCGTGATGCCCCCCCCCCCACACACACACTCTTGAATGCAACTTCAACTCGAGTTGTGGGGGTCCACCTTGTCCTTCAATGAAGGACCTCCTTCATGCATCGCGTGTGAATCTGTCACCGTGCGTGTTATGCTGCTCATCAGTAGTGGGCGCACATTTGTGGTGCGGCAGCTTCTCGATTCATATCGACAGTCTCTTACTTGAACACAGGTGTGCCAATTCCGCTTTCAACCCTCGAAGCTTTCCAGCCTGGAATACAGGAAGGCGATTGTAGGCTATAAATTGAAGCAAAAGACTCGGGGCGTCCAAGCTGGTCTCAACGATTCGAGATGTTGGTACGTGTCCAGGACCAAATCTTGAGCCCGTAGTGAAGGCCGTCCCTTTCATCCGTCCGCGTTTTCATTATTGCGTGCGTGCCGAACTCGGGATATCGTACGTATCGTCTTCGCTTACGACGCCACCGACAACTGCAACAAGACTACACAATCCGCACCTCTTCCTTCCGATTGAATTGGTAGTGCTTCGGGACTGGCGAGGAAGTCCCCGCTACACCGTGTAATTCTAGGTAAGTACTTATTGTACTTCGAAGTACACCCGAATGGTGCTGCAAGGCAATTTGTTTCGCTTGGTGTCAATAGTAATGCAGAACAATCAAACAGTTCCGGGTCAAGATATGCAAAGTGGTTTTCTATCATGGACCAAACGTAGCGGATGTGTATTGTATATACGATAAAGGACTCTTGTCTGAACTCTTAGTTGAACGGCTTCTTACAGGTACCAGCTCAAATGCCCCAACGCATGAGCAAGATGAGCCGGTGGGTGCTCCGACTTCCGCTTACTCAGGAATATCGTTCAAGATGGACGAGATGGAGCCGCGCCTACCGTTGCGGTGGGTAGTGGTCGACGGTCTTACGCATGCGACCCCAGCGCCCGTATCTCGTCCCCGTCCGTATCGTCGATCCCCACGCAAACGTCTCTCAGGCACGCTTTGGCTGCGCAGGCGGCTCATGGACGGCAGCTCCTCGTGGCGAGGGATCTTAATGGGAGGCGGTTGGTGTGCGTGCAGCCCGAATGACGGCTTGCGCTTCTTTGACCGAGAGCTCTGCTTCGCGCCAGACACCTCGTCCTCTGGGTCTTTTGCAGCTTCGGTCTTGGCAGCGGCCTTGGATTTCTTGGACCTCGTCTTTCTGGTGGTGGTGGTAGTGGTAGTAGTGGTGGCCCGAACTTCGTTTGAAGCGGCGTCAACAACGTCGTCAGCAGAATCGTTATCCTTGGCGTCTTTTTTGCCATGGTCACTGATCTTGTCATTGTCGGACGGTATCTCGGCCGGCCCCACCATCGTATCGGTGATCTGAGCAATGGGGAACTCGTCCCTGACGCCGTTGAGCATCAGCGGCTCCATCTTGATGGGGATCTTGGTGTCCGTCTGAGCCTTGCGACTCTTCTCGTTCGGGTTCTGGATCACAGCCGATAGCTCCTCACGCAAACCGGCAATCTGCGCTTGGAAGCGCTTGCGCTCAGCTCCAGCTGCGTTCCCCACTAGAACTTGGAGCGACGTGATGCGGTTTACCAGACTGCGAATGCGTCGGTGCGGCCACCGCACGAGTCCATTGCGGCGGCAGATCTTCTTCATCAGAGTAATGCATACTCCCAATTCCTTGGCCACCACCGCCATCGGCTTATTGAAGTGCGGACGCAGCTCATTGAGCGTCAGCTCCTTCACGTTCACAACACCCCCGGTGTGCGGCATCGGCGGCATCATGTGCTGCTTCACCAGGCTCGTCGGACTACCGCTCGGCGCCAGGTACAGACTCGGATCTCCCGAGATCATAAGGTCACTGAGACTCACTGCTGTGGGCGTCGTGGGGTAGCCACCAGCGCCGTTTGGGGACTGCTGCATCATCATCTGATGAGGACTTATCGCCATGGGCGCTCCCGACATGTACAGCGACGACAGTCCGGCGCCGTGGATGGGGGACATTTGCAGGGGGAGGCCGTGCTCCAGTTGTTGCTCCAGTTGCTGTTGTTGCTGCTGCAAGTGGAGGTGCTGCTGATGCTGCGCTTGGAGCTGCATGTACGGCGTCACGAGCCCCGTCGCGCCGCCGCCCAGAGGGTCCAGCTGGCTCGTCGGCTGCGTCAGCAGCGCGTACATGTTCTGCGGGGCTTCGTAGGACCAGGCGTCCGAGATGAACCGTGAGTCGAACTGCAGGTCCTTCATGACGGTGGGCGACACGGGCGAGACCGAGTCGCAGCTCATGTTGGGCATGGGCAGGCCGTCGCTGGGCTTGGGCAGCCCGGCGTCCTCGAGGCCCGCGCCGAGGCTGCTGGTCTGCACCACGGTGGGCGCCGTCTCCACCTTGAGGCTGGAGCCGCCGGGCGTCGTGGGCTTGGTCCGCAGCGGCTGCATACTCGGGTCCGGCCACGGTCTCGAGACGTCCACGGGCGCGGGCTTGCTCTCCTCCGGGGCCTTGGACGCCGACTCGACGCGCGGGCTGCTCTCGGGCTCGGGCACCTCCAGCTCGGGCGCGCGCTGCTGCTGCATCTGGGCCGCCATGGGGCTTCTGGTCTCTGTCTACCTCCTCGCACGTAGCAGTGGACGCGATGAATGGCGCATTTCCATCGCTAGCCTGCGCCGCAATAGGAGAGAAGAGGAGAAAATAGAAGGAAATCTTTTTCCGGCCGATGTCGGTGGCAGCAGTCCGATTGTGGTTGCTATCCCCGAAAGCGAACTCGCCCCTTTCATTTGACTTGGTGTTTGTACTGCGCATTGCATAGATGCGCCGGTCGGGTCCGTGTACAAACAAGGTCACAGACTGCACACAGGTTGAACCTGCGACCCTTCAGGGCACGCAAGCTGATTGGCCGACGACGGTCCAGAGATCTTTTCAAAGATCGCGGCGGCCAGATGGCTTCACCCGCTCGCATCGCCTCGAGGCACGCTTGGCTATGGCGGCGTGCACGACCGCCATAGCGCTATTATACCGTGCCTGCAAAGCTGCGCGCCGCACGCTGCACGCAGACGCCGCCGTTCGTCTGCAGTCTCGGGGCGCGTTCATAGATCGTGCGCGGCGGGGCTGTCCTTCAAAGATATATGGCTTCAAGCCGACGACGACTAGCTAGAGCGCGCTCCATGGCGACTGGAGCTCTGAAACGCTCGGCTCTCTTGGTGAACGGCGCAGTGGCGAATGCCGCATCGGATAAGTGCGTACAGTCCGCCTGTACTCTGCTGCCATTGCGAGCGCTACAGCTTTCGTCGTAGGTCAATCGTGTCTGAACCAGCTCGTAGGTGGAGGAGGACCACCAGAACTGTGGAGAAGCTCGGATTCGAGTTGGCCGTGGGCACAGCAGGCGCAGTCTCCGCTTCTGCGGTTCACGATGGTCCGCTGGAAGCAGCTGTGGCCGCACAATATGGCGTCACGTGCCAGACATGGACTCCATGGTCGAGGGCTGGATTTTGGTCCGCTCCCGTCCTCGGGCCTGGGCGCCCCGAGTTCCGCGCGCTACGTGGGAACAGAGTATCGACAAGCGGGGCGTGGATATTGGCCGGCATCAGTTCAGCGGTCTGCTTCTTGCAAGCCCAAGGGTTCGTGGCCACGGGATCCCCTGGCCAAAGTTTCAAATGCTGCTGCTCAGCTGAGGGCGGACCGACTCGGTCCGCCGTGCAGTTGACCTGCATCTGCAAGGCTGTGCTCCGAACGTGCTCGGCGCTGCCATGTTTGTCCTCGGCGCGGGGGCACGCCGGGGCATTTGACCCATTAGTTTGCAACGGCCGCTTGAGAAAATCGGCCATGCGATGGCTACGAACTCCCGAGACCGGATGGCGGTGTCGTCTACAGAGCGGTCTCCAAGTGTCCACAGTGGCACGCTGGTTCAGTGGAGCCATCCACGTCAATGTGGACTCGGAGCAACGGAGATCTCAGCGAGTGCCGGGCTCCGCAACGCGGTAGATGCAACAACTTGTAGCAGGAGACCAAAGTGGGAACGTTCTTGACTTTGTGGGGAAGTTATACACTGCGACACGCTCGCCGCGAGCAAGCTCGCTCAAATCACCTCTGGCGACAGTTCAGCACCAATGGTGTGCACTGCGCGGCTCGCTCCGGGCGGAGCCGCGGCCTTCCCCCTTCGCCCACGGCCGAGTCGCGCGTGGCGCTTGGCGGCCAAGCTCTCGACTCGAGGCGGCGCTTCCTTCCAGAAAACTTTGATGTCGTGGCTGGGCAGGAGCTCCAACTTCGGAGCTCGGAGCGAGCTGCACTTGTCGTAGCAGAAACGAGTCGCCACCTGCTCGCTCTATGCCGATGTACATACATCTGATTGACCCCGTCCCCGCCGGCGCGGCAGTTGGGGCTCGGCTCGGAGCGGTAGCCACTGACTCCTTGCCGGCCCTCAACTCAATTGCCAACCTGCTCCGTGCACCACACGGAGGCCCATGCCATGCCCAGCGGCGTCAGTGCAGGCAGCTCCTCCTTGCCCTCGTCCTTCTCGTCCAGCGAGCACAAGAGCGACTCGAGCTCCGTCAACAGCCAAGTGCTGCTGCCGCAACCGTCGAGCGCAATCCCGCCGGCGACAGCCGACCAAGTGATCGAGCTCTCCGTGTCGTCCGAGGAGCTCGCGAACTGGAGACGCAGACACCAGCAAGCTCAAGCGGAACCCATGCCATGGCCCGGTCGCACGCGCAGCGTCTTGCGTCGGTACTCGCCGTTGGTCCCACCTGCGGCGTTGCTCATCGCGTTGGTGGTGCTGCTGGTGCAAGACCTCGCGAACGCTGACTCATCGGATTTGCCTCGTGATAGCTCCACCGTAACGGTGATGCACTGGAGCACGTGCGAGCTGGACAACGTCGTCGCCAATGCCTACAACCTATCGGCGCAGTGCGCAACAGTGACGCTGCCGCTGTGCTACGAGGGCGTCTGCGAGACTGAAGACAGCAACGCCAACATCAGCGTGTCCTTCAAGCGGATTCCTGCTATCGGAGCTAGCGCCACCAGCGTTAGCGCGCAAACCGTTTGGTATCTCGCTGATCGACCGGACCTGCAAACCCGCGAAGAGGCCGAGTTGCAGATGACGCTCCTGTACGAGGAGCTCCGCGGCGAGGTGGACATTTACACGCTGTACTTACGGGGAACAGGGAACAGCACTGCGTTGAGTTGCAACGCATCGGATGGATTGCCGTTGCAGTCGGCCATTTTTGCGAGGAATGGCGGCGTCTTGGATTCCAGCGACGTCCAGGACTGCGTCAGTCGGCTACAAGAACTAGGGTACACAGTTCTCGGCGCGTTTTCGCTTGCCTGTGCTTCTCGAGATGTCGAGGAGATCATCACCCAGTTTCAGCCCGATGCAGAAGCCGTGGTCTACGCTCTTGGTTATGGCACACTTGTAGCCCAGCAGCTCATGCAACGTGGAGTCTCGCAGATCGTTGGCTACGCTGTAGACGGAGCACTAGGAACATCCGCAGCAACTTCGCCATCTTACCAAGTGTCCAGAAGTGATGAAGCCTTTGGAGAGGTGGCCGCCGATTTCATCACATGGTGTCAATCTGACGCAAATTGCTCCAGTATGTTTTCCGACGTAAGCGCTACCACGACGCTCGACACCACACTTGTAGAGGTGTATACTCGCCTTGACGCTGATCCCGCCTCCCTGTGCTCCAGAGTTCTACTGGATGCGGATACAAGTGGAAACACAAACTCCGCTACGAACAGCACGACGCCGCCATCTTTACTGCTGCGCCAATTGCTCGGACTGATGATGGAAAGCACGACTCTATGGCCGTTTATACCAGTAATGGCATACCGCTTCCACCGGTGCGGATCTGAAGACCTCGCAGTGCTTACGGAGTTTGTAAACAACACATTTGAGACCGACGACGGCAACGAAGACACACCAGATCTGCTATATGCCATCCAGGCTTTCAGCGAGCTGTGGGAAGCACCGTCACCGAACCAGGGAGAGCTCACGGAGCGGTTCGCTGGCGCAACGATCAGTTCCGGTCGGGTGTATACGCAATTGCAGGCCTACTGCTTATTCACCGGTGATAATTCATCCGATGCCTGCTCAAACGCCTTAGCTTCAGCGTCGAATTCCTCGGTGGTCGGAGACACGCTCTCGTACACGACGACTAACTTGACGAACGCCAGCGCAACCGCGATTTCCCCCGACTCAAGTGTACTTATACTCAGCGGAGGGCTTGACGTGATTTCACCTCCCAAGTACGCAACTGCGGTTTTTGATGCGCTTCAGACAGATAGCAAGGCCCTGCTTGTGGTCCCCAATGGCACGCATGACGTGATCCAGACGGCCCTGCTATCGAACGGCACTGCATGCGCCCGCCGCGTATTGGCATCCTACGTGCGGAGTTCGGGTAACTTAAGCGCATACGATGCGTCTTGCATGGCCGACCTGCCCGTGTCGAGCCTGGCGATCTCCAACACGTCGAGTCTGCTGGTGCTCGGCGTGGAGGACGCGTACGATGGCGTTCTCGTGGCCACAAACAGCAGCAGCAGTAGTACCAGTGGCGGAAGCAACGGCAGCAGCGGAAGTTTGGAAAGTGCCGGATCCTCGGGCTCAGCTCTTGATGAGCTAAACCGACGTATCTCGGCGCTGGAAAGCTCCCGAGATCGCTACAAGATGACGCTTATCGTGGTGGCGAGTGTGCTGGGGGCTTTGATCATCGGCAGTGCGGTTACTATGATTTGCCGGCGTCACCGCAAGCAACAGCTCGCCAGTGAGGAGGCCATGCTGAGACGTATGCGTGGCGACGAGGAGGACGAGGTGGAGCTGATGCGCAGTATTTACCTGCTCTCCAGCTCCCCCAGCAGCGGCAGACGGACGGAGGCCGCGCTACCACAATGAGGTACGACCCGGACGCGGACTCTTGACTGTACGAAGGTACTAGTATTTAACATAGAGATAGAGACTGGAACAGTAGTTTAGCCTTAGTAGTGTACAATATGCAATACATTTGCGAGGAAGGTTTTTGCCAGTTGCAGGTTAGCCGCTTGGTCATGGACCCTGCAAATCTACTCAACACGCACGATTACGCACTAAAACTTCAGAATTGAAGTGCGCTAATTGAGGCCCTTGTTCAGGTGCCAGTACACGTTCTTAGTGTTTCCCGGGCTAGGGTTTCTAGTTTGGACCAAGCATTTTCAGGACGTGTGCTACGGCTTGTCCAAGTGGGTCGTCTCCTGGACTAACGCCGCAATAGCGAGATTCGGGCACCTTGGAGATGGTAATCCACCGCTCCCGCAGCACACGTACCGTATTTCGCATGTAGAAAGCTGCACATGATGTTCACAACAGAAAACATACCTTTAAAAAACGATGTGCATCAAAATATGTATTGTAGAAGAAAGCTACACCACAGCTTCGTCAAGAATGACATTGCGGTCGAAGTCTTGAGTTTGGTCGACCGCCTTGGCCACTGGCCCTACTAGCGATAGGTTCTGCAGCTCTGCCACCAGCGACGCGGCGGCGAGGCACTCCTCGTTGAGGTGTAAGTCGCATTTCTTGTATCCATTCGCGATGGTGTCGGAGCTCAGGCTCTCCCAACTAGCGCGAATCCAATGGCACATCCCGGCGCGGCCTGGTGGAGTCAGCTTAAACTTGGCTTCCGCGTCGCGCGGCTGCATCAGTTGCCGCTGGATGTCCTCGAGCCAAAACCTGCGCAGCCAAGTCTTGAACGGATGATTCCATGCTACGTCTGCAGGCTGGCAAATAGACGTAGCATGGGGAGGCACCTTCAGCAGCACCACCCTGATAGATGCAGCGTAGACCAGCACTTCAGCGGTCCAGTGGCCGCTGAAGTCATCCCAGAGGAGCAGCACGGGCTCTGCATGCGACGTGCGGTGACCAACGTGAAAATGTAGGAACCTTAGCGAAAGATCACTGTTCCACCAGCCTAAAAAGAAAAACAATAATAATACAAGAAAATGAGATAAATCCTTTTGAGCAAGTAAAAAAAAGAATGGTAGTTATCAAAGTGCATCTCATATGCCGGTGCAGCTTTCTACATGCGAATACGGTATCCTGCCAAGCATTGATTGGCCAGGGCAGAAGGAAATCGCCTCGTCCTTGCTCATTGATTCCTAGCACAAATGTGCCAGCGCTGGAACACCAGATTTTAGTGTTCTGAAAAGTGGTGTTCTTGGAACAAAAGGGTACATTGTACCGGTTTTTGTTAGCCAATCAAATGCCTCAGCAATTGGAGCTTAGTACATGTGCCAGCACTTGAACCAGGGCCTGAAGGTCCAGGATACAGTTCGGCGCATTGTGCCCGGTGTCGGTCGGGCAAGACGCACGCACGTGCCGGCAATACCCGACTCGGCATGCTGTCTGCCTGCTTCGCTGACAGCACTTTCGAGTTGGGCGTCCGCCAAACGCGTGGCGATGATTGAGATTACTGGAGGTACAGTAGAAGGATCTTTACTGCGGGTTGAGTTGAATGGCGCAACTCTAATCGTGTGCACGGATACTCTCCCTCTCCGATTGCATGATGCAAGGCCTGCATGCATCAGCGCCGTCGAGCGATGTTCCATGTGCTGCATTCAGCTCGAGGACTGGAATTGGGTCGCTGCATCACCAGAAAAACACGCCGACCAGAGATCATCCCCGTCGCGTTACTGCAGGGATCGACAAGCCATCCCCACAGATCGGCAGCGCGAATAACTGCACATGAAACTCATCAAAATGCGAACATGAGTCTCAAAGTCGCGTTGGTGGCGGAGGGCAGCAACGGCGGCTTGCCCGCGAGCGAGCCGCGGGGAAATGTTCGGTGATCCCCGACGTTGACGGTCTCCTTTGGCACATCTGGCGCGGGAACACACTTGGCTTTCGTATGGAGCGTTCCCTCCTGGCTGTTTTACAGGGGCCCATAGACTGGCAGTCTGCCACCGCCCCCATCACAATGGTGGGCACGCCCGGGAGGGAGCGAGCATGCTGCTCACACTGAGCGAGCTCTTCAGGCTGAAGTCCGAACCATCAACTGCCGCTTGTCGAGGCTAGGCCCAGCGCGTTCTGTGAGTGCAGTGAGGCTCCATGCTGGCAGTGATCCCGCTGGAAAATCGCAAAACTGAAGCCATGTATGGTACGCGCATACACCTGTCATATCCGATATGAGAATGGGTACTGTAGCCATGTCGAAAAAGTGCAGGGCTTGACTCCCTTTACTTTTTTCCGGTGTAGGCGCGCGAGCCTCGACTAGGGCTACAACCGACAGCTGCAACACGTAGTGGGTGCATTTTACCGCTCAATGGTTAAGCTCCTTGATACTGTTCCTTTAAGAAGTTAAACGGGAATTCTGCCTAATAGTTTCTCTTCGTTTTATCAGCTCCGAAACTAAGCGGAAGTACAATTCGATGCAACCAAAGACTTGTCGTCCACCACTCACGACTTCCGCGAGTATTACTTGCATATGTTAAGTTAATATACCAGTGAAAGTGATCCCCTTTCGGCGCAGACTGGCGCGTAGCGGAGATCTTAGCTGTTCAGTTAACATGAGGCCTTAAAATTAAACCAAAAACTGCGCAGTTTATTGAGACCCGATGGATAGCGGAGACTTTGGCCAAGCAGCTCAGTTCGGCGGCAAAATGCCGTGCACCTGGTAAGGCCTAACGCACCGGAAACGCGCTGTCCCCAGCTCAAGTCAAAAGGCAAAAACCGGCTGGCAGATTTAGGGTCTCAATTTTTGGGTCGTGCGCCTGGCCGTGTGCGCCCCTTTCTCCGCTTGATACAGATCGCCTCGGCGAATTACTTTGCCTCCCCAATCACTTCAGAAACTACGAGGAGAGCAGCAAGCGCCGGCTTCCGTGAGCCCATCGCCGCGCCGACCCCTGCATCCTCCTCCTGCTCCTTCTCCTCCTCGCTCCCTCCCATCCGCCCTTCCGCCCACCATGATGGCCTGGCCGGAAGAGCCGCAGCCGCGCAACGGCAACGGCGGCGGCGACTGGCCCGACGCCGAGCTGCTCGAGTCCGCCAACTTCTACCCGGTGGACGGCGGCGACGAGCGCGCGCAGCACGGCGCCAACAACTTCCTGAGCGCTGCCCAGGGCCAAGGCGTTCCGCAGGCCGGACTCACGTACTCGGCGTCCTGTCCGTCCTTCTCGGGGCTGGACGACGCCGACGACCTCATGGGCGGCGCGAACGCCGGCAACGGGCTCATGTCCTTCCCCTTCGGCTCGCAGGAGCCGCTCATGGATGCCATGGGGCCCGTGGAAGACGCGCCGTTCCCCGGGGACAAGAGCTTCGACATGCTGCTGCAGTTCCAACAGGACTACCAGGACGCGTCGCAGCGCCAGTTCCCGCACCAGCAAGTGATGGGGCCGCCCATGGACATGGTGCAGCAGCAGCCGCAGCCCATGGCCGGAGGACGACGCGGATTCCACGGCTCCCAGTCGTTCACCAGCTTGTCCAGTATGGAGTCCGAGTACAACCGCATGAACGGTGCGTGTACATCTACTGTGCACTGAGATGCAATGCCACTGTTGATGCAGAGCTAATAATTTTGTATTTGTGGTGGATGCAGCCAATAGTAAGCGGAAGAAGGGCTCCGAGCGCTGGATGAAGCTGCAACGCCACAAGTCGTTTGACTCCACCACGCCCATTTCCGAGCCTTTCAACTTCGACCCGAATGCGACCTTTGGTGCCGCTGCTTTGAGCTCGTCGAACCCCACACCTGACCAGCTTCTGCAAGAGTGCGCTCAAGTGATAAACTATATTCTAGGTGATGTTGCCGCTTTACTAACGCTGTTATTATGCTTGCAGACCGCCCGACAGCGACATGATCGGATTCTCTATCGACGAATTCTCAATGCCATCCGATGACCCGAACTGGCCCCCGGTCGCTTACGGCTCGGCGCCGAGCGCAATCGGTGGGAGCTACATGCAGCAGGCCCACCAGAAACGTCACCAGCAGCAACAGCAGCAGCAGCTTCAACAAGCTTCATTGCAGTCGATTACTGACACCAGTGCCGATAACTCGGTCTCCTCGTCGGCGGAGGTTGAACCGGCATCTGAGCTGGACATGCTCCTATCAGAGAACGAGCGCGCGAATCTGTTCGATGCTATCCGTGATTTCGAGTCGCCTGGTGCTACGATTGACCCCATCGACGCGCAGCCTTCGCCCGAGCAACCACCTCAGCAACCAAACCAGGTGCCGCCACCGATCGAAACGAAGGGACAGAGCGGTACTCCATCGATCAGCAAGAAGAAGACGACGGCTAGCCCTCCACTATATCCTGGCACCCAGAAGAAAAGCCCGCATGGAGCACCGCGGCAGCTCTCATTGGACTCGTCATCTTCAGCTCCTCCCGCGGGTATGCCGCCGTCTGGATGCGTCCCCATGCGAACACGTTTGCACCAGATTTTGATTCATTCCGTGCAAAACTCGGACGCCGGATCGTCGCTATCGTCTTACGAGCGTAACTACCTGATGCAGTCGCCGTTGTTTTTCCCAGCCAAAGCTCCCGAAACCGCGGGATCACTGTGGCTGCTGCTGCATTCTGCGCAGTGCGAAAGCGGATGTGAGATTAATGGTTGCAGCGTTATGCGTCGCGTCTTGAATCACTGTCTGGGATGCGAGTTGATGGTGGGCAAGTGCAAGCAGCCGTGCAACGACGCGAAGGCGATGCTACTGCACTACGGCTCCTGCAACAGCAAGGGCAGTATGCACGGCCGGTCATGCTCAGTGTGCTGGAACCTGTTGGAGATTGATTATTCCCACCAAGCGCTTAACAACGGCAATGGCGGACGCTCCGGTGGACACACTCCGATGAACACGCCGTCTTCGTTCGTGTCGACGTCGCCCTCCCCGCACATGGGTACTTCGCCACTCGTGCCGATGCCCATGAGCGGATCCCCCGCGTATCGGTCGCCATCGAGACGGTCGACAAGTAGCTCTGGCTCATCGACCAAGCACGTGCCCATCCAGCCCAACCCGCTCCCGACGGCATCGAACCCGATGGGACTCATGGGCGCCCTGCCTCCCCACTTCGGGTACTCGCTTTCGTTGTACTTGGAGCAGACGTCGGCCCCGTTCCGCGCGGAGGTCAAGTCCCGTGTCGAGAAGCGCGTGACGGCTGCTGCAGGCCAAGACTTGCTGCAGCACATGCAGAAGAAGACGCGGCTGCGTAGTCTGGACGACCTCCGCTCGGAGGCGCGGACGATCGTGCTGGGCGAGATGGAGCGGGAGCTGCACCTCCACATGCAGGCGTACAACTGGGCCAACTCAACCGCCGGCGGCAGCTTGCCCGAGGGGGCCTCGCAACTCCCTCCGTACCTGCTCAACTTCTCGGTGGCAGGATTCGGCGCGTTCCAAGCGCAGCAGGCGGCGTTCCAGGCAGCCGTGGCCTCGGGGTCGTCGCTGCCACCTGCTGCGCCTTCAACTTCGCCGCCGGTGGCAGCTCGGCGATCCGGGTCCTCGAAGCTGGCGCCAAGCGGTAGTCCGCCCAAGGTTCCTGCGTGCGACAAGTAACTGAGTGACGGGGTTTTAGAACTGCCATTGTTGTTGCTGTGATGTAAGAGGTAGGTAGGTAGGTAAGGTGGGGGTGACCATTTTTTAACGGAGTCCATGCAGCTAATTTATTCCGATCTAAAAAGTTTTTTCTCGCTCATTGGATTAAAAACCTATTCTCTCATGCCCCCATTGGAAGAAAATAGTCTTCAGCCAGATACCGTATCGCTCGCTATCTGCGGCAGTTCAAGATGCTGCGGACAAAGCTGATCTCGCATGCGCCTCGCCTGGCGCGCGCCCTGAGCGCCTCCCGCGCGCTGCAGACGGAGTACGACTACCTGGTGATTGGTGCCGGCAGTGGTGGAATGGCCAGCGCGCGTCGTGCTGCCAGCTACCCGGGAACGCGCGTGGCAGTTGTGGAGCAGTCGCGGCTGGGCGGCACCTGCGTCAACGTGGGCTGCGTGCCCAAGAAGCTCATGTTCATCGCCGCGGACATGAGCCACAAACTGCACCACGACTTTTTGCACTATGGATTCGAGGACGAGGAGACCGGGGGCCACTTGGGGCAGCGGACGCACTTCGACTGGCCCAAGCTCAAGGCTCGTCGTGACGCCTACGTGCTGCGCCTAAATGGAATTTACGAAAGGTGGGGAGCAGCACCGAGGGGTTGCTGAAGTAGCAAAGGCTATGGACAAACCGTGTTGATGGAGTGGGGGACTCATGATAAGTTTCTTTTTGCTTGGTTGCAGGAACCTGGCGAATTCCAAGGTGGCCCTGATCCGCGGCTCGGCCAAGTTCAACGACAAGGGGAATGTGGAGGTGGACGGCAAGGAAATCCTGGCAAAGAATGTGATGATTGCTGTTGGAGGCAAGCCGCTGATCCCCGACATTCCAGGTGCGTGGTTACTCGAGAGGCTGGGGATTTATTTAGTCGTCAGTTGGTTAACGTGGACATGGTGCTTGGACAGGCAAGGAGCTGTGCATCGACTCGGACGGGTTCTTTGAGCTGGAGACGCTGCCGAAAAAGGTGGCAGTCGTGGGCGCTGGTTACATTGCTGTTGAGCTGGCTGGCGTGCTCAACGCGCTCGGCTCGGACACGTCTATCTTTTGTCGCAAGGAGGGCGTGCTTCGCTCGTTTGATGTAAGTTCAATGCACGCGTGCGTGGCGCAATCGTGCACCCCAGGCTTCTTACCTTCCTTCGTGATTCTAGGACATTGTGCGCACCACGCTGGAAGACGCCATGGCAAAGGATGGTGTTCACTTGCGGCCTCACAGCAATATTGCCCGGGTCGAGAAGGCGGACGATGGCACCAAGACCTTGGTGTTGGCCGACGGTTCGGAGTACAGCGGTTATGATGTTGTGATCTACGCTGCTGGTCGTGTGCCGCTGACGTCGAACCTGCAGCTCGACAAGGCAGGCGTCGACACGGACAAGAATGGTTTCATCCAAGTGAACGAATTTCAGGAGACGTCCAACAGCAAGGTGCTCGCCGTGGGTGACGTCTGCGGCACTCCTGCGCTGACCCCCGTCGCCATCGCCGCTGGACGGAGGCTCTCCGACCGCCTGTTTGGCGGCATGAAGGACGCCAAGGTCTCGTACGAGAACATCCCGACGGTCGTGTTCAGCCACCCTCCCATCGGCACGATCGGCCTGACCGAGGAGCAGGCTCGGCGCAAGTACGGTGACGATGAGATCAAGGTGTACACGAGCCGCTTCGTGAACATGTACTATGGCCTGATCAACGAGATGGACGAGGCGACGGGCGAGCCGAAGGACAAGCCCAAGACGGCCATGAAGCTCGTCTGCGCCGGCAAGGAGGAGAAGGTCGTGGGCCTGCACATGATTGGCATGGCCGCCGACGAGATCCTGCAGGGCTTCGGCGTGGCTGTCAAGATGGGCGCCACCAAGGCCGACTTCGACAACTGCGTCGCGATCCACCCCACGGCCGGCGAGGAGCTCGTGACCCTGGCGCCTTGGGGCCTCAGCGGGCGCGGCTGACGTTGAAGCAAGCTGCTTCAAGCGACCGACCGCCTAAGCAAACTGCGACGCGGATAGAGGACCGGAAACTGTGAATCTAACTCGGCCGAGAGATTCCGCTGACGTGTTGTAGTTGAAGTGTCCGGTCGTTTTTTTGGAGTTGCATTCGTGAATCTCTTTTTCTTTCGGCTCGCTACTACAGTAGTTATTATGAGGCGGGTCGTGCGGGGCGATGACCAAAGGATGGCACCTGCAGCAGGGAGCAGGGCAGGGTGCAGCCATGTCGTTACGCGGTCGTGGTGACGTCGCCTGCAGCGACATACCATATTGCGATCGCCGACGGCGGTTTGGCCCCTACCCCAGAGAACGATTCTCAGATGATACTTTCGGTTCGTACACTTGGTTTTTGTATGTGCGCTTCAACTTGCATGCACCCGACACGTCACTGCATCTGACTCCTCGGACTCCATCGTCATTCCCCCATTGAGCTCCTCCCCCGCAGCCCCCAGCACTTCGACCCCGCCGCCATGGCAAGCGACAAGCGCCCGATCCTCTCCGGCAAGCGCGCGCGCAGCCGCAGGAAACGCGCGGCGCTGCGGGCCGCCAACCGCGCCACCATGTCGCCCACGCCTGAGTGCGACAGCGACGAGGACGCCAAGCGCAAGCTCCAGGAGCGCAGAGACTCCAGCAGGAGCAGCAGCAGTGGCAAGGCCACCTCGCAGAGCGAGACCGAGGACGACGGTCTCGTGTTCGTGTGCCGCCCCACGATGCCCGACTTCTGCTCCGTCTTCCTGCCGCGAGGCGAGGAGCCGGCCCACAGCCGCGCGCGCAAGCTGCAGCTGCAGCCGTCGGACTGCAAGACGTTCACGGTGCACATCCCGACCTTCCAGGAGACGTGCGAGGGGTTTGTCACTTACACGCTGGAACTGACGACGTGCGACCAGCCGCACCACACTTTCCAGCTCGAGCGCCGCTTCTCCGAGTTCGTGGCGTGCGCGGCGGAGGTCAACGCGCAGCTCGCGAGTGGCTTTGGAGTGCGCTGCTGCGCCGAGCTGGAAGATGACGAAGAGAGCAAGGACGCAGACGACGCCTTCCAGTGGGAGCTGCCGGCCAAGACGTGGTTCCGCGTGACCCAGCACAGCGCTCTAGAAGAGCGGCATGCACAACTCGAGCGGTCGCTGGAGACGCTGCTGCTGCAGCGAAATCGTCGCATCTGCAACCTGCCCGTGCTGCGCGACTTCCTCATGCTCGACATCTTTGGCGTGCAGGTGGCGGAGCAGAAGAACCTCGAAGCGGCGGCCCAGTTCGAGTGATGAAGCCGACCGCTGCAATGAACGCTAGTCACCAACACAAATTCAAGCGCAAGCGCTACCAGAACGACAAGAAGCGAACCAGCGAGCATTGCGAGTCGGACGCAGCCAGCCAGCCAACCTGCTTGGTCTTTTCATATTTTATTCACGCCGGTCCGGTCCAGGCCGAGACGACCGAGACCAACTCTCAACTCCTAGACGAGAAAAATAGCATACACACGTAGAAACTCACCCCCAGCGTGCTCACGAGGCATCAGAGTTTGCCAGCGGGGCACCCATTATAAAAAAATGTTCACCAAATACAATACAGCAGGGTAGGCTTTTGAAGTATCCTGTACTGCAGTGCAAAGCAAATAGCTCGACGAGATACGAAAGCATTTTGCAGCTTAAACGGAGCATGAACATGAGGAGTACTGTACGCCTCTGCTGACATCACGTCAAGCACACGTGATTGTTTTCATTTTCAAGCGGTCTGTGTCGCTCGGCAATTTCTATTCACGAGTGCATTTTGTTTTTCTCGCCTACATGTTCCTATAATACTCCAGGGTATGAAAGCCACTGCTTGCAGAAGATGAATACATCGCCGCGCACAACTCTTAGGGACAAGTATCGTCACCCTCTTGTGCGAACGCCGACGCTTGCCATTCACGCAAACCGCCATCAACTACCGATCCAGAATCCTTATCAACTGTGTAGGTTGGTGTCTGCAACTTGCAGCCTGCAGGACGAAAAGACTAATCGATTACATGTAACCGCGTGACGAATTCGAACTGCATCTCTACCTGATGGCCGAAGCCACTTGCCGCGTGGATACTCCCGAGCACCAACCATTGTCGATCCTGTAGCTGATCCCCAACATCAACCATCGTATCGTGGATATCCTGTAGGTGATCCTCACATTCCGAATCCGGTTTTTCGGGCAGTTCCTGCTTGAAGCTGCATCCGGCTGTCCAACGAATTGGCACAAGACAGTCGCGACGATCGCGTGCAGCACGACCAGGACCATCAAGTGAAAAGTGAAGCTACCCAGCCAGCAAGTGCATTGCATGCAATTGTGCAGCGGTAAACTATTGTTTAGATGCCTTTCAACACGCCCATGAGAAAATTCCGGTGTCCGGCGCCAAGTGTCTCCCTTTTCTGATCTTCATATGGATACGAGTATGGAATCGCGTCTTCCGTCCGGAAGCAACCGCCCCATGAAACAGCAACACGCGATTTGTTTGCCCGCGGTTTTCACTGGATGCCAAGTGCGTCATTCCCCAATTCCTCGCCCAAGCAGCCGCGCACTAATGGCCTCGACGTCGTCCCCGTGGGTGGTGCTCAAGTTCGGCGGCACGAGCGTGTCCACCGCCGCGCGCTGGCGCTGCATCTGCGAGCAGATCCGCTCGCACCTCGAGGCGCCGTCGGCCCCGCGCGTGTGGGTCACCATCTCGGCGCTGTCCCAGATCACCAACAAGCTCACGCGCGCGCTGGCGCTGGCCAGTGAGCGCGGCAGCGACCACATGGAGCTGGCCACCAACATCGCGCTGCAGCACTTCGCGCTGGCCTACGAGGTGGGGCTCCTGCCGGCGCTGGAGGGCGTCGAGGGCAGCGTGGAGCTGCACGACCGCTGGCAGCAGCTCTGGCTGGACAGCGTGCTGAGCCACGGCGACGACGGCTCGAGCTTCTCCACGTCCCCCATCGACCCGCTGCTGCCCAAGGAGCTGCACCCGCTGCTGGAGGAGCTCAAGAACCTCGTGCGCGTGCTGGAGGGCATCAAGCTCACGGAGGAGGCATCGCCCCGCATCCAGGCGCGCGTGCTGGCCTTCGGAGAGCTGCTGTCGACCCACCTGGGCCGCTGCATCATGGCCCACAACGGCCTCACGTCCGTGGAGAGGGTGGACGCCAGAGACCTGCTCGTGAGCGATCCCTCCAGCGCCAAGTCCGAGGAGGACCGGTACCTGCAGGCCGAGGTAAACCCCCGTCTGGACCGCGAACAGGCCGAGAACGCCGCGCACGGCAAGCGCGTGGTGCTCACGCAGGGATTTATTGCCAGCACGAGCACGGGAGCCACCTGCGTGCTCGGCCGCGGAGGCAGCGACACGTCGGGCTCGCTCTTCGCGGCGCTGCTGGGCGCCGAGAAGTACGAGATCTGGACGGACGTGCACGGCATGTTCACGACCGACCCGCGCTACGTGCCCAACGCGCGGCTGATCAAGAGCCTGGATTACCGTGAGGCGCAGGAGCTGGCGGCCATGGGTGCCAAGGTGCTGCACCCGCGCTGCATCATCCCGGCGCAGTGGGGTAAGGTGCCGCTTGAGATCCGCAATACGAACGACCCGACCGGCGCCAAGACGGTGATCCACCCGGCCACTGAGTCCGACAAGGCCCAGCACGGCAGCCCCAAAATCCTGGCTGTGGTCAAGCGCCAGAACATGACGACGCTCAGCATCACGGCCTTCGACATGTACAACACGTCGGGCTTCCTGGCCAAGGTGTTCACGCCGTTCGAGGCGTGCGGCATCTCCGTTGACCTTATCGCGACGTCGCAGTTTTCCGTGACGGTGACGCTGGACCACATCCCCGGCGGCGTCGAGGGCGCTCCGTTCCAGCAGCTTCTGGAGGCATTGAACGAGCACTCGAAGGTGCGCGTGTTCGAGGACTGCTCGGTCGTCTCGATCGTGGGTCGCGGACTGCGCAAGGCCCTCGCGGAGCTCGGCTGCGTCTTCAACGTGCTCGAGAACTACGACGTGTTGCTGCTTAGCGAGTCTGCGGAAGACTTGAACCTGTCCTTCGTGCTGCAGCAGAAGGAGGCGGACGAGGTCGTCGCTCGCATGCACGGCTTCTTCTTCCCCGGCGACGACCAGGTGTCGCCTACTGCTGCGAAGGCTACATCGACGGCAGGAGGTCTGCCGCCGCTTCCTCCTCACCCGACCACACCTACTGCTGCGTCTAATGGCGAGGCAAGTGCTGCTGTGCCGCCTGCTCCGATCAACACCGTTTTCCAGCAGGCAACCATCCGTCGGTCGCCTTCGCGCGACTTGCTGTTCGGCCCCACGTGGCAGAACTTGCTCGATGCTACACAGTCGAACAAATCAGCTTAAGCAAAGGCTGGCCGGTGGACCCGCAACGTATACCTGGTCGGTTGTATTTCATGTACGTAGATAGAAGCCCCTCGACTGCTCTCGAAAGCACCATTCGCGTGGCAATAGAAAACATACACAATGCATCTCAATATGTTTCCTCTCTCACGATTCGCAAGTAAGCTTAACACTCTACGCGTCACTGTCGCTCTCGTCGTAGTCATCGTCCTCTTCAACCTGTAATGCCTGCGCGTTCAGTGTTGTTGGCATTGGCTTGTCTTCGCTACGGCTTTCAGCTTCGGCGCCGTCGTTTTGTATCCGTCCCTTATCAGCGAGCTCCGTTTTCTTAGTTGTAGAAGACGCTGTTGCTGTTGCCTTTGTTGCTTTAGTTGTCCTCGCTTTCTTGGTCGTTGGCCTGGACACAGCAAAGAATTATCAGCAACAACTTCCGACGATGCACTTGCAATTGACGCAACTCACTTTTTGGCTGCTGTCTTCTGTGTCCGCCTCTTGCCGCGAGCGGGTTTGTGGTACTTCGCGTCGCTCTCGTCAATTGCATTCACCTTTTCGTGCAAGAAGTTGAGCTCTCCGCTCGCCAGCACGCTCTTCTTCCTGTTGTATGCAAGTCATTGAGCAAAAGCCACCTCTCCACTTCAACAACAAACACACGCGCACACGTACAGCTCCACAGGAGTGAGCCCGACTCCGTCCACCGCGTGTTTCTGCATCTTGCTCGCCAAGTCCCGCACGAAAACTTGCACGGCCGAAGCTGTTCGCACCAAGAAGTACACCATGAGTGCATCGAATTCCGTCCGACATGGCTACATTCCCGACAACTCACTGCAGCTGAGCACGGCGGCGTCCGCCACTTGGCCCATGTCCTTCTGGTCTTTCAGCAGCCGCTTCACGCGGCCCTACAATATCATATACGTAGTAGGTCAGCGCAATGTATCCACCCGCCCATCGCCCACGTCCGCTGTGCTGTCGCCACCTTCATCGGATCGCGCTGCTTCATCTTGTGCCGCTACGGAATGTGAACTGTTGGTCCCAACTGTCTGCAGCAACGACTAAACGGTACACCGTACCATTTGTTCAGGTTCGTCATTTCAGCCGCAGACGTCCATCCTGGTCAAGTCAAACGATGCTTCCAAGAAGCTCGTGGCGACAGCAGATCCGCGCGCTGCAGCGCCACGCCCAGCGCCGCCACGCGCGCGCGCCATTGGCCACGTCTCGCGCGTTGTCCTCCGCCCCTTCGGGTGCTAGCGGTGACGCGGAGTTCGCGCTGGGCGTCAAGTACCTGCTGGGCAAAGCCGACGGCGCGGGCGAAGTGGGCAGCGCCGCGTCGGTGCACGGCGCCGTGCTGCACTGGACGAATGCGGCGGAGCTGGGCCACGTGCGCGCGCAGGGCGCGCTGGGCAGCCTGTACCTCAAGGGCCACGCCGGCATCCCGCGCAACGTGGCGCTGGCCACGCAGTTCCTGCAGCAGGCGGCCGACGCCGGCCACGACGGCAGCTGCCACGAGATCGGCAAGCTGCTGTTCCAGGGCAGCGACGAGGTGCCGCAGGACTTGGAGCGCGCGCTGCACTACTGGACGCGCGCGGCGGAGAGCGGCCACATGGCGGCCAGCTACGACCTGGGCTACATGTACGCGCAGGGGCTGCACGTGGGCCAGGACGACGAGAAGGCCGTGCAGCTCTACCGCCAGGCGGCCAAGCAAAACATGCCCGAGGCGCACCGCGCGCTCGGCGCTGCTTGTCTGCACGGACGCGGCGTGGAGCAGAGCGCGGAGCAGGCCGTGACGCACTTCCGTCGCGCGGCGGAGGCTGGCAACGCGCTGGCGCAGTTCGACCTGGGCGCGTGCTACATGCTGGGACGCGGTATCGAGCAGGACCACTCCAAGGCGGCGCAGTTCTTCTTCCTCGCTGCCGAGGGCGGCGTCCCGCAGGCACAGCTGTGCTTGGCGCAGTTGTTCGAGAACGGCCAGGGGATCCCGGCCGATCGCGAGAAGGCGGTGCAGTACTACCAGTTGGCGGCGCAGGGCGGACTGCAGGAAGCCACGCAGGCTCTGGATCGTCTTGGAGCACCTCACGAGCCGGAGAAGGAGATGTAGACACATGCACACCGTAAAACATATTCACGAACACAATACCGACCACGTACGTTGCAGCTAAACTCGCTTGACAACAAGACCCATAGACACTGGTTTGGAGTGTGCTGTTGAATTGAACGATATCGTGGTCTTCGTCCGAACCCCGTTGGCTCCTGTGTGCCTCGCAAAAAAAATCTGCCAGGCCCAGGCCCGCGCGAATAACGAAACGTCGGGTGCAGCAGGCGTCGAGTGCAGGTGCGCTGAGCAGAGGTCGAGTTGGGGCGGTGGCGTGGACGGCGAACGGCGCGGCTGGTCAATACTTTATCTAGAGGCTGGTAAAATATAACACAACAAGACAAGCAAACGTGTTGTAAGTTGAGGAACAGTCACAGAAGCAGCAACAGCAGCCGCGAGACACACGCACACAGATAAAGCCACGCCCCAACGGGAGCGCTGCTAGAGCCCGCGGCTTGTGGCTTACGCTTTTAGAACGAATTCCGCGACCCAGTACCTGGCTTTTTCTTCTGCTTGATTTCCGCCTCGGCCACGCTGTGCAGCCGAATGACGCTCGGCTGGCTCTGGTTGTACTTCTCCGCGCCCATGGACCAGTCGTAAGACAACGTGTAGGCGAAGATATCTCCGCGCGCATTGAACTTGCCCGTCGTGATCGACTGGTTGCTGCAATTACACAGCATCTTGGTTAGCAACGCAGCCTTCACATAACATCACCCAACAATTATTACCACAGCGTACCATTTGTTGAAAGTTTTGAGCTTCTGGCGAGCGTCCTTGTCCCAGAAGCAGAACGTGCCGTCTCCGCCCGTGGTGGCGAATGTACCGAACGGGTGGAACGCGATGCTGCTCACCGGGTAAATATCCGATCCGTCGCGGTGGCACTTGAATGCGAAGTCGTTCCTGAGATCGCAACACAAAGCGATGTTAGTATCACCAACTGATAACAAATAAAAAGTTGCCGCAGGAAAGAACCTCTTGTCCTTGTCTTCAACGTGCTGGATGGCACAGCGTCCCTCGATCGATCCGATAGCGAAACCCGAAGCATCCGGGAAGCACGCAATCGTCCGCGTCAGGAACTTGAGGTTCGACTGGATGGACTTGTAGATCTGCGAAGGTTTGCGGATGTCGAACACGTGCACCTGGCGGTCGGCCGTCGCCACGACCAGCAGCGGGTGCTTGACGTCCATGGCGTAGCAGCGCTCCGAGAGCTGCACCGAGGCCATGGGCGTGGGCGACCGGGTGTCCCAGTATTTGATCGTCTTATCCCAACTGCCCGTGGCCACGCAGTTGGCCTCCTGAATCGCTGCAATGCTGCGGATCGGCGCGTCGTGCTGCAGCAATAATAATAACATCAACAGACAGTGTCAGGTCCTGTCACCTCGTGCATCAACGCCCCAATTGATCTCCGTACCGCGGCGATCTGCTGGCCCTGCGCGGGGCCGTTCAGCGTCCACATCTTGGCCGTCTTGTCACATGATCCAGAGAACACCGTGCTGCCGTCCTAATAATTGGGATAAAACATCACGTAAGTTGCTGTGGACCATAATAATATAGTAAAGTTATTGCCGCGCGCGCACCCCGCTGAAGGCCGTGCAGAGCACCGGCCCCTCGTGCGCGATCTGCGCCTTGGCGACTGCGTTGAACTGCGTGCCTTGCTGCTGCACCTCCCAGCAGCGCACGTAGTTGTCCCAGCTGCCGGACACCAGCACGTTGCTCGTGGGGCTCCACGCCAGGTCCTGGATGCCGTCGTTGATGGTCTCGCCGATGGTGTAGTCATTGTTCGGGTTCAGGTACCCGCCGGCCTGCGCGGGCTGGCCGAACGACATGCTGGACGCTGCTCTCCCTGCTGCGGCTCAAGTGGAATGCGTGGGTGGCTTCGCGCGCGGCAATCAGCGTTGTCTATTGGCTGAAAATACATTGGTTAAACCACCAATCCAAATCCAACTAATTTCACATGAAATATTGCGGTTGGATTGTATTGTGATATTGTTACGCTAACGTATTATTGTTCGTTGCAGTTGACTGCAAGCAGACATTTGCCATCCCACCGCTGTAAGTAGTAGCGGCTGATGTCTCGGCCGATGTCTCTCCACGCGAGCCACTCCATCTGCTCGTCCGTCGTGAGATTCGGGAACAGATCCACTTGCATGTCGTGGTCGGCGTCAATGTGGTGCAGCAGCAGCGAGTCGCTCACCCTGTCGTACTGCAGTCGCTGGTGGCCGCGCACGACCGACATCTTGCGCGCCGGGTTGTTGCTGAACACGACGTGCTGGCCGAACGGGACCTTGCGCTTGAGCGACCGACCGACGCCGTCCTGCACGAAGCCGCCCTCGGGCACGCCCGTGATGTCGGCCAGAGTGTTGAGGAAGTCGTAGTGCTCCGCGACGTCGTCGATCATGAGCCCCACGGAATCCCCGAGTCGCCCCTCGGCGATGATCGTCGTGGGCACGCGCGTGACCGACACGTCCCGCAGGTCGCTGTTGTAGACCTCGGGTCCGCGTCCGTGGTCGCCGAAGATGACGACGATGGTGTCGTTCAGGACCCCCTCGGCCTCCATTCGGTCCATGAACTTGCCCAGCTCCACGTCGGTGAAGTAGCGCATCTCGAGGTAGTCTTTGACCTTGTCGGCGCGATCGAGGCCTTCGTAGAGTGGGGAGAAGTCGGGCTTCTCGGCCTCGTCGTACCAGGTTGGACGCGCGTAGAACGGCTCGTGGCTCGAGGTGCTGTACTCCATGAGGAACATGGGCTTCTTGGGCTCGCCCCGAGCCAAACGCTCGCGCTGCTCCCTGGTCCGATTGATCATGAGGTCGCCGAGAAGCAGGAAGTTGACGTCGTCGTGGACACCCCACGGGTAGCTGCGCTTCTCCTCGTTGTACCATTGGTCGTGGGTGAAGCCGTAGTCGCGCTCGGCCAAGGTCATGACGTCGTAGCAGCTGAACACCGTGTCGAACCCGTGCGTGGGGAGGAACTCGTCCCAGCTATCGTAGTTGAGCAGGGAGCCCGTGTGGAAGTACGTCTCGTACCCCTTGGCCGAGAAGAGGTGCGGGACTCCGAAGAGTTTCGTGTCGTTCCTGCCCCCTGCGATCCCGGTCTTGGCCACGTTGTCGTACGGGACCTGCGCGAACAGGACGCTCTCCAGCGAGCGGCTCGAGGGGCTGCTCGACCACATGTTGCGGAAACTCACGCCGCGCTTGGCCCAGCGGTCGAAGTTCGGCGTGACTGTGATGTTGGACCCGTTGAACAGGTTGGACGGGTCCTCCTCTCCGACGATGTAGCGCGAGTCGTGGTGCCGGAAGGACTCAACCGAGAAGAAGATGACGTTGGGAGGGTTCTCCGGGTCGATGTCCACGTCGAAGGCGAGCTCTCCGCGGAAGCCCTTGGTGAGTCGGTAGAGCGAATTGGCGTCGAATAGCTCGTGGTCCTCGGTCTGATAATGGATGTACGTTTCCGCCCACGCCTCGAGGAATTTTGAGTCGAACTCCTGCCGAGTGATCACTTCCGGTGCGGGTACCAAGGCTTGAGTGAATAGCTGGTCGAGAGCTGCGTTCAGAGCCGAGTACGCGACGAGAGCCGAGCACGAGCTGCTAATTCCCAGCACGAACATGGGGAAGACGATCAGCGCCGTGATCACTACGCCAGTCTGTGACAGTCGCAGGTAGACGTCGGGTTCGTTGTCGAAGCTTGCGTCCAGCGACTTGGCCACATCCGAGCAGTCAGGGACTTCTTCCTTAGCAAGTTTGTCGTATGCAGATCGGTCTCCGGACGCAATTCCTCGTGACACGGCGAAGTTGACCACCAAGTGTGTGGGGTTCCAGCTCGCTACGTCGGCCCAACGAGCTCTCGCGCGCACCGTAGCAAAGAACGCAGCGACGATGACCATGATAGCTCCGTGGAGGTAGCCCTCGTGGAACTCCTCGGCCGATATCGGGGCCGCGCTGATGTACTGGATGTTGTTGTAGGCCAAGATGAAGATCTCGACTGTGAACCGCAGCTCGCGGAGGCGGACGAGGAGCATGTCGGAGACAAACGGCCCCATCATGAGCACGAAGAGAGTCCACGATACCAAGAACGTTGCGATCTTGCTGACCAGGCGGGCGATGCGCTTCCGCTTCACGAAGTCCGCGTGCTGTCTGCCACCCTGGTGTCGGCACTGCTCGCTGGCTGCTTGCTTGACGATGTCGAACAACCACAGCGCGCAGACGAAGTACGTGGCGCACACGCAGTCTTCAAGTAGCCCGAGTGCGAGTACACTAGCCTTGACTTCGAGAGTGCAGTCGGCGGAGGTGCCGTACATCGTGATCAGAGCGTCGAGCGTCTTGAACCGGTAGATGGAGAAGAAGAGCAGCACGACGGCGTAGGCGAACAGCCACCCGAACCACGGCCTGGCCCATCCGGTCACGGGGCGTTTGGTCTTGGACAGAACGTGCTTCTCCTCCGGCTCGACTTCTTCGCAGTCCGCGATAGCCACCTCGAGGAGGTTGCTCTGCTCTTCGGCATCTTGGATCAAGTCACGCCTCTTCATCTCCCAGTCTCCACTCTCCACCGGAAGCTTGGGTCGTTGGAAGGGGATTGGGAAGTGACCTTAGCGACTTGCCTGCTGCGTTGGATTCCCTAGCCGTTTTACGGAAATTGTTATGGTTGTATGGTTTCCATGCTTTGGTCCGAGGGTTGTCCATAGAGTTGGTAACGGTGCGGGCGTCGTTTGCCTGTCGCGCCCGTTTGCTTGGCGTCGGCTCCCTAGATCACACCTTCTGTCTACTTCAAAAGTGGGCTCCCCCTAAAACGAGAGCCAAAAGTCGCACAAAATGGGCTCCCTCATGGTAAGTACGAGATCAAGGAGCCCTCCCCATTGGCTCCCCTCCAGGGCTCCCCAAATCGATGCGCCACGCTAGAAGATCGAGCTCAAAGATCGCCACACTAGCCCTTAACGAGGGCTCACAGTTCTGGAGGGCTCCTTTCACTTAACCTATTGAACTCAAGAGCCCAGGAGCCCGAGCTCGCGACTTTTTGGGTTCACCCAAGAGCCCAGGAGCCCGAGCTCGCGACTTTTTGGGTTCACCCAAGAGCCCAGGAGCCCCAGGGCTCGTAGAAGGTGTGCCCTAGATCATTGCGGGGTGGCAGCTCTGGCGATTCTGGGTCAAGCCGTCGCTCCAAAGCGGCTAAGCCGACCCTATCGCCAACGACCGTCTCCACAAGCCTCGGTCGCAAGCTCACACACTGGACTTTAGAGCTCACGTAGGATCAAGTGTTGCCACTGCAGGAAGTGCGCACTTCCCGCAGTGAAACGGTTTCGCCTTTCGCTGAGTGAAGCTTTTGGGGCCCCCACTAGTGCTTTGTACAGGGTCATTACCATTGTTCTTGAGGGTCAAACAAACTGGAGTGCGTGCCGTAGTCCACTAGCTGTCCGTGCGGTCGACGGCAAGCAGGCACTTGCCATCCCACCGCTGCACGTAGTATCGACTAACATCACGGCCGATGTCTCGCCACGCCAGCCACTGCGTCTGCTCGTCGGTCGTCAAGTTCGGAAACAGATCCACTTGCATGTCGTGGTCCGAGTTGGCATTGTGCAGCAGCACGGAGTCGCCCACGCGGTCGTACTGCAACCGCTGGTGGCCGCGCACGACCGACATCTTGCGAGTCGGGTTGTTGCCGAATACCACGCGCTCACCGAACGGGATCTTGCGCTTGAGCGATCGTCCAACGCCGTCCTGTAGGAAACCTCTGTCTGGCACGCCGGTGATGTCGGCCAGGGTGTTGAGCAGGTCGTAGTGCTCGACGGCGTCGTCAATCATAAGGCCAACAGAGTCCCCCAGTCGACCTTCGGCAATGATTATCGCCGGTACTCGCGTGATGGATACACCTCGAGTGTCGCTGTTGGGAACCTCGGGACCCCGGCCGTGGTCGCCACGATAACGACGATGGTGTCGTTGAGAACACCCCCCGCCTCCATGCGGTCCAAGAACTTCCCCAGCTCCATGTCCGTGAAGTACCGCATCTCCAGGTAATTCTTAACGACATTGGCGCGCTCCAGACCTTCATAAAGAGCAGAGAAGTCTGGCTTCTCGGACTCGGCGTACCAAGTTGGACGAGCGTAGAACGGCTCGTGGCTGGAGATGGTGTAGTGCGTGATGAACGTTGGCTGCTTGCGCTCTCCTCGAGCCACGCGCTCATTTTGTTGCCTTGTCTTGTTCAGCAGTAGATCTCCCACGAGCTGGAAACTCACGTCGTCGTGCACTCCCCAGCCAAACCGGCGCTTCTCGGGGCCATCCCATTGATCGGGTTTAATCCCCATGTCCGTCTCCGCTAGATCCCACATCTGCACACGCCCCCAAACGTTATCGTAGCCGTGCGAAGAGAAGAATACGTCCCATCCGTCGTAGTTCAACGCGCAGCCAGTGGTGAAGTACGTCTCGTATCCCTTCGCCGCGAAGAACTGCGGCATCCCAGAGAGCTCCGTGTTCTCCTTGCCGCCCGCTATGCCCGTCGTCACGCTGTCGTACGGGACCTGAGCGAACAGGATGCTCTCCAACGAGCGGCTCGTGGGAGTACTTGACCACATATTGCGGAAACTCACGCCTCGCTTCGCCCACCGGTCGAAGTTGGGCGTGACAGTGATGTTGGAGCCCCTGAACAGGTTTGATGGGTCTTCTTGTCCGACGAGGTAGCGTGAGTAACGACTCGACCGCCAGCACCATAACGTTGGGCGGGTTTACCGGGTCTACAGCGACGTCGAAGGCGAGATCTCCATGAAAACCCGTGGTGCGTCGGAAGAGAGAGTTGTCGTCGAAGAGCTGGTGGTCTTCAGTCTGGTAGTGGATAAACGTCTCTGCTCAAGCCTTAGGACGTGTGGCGTCGAACTCGGCTCGCTTGAATTCTTCGTGGGAAGGCAACAGGATCCGACTGAATAGCTGATCAAGTGTTGCGTTTAGAGCAGAGTACGCGACGAGAGCGGAGCTTGAGCTGATCACTCCGACGACGAACATAGGGAAAACCACGAGACCCATGAGAAGGACGGCGGATTGAGACACACCGCGATAGAGCATCGCCTCGACGGGCGCGTTGGTGTTCAGGGATTTCAACCCTTCCGTTGTGGTTCGGCCTTCATCTAGAGTGAGTTTGTCGTACTTATATCCGCGGCGTGAGCCTTTATCACCGCTCGGTCGACGCGGTGCTGTTGAGATCAGCTGGAACGCGGCATCAACCACCGCGTTTGTTGGATCCCAGCGAGCCAAGTCAGTCCACCGCAGTTGCGCCCGCGCGGTTGCGAACAAGGTGGCCACAATGATGACGATCCCTGCATTTACGTAGCCCGCGTTGAACTCCTCGGTGGCGATCGGAGCAGCACTGATGTACTCACTCTCGTTGATGGCCATGACAACGAGGTCGAGCGAGAACCGCATTTGTCGGAGTCGCACCAGCAGCATATCAGCGACGAACGGCACCACCGCCGCGACGAAAAGCAGCCACGACGCCAAGAACGTAGCGATTTTGGTGCTGATTCGAGCAATGTGCCGTCGCTTCTGGATGGCAGCGCGCTGGTTGCCGCCTGGGCGTCTGCAGCGTACAGTGACAGCTTGCCTCACAAGGTCGAAGATCCACAGCGCGCACACGAAGTACGTGGTGCACACGACGTCTTCCATGACGCCAAACAGCAGCACCTTTACCCGCAGACCGAGAGTCAAGTCCTTGGCACTTCCGTACATGGCAATGAGATCCTCCAGCGCCGACCACCGATAGACGGAGAAGAAGAGGAGCATGAGCGCGCAGGTGAAGCTCCACCCCATCCACGGCTTCGTCCAGAAGTCGGCATCGACCACGAGGTGCAGGAGCTTGAACTTTGTCTGGAGCTGGACAGGGTCCTCCTCCGGGTCCACTTCTCCATTGGCGATGATGGAGACCTCCAGGAGCTCGCTCCGTTCGTCCGCAGCCTCCTCTTGAAAGGAGTCACCATCCACTGCCCTCATGTTCCCAAGAAGACTCGATCGTGGCAAAGGAAGTTGAAGAATGAGCACTAGGAGCTTGCACCTAGATTCCCAAGCGCACGTCCATTGAGAGGAGCACGTATCTGGGGCGGAGGAGGCGCGCACCGGAGACGCAGCACCCGTAGGGTACCTGCAGTTACATGTCCACTGGTGCTTGCTTAGTCTTTTAGCAATTAATTGGCCGAAAATAGGTTTCATTCCAGTATTGACGACCATGGCGGAGGAGCCCAAGCGCAAGGACACCCGGACGCACCTGACGCTGCAGCAGAAGGCCCAGCTGCGCGCCTTCCTGGCGGCCAACCCCAAGCTGCCGCGCTTCGCCGTGGCCGACTGGGTGCGCGAGCACTTCCACGTGCGGCTGGGGCGCACCACGCTCTACCGCATCCAGCACACGCCCGAGGCGGCGTTCGCGACGGGCAACCTCAGCCGCAAGAAGCTGCGGCGCGTCAAGTTCCCGGACTTCGAGCGCCGCCTGCTCGCCTTCTACGAGGACAGGCGCCAGCGCCGGGAGGACGTGTCCGACGACGAGCTGCTGCGCCAGGCGGCCGAGTGCCGCGCCGCGTGCGGCATCAGCGACACGGAGCTCAAGCTCTCGAACGGCTGGCTCTACCGTTTCAAGATCCGGCACCAGCTCACGAACACGCCCCCGCAGCTTCGAGAGACCGAGGCGGGGGTGACGGAGGACAGGCCGGTGCAACTAGAGCTGCCTCAAGTGGACGCACAGGTCGCTATGGCTGCAGAGGACGTGACGCTGTCGGCGCGAGCGCTGACGACGGTGCAAGCCCCCGGGTTCTTCAACTGGGAGCCCGTGGGGGACGTTCCGCAGGACGAGGTTGCAATCGTCGAGGACGGCGTGTTGCTCCTGCAGCCAGGAGTGTTCGAGCTCAGTGTACACGTACGACACAGCGCGCCGCCGACGGGAGTGCCGGCAACCCGCATCTTCAAGGTCTATTGCGGCGACCGCGTGGCGGGGCAGTGCGATACGCCGACACAAGTAGAGAGCGACGTGGCTAGTAGTATCTGGGTGGGGGCTAATTTGCTGGCAGGGGCTCAGGAGATGCTGAAGGTGGAGTTCCTCGCTCAAGGCTACGCCTTCTCCGATAGCAGCCTCGTGCTGCGGCGCAGGATACAGTGAGCGAAGGGATCTAAGCAAGTGATAATATATTTGGTATGCGTACCGTTGCGTTTCAAATCTCCAACATGCTCGTGAACGTGGGTCCTCATCGCTGTTCATTCTTCAACTGTTACCTCAAGATACCTGGAGCTAGCTGAAGCTGGAAAGCCGATGGCGAACAACCTACGACCACGAAACGTCCACGTGCGAGGATAATGCTTGCAAGCGTGGCAATGGGACTGAGTTACTCATTTAACAACCGGAGCACTAGCCGACTACCGCTATGAACGACACCTGCCCCATGATACTCGACTCGAATCACTGTCTGCGCCGGTAACGTGCACCCAAGCTGCAGCACGCTCAAGGCTTGGTCGTCTGCCCATCGAATAGAGGATTCACACTGACCCAGTAACTCGACCCCAGCCCACACTTTGAAGATGATTGGCGAGCTGTCGCTCGGAAGCGCACTATGCTGCAGCTCTACATTGAGCTGAACCATCGCGTTGGTTAAAACGGCAACACCGTCGTCGTCCACTGAGAAATACTCGGCGTGAGCCATCCCGCTGTTCAGTTTCCACCTAACAAACCCCACCGCCGTGGCGGGGTCTACTGAGACTGCTGACAGGTATGTAAGTGGTCGAATGACAGCAGGAACGCTAGCTGGTTCAGATATCACGGATGCCTCCAGCGTAGTAGCTGAGATGTCGCTATTAGCCTCGAGGGCCTCCTGAATGGCGACGCTCGCTTCCACAACGCTATCTTCATCTTCTTCATCATCATCTCCAGTTTCAGAACCGTCAGAGACGTCATTGGTCTCCACTGCGTCAACTGCATCGGCCATAACAACGCCGGCGTCAACCTTCCGTTGAGTAGCTCTTGGCTTCCGCTTGGGCTTCCCGCTGTCCATAGCATCGGACGCGGCCTGCGTTGCATCTCCATTATCAGTCGATGTCTGTGCGGACTCCACCTCTTCCCCTGCTGCTGCCTGCGGGGTGACACGCAGCGCGTGCCTCTCCTTGAACCGATGCAGCCAGCCGTTGCTCAGCTTGAGCTCCGTCTCGGAGATGCCGTGGCGCGCGCGGAGCTCCGCGGCCGCGCGCAGCAGCGCGTCGTCGGACAGCGCGGCCCCGCTGCTCTCATTGGCCCGGCGGCTCTCCTCGCAGAAGGCCAGGATGTCCCTCTCCAGCTCCGGGAACTTGACGCGCCGGCCCTTCTTCTGCTGCGCGTTGCCCGCGAAGGCGTCGGCGGGCGCGTGGTAGATGCGGTAGAGCGTGGCGCGGCCCACGGACACGCCGAAGCGCTCGCGCACCCAGTCCACGACGGCCAGCAGCTGCAGGTCCGGGTGCTCGCTCCAGAAGGCCTTGAGCTCCAGCTTCTGCGCGTTGGTGAGGAACGTCCGCTGCGGCGGCGGCCGCTTGGGCGGCATTGTTCGAGGCGGTTGGTTGATTTGCCAAAAAGCGGCCGGAACGTTGGGGATCAGATTTCGGCCGTTACGCTAAAACGCTAAAAGCTGACCGCGCCGAAATCGCCTTGTGCTGGTTATAGAGCGTGTATATTCGTGGGCGGAAACGCTGGGCTTTGCATCAGCGAGTTGAAGGCGAGCCCTAATGTCGCTGACGCCTTGAAGGAGTGACGTGGCCACTTTTACGCATGGGATTCTATCCATTTATAACCTTCCGTATTGGTTCTATCGATAGTAAGAGGGCTATCCATTCACACTATCTAAAGATGCGTAATCGCATACCTGTGAATATCGATATTATTAAGTAGATCAGCTTTAGTCGCTGCCTCCACTTCAGAAACCAACTCGCGGAGTAGGCGAGCGCACTTGGGAGCTGCCCTCCGCCTCGCTCTTCCTCCTCTTCGCGGGCATGCGCCGCTCCTTCCATCGCGCGCTGGCGGCCGCCGTGCTGGCGGTCGCGCTCTCCTGCGCCCCCGCGGCGAGCTCCGACGTCTCCGAGGCGCGCGCGTCCGGTACAGCCCCCGCTTCATCTCCATCTTCGTCTTCGCTCATTCCCTCGCTCTCTCTGACCCCACTCTCCCCTGTCTGCAGACTCCATTGCGCCGCCGTCTCCTCTCGCGGAGGCGCTGCGACGCGTGCAGACCGACAACGCGGCGGTGCGCGGCCTGAGCGACGCCGCGCTGTCCCCGCTCGTGCCCCGCGCCGAGCGCCGCGACGCGCTGGTGCAGCTGGGCGACATGTACTTCTACGGCAACAGCTCGCTGGACACGAGCGTGAACGGCACGCTGGCCATGAGGCTGTACGCCGAGGCGGCGGCTCTGGGCGCGCCGCGCGCGCAGTTCCACGTGGGCGTGGCCAAGAGCTACGGGCTCTGGGGCTTCCCGCCGGACGAAGCGGGCGCCATGACGCACTACTACTTCGCGGCGCTGGGCGGGGACATGGGCGCGGTGATGGCGCTCGGACACAAGCATCTGCTGGGGCTCGGCGCCCCGAAGAAGTGCGAGTCGGCCGTGCGCTACTACGAAGTGGCGGCCAACGAGGCCGTCGCGCGCCGCGAGCAGAACGTCAGTCACCCGGCCATCTACGACCTGCCGCACCGCCGCCTCAAGACGCTGGCCGAGACCCAGCACAAGAAGAACCTGCCCGGAGACAGCGCCATTGTGGACTACTATCAGTTCTCGGCGGACAAGGGCGACCCCGACGCCACGCTGAACCTGGCCACACTCTACTACTACGGCGCGCGCGGACTCGCACAGGACTTGGAGCGCGCCGCGGCGCTCTTCCAGAAAGCCTACAACCTCGGAGCGAGCGGCGGAGCGTACCACCTGGGACACATCTACAGTCTGGGCATTGGCGTCCCGCAGAACAATGCCACGGCGTTCAAGTATCTGCAGGAGGCGGTGAACGAGGGCAACACTGCAGCGCAGAACGAGCTGGCGCACATGTATTTGCAGGGGAAGGGCACGCAACCGGACGAGGAGCAGGCAGTGGCGCTCTTCAAGTCGGCAGCTAAGCAGGGCAGCATGGAGGCGTTCTACAACCTTGGCGTCCTACACATGCGGGGCGGAGGCTCAAAGGGCATGGTGCTCGCCTCGGGGCACCCAGAATACGAGGTCGCTCACGGATATTTCCAGCTCGCAGCTCACCAGGGCCACACGATCTCTAGCCACAAGCTCGGCCACATGAGTCTGCACGGTATCGGCACTACTCGATCCTGCAGAAATGCGGTCGAGTCGTTCAAGATGGTGGCGGAGCGTGGCGAGTGTGATCGAGTGCTCTCCCAGGCGTACAAGGACTTCAAGCGCCAGGACTACGAGGCGGCCTTCATGAAGTACGCTGTCATGGCGCAGCAGGGCTACGAGGTCGCCCAGCACAACGCCGCGTACTTGTTGGATTACGACTTCTTGACGCCGTCGCCATTCTCGCCCATGCTGTCGCTGATGCCCTCGGCAATTGAGCTGGACGAGGACACTGTGGCCTCGACTGCTGTCATGCTGTACAGGCTGGCCGCGCAGCAGGGCAATGTGGACGCCAACCTAAAGATCGGCGACTACTACTACTATGGAAAAGGCGGCCACTCCGTGGACTTTGTCAAGGCGAGCGCGCACTATTCGCTCGCAAGTAAGCGCTCGAACGCACAGGCAATGTTCAACCTGGCGCTCATGTACGAGCACGGAATTGGCGTGGAGCAGGACTTCTACCTGGCCAAGCGCTTCTTTGACAAGGCGCGTGTAGCACATAGCGACGCTAATGTGCCGGTGACTCTTGCACTCTGGAAGCTGCGGGCGCACAAATCGCTTCGGGCGTGGAAGAGGTGGTGGGACGAACTCGTGGGCAATGTCCCGCCATCTAAGAAGATTTCTGCTCCCCCCGCTGCTTCGTCGGGCGGCGTATCTAGCAGCGTGGCTGGAGCGACATCGAACGCGGAGTCGTCGTTCCTGTCTCGGCTGGAAAAGTGGTGGCCCGGTGACGCCGACAAGAGCACAGAGGCGCTGCTGCGAGATTTGTTCAGTAACTGGCGCGAGGTTTTGCAGTCTGACAACTTCCTCATCTTTGTATTGACGATCGCCCTCGGTGTCGTCCTTTACATCCGCTCCGAGCGCCAATATTTACAAGCACCGCCCGTGCAGCAGCAGCCACTGTAGTCAAGTCAGTAGAGGGAATGACCACCGAGGTGGACAAGACTAAGCTGCAACATCGGTATGATTATTGCATCACTGCTTGCTGTTCTACAAGTCCCTTGTCTGTTTTGCTGTCCGGCGAGTCTCCGAGTTGTTGCTGCCCTCGCAGAAGCATTTCCTGTTGGCTCTTGAGCATGCGTTTGAGCTCGACCATCTCGGACTCAAGCTGCAGGAGCCGAGTCTCGCTGTCGTCTGCGCGTTGTTGCTCTCGCTTGAGAGCTTCGACGACGACGGGAACCAACCGCGCGTATGCCACGTACTTGAATCCGTCAGCTGCAGTGGACACAACTTGGGGCACGACTCGCTCAACTTCCTGGGCGATGAATCCCAATTCTCGCCGACCGTCGTGCGGGAATTTGTTCGGGAACTCGTCTGAGTTGTACGCGTACTCAACGCCACGGAGCTGCGAGACAATTTCCGAGGCGTTGCTGATCTGGTGGACGTTTGTCTTGAAGCGCTGGTCCGAAGCATCCACGTAGGCCCCTGAGCCCATGACCTGGCCGTCCACGGTCACACTGGCCCCGAAAAAGGCCTCGTCCTCGACGAATAGCCCCCCCTGCACTTCAACCATCTCGATAGCTGTCATGTTGACGTTGCTGATGTGGCCGCCGATGATGTCGACGCCGCGCAGCTCGCTCTCGCTCATGTCGATGGAGCCGCGCATGCGCTGAGCCTCGATTCTCTCGGCAGTGAGCGTGCCTGAAGCAGCTTCGAAGCGGAGACTGTCGTGCTGCTCCAGAACACCGCCCTTGCCGTACACGGCGACGAACCCGGCGCGTTGGCCAGCGACTTGAACAGACTGCACCGACAGCGTGACCTCGCCTAGGTTGAGGTCATTCGCAGCCTCAAAGGTTTTCACCCCCGTGAGCGACGATGTATCAAAGACTGCAGCAGTCAACGGACGCCATACACCGCCATCGAAGACGAATATCGCTGCTGCGCCGGCCGCTACGTTGAGATCGCCACCTAAAGGTTGCTCGTCGTCGTTCTGGATGACCAGAAGTTGGCCAGCATACGCATGTTCACGGTCAATTCGTGCGGTGTTGGGGGATGAAACACCGTCGCTTGTGATCTGAACGTAGCTGTTTGTGCTAGGAATGACGAGGTGCTCCGAAGCGCGAAGCTGCACACTGGAAAACACGGCCTGGGCCTGCGAGACAAGCGCACCGTTGGCAATAACCCGCCCGCCGCTTGTTGTCGAGATATCTCCACGAGTCTCCAAATTGCCTAGTGAATCTACGGAAAACGTGGCCTCCGTTTGTGCTCCGTAGTCGCCGAGATCAATGGGCTTTACAGCTTCAATAAGGTGGAAAGGGGGCCTCTCTCGGTGTTGGCGCGATACATCAAAGCTCAACAACGCCCCTGCAAAGTTCGGGTTGGTCGAAGCCACTTCAAGTGACTTGCCGTTCACTTCGTCCGTGTGAACTGTAAGCCCGCCGTCTTCGATGGCGAAACCATCCTTTGTTGTGAGACTTCCAGATTCGATATGCACCCCGCCAGCCTCCACACGCAAGCCGCCGGAAGTGATCGTCTGGCCTCCAGACGCGATAGTCACGCCGCCTGCAAGCACGTGCAGTCCACCACCATGGACGAATGTAGCACCCGTGTCCTGGACTTCAAAGACCTTGCTGTCGCTGCTTCTGCTTCCCCTCGCTTCAATCAACGGGCTAGATGGCGATGCACCTTCATTGTTGTCGCGCTGCAGTAACAGCACAGGACCAGAGGGCGCAGCTAGAGTTGTCTGGCCGTTCTTAAGACTCAGCGTGCCAGAGCGTACAGCCAAGTTTCCACTTTGCACATCAAGTCCCCCACTCATGACCTTGATTCCGTCAGAAAGCACCTGAATACCGCCACGCTCCAGCCTCAGACCACCCTTTAGGATCTCTAGGCCGCCGCCGTAGATGACAGTCTGGCCTGCGCCGTTCACTCGCAAAATGGGACCTTTAGGTTGTGAGATTCGGAGGAAATCTGGCAACGTCGACAACTCCGAGGTAGATGCAGGACTAAGTCTCTCAATATTGAGCAGAGCGGCACCGGAGGAGCCAGTGGCGCTTTGTAGCTGCAAATGGAGAGGCGTATCTTCCAGCCGTGCGCGTCCATCTTTCATCTCGAAGGAGCCATCTTTTTGCATCTGAAAGACTCCTCCACCGCTCATGTACAGGCCGCCTTCGCGCAGTTGGAGTGAACCGTGGTGCCATGTAGTGTCTCCGCGGCCATTCATCGTAAACAAAGCTTGGCCACCGGCGTCAGCTCGCATGAAGTGAAACTCGGACGACAACCCGCGCGTTGCCGACAAACGCAGTACGTTCCCCTTGAAAAACGGTCCCAGTGCCGGCCCAACCAGCACGTCTTCATCATCCTTGTTGTTGCCGCAGTGATCTCCGTAAAACCCCTCGTGACACGCGCAGATCCCTGTGTCAGTGTTGCAATCGCCGTGCCCACTGCACTCTTCGTAGGACTTCACATCCGAATCCGTGATACTTTCGAACACGCACTGCACTGAGCCTGAGGGCGACGAAAGCTGAACATTGGCTGCGTCGCACCGGAACTCGGACGCTGGTGGGTTGCCATCGTGGTAGTACAGGTTGTTCATGATGGGGAACGTAGGGAACGTGCGCAGCGTGATCTCGAATGTTGCCGCAGCAGACGTCTCGAAAGCCACTCGTTCACACGTCTGCGCGATGAAGATATGGGTTAGTATCGATAACATGAAGAGCAAAAAGCAGCTATGTCACTTACCAGGTCTCCGAGGTTTTGGAAACGGCGGAAAATGGAGGTGCAAACGTCACTCGACACCTGTGCGAGTGGCAGGTCAAACTCGACTGTATGCGCTTGGAACGTCAACGTCAGAGCCCCGCCGGTAGCTTCAGCACCTCTTGTAGCTGTGATGCGCAGCCGAATCTTCTTGTCGTTCTGCTGGGTCGACGTGGGGTTCGATCCATGCGGGCACATCTCTGCCAGATCAGGAAAACACCCACACGGGTTCGCATTAGCAGGCCATAGTGGTTAAACACGATTAGCTGCACGCACTCCTTGAGCAGCCTGGCGAGTTGTATCCCCACTGGCAATTGCACACGTGCTCCCCGTGCCGATTGATCGCGCATGTGCCGTGGTGCGAGCACTGGCTTCCTTCGCCTGGGCAGTGCGTCCCCTTCAGCTCAATTGCGTGCGCGAGTCCACCTCCAGCCTGGTGAAGAGCAGCAAGAGCGAGGCACACGAAGCAGAGCAATGCAACGCCTCGCGCCCGACCATAATGCTCGCAGATAAGCTTAGCCATGAGAGCAAGCGCGATGACAAGCCACGTTGGCCAGGAAGCTGCAAGGGACGAAATGGCTGCAGGAAGATCGCAATAGGCTTGACAAGGATAACGCCCTTTCACAAGATACGTTCGGTGACAGAAGACCAGCTGAAGAGGCATTCGGTGGTGGGACTGTACGCCTAAAAATGGCTACACATTGCAGTTGACCGGCCAATTGATGCGCAGGACATCGCTCTGTCTCAGGCCATTCGCCATCTCGCTCCGCTACAGTTTCCAAGATGCAGCTCCACTGCCTGCTCGTGCTCGGCCTCCTAGCCTGTGGAGCCTCCAAGCTCAGCGACGCGCACCGTTTCAACTGCGAGATCATGTACTGCCCCGACGAGTACGACCCCGTGTGCGGCACAGACGGCTACAAGTACCCCAACGTGTGTGAGCTCATACTCGAGGCGTGCAGGGACAAAACGAAGAAGCTTGAAGTCGCCTACAACGCCACTTGCGATAAGTCGGCAACCGGGAAGACCAGCTAATATTGAATGACTTCACGCTTCAGACTTCCCTTCTTCTAAGCTCAAAAATGACACCGATCTGAACAACACATTTCGTTCCACTTAGACACGTGAAGGTTTGTCGTATACCTTGGGTTCTTCCGGTATGTCCGCAGGCTTGAGCGTAGCCAGGAAATTCGACGGCTCCGATAACAACAGGACATCGGTGAAGATCGTTGACTTCTTTGTTGGAGTGCTTGCATCGCCTGCCACCTCTTTCGCGCCAGAGTTTTCTTCCTGGACAGGGCTGCCGTGGTGGCGAGTCGCCACTGGCGACTGGGTGGGCTCCGCGCCAATGGGGGACAGTCCACATCTCGATAGGCGAAGGATAGTGCACAATACAGTACAGTAGACGCAATGCGGAGACTTGCGCTGGTGCTTGCAGCGCTGGCAGCGACCTCGCAGGCCGTCGAGGTTAGCGTCTGCGGCGACGCCACGTACGACTTGCCCGAGGACCGAGGAGTGGTCTGCGCGTCGGCCGATCCGATACCCCCGGGCACGGCGTGTCCGCTGAAGGGCGACAAGGCGAGCGCCGACTGCTTCGAGAACCTGCCGTCGTACGCTAGCGGCGCTTGCGTAGCGCCCGAAGACGCAGTGTGTGCTTTAGTGACAGACTCGACGTGGGGATGCGTGCTACTGTCCGTGGGGTGCGGTGGGAAGACACTTACGACGGCAGCCCCGGAAATTCAAGAGAAGGTGTGCGAGACCTGGGACTACGACGAAGACGACTCGGCGGCGAGTGTCGACATGGACGCGCTGTTTGACGGGAACGAGGACTACGACGAGAGCTGGTTCGTGAAGGTGATTAAAGTGACGGAATTATTCGCGTGCGGTGCGGACAAGTCCACGCCGGCACCGACCTCAGACGCAGACACGTCGAGTTTCGATGATACCCCAGCGCAGGCAGGCAGCACGGACGCATCGGCATCGGCATCGGAGCCGACACCAGCGCCATCGGATGCCACAGACGCGTCTTCAGCCGATACAGCCGATTCGTCTACATCTGACGCAACGCCAGCGCCGACAGAAACTACGGAACCATCGGACAGCGCCGAGAGTTCGTCGGTTGATACAACTGAGTCGTCGGCAGCATCGTCAACACCAGCACCGACAGACACTGCGGACTCATCGGAGTCAACCCCACGCAAGCGGACACTGAAGAGAGTTCGGAAACCGACACCTCCGCGTCATCGGCCGCGTCGCCAACGCCGGCGCCTACAGACTCGTCAGAATCGAAGCCTACACAGTCAGACAGCGCCGAGAGTTCGTCATCCGATACAACAGAATCGTCAGCAGCGTCGCCAACTCCAGCACCGACGGACGCTACGGACGCATCGGAGTCAACCCCAACGCAATCGGACATCAAGAGAGCTCGTAAACCGACACCTCCGAGTCCTCAGCAGCATCGCCAACGCCAGCGCCGACAGACACTGAGGATTCATCGGAATCAAGCCCTACGCAGTCGGACATTGAAGAGAGCTCGGTATCTGACACATCAGATTCATCGGAGGCGGCGCCCACACCAGCGCCGACATCAGATTCGGAGGGTTCAACTACCGAGCAATCACCGCCAGACACCGCCGACTCGTCAACGCCCGAAGTGACTCCCGCCGCAACAAAACCCGAGGCAAACCAAGAGGACACGGGATCGGTTGATGCCGAGTAGACCGCCGTCTCTGCATGAACCCACGTCTCTTCTTGACAAGCCATCGCGCGGGCGGACCAGCCTGCTGGATCCCGAGAAGCAGGCGTCTCGGTGAGTGGCTGACTGAGCCAGGTGGTCACACCGCGATGAGCTGGAGATGACCGCAGAGGCGAGTCGAGTCAAACTTTGACCGAAAAAATGCTCATCAGCTCTACAGTGTACGTCACGCACGGGAACGCTGAGCGAAAGCACCTGGACGGTGTTGCCTTCACTGTCAGCGAGAGCAGGGGTAAGGCTCCCAACGGAGCAGGATTCGTAGTTGATTTATCGTTGTAATTGTACCAGTAGTTACGGTGGCTTTGACAGCTATCCGAGGCCTCGAAAATGGTACAACAGTTCTTGCCGAACTGCTGCTGTCTACGTGGTTGATTGTACGCACGTTGGTTGCGGTGGACACGGCTCCGTGGCGCACTGGGAGCGCAGCAGCTTGCAGACTTGGCCCTTGTTGCAGCTCACGTTGGCGCACGTATTGGCGCAGAACTTGTCGGTGTCGGACTCCAGCTCCATCATGCACTTCTGCGAGCTCTTGCAGAGCGTGCCGAGGCCACAAGTCCGGCGTAACGTGCTGATCTGCGAGCACGATTTGTAGTCGACTACCCAGAGGTTCCCGCCGGCCTTGCACCTGGCTGCATTGAATTGGCACGGGTTCGTGTACGTCACGTCGTCCGAAGCGCACACCTGGAGCCGATTGTTGGTGCAGGTGTTGTCGCAAGAATACTCGGAGGTGGAGGTCGATGTGACGGTGCCGAACAGACTGGGGCTGCTCTTGGACTCGGGGACGTAGCCTTCGCACGCATCGGTAGACTTGAGCGACAGCGTTTTGTCGCGGCAGGCGGCGTTCATGTACACACAGAAGTTGCGGTATGTGACGCCGTTCGTGCCGCACACGGGCGAGTCTTCGTCGTTGCAGTAGCCTTCGCAGGGGTTCGAGTAGCTCTCCACGGACGGCAGGAGACCGTGGAGCAGCAGCAACATCGTCAGCGTCAGCGCCGAGCGCAGTGGCATGGTGCAAGCCATGTTTTGCAGCAGGTCAATACTTGTCTTGGCAGGTTGAGCAGTCGATCTAATTCGTGTGTGTCTTTAGGCGGCGTTTGAAGACGAAGACGCAGCGCCACGGACCGCTCGCTAAAATAAAACGCGTCTTATCTTTCGTCTCGGTAGCTTGCGTTCCTACGCTTCCGACGCTACGCTTGCAACTGCAAAGACGTCGCAATGTGGAAGCAAATTCTGACGCATCGACACTGACCTGAGCCATCGCCGTCCGGGTCAACTTGCTGAGGTGAACTTCCTGCATCGCCGCCGTCGAGCAAACCCACTTCAACTTGCTTGCTTGATGTGTATGGTGTACGATACACCATCTAACCGGTACTACCGGTAGTGTATCTACCCTATTCAGTTTAGCAAGTTTTGTTGGCACACACTTGAGCCGCAAAGCTCGACTTGACCTCATGCTGCGTCACGTGCTGGCCGCTTCGCGGGGACCCGCGCGGGCGCGCGCCCAGCGCCTCCGCCACGGTATCAGCCGCAGCCTCTCGTCCGTGCCGATTCTGGAGCGCGGCGACGGCTGCAAGGCTCTGCAGGTGGGCGAGACGTACCACAACTTCACGCTGGAGCGGGTGGCCTCTGTGCCCGAGTACGGCGTGGACGCGCTGGAGCTGCGCCACGAGCGCACGCAGGCCAAGTACCTGCACCTGGACGCCAAGGATCCGAACAACGTCTTCGCCGTCATGTTCCGCACGCCGCCCAGCGACTCGACGGGCGTGGCGCACATTCTGGAGCACACGGCGCTGTGCGGCTCCAAGCGCTTCCCCGTGCGCGACCCGTTCTTCAACATGATCAAGCGCAGCCTCAACACGTACATGAACGCGCTCACGGGCTCGGACCACACCATGTACCCGTTCTCCACGACCAACGCCAAGGACTGGCGCAACCTCATGAGCGTGTACCTGGACGCGGCCTTCTTCCCCAACCTGAGCAAGCTCGACTTCCTGCAGGAGGGCCACCGTCTCGAGATCAACGAGGAGAAGGACGGCGAGGGCGAGCTCATCTACAAGGGCGTCGTGCTCAATGAGATGAAGGGCGTGCTCTCCGACAGCAACAACCTCTTCGGCACGAGGCTGCAGCAGGAACTCATGCGCGGCACCATCTACGAGCACGTGAGCGGCGGCGACCCCAAGCAAATCCCGTCGCTGACGTACGAGCAGTTGCGCGCCTTCCACGCCAAGAACTACCACCCGTCCAACTGCTGCTTCTACTCGTACGGAGACTTGCCGCTCACGGACCACCTCGCGTATCTGGACCAGGAGATCCTCAACAACTTCGAGTACCGCACGGACTCGGCGGCCACGCGCGTGAACACGGAAGGCTTCAGTGTGCTTAGGAAGACGAAGGAAGACCCAGAGCTCATCGTCATTCGGGGCCCCAGCAGCAACATGAGCGGCGAGGCGGCCGACCCGAACACCAAGTTCTGCATGAGCAAGTTCGTTGACGTCAGCTCCACGGATCCGTTCCCGACCTTTGTGCTGCGCATTGTGGGCTACTTGCTTACGCACGGCCCGGCGTCTCCTTTGTTCAAGGCGCTGATCGACTCCAACCTCGCCCAGGATTTCTCTGTGGGCACGGGCTTTGATACATCGACGTACTACCCTACTTTCGGTGTCGGTGTTGAGGGAATTGAAGGCGGAGAAACCGCTGTGCCGGCCATTCGCAAGGCCGTGCATGATGCTTTGGAGAAGGTGGTGGCGGAGGGCTTCGAGAAGGAGCGCGTGGCCGGACTGCTGCACCAGTTGGAGCTGAGTCTTAAGCACATCACCGGTAACTTCGGTCTTCAAATGATGCACGGTATCAGCTCGGTTTGGGCTCATGGCGGAGATCTGATCAAGAACCTGCAGCTAAACCCGCTGCTCGAACGCTTGAACGAAGAGATGGCGCGAAACCCGAAGTTCCTGGAGAGCTACGTTCGCGACTACCTTATGCGCGACGACCTGCGCGAGGTTCAGATGCTGATGCTGCCTTCTGAAGACTTTGTCCGTGATCAAGAACGTCGCGAGCGCGAGAATCTGGCCGCTAAGCTTATTGAGCAGTCCAATTCGGATCTGGATCGTATCGCTCGCACGACCGAGAAGCTCGAGCGTCACCAGCAAAAGGAGCAGCCTCTGGAATGTCTACCCACGCTTACCCTGGACGACATTCCAAGGGTCGAGGAAGGCAACTTCGACCACATCGACAAGACGCAGCTCAACTCGACGTCCGCAGAGTTCGTGCGCGTGCCGTCCACTAACGAGATCTCGTACTTGCGTCTCCTCTTCGACATGTCGGCGCTTCCTCAGGCGTACCACCAGTACATGAACGTGTTCACGACGGTGTTCGGATCCCTGGGTACGTCGCGCTACGCGTACGACGAGCTCCCGACGGTGATTGCGAATTGCAGCGGCGGTGTGTCGTGCTCGGCTATGACGGCGCCATCGCTGACAGACGTGCATGGCGAGCCCAGCAAGCAGTCGATGCTCCTGGGCACGATGTGTCTGCCGCACAAGGTGGACGAGACGCTGAGCTTGCTGCACAAGTTGCTAACTGACACCCAGTTCCTGAGCGAGGAGAATCTGCGTCAGCTGCGTCTCATTTTGCAGAGCAGCGCTTCCACCGCTAGTAGCAGCATCTCGTCCTCTGGCGCCGGGCTTGCTGGCACGCGCTCGCGTGTCGGCCTCACACCTGCTGGTATGTACGACGAGCTGTACAGTGGCCTCACGCAAATCGAGCAGCTCCAGAAGTGGGCACAGTGCTCTGACGACGAGCTGCGTCGGATTGCTCGTGTGCTGCAGGATATTGCGCGCGTGGTGTTTTCGCCCGACAACCTTCGCCTCTCTGTCGTTACGGAGGACAAGCTGCGGTCTCAAGTGGAGCAATCCCTCAAGTCCAAGCTGCTGGAGCCGCTGGCGGGGTCTTGGTCGCTGCCAGACGCTTCGTCTCTCACGCTTGCGAAGGAGGAGCTGAAGCTGCCTGCTGTGTCGCCCAAGAACTACTTTGCGTTCCCAGTGTCCGTGAACTTTGTGGTGGAGACGCAGCCGTCGGTGTCGTTCACGCACGAGGATCACGTGCCGCTTACCGTCTTAGCTCAGATCATGTCGTCCTGCTATCTGCACCAGCAGGTGCGTGAACAAGGCGGAGCATACGGCTCGGGCGTCTCCCAGAACGAGGGCTCCTTCTCGATGAGCTCTCACTACGACCCCAACACATTCAAGACGCTCAACGCGTACGCTGGCGCTCGTCAGTGGGCGGCCAGTGGAGAGTTCTCGGATCGGGATCTTCAGGAAGCGCTGTTGTCGGTGTTCGCTAGCGTTGACGCGCCCAAGACGCCGTCCATGAAGGGCCGTATGAGCTTCCTTCGCGGCATCACGAACGACATGCGCCAGCGCCGTCGCGAGCAGTACCTCTCGTTGAAGCGCCAGGACCTCGTGGACGTCGCGCGCAAGTACTTCAGCGAGGACGCGCCCGAGAAGCGCACCGTCATCATCGGCAAAGACGGCGACGACCTGCACGAGTTCTCGGACAAGGGCTTCGACGTGCAGCGCTTCTCGTCGCCGGAGCAGTAGACAAACCACGCATGCTGGCGTGGTCTCTTAGAGCACTAGAAGAGCTTGGAACTCACTGGTTACAACACGATTTCAAGCATAACTATATATTTCGTTGCGGCGCCACGCCTCGCCTCGCCTCACCTCGCCTTCCTTGGGTCACGGTGGTGCACGTGCACATTCAGTCTTCATCTGCCTGGCTGCGTCAGTAGTGGTAATTGTTGTTCTCCTCCTCGCCCGAGATCGTGCGGCAAATGGGGCAGTCGAAGCGGGTGCGGTACCATTCGTTGATGCAGTGCTCGTGGAAGAAGTGTCCGCACGGAGAGAGCACGAGCCGGTTGCCGTCCAGCTCGGCCCACTCGCAGAGGCAGATCGGGCACGAGTCCGAGTCCACCTGCACGTCGCGCGGATCCACGTACTTGAGCTGGCGGATGGATCGGACGTGCTGCTGCTCGTGCTCGATCGGGAACTGCAGGAACTCCTTGACCATGAACCTTGTGGACGCGATCTCGCTGCAGGCCTCCACCTCCTGCTCCGCGGCCAGGTACTCGCACAGGGCGATGATGAACTCCTCGAGTCCGGCGGTGCGGCGCCCCACGAGCGCCGACGGGTCCTTGAACATGACGATGCGACGAGGGAAGCCGACGTCCTTGAGCTGGTCGCGCACGGCGCCGCACACGGAGCAGCCTCGGTGCTTCTTGTGCGCCGCGAGCCGCGCGAGCAGCCGCTTGCGCAGGCGGTAGAACTCGGAGTAGCGCTTGCACACGACCCACTTCTGCTTGTAGTAGTCGCTCGTGATCTCGAGGTGGTACACGTAGTAGTTGCCCGAGGCGCCGCGCACGAGCACGGCCTGGCAGCGCATGGCCAGCTGCGTCATGGACTCCTGGTGGATGCGGTGGATGAGCACGCGCTTGGCAGCCATGCCCTGGTCGGCCACGAGGCCGATGGGCATGTCCTGGAAGCGCTGCTGGCCCACCGATTTGGCCGGCAGCCGGTAGTGCGTGGCCTCGGGCTGCGGCGCGAACTGCGCGCCGTAGAACGACGTCATGTCGCCCTCCACGTCCTCCACGTCGACCGACTCGGCGGCCGACACGGCGGGCGGCCGCTGCTGCCGCTGGTTGTCCTCGGCCCGCCAGCGCGCGGCGGCGCCGCCCTTGGCGTTCGGGCTGCTGCTGAACATGCTGCTGATGTCGTCGTTGGAGCGCGGGCTGTCCTCCAGCTCGCTGTCTAGCCACTCCACGTCCTCGTGCGCCATGGTGTCGCCTGCGTCGGGTACTTGTGTCGGTGTGCGAGCGCTCGAACTCGCTTCTGTCTGCGGGTCGGAAAAAAATTGACGGCGCGAGCGGCATACAAAGATCAAGTGTTTGCCTCTTCCGTGTGGAAAAAACGATGTGGCGCTGCGTGCGTCAGCGGATTGGCCGGGAGCGTCGGAGATCGCGCGCGCGATTGGATGAAAAGGACGGCGCCGATAACGGACGACGGCAATCACTGCCGAGCCGCACAAACACCTTGACCCGTATCAATCAATCGGACCGAGTATCAGCGCCGAGCCATGCCCAACAAGGAGTGCCTCACGTGTAAGCCGGGCGACGACACGCACCACCAGAGCGCCGTGGAGAGCACGGGCTGCGAGGAGAGCTACCTGCGCGTGGACGGTGAGTGGCCGTTGCCGTTATGGCGCCCGTTGCGCGGCTGGTCGTCGACACTCGGGCTCTCTTTCTCTCTGCTGACGCCTGTTCCCGTTGTGATTGCCAGCCTGCATGAAGCTCAACAACGGCCGCGTCTCGGCCTGCACCGAGGTGAGCCCATGAGCGCGTCGGAATTGGCCCCGCCGCCCCAGTACTAACGATGCGTTTTGGCGTGCAGGAGTGGGAGAAGTTCCGCCAGTGCCACGACCAGGGTAAGCCCGTGTCCAAGCGCGGCGGCGCCAGCCAGTGAGGAGGATATATAGGCAAGCGGCAGCCATGCCTGCTACATGATCTTGATCAGACCTAAGCTAACTCGCACAATAGACAGCATTTTTTCTCGCGGGCTCCGCGCTCCAACGTGCGTCGCCTGCAGACTCGAAACGCCGGCTTGCGACTAGCTGCTTCGGGCGAGAAGGAGCCGTTGTGGCAGCAACGCCGGGGTCCGTGCGTTGGGTGGCTGCAGGAGCTCCGCTCCGCCGAGCAGGTTGCGTTGCCTGTCAGCAACATGAATGCTGAGCGCAGCGAGCTCGCTTTGAATCAGCAGCTCCACGCGTCGGAACGCAGATATCAGCAGCGGCGCTGTAGGCAATGGTGGGTGGACGGCTGGGACACCGCTGCATTGCTGCACTGCAAGCCACTGCGCGCGTTCCGGTCTTGCTCCAGTAGACTGCCGCGCGCGCCCCCGTCCAGTCAAGCATGGCGGGCGCTGTAGGCAGCGGTGAGTGTATTCGGAGCACGTTGAAGCGGTCTGGCCCTGGAGGCTCAGCTGCTGCTGAGCCCGGCGGCTCCAATTTCGCTGGTGCCGCCGTCGCCGCGGTCCTGTCCTCGGGCGTAATCGCGGCAGACACGAACAGCGATGGCCCGAGCGCTGCCCTCTGCGGAGCCCCGGATACCGGTACTGCAAACGGCGACACTGCTCCGCGGCGGACATGTGTGCATGCACCCGAAGGGAGCTGGGCGTTGTGGGACATCTGCCAGCTGGGATCCCCGCGAGACCAGGGCGGACCGATGTCCCAGGCACTGCCTGGCAGGCAGGCAGGGCAGCGCCCCGCAGCGAGCGTGACAGCATTCGGTCAAGCAGACGGCCAGCCGGGCGGCTTGATTCCTGCCGGCGTTCAACTGCGCCAACCCGCTTCAACCGCGGCAGCTTCGCCTTCCTTCAAGCTCGCTCGAATCAAATCCGGCGCCGCGTGCCCGTATATCGCTGGGTGTATTATCGACAGGCTCTGCTGCCGCAGTCGCTGCGGATCCAAATGCCGCCGCCGGTCTCCTCTACGCCGACCAGCCGATCGAAGAGCGCCGCTGCAGCTGGCGGGCGGCTGGTCAGTGCCGCGAGGTCGTCCGGCGTCCGGAGGTAGATAGCGAGCAGCTACATGGCGAGCTCGGCTTCGACGCTGGAAGATTTCTGTCGAGCGGCGGCGCTGGCGCAGAGGGAAACGGAGCAAGCAAGTGGCGAGCAGCGCTCGGCCCAAGCAGCTCGGCCAGCAGGAGCTCAGCCGTCGCCTTGAAGCTGCCGTCTGTTTCTGCGCCTGTTCGTGGTGTTTACGCAAGAGCTGCGCGGGCTAGGGGCGCCGCGACGCTTTGCTTGCGGCTTTGGCCCGGCCAGCCAATCAGTGGGCGGCAAGTAGGCATTTGCTCGAATTTTGGGCGGCGTCCAGGGTTGAGCGATCACAATTGAATCGGAGCCGGACCCGCAGCATTCTCATCCAGCGATCCGTTCCGGTGCACCCGCGACGGAGGAGGACACTCTCAGAGACAGACAGAGCCGCACAGGAAGGCTAGGCCCCCGCCCGCCCCGCGACGACGGAGCCCCTCACAGCAGCAGACAGACGCCATCCGGCCCGGCAGCAGCATGATCGTGGTATTCGGCAGCTCGAACGCCTTCGGACGCGACGTGAGCGAGATGGAGATGATGGTGCTGGCCGGCACGGTCTTCGTGGTCTCGGTGCTGCTCGTGCTCGTGTACAAGCTGGCGCGCGGCTGGGACGACCTGGACAAGGACGACTTCGGCGCCAGCGTGCTGCCGCTGCACGCGCCGCGCGCCACGAACCGCTGGGTCAGCAGCCGCAAGACGCACTTCGGCCGCCTCGGCACGATCAAGGAGAACGAGGTCTTCTCCTTCAGCTCCAAGATGCGGTGATCGGCGCGGCCGCGGGAGGAGGATCAGCAGCGGCGGCGGCAGCAGCAGCAGCAGCAACAACCACAGACAGGAGGACGGCGCTGCGTCCGCCTTGGAGTCAGGCCGGCGCACGCGGTCGAAGGGTGCGCTGGCCCGTGTAGATTTAGATGACAGCCAGTATTTAAGCCTCGCCGCACCGGACGGGTCTGGACGGCGCGGGGGGGCTGGCGGCGCTCCAGCCACCATAGATGTCATATTTATCAAGACAAGACGTTTCTCGTTTCTTAACCCCGGTTTTCTCGCGCTCCCCCCGTCGGTTTAACGCCGCCGAATCCAGCGCATGGTGTCGCCATGGGCTCACTGCCGCCGTTTCGGCGCACGTGCGCACAACGCGCGTGTGGATGAATATCCAGGCGCGTCGCCGCGTTCGCGCCATTCACATCTGGCGCGGCATCTGGAGCGACGACAGCGTGTCGGCACCATCTTCAGCAGCTCCTGCGCTGTCGTCGCCAATTGCGCTGCCATCTCGTTATGTCGTCAGAGAAGGGGGCCGAGTGATCAAGCTCGGGCTTTGACGCGGAGGTGATCAAGAGCGGCGAAAGTGCCCTGAAGCCGCCACATCAGAAAGACCGAGCAAGGAGGAGACGCAGGAAACATGGAGGAGCCAACGCATTTAACTTTTAAAAATTATCCGAAAAAACTGTAACCTATGGCACGCCACTCCTGGGCGGCAGAGTGAGCAGTGCGCGTAAGCTCTCCTTGGGCTGCGCCACGTTACCGTATGCCTTGAAGGCGCTGTCGTGGTACGCGCTAAAGAGCTTCGCCTTCTTCATCTCGGCCTCCATGATCAACCGGTTCACGGTCAGCATGGACGCGTCCAGGAGCGTCAGCTGCAGCATCCAAATCGACGTGGCAGGAACCCATAGCAACGACGCCAAGGCCAAGGTCAACAAACGAGGGTCAGTTGAATATCATCGGGCCGCGGGAAAAGATCAAAGATGCCGGCATGTACCTGCTCCGTGGTTGAACCTAACTGCTGAAGTGCCGAGCGCTGGAGGGCCTCGACGCTCTGTGTGACCTTCAACTCGCACGGCATCTTCTCCTGCTGCTCATGGCCTTCTACCCCAGCCTCCCCTGGGGAGGAACCGTCGCTTTCAGCTTCACCCTGTGCGGACGACCTGTCAGCCTCCAACGTCGCCTTCATGTCTAGCCACTGCTTCTCTTCCTCCTCCAAGCTGTAGGCAAAGAGAGAAAGCACAGGGTCAGCTTCGAGCTTCACGAAGGCGGCACCACTGCAATGCGCACACCCACCTCTTAATCCGCTGCTCGTACGTCTCGATTGTTGCGCGCATCCGTGCGTTTTCCGGGTTCGGTATCTTGATCTGCGATTTAAACAGCGCTGTTAGATACCGAGTAGCTCGCTGACCTCGATTGGCGTCGTACCGCAACGTTCCCTGGCGGATGCTCTGCCATAAAGGTGATCAGCTGCTGCTTCATGGCCTGCAAGCTCGTTTCGCTCAGTTGCATGATGTCCCGCCGAGCGGCCGACGTGAGGAACTCCTTCCTCACTTTACGGAGCTCGCGCTTCACCTGCCGCTGCACCATGTGATAGAGCGAGACCTGGTCGGCCGACAGCTTCTTGTGCTTCATCGCCTCCTCGTTGTCCGCCTCGCGCGCCGCCTCCTCGCGCTTCTTCTGGCGCACGAGCCGCCTCATTTCAGCCCTCGCTGCCTTCTCCTGCTTGGCGCGCAACGCCGCCGATGCAGCGGCCGCGTCCACAGCGTGCTGCTTCCCCACGTCCTTCTCGTCGTCCTTTCGCACGCGGAAGACGAACGTGTTGTCCTTGGCGGGCGTGCCAGGCTTCCTCTTGCCCACGGGCGTGGCCTCAACGGGCGCCTCGCTGGCATCCTCGTCCTTCTTGTCGCTGAACTTGAAGCCTCGTCGGGGCCTCCGCCGGGCGTCGCTGCGACACAAGAAACAAATGATCAGTCAGCGCCGTCCACTGAGCGCGAAGAAGACGCGGGGAAGACGCACCTCGGGTCGGCAGCCTTCCTCCTCCTGCGCTTCTCGCGGCGGACGACCAGCGGGGCGGACGGCGCAGCGGCGAACGGAGGCGCCACCATGACACGGAGCAGCTCCCCGGCGTCAACTTTCGCGCCTTTGCGCGCTCTTTTTGAATGTTCAAACCACCCGATTGGCCAGAGAAGGAGAAAAATCAGGGACGAAGCCGATTGGTGGGAAATCGGAATTAGCGGGGTGGTACCAAGGTGTTGAAGTCAAGTTGCAGTCCGCAAGAAGATCGCAGCGATGGCAAAATGGGGCGATAAAGTACACTTACTATCGTATTGCTTAGCGTTCACTAGGTAGCTTTGTGGGCTCGTATCAATAAATACATGGGACGGCGGCGGGCTCGCACGCTGCGTCGGCGTAGCCCACGCACGCAACGACACTCGGACATCCAACATCCATCAGCTTCGTCCGTCCACCACGTTTAGGCCGCCTCCGCTTGAGCGGCGGCGCGCGGCGGGGTGAAGTGCAGCACGTCGATCGTGATGTCGTCGTGGTAGTCCCTCCGGTTTCCAGGCAAGACGTTCTCCAGGTCTGCCGCGGTCGTGCCGTAAATCTCGGCGATGCGCTCCAGCACGGCCTCACGCAGAGCCTGGCTCACGTTCTGCACCCCTTCGTCACGGAAGCGCCCCACGAGCTGCACGATCTCTTCGTTCTTCAGCTCCCCGAATAGTCCATCCGACCCGAGCACAACGAACTCCGGCTTGCGGTCTCTTAGGTCGACCTGGAAAATGTCCGGAACGGCTGCAGGTTTTCAAAAATGCACACAACCAAGTCAGACATAATTCACACAAACCATATAAACCCAATACGATCAGGAACTCACCAGAGATGTAAGGCCGGCGGAAACTGCCGCGGATGCGAAGACCACGCGGCATTGGGGAGCGGTTCACATCCTTCACCTTCATGTAAGTGTCGCCAATGGACCGAGTGGGCTGAAGCCGGCCCTTGACGTAGAAGTTTTTCTGTCCGATCTCGCACACGATGTCGTAGTCCTCAGGATACAGCACGCGCAGGCGCCGCTGCTCGCGCTCCTCGTTCGCGGAATGATCGAACGTTATCTGCTCCACGCTGAGGGATCCGTCCGCCTCGCGATACGCCATGATGGCACGACAGTCGCCGCAGCTCGCAACGTACAGCTTCTTCTCGATCACAAGAGCCATCACCGCGCAGGCACCCACAGAGCAGGACGACCACGATCCGCGCTCGAACTTGATCTGGCTGCGGCGCTTGAACTCTTCCTCTGTATCCTTGAAGCCTGTGATGATGGAGTGAGCCACTGGTTCGTCGTTCTCCGTCAGATGGCTGCGGATGTTGGCGTAAAGCTTCTTCTGGACAAAATCGACCGCCTCTTCACCGCCGTGGCCGTCATAGCACCCGCAAAAGAACACGGGCGTCTCGGAGCTTCTGCCTGGTCGCATGATGGAGTCCACGACGTACTGGGATCTGTCTTCGTTCTTGCAGTTGGCTGCGTAGCTGTCCATGTCGTAGCGCCAAAATAGGGCGGCGTCATTGCTGGGGAGCACTTCTGAGACCTGCGGCGGCACGGACGTGATCGGGATCTCTTCGAGGGGCATCTCGTCGAAGTCGATCTTCTCCTTGGTCCATTCGGGCTGGATCATGGCAAACAGCGCGATAAGCATTGCGCTCCACGACGACTCGGGCGGCTGCGGCTTGTCCGATCGGTTTGGAGCGTCCTTTAGCGGCAGGGAGCTCGTAACTGGGTCCTTCGGCGTGGTGGCGGCCATCAACGCGCCAGTTGTGGGCTGGGTCAAGCGCGAAGGCGCCAGCGCCGTGGCGTTTGTGCTATCCTCGCTCGAAGACGCGGCGGCCGCAGCCGTGGCGGCAGCTACCGCGCCCATGGACGACGAGGAGTCGGGCGCGGCGCTGGCCGAGTGGATGGCCGTCGTCTTGGCCAGCGACTGCGTGGCCCTGGCCTGCTTGGCGAGCGCCACGACGGCGCTGGAGGTGGTGGGCGTGACGAGCATCCTGCTGGGCGTGGAGGAGGCGCGCTTAAGGCGGCTCTGCTGTTGCTGCTGGAGCTGGCGGTGCTGGTGCTGGTGGTGGCGACGAGCCACCGCGCGCTGGGCGCTTCGGTACCAGAGCAGCGAGCGGTGGCGGCGCGAGCAGCTCAGCAGAGACATCTCCCACTGCCACGGGTTCAGCTCTTCGAAGTCGGTGGTGAGCTCAATTGTGCCGAGGTCCCGAGCTGCAGCGGTCGTGACTCCCCGGCTGGCGAAAGCGCGTGTGGCGGCTTGAGCTTTTTGGGTTCTTGCAGCTCGGGCGCGAGACTCAAAGACAAGAGGAAGGCGAAAGAAATGCGAATCCGACAGTGGGACTGCGGGCCCATACTCTCTTCCATACTAAACGTAGAAGCCGATGAACGACTATGACAGGGATTACGAGGGTTTCATTTGCGACGACTGCGACTGATAGGTGGTGAGCTGCAAGGTCGAGCTGTCTGCAGCCTCCTGCTGTTCAGCAACACAGCGACGACAGGCTACTGTTCGACATACTTGTTGGCAGGCCCCGGTCAACGCCTCGTACCAAAGGAGGACGGCAGAGCTCGCGGCCGATTGGGCGAAGTGGACCATTTGGGGGTGGCTCAATTGAGCATACTCAAACCAAGTATGCACGTCAAGTTGAAGTTGCTCATGGAAAGTACTTAGATTGACCAATCACAGCGCTCGCAGCGGCGGGACGATCTCAACACACGAGCATGCACGTCAAGCGCCGCTGGCCGCGGGCTTGCTGCTCTTGCTGCGCTTGGGGCGCGACTGCGGCTGCGCCGACGGCTTCGTCTCGCCAGCGCACTTGTCGTTGGCGGCGGCGGGCTTCTGCTGCCCGCTTTTCTTCCTGCCGCTGGGCCTGGCGGACGAGCTGACAGTAGCAGCAGCAGCACTAGCCGGGCCCGTGGCAAACGTCTCGCCCGCCGCCTTCCTCGCGGCCTTGCGCTCCTTGGCCTTCTTCTGCTTGTTCTGCTTGCTTTGGCTGTCCCCGGCGCCATCACCAGCTGCAGCTGCCGATGCGCCACCACTAGCGACGGCACTGCTCGGCTTCCGTGCACGCCTGTTGCCCCCTGGCGCTCTGCTGCTGTCCTTCGTTTTGGGCCGGCGACCGCCAGAGCCTGCTGCCGATGCCGCTGCTGCAGCGGCCGCTCGGGCCTTGGCCGCTTGCTCGCGCTCGATCTCCGCCAGAATCTGGCGCTGCTGCTCCAGGAACTCCTGCTCCTCCTGCAGCTTCTGGACGTCCGCGAGGGAAACATGGTCGGGAGGTCGGAACAGGCCCCAGCTATTCACCGTCGACTGCCGAGCAGGAGCCACGCCGCCTCCAAGACGCGCCTTGGCCTCGCGCTCGCGTGCAGCTGCGGCCTCTTCCTCTTGCTGGATCTCCTTCAGTGTCTTCGACTTGGGCTCGGTGCCGACCGTAGATTCTGTCGCCGGGCTGCTCCAAGTCGGAGCAGCAGGGGCTGCGACCTTCCCGCGAGCGCCACGACGCGCGGGCTGCTTGAGGAACGCATCGAGCGAGAACGCGGTCACTTGTTCGTGTTCGACGCCGTCGTAGCCCAGCATGTGCTTGCCCGAGACCGGCAGCGGCGAGAAGGTCAGCCGCGGACTTGCCGACGGATGGCTGCCGATGCTCATCTTGCGCTGCCTCTGCGAAGCTCCGTCGAAGCTGCTCTTACGCAGAGAAGACGCCGGTAGGGGAAACGCATCTGGGAATGCAGTCGCAGCGGGGATAAACACCGGAGACGTAGGGGGTGCGCACTTGCTCTGGGATGCCGATGGTTTCTTCTCTTCCAAGACTACGGGGGAGACTTGGAGGCCCCACGGGGCATCAGCAACACGTGCGGGTACTACCACAGGCTTTTTCTCCATAAACGACGTCAGCGGGACGAACTTGCTGTTCTTGCTCTTCCGCCGTCCACTTGGCTTACTCGGCGTCACGGGAGTCTTACCGGAAGAGTTTTCCGCGCGAGACGCCGCTACCATCACGTCCTCTCGCGCATCCTTCCGAGCCTCAGCTATCGCTGCAGTGGCCTCATTAGCTGTCGTGTTCTTGCTCGACGACGGCTGCTTCCCCATTCTGTTATCATTGGCAGGCTTTTGGGCCACCTCGACCGGGGCGGTAGCGCAGGCCTTCTCTTCAGGCTCCGGTTCATCCATTGGTGGCAGCATGATCTCAAAGAGCGTCTCCATCCGGTCTCGACCCACGCCGTCCAGCACAGCGTCCCAATTGTTTCGCATGTAGCCCAGGCAGTATTCTTGCAAACGGAACGCAGCATAGCGCTCAGCGTACTGCCACACCAGCACACAATTCGCCACGTCAACATGTGCCGCGATCTTACGCTCCACCAGCTCCACCAAAGAGGGCACCGCGTCCTGGGCCGCGACGTGGGGTGCCGAGTCGAAGTCCGGGAGGACGGGAGCTACGAGCACTGCCGTGTGTTGGTGGCCCGCTGCAACCGCCACCGCCTTCTTCACACCAGACACACGCTTCGGACTCGGCTGCCACGTGTTGCCTCGCCCGTGGCCGAGTACACCTTGCTGGCCGCAGCCCCAAGTCACGAGATCACCTTCTCGCGTGACGACGGCGCAATGGTCCTGAGAAGCACAGACACTTGCCACGGGACCCGCCTTGGTTAGCTCCACTTTCTGCGGAGCACTGGGCGATAGAGTTGTTGATGCATTATGTCCCGGCGTACCGGCGCTGGGCTGGTGCGAGAGTGCTGGAACATTGTGCCCCCAAGTGAAAACAGCGCCACTAGCACTCAACGCGATCGAGTGGTTCTGCGCGCACGATACGTCCACAACGTCCATGCCACGCTGCTTGCACGTGGGGACCCATGCGTCACACATAATTGCACCAGCGCCGCTGCCACTAGCAGCAGCATCAAACGGGATGTTCACACGGCTTGGACGGTACGATCCATAGCCGAACTGCCACACCTGACCAAGGCTGCGACCATTGTGAGAGCAGCGCAGCACAACGCACGTGTGCCAATCCGAGAGTGCCAGTTTCTCTGCCTGCACAGAATCATAGTCACCGTACACGACGCACATCGGATGGCGCGGACGCAGTGCATCAACACTGCGCGGAGTCGCGTCAGCCTGGTCCGTGCCACATCCTTCTTTACGTCCGAGCTGGCCTCGACGATTGCTGCCCCAGGTGTACACAGCACCGTCCTCGGCGTCAATTGCTGCAGAATGACAACCAGACGCCGCAATGTCCTTCATCTCGTGGAAGCGGAAAGCGTCAACACGTTTTGGTGTTAGTCGACTCTGCGACGAACTTGATTTCCCTGGGTGTCCAAGCTGACCGAAGCTATTGGAGCCCCATGAGAAAACTTGACCTGAACGAGAGAGCGCCAAGGTGTGGTTCTCGCCTGCTGCCACCTTCTTCATGGGCGTGGTTTCCAGCGACACCAATCGTGTCGGCTCAATTCGGCTATCGATGCGGAGGTGACACGCAAAGTGGCGGTTAGCAACACTCTCAGTAGGTAGAGCAACGCTACAGACTGCATACGTACTCAAACTCATTCCCAGTGCCTAGGCGGCCACCCTTGCCAAAGCCCCACACGAAGCACTCGCCCGCTGCATTGAGCGCGATTGTGTGGTACTTGCTAGCACTCAGTTGAACAATGGGTGAGGCGGCAGGAAGCTCCACGAGCCGCGGCGTGACTTGCACGTCCGCGTTTGGCAAATGATAGCCCAGCTATCGATCACCACAGTCATTACAGTAGCGCAGGGTCAGCATCACACGGCGGTGAAGGCAAACAAAGTACTTGTCGCCAGTACCTGGTAGTCTCGCTTTCCAAAGGTGTAAACTAGGCCACCGTCACACGCCTCCGTGGTGGTCGCAACTTCTCGGTCTGGTTGTCGTTGGTGCTGCAGTCTCGTAGACAGCAGCTGCATGGGGCTCTGCTGGGCATGATCACGTGTTTCGTGCAGGTATTTCCGAGCAAATTTCTTGCCGAAGCGGGTCTGCGCGTGGCGTAAGAGTAGCAGCGTTGCTGGAGAGGGAACAACGATCCGTCAGCCCGAGAAGCAGCCACAGCCTTGATAGAGCAGAGGAAATCACACTCACTGGACAAATGCTGGTGATACACACTGCGGTGCAAAGGCGTCCAGCCAGACTCCTGCTCGGCACGAAGAAGAGGTCAGTCAGTCCTCCCTCTCTCCTCCAGTCTCCGCTAGACGCTGTCTAACGCAACACACCCAGTCCGCTGCCAGGAGGTCTGCCCCATGACGCAACAGCAGCTGCACTGCTTCGTCGTTGCCGCGCGCCGCCGCCACGTGCAGCGCCGTCTCGCCCAGGTCGTTGCGGTCGTCGGGGGGCGCCGCGTCTCGCAACAGACGCGCTAGGGCCGGCGTCGCCTCGAGCGTCCGCGCGCAGGCCCACAGGTCCACTGGCTCGTCGTCACGAGCTGGCAGTTGCATGGTTGGATCCGTCGTACAGTAAAGTGTATTGTTGGTTGGCGATCTTCTCTCCTCTCTTCTCCTCTCCCTCTCCTCCGTCTCCGCCCCCTTTAGGCCGCCATTGTGGTCACCATTTTGAGGATTTCTACCACTGACGCCGTCCGTCGAAGGGACACAATAGTTTGAAAAGTCATGTGCACCACCCAGTACTTACCCTCCATGTTGATGTTGAAGTGAAAAAATAGTTGCCGTGCCTCCATCAGGCCACAGCCATATGACGCACGCCGCGCCGCGCTCCCCAGCGCCCAGGCCCGCGCGAGCGACCGATGGCAGCACCGTCGAAGCGGAGGCCCCCGCCTTCTCCCCGTCGAGCTCCTTGTCCGCGGCCGCGCCTCGCCACGCGCGGCCTCGAGAGCCGCCGCCACTCGAGCGCGCCGTCGTCTCGCGCACGCGGTTCCACATCACGCTGCCGTCGCCCCCGTCGCCGTCCAAAGCGGCAGCTGGAGGGGGCGAGGCCGACCAGCGAGGCTGGAGCAGCCCGCACGGCGAGCCCTACCGCCCGCTGGGCCGCCCAGAGCTCAAGCTCAAGTTCTCGCCGCAGCTTGTGTACGGAGTCAGCCCCATGATGCAGAACGCGCACCGCATGCGCGCCATCGAAGGCTCTGGAGGAGCTGGGGGCAGCAATATGGGAGGATCAGCCAACTCCGGCTCGGAGAAGGACAAGGAGCTGCGCGAGCCGTCGTCCTGTACGACCACTGGCGGCACGGGGGCGCCCCTCACGACTCTGGTGGACCAGTTTGTCACGTCACTAACCAGCAGGAGGCGGCCACTGGATGAGCGACAAGTCAAACTTGCCCATCGACTTCAAGCCAACGTGGGCGGCTTCTCACCCGAGAAGGTCCGCGGGCTGCACCGACGTAAGCCGCAACTTCAAGAGCAGGATCACGAACCCACCGGCGGCGAGCACAGCTATTACAACAGTCCGCGAGGCGACACGTCCTACCAGCTTCTGCGCGAAGCCATTGATGAAGGCACGAGTCGGCTGCGCTCCTCACGTAATGGGACGAGCTTTCTGCAGAAGCTACCTCCGTCCGACCTGCACGGACTCCAGGAGCTACAGGAGCAGTACCTGCGCGCGAGGACGAAGACGGCACAGTTACTGAGTCGCGGCAGCGGTGGAGGGACGAGAACCAGTCCTCGGGTGCTGGTCGGATCCAAGACGTACAATGATGAAGCCACGACCACGCACAGAGCCCAAGTCAATCGGAACGATGGCACCTCCCAAGGACACAGCGAAAGCGAAGATGGTGGGGCCCCCTGGTACTTGCCATACACGACTCGGCAACTTCAGCGCTCACCTCACCGACGTCTACCGTCGCTAGAGGAGTTCCGAGTCCGGATAAAAGACGAGAAGCAGCCCTCAAGACCCTTTCGAGCATCGACCAATATCAAACCAAACCAATTTCCTGCTAGGGTGCAAGCCAGCTCAGCACGATCCAACCTTGCATCCGTGACATCAAGGCGAAGCTCCATGGGCACCACCGTCGGGGTGTTTCATGCTGTCGGGGAGAATAGTGACGATCACACCCAAGACTCCAGCACCGGTATCAAGGGCGCTTCCTCTCCATTTTCAATTGTTACTGCCTCCCCGCCCCCTGTAGCGGTGACACCACTGCACAGCATCGAAAAGCTGCAAGCTGCACTAGACGCTCTGGAAGCCACTAAGTCCCAGCAATCGGCCAGGCTGGTCACGGCGCTAGAAGTACTCGAGCAGGATCGCCACGAATGCCTGGCCGGGAAATTTCGTAGCTTGCATGTTCGCTGCGATGCTGCTGAGGACCTACGGCGAATGCGGGAGCGCTCAGAGCGTTACCGCGGACAACGAGCGCTCGCGGTGCTATCCAAAACTGCAGACTGGTATCCGGAACTGTTGCGACGTCTGCTGGCCCGAGAAGTAGCTAGTGCGTCTAGTACTGGAACAACAACGGCAAATGCTGGCGGGCTCACAGCACCTCTGCATGCTGCAGAGCTGTTTATCATTCAAGGTGTGCGTCGATTCACCAACGATGGATGCGAATTCCAGGCGACACAGCTCTTCCAGGTAATATTGCACTTGCATCACGATGATCTGGAACTCCTGCACGTGCAACAACTGCTCGTATATCTCCGCAATGCATTGCACATCAACCGCGACGAGTGGTTGCAAGTTTTTGCCGCACACGATCTACCAGCGCCCAACGACGACATTGCAGAGGACCGCAAAGACCCACCAGAGCAACCGCGACACGGGTAGCTCTCGTGCTGCACCGCTTGAATCAAGCGCAAGCACGACTCAGGGAAGCTGGAAGGAGCGGGGGAATGATTCTCGTTTTTTAGTCCCGGACGGGGATTTTGTCTGCTAATCTGTCGCGGCTGTGGCATTCGGCATGCTGCCTCCGCTTCTGCTCCTCTAATTGCCGTCTCTTCGCCGCCTCAACCTTCTCGTCAAGCAAGCGGCCCAAGATGCTCAGGAAGAGATTCTCGTCTTGCACGTCATCATCCAGTGCATCATTCAGGACTTCAAACTCGTCCTTGCCGTCTTCGGCTCCGATGAAGGAGGATGTAGGAGATCGAGCACCGTTGTGCTCCATCGAAGCCTTGTGGCCATTGGAGGGCGCACTCACGGGAGTAGCGATCGACCCGGTGTATCCATTCTCTACGTGTTGGACAGAATCCGATAGAGCGCTTGATGCCATATCGTCCCAATTCAGTGAGAAGCGCGGCTTGTCGCCCCCATTTAGCTCTGAATGTCTCCCCATGCCATTCGAAGTGGGGAACTTCGGACAATCTTCATCTTCTTCATCTGAGCTGAACGGAGCGTAACTTGCCCAGAATCCAGGCGGAGATCGTGCACCACTTCCAACAGGAGAGCGCCCGAATGCAGAAGATTCCTGAAGTGAAGGAGGGCCGATTGACACGCGCAAATTTCGGAATGCCGCTCGAGGAGACGATGGTATTGCGATCGGTGCAGTGCCTTGTCCTTCTTCTGCTGCAATGGACTCGTTCGCCTTGATGACTGGTGTGATCGTTGGCTGCAAATGGGCGTGCTGGAAGAGAGCGTCATTTTGCTTGCGCTGCTTCACAACCTGCAGCTGATGGAAAGCCTCGATGCACAGCTGCTCTAAGATGGAGGGCGTGTCCAGATCTTCACGACACATGATCCGAGCAATCTCGTAGAGTACCAGGTCGGCGCGTACACCCTTCTGCAGCACCATGCTCGCGATAATCATGTTTCGCCGACATGCGCGTCGCAAAGGAATTCTTCTCGCCAACCGATCCGCGTCTTCCTGGGCAGATAGTGACAGCACATAAGCCCGGTCCTCTGCGCTCAGTGGCTTCTGAAGCTGCGGCCAATTGTACCAGCACCAGTCGCACCAAGCAATCTCCAGGAACTGCGGTAAGCAGTAACCATGGTCAATCGGTATTAACTCGTACTCTGCGTGCCCTGTAGTCGGCGACCGCCGTTTGCGTACGAGAATATTGGCGTCGTTGCGGTCTGTGTTCAAGAGCCGCATGTCCAGAAGCACAATCTTGTGCACTTGGTGGGTCGAGAACTGGTTAGGAGCCAAGTCGCTCACCACGTCATCGTGTCGGACAAACTCCTGCAGTGATCCAACCTTGAAATGCAACGCGCCCGCACTACCAGCATAGTTAAACACAGGATGTCGCGACTCCACGAGAGACGTAGCTGGAACTCCCGCAAAGTGGTCCTGTGGGTGACAAAAAATAATAACCCGTTATTTTCACTACCGCTCTGAACGAGCAACCATTAATGACTTGCCAAACTTGTCATTACCTTGTCCAGCAGGTACGCGGCCAGCTCGCGTTCACATGCTTCTCCCGACAGAATTCCTCTTCGAAGCCCACTCTATCGAACAGGTTGCACAGATTGAGGGGACAATATCAGACAACTATGCCAAGACAGCGAAAGTATTAACACGCGACAAACCTGGCCCAATTGACCCACAAGTCCGCGCGGATTGTTAGGCCCGAACGGCTCCTCGTCCTGAGGCTTGAAGCACCCCACGTTTCGGTGGGACGGGTCCTTGAAAAAATACGTACCGCCGGTACCATCCATAGCCAGCACCGGTGCAAGTCCGAGTGCGAGACCTTGTAGCGCCTTCATGCCACGGATCGGACACAATCGGTCATACCTACATCCCCATCAAAGACAGCAATAGCAGCGCTGCAACATACCTGATGCGTGATCTTCATCAGCGCCACGGGCAGCAGATGCGCGCCGTAAGGGTGGATGTTCACGACGGGCATCTGCTCGGGGCGCAGGTTCTGGGACGTCTTGCCGTTCACTCGAGCAGACACGGCGCTCTTCGCTCCGCTGCCTTCACCGCTGTTCCTGCCGCTGCTCGCATTGCTCCCGCGCTCGTCGTCGCACTCGCGCGTGTAGGTCATCGCGAGGTTCTGCGGCCTCCGCGCCACAAAGTCCACCACGGCGTTGTCCTGGTAGATGCCGCACTGCTGCAGGTTGTGCGCGTTCTTGAGCTCGCGTCCCTGGTAGAAGAGCTTCTGCGCGTTGGACGGCACGTTGAAAACGACCTGCAGCTGGTCCTTGACGTCCTTGATGCTGGCCCACGGCCGCAGCATGAGCTTCTTGCGGCGCTCCAGCGGGTCGCGGAAGTCCTTGACGAACACCACCACGGCCCCGTGGCCGCTCTCCAGCCAGCCGCCCGGCAGCGAGCGCGACATCTTCGCCTCGTCCTTCTGCATCGCTGGCCACTCGGTCGTGGACGTCCGACAGTAGATTCCCAGCTACACGGGGGAAGACAGCTCCGGGCGGTGAAGCACTCGGGGGCGGAGTGACGCAGAACTAGAGTAAGCACGCCGTGGCAAGCAGGGCTTTACGTGACGAACCACAAGAAAGTTTTTATGGCCAATGAGCGTCGCGGAAACAGAGTCGGCGTTTGATTGGTTAAAATATTGGGTCCAATTTTTTAGCCCTCCAAATCCAGGACAAAAATATGTAAAAGTTATTTTTTGCACGCGGTTTAAAAACCGTGTTCGACTTGTACACACCATTCGGGCTCGATTAAAAAAGGACTGCTTCCGACCCAATTGTTGGTTTGGGAGGCACGTAGAAAAGGCAGGCTTATCCAGCCCGGTTAGCCTAGGCCCGAATTTCAAACGGTATATGCAGCATCAAGGAACTTGATGCATTTGGTTTGAGAGGCTTTCGTCTCGCTATCCAGTTAACCATAAACGAATTTATGCGCGGTTTTCTCGTCTTGTTATGGCTGTCAAGATATCGCATGACGAGCAATAGGGGGGTCAGAATTAGCTTTTTCGCCGACATTTTTTGGCCGAAATGGTCACCATAAGAAATATGGTCAGCCGACATATCCATTTCGCGAAATGGTTCACCTGTTTGGCCGAACCATTTCTGAAATGGTCAGACATTTTCCGAAATGGTTGACCATTTTTCGACTTATGGTGACCTTCACTCTGTTTATCTTGCTAAATGTATTTACGTCGATTTACACAAATGTCGAGCACGTGCGTTGCGATGCACCAGCGCGCGGAGCGAACCGGCGGCGGCAGCGGCGGCGCTCTTCTGGACGCTCCTGCGCCGCGCACATCGCGGCTAGGAGCTAGCGCGAGCTCACGCGCGTGCACTGTGGTGCTGCATGGCGCCATGGGCTGCTCCCTTGTAGCGCCGCAACGGGAAGGATGGAGCATGCCCAGGGGCGGAGCCAGGGCCAAAATGGGGGGGGGGGCGCATGCCCCCCCCCATTTTTCGGCGAAGGCGTTTCGATTTTTTAGACTTTTTTTTATTTAGACGGCACATGCATGAAGTTCACACTGTTCCTCCGCTTAGTTGATAATAACATGGAAGGAAAGAGGAAGCAGCCGGCAATCACGACCTTCTTTGTGAAGAAGCCCCGTCAAGAGCCCGAAGACTTTGACAAGGCCCGCAGTATTGAATCAGATCCTGGGCCACGACCCCAACCTGTAACGCTGCGCGAAAAACAAGAGCAAGCAGCGTTGGAATGGTGTTCGCTCAACAAAATTCCTGATAGAGCCGAAGAATGTTCCGCTGGAGACTTTGTTAGGCGGGATCCTGCTCACAGACCACCAAATTTATTTTTCGTTAAGCAACTGATTGCCGATCCTCAGCCACTGCGTGACGTTATACTATCCTACGTTCACCTCGGTCCTTACCAACCGCAACTCAAGCAATATCCAGCCCGTGACATCGGTGGATGCATGCGTGCTCTTCGGGCCCAGTGGTTTGAATACAATTATGGCTCGAATACTCTCCTTCGACGGACGCGGTGTATTGCTTATGCTGCTACCTCAGCCGAGAAGTAATGACGCAGCAAAGCGAGCTCACAGTGTATGCACAACCTACAACGGGCTATAGGAACTGGAAAAAGACCACTACAAAAGACGGATTTGCAAGGCTCTGAATTCTCAAAAGATTGGTGAACGACAACAAAACCGGGAGCGCCTGACTTTTATTCTGGATATCTGCCTTCTCCTAGCAAAACACGAAATTGCATTTCGGGGCAGCGACGAAAAGATATACGAGCGGTTTAATTTTTATGTAAGAAATGACAACACTGGACTAACGTTTTTTTACTATGCACAGGATACGTCACAAAATAAAGGCAATTTTCTTGAGATTGTTCAGTTCATGGCACAGCACGCGCCATCGTTTTCTCGCGCAATGTCCTTAGCTGGGGAAAACGCTGTGTACACATCGCCACAAATTCAATGTGAACTGATCAAATGTGCGGCTGATGTTGTTCGAAAGCATATTATGGAGGTCGAGATTGCAGATGGATATTTTCCTGTTCTGGTGGATGAAGCAAGCTGCATGGCGAAGAAAGAGCACATGGCTATCGTAATTCGTTTTGTGTGCGCTGCAACGGGGACTATTAGAGAAAGATTTTTTGGTACTGTCCATGTTCGCGATACGAATGCGGAGACACTGTACGATGGTTTGATAACGCAGTTAGAGAAGTGGGGATTGCTTTTGGCGAATTGTAGAGGTCAGGGATATGATGGTGCGTCCAACATGTCGGGTGATTTTACTGGTCTTCAGCGACGTCTACGCTCTCAGTGTCCTTATGCCTACTATGTTCACTGTTTCGCGCATCGACTTAATCTCGTCCTAGTTTCAGTGACTATGAACACGGTCTCGGTGGTGCAATGCTTCGACACCGTGCAAGGGATTCACACTACTGTAAGTGCTTCGTGTAAAAGGAAAGATCAACTTCTTGACGAAGCCGCTGTGGAATTGGAAAAAATGCTTGATCAAGGACATCTAGAATCTGGTAGAGGTTTAAATCAACCAACTTCTACCGAGGGTCTTAGCAAAACAAGGTGGAATTGCCACATTCGCGCGTTAAGAAAAGTCAAGATGCTTTGGGCCTCAATTACAAGTGTATTAGAGCGTGTAGTGGTCGATGGTGTGAACCCCCACAAACGCGCTGAGGCGTCAGGAATTTTAGAGAAGATGTGGACTTTCGACTTCGTATTTCATATGGAGGTTCTCACAGCAGTTTTGGGGAAAACATATCGGCTGTCCCAATTTTTGCAGAAAGATGACGTCGATATCGTGTCAGCTGTGAATATGACGAAGCAGGTATCCAAAGAACTAAAAAAATGCTCGATGATAGTTCTATGACTGGGAACTCGCCAAGTTTTGAATCGATTTGGGACTCATCGGTGAATTTTTGCAAATCAATACAAGTTGACGATACCCCTCTCATTCCTGACAAAAATGACTCGTGGAAACGACGCGGAATGAGAAGTCGGGTGTGTGGCAGGACTGGAATTCCAGGAGCGGACTCCTCCAGGGATGGTATCCAGTCTACAAAAGAAGCTCACTATCGTGACGAAGTATATAACTGTATCCTTCGTGACCTGCTTTCTGAAATGGATTCACGATTTAGTGGAGAAGTCCTTAGTCTCATGGAATTGTGCGGATCGCTCAGTCCACGTGATAATTTCAAGAATTGGAGCGCTACTAAAATTGTTGAGCTGGCTAAAACATTTTATCCCGATGATTTCACCGATGAGCTGGACGACCTTCGAGAAGAGGCCACTCGGTTTCGCAATTTGGCAAAGATCGACAAAAGGTTCCAAAAATTGAAGACAACGCAGCAACTATGCATCCAACTCGTCGGGACCGATAACAACGAGCTGTTCCCGACCTTGCACCGAATTATTAACGTGGTGTGTGTGCTGCCTGTAACAACTGCTACTACGGAGAGGTCTTTCTCAGCCATGAAAAGAATTAAGACGCGGCTCAGAACAACAATGGGAGATCTTTGGATGTCAAACCTGATGGTTTTGGCTATCGAGCGTGATCTTACAAACAGCATCGACAAAGACTCGGTCCTCGAAAAGTTTAAAGGGATGACAAAAAGGAGAATCGAAATGTAGGTTGTGGATTTTACAAAAAAAAATCTATGCCCCCCATTTTTTTTAAGGCTGGCTCCGCCTCTGAGCATGCCACCCTCGTGTCGTCCGCGGTGTGCTGCGCCTTCAGGCAAGCGCATGGCAGACCGGTTAGCGGCGCTAATGTTCCTACGTGCGTCCTCTACGCAGCGCTCCTATCGCAGGGCAGGGGGCTCATCGGCTGCAGCTTGCTGCACGAGCTGCCAGGCACGCGCAGCAAGCTGCAGCCTTGCATGTGCACATGAAGTAGATAAGCTACATTCTAAAAAATGACCGGTCATTTCATATCTGACCGGGGTGATATTTTGGAAATGGTTTGGACATTTTTGGGGGCTCTCAAGTGGTGATATTTTTTGCACCATTTGTCAATTCTGACCCCCCCTAATAGGACCGGAGTGCGATTCGTATGATATAAGAAAAAAAGTACACGGTTGGAATTTGTTTTTTTGTTTCCGTAAATGTATTTTCATCTCAACGATTTTCCAAAACTACTTTCAGTGTTTTGGAAGAATCTGTTTTATTTTTATGCAATGCTTTAGTGGGCTATATACTGTACTATATACCGTACTTCATAAAATAAATGCTTAACAAAAAACAGCGGCTTTGAAGCGTTCTTCGGATGGTTTTGAATTAAATTTACGTTTTGTCCAATCAGAATGCAGTATTGTGCAAAGTCTTAACACGAAAACCGCAGTTTTAGGAAAAATCGGGGCGTTTTAACGTTAAGATGAGTGCAGTTTTAACCCTATCGCGAACCGTCTTACATTTGTATAGCATACAATGCTCTCCATTTTTTTTTGCAAATGGGCTCACCATGAGCCTATTGCCAAAAGAGAGGTACTTGAGATATTGGACCTTTACTATGTAAGAGATACAATAGTGGTATGCGGTAGTTTTTTTCCAATTATAATTGTATAGTACTTTATAGTATGACACTACAAATAATCTTTCAAAATAAGTATACAAAGTACTGGTGTCACGAGTCCATAAGCTGTAACATCTAGAGGATTCGATATGCAACGTCGAAGAACTTGATGCATTTGATTTGATCGGTTTTTACCTCACTATCCAGTTATTGTAGGCTACTGTAAGCGTATTAATGCGCAGATCTATCTATCGTCTTCTTATGACCTTTAAGATACCACATGACGAGCAATTGAAAACTGAGTGCGATTCGTATTATGATAAGAACAAATGCACTGTTGAAATATGCTTGGCTCGGTAAATGTATTTTCATCTCAACGATTTACCAGAATTACTTTCAGTATTTAGGGATAATCTGTTAAGGTTTTTGAAGTGCTTTCGGCTAGTGGGCTATATACCAGCGCCGCTTTGTAGCGATGGGACAGCCAATACGCAAAAAGTACCATTTGATTTTCGGCCAATGCCATGTCTCTCACGGGACGTACGTTCGTCACAAGTCACACACTTCTTCAACATGACCGCTTGTGATGGTGCGCTAGCGCGTTGGCCGGTATGCATGTGCCTTGCATACTTCGATAAAAAGAAAATACACTCAAATTCTCGATCAGATTTACGTTCATTTCAGAATTTTCCTCGATCGTGCAAGGCGGTCATGCAGCGCTCAAGCGACGCCACAGCAGCAGACCAAGCCAGGTCGGCGAAAAGGAGCCTGACCTTCCCGTCTGTCTCCATCGGGAAGTACATCTTCTCCAGCGAGAAGCTGCGCCACGTCAACATGCGCTCCTGCAACGATCGAAGCGGAGACCGGGTTGTGGCCTACATCTGCGACCAGTATTGTGCAGAAGTGCACTGGTCGAAAGTGACAGGCACAAAGCGCTACAAGATGACCGAGCAAGTCCAAGGTAATTTTTGGAGCGCAACAAGATGACCGAGCAAGTCCAAGGTAATTTTTGGAGCGCTACAAGATGACCGAGCAAGTCCAGGTGATTTTTGGCCAGTTTAGTAAAATATTTTAATTATCATAAAATATTAACAAAACTTTTGAAACTGATTTATTTGTATCATAAGTGCCCCACAATTATAATTGTATAGTACTTTATAGTATGACACTACAAATAATCTTTCAAAATAAGTATACAAAGTACTGGTGTCACGAGTCCATAAGCTGTAACATCTAGAGGATTCGATATGCAACGTCGAAGAACTTGATGCATTTGATTTGATCGGTTTTTACCTCACTATCCAGTTATTGTAGGCTACTGTAAGCGTATTAATGCGCAGATCTATCTATCGTCTTCTTATGACCTTTAAGATACCACATGACGAGCAATTGAAAACTGAGTGCGATTCGTATTATGATAAGAACAAATGCACTGTTGAAATATGCTTGGCTCGGTAAATGTATTTTCATCTCAACGATTTACCAGAATTACTTTCAGTATTTAGGGATAATCTGTTAAGGTTTTTGAAGTGCTTTCGGCTAGTGGGCTATATACCAGCGCCGCTTTGTAGCGATGGGACAGCCAATACGCAAAAAGTACCATTTGATTTTCGGCCAATGCCATGTCTCTCACGGGACGTACGTTCGTCACAAGTCACACACTTCTTCAACATGACCGCTTGTGATGGTGCGCTAGCGCGTTGGCCGGTATGCATGTGCCTTGCATACTTCGATAAAAAGAAAATACACTCAAATTCTCGATCAGATTTACGTTCATTTCAGAATTTTCCTCGATCGTGCAAGGCGGTCATGCAGCGCTCAAGCGACGCCACAGCAGCAGACCAAGCCAGGTCGGCGAAAAGGAGCCTGACCTTCCCGTCTGTCTCCATCGGGAAGTACATCTTCTCCAGCGAGAAGCTGCGCCACGTCAACATGCGCTCCTGCAACGATCGAAGCGGAAACCGGGTTGTGGCCTACATCTGCGACCAGTATTGTGCAGAAGTGCACTGGTCGAAAGTGACAGGCACAAAGCGCTACAAGATGACCGAGCAAGTCCAAGGTAATTTTTGGAGCGCTACAAGATGACCGAGCAAGTCCAAGGTAATTTTTGGAGCGCTACAAGATGACCGAGCAAGTCCAGGTGATTTTTGGCCAGTTTAGTAAAATATTTTAATTATCATAAAATATTAACAAAACTTTTGAAACTGATTTATTTGTATCATAAGTGCCCCACAATTATAATTGTATAGTACTTTATAGTATGACACTACAAATAATCTTTCAAAATAAGTATACAAAGTACTGGTGTCACGAGTCCATAAGCTGTAACATCTAGAGGATTCGATATGCAACGTCGAAGAACTTGATGCATTTGATTTGATCGGTTTTTACCTCACTATCCAGTTATTGTAGGCTACTGTAAGCGTATTAATGCGCAGATCTATCTATCGTCTTCTTATGACCTTTAAGATACCACATGACGAGCAATTGAAAACTGAGTGCGATTCGTATTATGATAAGAACAAATGCACTGTTGAAATATGCTTGGCTCGGTAAATGTATTTTCATCTCAACGATTTACCAGTATTACTTTCAGTATTTAGGGATAATCTGTTAAGGTTTTTGAAGTGCTTTCGGCTAGTGGGCTATATACCAGCGCCGCTTTGTAGCGATGGGACAGCCAATACGCAAAAAGTACCATTTGATTTTCGGCCAATGCCATGTCTCTCACGGGACGTACGTTCGTCACAAGTCACACACTTCTTCAACATGACCGCTTGTGATGGTGCGCTAGCGCGTTGGCCGGTATGCATGTGCCTTGCATACTTCGATAAAAAGAAAATACACTCAAATTCTCGATCAGATTTACGTTCATTTCAGAATTTTCCTCGATCGTGCAAGGCGGTCATGCAGCGCTCAAGCGACGCCACAGCAGCAGACCAAGCCAGGTCGGCGAAAAGGAGCCTGACCTTCCCGTCTGTCTCCATCGGGAAGTACATCTTCTCCAGCGAGAAGCTGCGCCACGTCAACATGCGCTCCTGCAACGATCGAAGCGGAGACCGGGTTGTGGCCTACATCTGCGACCAGTATTGTGCAGAAGTGCACTGGTCGAAAGTGACAGGCACAAAGCGCTACAAGATGACCGAGCAAGTCCAAGGTAATTTTTGGAGCGCTACAAGATGACCGAGCAAGTCCAGGTGATTTTTGGCCAGTTTAGTAAAATATTTTAATTATCATAAAATATTAACAAAACTTTTGAAACTGATTTATTTGTATCATAAGTGCCCCACAATTATAATTGTATAGTACTTTATAGTATGACACTACAAATAATCTTTCAAAATAAGTATACAAAGTACTGGTGTCACGAGTCCATAAGCTGTAACATCTAGAGGATTCGATATGCAACGTCGAAGAACTTGATGCATTTGATTTGATCGGTTTTTACCTCACTATCCAGTTATTGTAGGCTACTGTAAGCGTATTAATGCGCAGATCTATCTATCGTCTTCTTATGACCTTTAAGATACCACACGACGAGCAATTGAAAACTGAGTGCGATTCGTATTATGATAAGAACAAATGCACTGTTGAAATATGCTTGGCTCGGTAAATGTATTTTCATCTCAACGATTTACCAGAATTACTTTCAGTATTTAGGGATAATCTGTTAAGGTTTTTGAAGTGCTTTCGGCTAGTGGGCTATATACCAGCGCCGCTTTGTAGCGATGGGACAGCCAATACGCAAAAAGTACCATTTGATTTTCGGCCAATGCCATGTCTCTCACGGGACGTACGTTCGTCACAAGTCACACACTTCTTCAACATGACCGCTTGTGATGGTGCGCTAGCGCGTTGGCCGGTATGCATGTGCCTTGCATACTTCGATAAAAAGAAAATACACTCAAATTCTCGATCAGATTTACGTTCATTTCAGAATTTTCCTCGATCGTGCAAGGCGGTCATGCAGCGCTCAAGCGACGCCACAGCAGCAGACCAAGCCAGGTCGGCGAAAAGGAGCCTGACCTTCCCGTCTGTCTCCATCGGGAAGTACATCTTCTCCAGCGAGAAGCTGCGCCACGTCAACATGCGCTCCTGCAACGATCGAAGCGGAGACCGGGTTGTGGCCTACATCTGCGACCAGTATTGTGCAGAAGTGCACTGGTCGAAAGTGACAGGCACAAAGCGCTACAAGATGACCGAGCAAGTCCAAGGTAATTTTTGGAGCGCTACAAGATGACCGAGCAAGTCCAGGTGATTTTTGGCCAGTTTAGTAAAATATTTTAATTATCATAAAATATTAACAAAACTTTTGAAACTGATTTATTTGTATCATAAGTGCCCCACAATTATAATTGTATAGTGCAAGGCGATCATGCAGCGCTCAAGCGACGCCACAGCAGCAGACCAAGCCAGGTCGGCGAAAAGGAGCCTGACCTTCCCGTCTGTCTCCATCGGGAAGTACATCTTCTCCAGCGAGAAGCTGCGCCACGTCAACATGCGCTCCTGCAACGATCGAAGCGGAGACCGGGTTGTGGCCTACATCTGCGACCAGTATTGTGCAGAAGTGCACTGGTCGAAAGTGACAGGCACAAAGCGCTACAAGATGACCGAGCAAGTCCAAGGTAATTTTTGGAGCGCTACAAGATGACCGAGCAAGTCCAGGTGATTTTTGGCCAGTTTAGTAAAATATTTTAATTATCATAAAATATTAACAAAACTTTTGAAACTGATTTATTTGTATCATAAGTGCCCCACAATTATAATTGTATAGTACTTTATAGTATGACACTACAAATAATCTTTCAAAATAAGTATACAAAGTACTGGTGTCACGAGTCCATAAGCTGTAACATCTAGAGGATTCGATATGCAACGTCGAAGAACTTGATGCATTTGATTTGATCGGTTTTTACCTCACTATCCAGTTATTGTAGGCGTATTAATGCGCAGATCTATCTATCGTCTTCTTATGACCTTTAAGATACCACATGACGAGCAATTGAAAACTGAGTGCGATTCGTATTATGATAAGAACAAATGCACTGTTGAAATATGCTTGGCTCGGTAAATGTATTTTCATCTCAACGATTTACCAGAATTACTTTCAGTATTTAGGGATAATCTGTTAAGGTTTTTGAAGTGCTTTCGGCTAGTGGGCTATATACCAGCGCCGCTTTGTAGCGATGGGACAGCCAATACGCAAAAAGTACCATTTGATTTTCGGCCAATGCCATGTCTCTCACGGGACGTACGTTCGTCACAAGTCACACACTTCTTCAACATGACCGCTTGTGATGGTGCGCTAGCGCGTTGGCCGGTATGCATGTGCCTTGCATACTTCGATAAAAAGAAAATACACTCAAATTCTCGATCAGATTTACGTTCATTTCAGAATTTTCCTCGATCGTGCAAGGCGGTCATGCAGCGCTCAAGGGACGCCACAGCAGCAGACCAAGCCAGGTCGGCGAAAAGGAGCCTGACCTTCCCGTCTGTCTCCATCCGGAAGTACATCTTCTCCAGCGAGAAGCTGCGCCACGTCAACATGCGCTCCTGCAACGATCGAAGCGGAGACCGGGTTGTGGCCTACATCTGCGACCAGTATTGTGCAGAAGTGCACTGGTCGAAAGTGACAGGCACAAAGCGCTACAAGATGACCGAGCAAGTCCAAGGTAATTTTTGGAGCGCTACAAGATGACCGAGCAAGTCCAGGTGATTTTTGGCCAGTTTAGTAAAATATTTTAATTATCATAAAATATTAACAAAACTTTTGAAACTGATTTATTTGTATCATAAGTGCCCCACAATTATAATTGTATAGTACTTTATAGTATGACACTACAAATAATCTTTCAAAATAAGTATACAAAGTACTGGTGTCACGAGTCCATAAGCTGTAACATCTAGAGGATTCGATATGCAACGTCGAAGAACTTGATGCATTTGATTTGATCGGTTTTTACCTCACTATCCAGTTATTGTAGGCTACTGTAAGCGTATTAATGCGCAGATCTATCTATCGTCTTCTTATGACCTTTAAGATACCACATGACGAGCAATTGAAAACTGAGTGCGATTCGTATTATGATAAGAACAAATGCACTGTTGAAATATGCTTGGCTCGGTAAATGTATTTTCATCTCAACGATTTACCAGAATTACTTTCAGTATTTAGGGATAATCTGTTAAGGTTTTTGAAGTGCTTTCGGCTAGTGGGCTATATACCAGCGCCGCTTTGTAGCGATGGGACAGCCAATACGCAAAAAGTACCATTTGATTTTCGGCCAATGCCATGTCTCTCACGGGACGTACGTTCGTCACAAGTCACACACTTCTTCAACATGACCGCTTGTGATGGTGCGCTAGCGCGTTGGCCGGTATGCATGTGCCTTGCATACTTCGATAAAAAGAAAATACACTCAAATTCTCGATCAGATTTACGTTCATTTCAGAATTTTCCTCGATCGTGCAAGGCGGTCATGCAGCACTCAAGCGACGCCACAGCAGCAGACCAAGCCAGGTCGGCGAAAAGGAGCCTGACCTTCCCGTCTGTCTCCATCGGGAAGTACATCTTCTCCAGCGAGAAGCTGCGCCACGTCAACATGCGCTCCTGCAACGATCGAAGCGGAGACCGGGTTGTGGCCTACATCTGCGACCAGTATTGTGCAGAAGTGCACTGGTCGAAAGTGACAGGCACAAAGCGCTACAAGATGACCGAGCAAGTCCAAGGTAATTTTTGGAGCGCTACAAGATGACCGAGCAAGTCCAGGTGATTTTTGGCCAGTTTAGTAAAATATTTTAATTATCATAAAATATTAACAAAACTTTTGAAACTGATTTATTTGTATCATAAGTACCCCACAATTATAATTGTATAGTACTTTATAGTATGACACTACAAATAATCTTTCAAAATAAGTATACAAAGTACTGGTGTCACGAGTCCATAAGCTGTAACATCTAGAGGATTCGATATGCAACGTCGAAGAACTTGATGCATTTGATTTGATCGGTTTTTACCTCACTATCCAGTTATTGTAGGCTACTGTAAGCGTATTAATGCGCAGATCTATCTATCGTCTTCTTATGACCTTTAAGATACCACATGACGAGCAATTGAAAACTGAGTGCGATTCGTATTATGATAAGAACAAATGCACTGTTGAAATATGCTTGGCTCGGTAAATGTATTTTCATCTCAACGATTTACCAGAATTACTTTCAGTATTTAGGGATAATCTGTTAAGGTTTTTGAAGTGCTTTCGGCTAGTGGGCTATATACCAGCGCCGCTTTGTAGCGATGGGACAGCCAATACGCAAAAAGTACCATTTGATTTTCGGCCAATGCCATGTCTCTCAAGGGACGTACGTTCGTCACAAGTCACACACTTCTTCAACATGACCGCTTGTGATGGTGCGCTAGCGCGTTGGCCGGTATGCATGTGCCTTGCATACTTCGATAAAAAGAAAATACACTCAAATTCTCGATCAGATTTACGTTCATTTCAGAATTTTCCTCGATCGTGCAAGGCGGTCATGCAGCGCTCAAGCGACGCCACAGCAGCAGACCAAGCCAGGTCGGCGAAAAGGAGCCTGACCTTCCCGTCTGTCTCCATCGGGAAGTACATCTTCTCCAGCGAGAAGCTGCGCCACGTCAACATGCGCTCCTGCAACGATCGAAGCGGAGACCGGGTTGTGGCCTACATCTGCGACCAGTATTGTGCAGAAGTGCACTGGTCGAAAGTGACAGGCACAAAGCGCTACAAGATGACCGAGCAAGTCCAAGGTAATTTTTGGAGCGCTACAAGATGACCGAGCAAGTCCAGGTGATTTTTGGCCAGTTTAGTAAAATATTTTAATTATCATAAAATATTAACAAAACTTTTGAAACTGATTTATTTGTATCATAAGTGCCCCACAATTATAATTGTATAGTACTTTATAGTATGACACTACAAATAATCTTTCAAAATAAGTATACAAAGTACTGGTGTCACGAGTCCATAAGCTGTAACATCTAGAGGATTCGATATGCAACGTCGAAGAACTTGATGCATTTGATTTGATCGGTTTTTACCTCACTATCCAGTTATTGTAGGCTACTGTAAGCGTATTAATGCGCAGATCTATCTATCGTCTTCTTATGACCTTTAAGATACCACATGACGAGCAATTGAAAACTGAGTGCGATTCGTATTATGATAAGAACAAATGCACTGTTGAAATATGCTTGGCTCGGTAAATGTATTTTCATCTCAACGATTTACCAGAATTACTTTCAGTATTTAGGGATAATCTGTTAAGGTTTTTGAAGTGCTTTCGGCTAGTGGGCTATATACCAGCGCCGCTTTGTAGCGATGGGACAGCCAATACGCAAAAAGTACCATTTGATTTTCGGCCAATGCCATGTCTCTCACGGGACGTACGTTCGTCACAAGTCACACACTTCTCCAACATGACCGCTTGTGATGGTGCGCTAGCGCGTTGGCCGGTATGCATGTGCCTTGCATACTTCGATAAAAAGAAAATACACTCAAATTCTCGATCAGATTTACGTTCATTTCAGAATTTTCCTCGATCGTGCAAGGCGGTCATGCAGCGCTCAAGCGACGCCACAGCAGCAGACCAAGCCAGGTCGGCGAAAAGGAGCCTGACCTTCCCGTCTGTCTCCATCGGGAAGTACATCTTCTCCAGCGAGAAGCTGCGCCACGTCAACATGCGCTCCTGCAACGATCGAAGCGGAGACCGGGTTGTGGCCTACATCTGCGACCAGTATTGTGCAGAAGTGCACTGGTCGAAAGTGACAGGCACAAAGCGCTACAAGATGACCGAGCAAGTCCAAGGTAATTTTTGGAGCGCTACAAGATGACCGAGCAAGTCCAGGTGATTTTTGGCCAGTTTAGTAAAATATTTTAATTATCATAAAATATTAAGGCTAGTGGGCTATATACCAGCGCCGCTTTGTAGCGATGGGACAGCCAATACGCAAAAAGTACCATTTGATTTTCGGCCAATGCCATGTCTCTCAAGGGACGTACGTTCGTCACAAGTCACACACTTCTTCAACATGACCGCTTGTGATGGTGCGCTAGCGCGTTGGCCGGTATGCATGTGCCTTGCATACTTCGATAAAAAGAAAATACACTCAAATTCTCGATCAGATTTACGTTCATTTCAGAATTTTCCTCGATCGTGCAAGGCGGTCATGCAGCGCTCAAGCGACGCCACAGCAGCAGACCAAGCCAGGTCGGCGAAAAGGAGCCTGACCTTCCCGTCTGTCTCCATCGGGAAGTACATCTTCTCCAGCGAGAAGCTGCGCCACGTCAACATGCGCTCCTGCAACGATCGAAGCGGAGACCGGGTTGTGGCCTACATCTGCGACCAGTATTGTGCAGAAGTGCACTGGTCGAAAGTGACAGGCACAAAGCGCTACAAGATGACCGAGCAAGTCCAAGGTAATTTTTGGAGCGCAACAAGATGACCGAGCAAGTCCAAGGTAATTTTTGGAGCGCTACAAGATGACCGAGCAAGTCCAGGTGATTTTTGGCCAGTTTAGTAAAATATTTTAATTATCATAAAATATTAACAAAACTTTTGAAACTGATTTATTTGTATCATAAGTGCCCCACAATTATAATTGTATAGTACTTTATAGTATGACACTACAAATAATCTTTCAAAATAAGTATACAAAGTACTGGTGTCACGAGTCCATAAGCTGTAACATCTAGAGGATTCGATATGCAACGTCGAAGAACTTGATGCATTTGATTTGATCGGTTTTTACCTCACTATCCAGTTATTGTAGGCTACTGTAAGCGTATTAATGCGCAGATCTATCTATCGTCTTCTTATGACCTTTAAGATACCACATGACGAGCAATTGAAAACTGAGTGCGATTCGTATTATGATAAGAACAAATGCACTGTTGAAATATGCTTGGCTCGGTAAATGTATTTTCATCTCAACGATTTACCAGAATTACTTTCAGTATTTAGGGATAATCTGTTAAGGTTTTTGAAGTGCTTTCGGCTAGTGGGCTATATACCAGCGCCGCTTTGTAGCGATGGGACAGCCAATACGCAAAAAGTACCATTTGATTTTCGGCCAATGCCATGTCTCTCAAGGGACGTACGTTCGTCACAAGTCACACACTTCTTCAACATGACCGCTTGTGATGGTGCGCTAGCGCGTTGGCCGGTATGCATGTGCCTTGCATACTTCGATAAAAAGAAAATACACTCAAATTCTCGATCAGATTTACGTTCATTTCAGAATTTTCCTCGATCGTGCAAGGCGATCATGCAGCGCTCAAGCGACGCCACAGCAGCAGACCAAGCCAGGTCGGCGAAAAGGAGCCTGACCTTCCCGTCTGTCTCCATCGGGAAGTACATCTTCTCCAGCGAGAAGCTGCGCCACGTCAACATGCGCTCCTGCAACGATCGAAGCGGAGACCGGGTTGTGGCCTACATCTGCGACCAGTATTGTGCAGAAGTGCACTGGTCGAAAGTGACAGGCACAAAGCGCTACAAGATGACCGAGCAAGTCCAAGGTAATTTTTGGAGCGCTACAAGATGACCGAGCAAGTCCAAGGTAATTTTTGGAGCGCTACAAGATGACCGAGCAAGTCCAGGTGATTTTTGGCCAGTTTAGTAAAATATTTTAATTATCATAAAATATTAACAAAACTTTTGAAACTGATTTATTTGTATCATAAGTGCCCCACAATTATAATTGTATAGTACTTTATAGTATGACACTACAAATAATCTTTCAAAATAAGTATACAAAGTACTGGTGTCACGAGTCCATAAGCTGTAACATCTAGAGGATTCGATATGCAACGTCGAAGAACTTGATGCATTTGATTTGATCGGTTTTTACCTCACTATCCAGTTATTGTAGGCTACTGTAAGCGTATTAATGCGCAGATCTATCTATCGTCTTCTTATGACCTTTAAGATACCACATGACGAGCAATTGAAAACTGAGTGCGATTCGTATTATGATAAGAACAAATGCACTGTTGAAATATGCTTGGCTCGGTAAATGTATTTTCATCTCAACGATTTACCAGAATTACTTTCAGTATTTAGGGATAATCTGTTAAGGTTTTTGAAGTGCTTTCGGCTAGTGGGCTATATACCAGCGCCGCTTTGTAGCGATGGGACAGCCAATACGCAAAAAGTACCATTTGATTTTCGGCCAATGCCATGTCTCTCAAGGGACGTACGTTCGTCACAAGTCACACACTTCTTCAACATGACCGCTTGTGATGGTGCGCTAGCGCGTTGGCCGGTATGCATGTGCCTTGCATACTTCGATAAAAAGAAAATACACTCAAATTCTCGATCAGATTTACGTTCATTTCAGAATTTTCCTCGATCGTGCAAGGCGATCATGCAGCGCTCAAGCGACGCCACAGCAGCAGACCAAGCCAGGTCGGCGAAAAGGAGCCTGACCTTCCCGTCTGTCTCCATCGGGAAGTACATCTTCTCCAGCGAGAAGCTGCGCCACGTCAACATGCGCTCCTGCAACGATCGAAGCGGAGACCGGGTTGTGGCCTACATCTGCGACCAGTATTGTGCAGAAGTGCACTGGTCGAAAGTGACAGGCACAAAGCGCTACAAGATGACCGAGCAAGTCCAAGGTAATTTTTGGAGCGCTACAAGATGACCGAGCAAGTCCAGGTGATTTTTGGCCAGTTTAGTAAAATATTTTAATTATCATAAAATATTAACAAAACTTTTGAAACTGATTTATTTGTATCATAAGTGCCCCACAATTATAATTGTATAGTACTTTATAGTATGACACTACAAATAATCTTTCAAAATAAGTATACAAAGTACTGGTGTCACGAGTCCATAAGCTGTAACATCTAGAGGATTCGATATGCAACGTCGAAGAACTTGATGCATTTGATTTGATCGGTTTTTACCTCACTATCCAGTTATTGTAGGCTACTGTAAGCGTATTAATGCGCAGATCTATCTATCGTCTTCTTATGACCTTTAAGATACCACATGACGAGCAATTGAAAACTGAGTGCGATTCGTATTATGATAAGAACAAATGTACTGTTGAAATATGCTTGGCTCGGTAAATGTATTTTCATCTCAACGATTTACCAGAATTACTTTCAGTATTTAGGGATAATCTGTTAAGGTTTTTGAAGTGCTTTCGGCTAGTGGGCTATATACCAGCGCCGCTTTGTAGCGATGGGACAGCCAATACGCAAAAAGTACCATTTGATTTTCGGCCAATGCCATGTCTCTCATGGGACGTACGTTCGTCACAAGTCACACACTTCTTCAACATGACCGCTTGTGATGGTGCGCTAGCGCGTTGGCCGGTATGCATGTGCCTTGCATACTTCGATAAAAAGAAAATACACTCAAATTCTCGATCAGATTTACGTTCATTTCAGAATTTTCCTCGATCGTGCAAGGCGATCATGCAGCGCTCAAGCGACGCCACAGCAGCAGACCAAGCCAGGTCGGCGAAAAGGAGCCTGACCTTCCCGTCTGTCTCCATCGGGAAGTACATCTTCTCCAGCGAGAAGCTGCGCCACATCAACATGCGCTCCTGCAACGATCGAAGCGGAGACCGGGTTGTGGCCTACATCTGCGACCAGTATTGTGCAGAAGTGCACTGGTCGAAAGTGACAGGCACAAAGCGCTACAAGATGACCGAGCAAGTCCAAGGTAATTTTTGGAGCGCTACAAGATGACCGAGCAAGTCCAGGTGATTTTTGGCCAGTTTAGTAAAATATTTTAATTATCATAAAATATTAACAAAACTTTTGAAACTGATTTATTTGTATCATAAGTGCCCCACAATTATAATTGTATAGTACTTTATAGTATGACACTACAAATAATCTTTCAAAATAAGTATACAAAGTACTGGTGTCACGAGTCCATAAGCTGTAACATCTAGAGGATTCGATATGCAACGTCGAAGAACTTGATGCATTTGATTTGATCGGTTTTTACCTCACTATCCAGTTATTGTAGGCTACTGTAAGCGTATTAATGCGCAGATCTATCTATCGTCTTCTTATGACCTTTAAGATACCACATGACGAGCAATTGAAAACTGAGTGCGATTCGTATTATGATAAGAACAAATGTACTGTTGAAATATGCTTGGCTCGGTAAATGTATTTTCATCTCAACGATTTACCAGAATTACTTTCAGTATTTAGGGATAATCTGTTAAGGTTTTTGAAGTGCTTTCGGCTAGTGGGCTATATACCAGCGCCGCTTTGTAGCGATGGGACAGCCAATACGCAAAAAGTACCATTTGATTTTCGGCCAATGCCATGTCTCTCATGGGACGTACGTTCGTCACAAGTCACACACTTCTTCAACATGACCGCTTGTGATGGTGCGCTAGCGCGTTGGCCGGTATGCATGTGCCTTGCATACTTCGATAAAAAGAAAATACACTCAAATTCTCGATCAGATTTACGTTCATTTCAGAATTTTCCTCGATCGTGCAAGGCGGTCATGCAGCGCTCAAGCGACGCCACAGCAGCAGACCAAGCCAGGTCGGCGAAAAGGAGCCTGACCTTCCCGTCTGTCTCCATCGGGAAGTACATCTTCTCCAGCGAGAAGCTGCGCCACGTCAACATGCGCTCCTGCAACGATCGAAGCGGAGACCGGGTTGTGGCCTACATCTGCGACCAGTATTGTGCAGAAGTGCACTGGTCGAAAGTGACAGGCACAAAGCGCTACAAGATGACCGAGCAAGTCCAAGGTAATTTTCTGAAATGAACGTAAATCTGATCGAGAATTTGAGTGTATTTTCTTTTTATCGAAGTATGCAAGGCACATGCATACCGGCCAACGCGCTAGCGCACCATCACAAGCGGTCATGTTGAAGAAGTGTGTGACTTGTGACGAACGTACGTCCCATGAGAGACATGGCATTGGCCGAAAATCAAATGGTACTTTTTGCGTATTGGCTGTCCCATCGCTACAAAGCGGCGCTGGTATATAGCCCACTAGCCGAAAGCACTTCAAAAACCTTAACAGATTATCCCTAAATACTGAAAGTAATTCTGGTAAATCGTTGAGATGAAAATACATTTACCGAGCCAAGCATATTTCAACAGTGCATTTGTTCTTATCATAATACGAATCGCACTCAGTTTTCAATTGCTCGTCATGTGGTATCTTAAAGGTCATAAGAAGACGATAGATAGATCTGCGCATTAATACGCTTACAGTAGCCTACAATAACTGGATAGTGAGGTAAAAACCGATCAAATCAAATGCATCAAGTTCTTCGACGTTGCATATCGAATCCTCTAGATGTTACAGCTTATGGACTCGTGACACCAGTACTTTGTATACTTATTTTGAAAGATTATTTGTAGTGTCATACTATAAAGTACTATACAATTATAATTGTGGGGCACTTATGATACAAATAAATCAGTTTCAAAAGTTTTGTTAATATTTTATGATAATTAAAATATTTTACTAAACTGGCCAAAAATCACCTGGACTTGCTCGGTCATCTTGTAGCGCTTTGTGCCTGTCACTTTCGACCAGTGCACTTCTGCACAATACTGGTCGCAGATGTAGGCCACAACCCGGTCTCCGCTTCGATCGTTGCAGGAGCGCATGTTGATGTGGCGCAGCTTCTCGCTGGAGAAGATGTACTTCCCGATGGAGACAGACGGGAAGGTCAGGCTCCTTTTCGCCGACCTGGCTTGGTCTGCTGCTGTGGCGTCGCTTGAGCGCTGCATGACCGCCTTGCACGATCGAGGAAAATTCCAGCTTATGGACTCGTGACACCAGTACTTTGTATACTTATTTTGAAAGATTATTTGTAGTGTCATACTATAAAGTACTATACAATTATAATTGTGGGGCACTTATGATACAAATAAATCAGTTTCAAAAGTTTTGTTAATATTTTATGATAATTAAAATATTTTACTAAACTGGCCAAAAATCACCTGGACTTGCTCGGTCATCTTGTAGCGCTCCAAAAATTACCTTGGACTTGCTCGGTCATCTTGTAGCGCTCCAAAAATTACCTTGGACTTGCTCGGTCATCTTGTAGCGCTTTGTGCCTGTCACTTTCGACCAGTGCACTTCTGCACAATACTGGTCGCAGATGTAGGCCACAACCCGGTCTCCGCTTCGATCGTTGCAGGAGCGCATGTTGACGTGGCGCAGCTTCTCGCTGGAGAAGATGTACTTCCCGATGGAGACAGACGGGAAGGTCAGGCTCCTTTTCGCCGACCTGGCTTGGTCTGCTGCTGTGGCGTCGCTTGAGCGCTGCATGATCGCCTTGCACGATCGAGGAAAATTCTGAAATGAACGTAAATCTGATCGAGAATTTGAGTGTATTTTCTTTTTATCGAAGTATGCAAGGCACATGCATACCGGCCAACGCGCTAGCGCACCATCACAAGCGGTCATGTTGAAGAAGTGTGTGACTTGTGACGAACGTACGTCCCGTGAGAGACATGGCATTGGCCGAAAATCAAATGGTACTTTTTGCGTATTGGCTGTCCCATCGCTACAAAGCGGCGCTGGTATATAGCCCACTAGCCGAAAGCACTTCAAAAACCTTAACAGATTATCCCTAAATACTGAAAGTAATTCTGGTAAATCGTTGAGATGAAAATACATTTACCGAGCCAAGCATATTTCAACAGTGCATTTGTTCTTATCATAATACGAATCGCACTCAGTTTTCAATTGCTCGTCATGTGGTATCTTAAAGGTCATAAGAAGACGATAGATAGATCTGCGCATTAATACGCTTACAGTAGCCTACAATAACTGGATAGTGAGGTAAAAACCGATCAAATCAAATGCATCAAGTTCTTCGACGTTGCATATCGAATCCTCTAGATGTTACAGCTTATGGACTCGTGACACCAGTACTTTGTATACTTATTTTGAAAGATTATTTGTAGTGTCATACTATAAAGTACTATACAATTATAATTGTGGGGCACTTATGATACAAATAAATCAGTTTCAAAAGTTTTGTTAATATTTTATGATAATTAAAATATTTTACTAAACTGGCCAAAAATCACCTGGACTTGCTCGGTCATCTTGTAGCGCTCCAAAAATTACCTTGGACTTGCTCGGTCATCTTGTAGCGCTTTGTGCCTGTCACTTTCGACCAGTGCACTTCTGCACAATACTGGTCGCAGATGTAGGCCACAACCCGGTCTCCGCTTCGATCGTTGCAGGAGCGCATGTTGATGTGGCGCAGCTTCTCGCTGGAGAAGATGTACTTCCCGATGGAGACAGACGGGAAGGTCAGGCTCCTTTTCGCCGACCTGGCTTGGTCTGCTGCTGTGGCGTCGCTTGAGCGCTGCATGACCGCCTTGCACGATCGAGGAAAATTCTGAAATGAACGTAAATCTGATCGAGAATTTGAGTGTATTTTCTTTTTATCGAAGTATGCAAGGCACATGCATACCGGCCAACGCGCTAGCGCACCATCACAAGCGGTCATGTTGAAGAAGTGTGTGACTTGTGACGAACGTACGTCCCGTGAGAGACATGGCATTGGCCGAAAATCAAATGGTACTTTTTGCGTATTGGCTGTCCCATCGCTACAAAGCGGCGCTGGTATATAGCTCACTAGCCGAAAGCACTTCAAAAACCTTAACAGATTATCCCTAAATACTGAAAGTAATTCTGGTAAATCGTTGAGATGAAAATACATTTACCGAGCCAAGCATATTTCAACAGTGCATTTGTTCTTATCATAATACGAATCGCACTCAGTTTTCAATTGCTCGTCATGTGGTATCTTAAAGGTCATAAGAAGACGATAGATAGATCTGCGCATTAATACGCTTACAGTAGCCTACAATAACTGGATAGTGAGGTAAAAACCGATCAAATCAAATGCATCAAGTTCTTCGACGTTGCATATCGAATCCTCTAGATGTTACAGCTTATGGACTCGTGACACCAGTACTTTGTATACTTATTTTGAAAGATTATTTGTAGTGTCATACTATAAAGTACTATACAATTATAATTGTGGGGCACTTATGATACAAATAAATCAGTTTCAAAAGTTTTGTTAATATTTTATGATAATTAAAATATTTTACTAAACTGGCCAAAAATCACCTGGACTTGCTCGGTCATCTTGTAGCGCTCCAAAAATTACCTTGGACTTGCTCGGTCATCTTGTAGCGCTTTGTGCCTGTCACTTTCGACCAGTGCACTTCTGCACAATACTGGTCGCAGATGTAGGCCACAACCCGGTTTCCGCTTCGATCGTTGCAGGAGCGCATGTTGATGTGGCGCAGCTTCTCGCTGGAGAAGATGTACTTCCCGATGGAGACAGACGGGAAGGTCAGGCTCCTTTTCGCCGACCTGGCTTGGTCTGCTGCTGTGGCGTCGCTTGAGTGCTGCATGACCGCCTTGCACGATCGAGGAAAATTCTGAAATGAACGTAAATCTGATCGAGAATTTGAGTGTATTTTCTTTTTATCGAAGTATGCAAGGCACATGCATACCGGCCAACGCGCTAGCGCACCATCACAAGCGGTCATGTTGAAGAAGTGTGTGACTTGTGACGAACGTACGTCCCGTGAGAGACATGGCATTGGCCGAAAATCAAATGGTACTTTTTGCGTATTGGCTGTCCCATCGCTACAAAGCGGCGCTGGTATATAGCCCACTAGCCGAAAGCACTTCAAAAACCTTAACAGATTATCCCTAAATACTGAAAGTAATTCTGGTAAATCGTTGAGATGAAAATACATTTACCGAGCCAAGCATATTTCAACAGTGCATTTGTTCTTATCATAATACGAATCGCACTCAGTTTTCAATTGCTCGTCATGTGGTATCTTAAAGGTCATAAGAAGACGATAGATAGATCTGCGCATTAATACGCTTACAGTAGCCTACAATAACTGGATAGTGAGGTAAAAACCGATCAAATCAAATGCATCAAGTTCTTCGACGTTGCATATCGAATCCTCTAGATGTTACAGCTTATGGACTCGTGACACCAGTACTTTGTATACTTATTTTGAAAGATTATTTGTAGTGTCATACTATAAAGTACTATACAATTATAATTGTGGGGCACTTATGATACAAATAAATCAGTTTCAAAAGTTTTGTTAATATTTTATGATAATTAAAATATTTTACTTAACTGGCCAAAAATCACCTGGACTTGCTCGGTCATCTTGTAGCGCTTTGTGCCTGTCACTTTCGACCAGTGCACTTCTGCACAATACTGGTCGCAGATGTAGGCCACAACCCGGTCTCCGCTTCGATCGTTGCAGGAGCGCATGTTGACGTGGCGCAGCTTCTCGCTGGAGAAGATGTACTTCCCGATGGAGACAGACGGGAAGGTCAGGCTCCTTTTCGCCGACCTGGCTTGGTCTGCTGCTGTGGCGTCGCTTGAGCGCTGCATGACCGCCTTGCACGATCGAGGAAAATTCTGAAATGAACGTAAATCTGATCGAGAATTTGAGTGTATTTTCTTTTTATCGAAGTATGCAAGGCACATGCATACCGGCCAACGCGCTAGCGCACCATCACAAGCGGTCATGTTGGAGAAGTGTGTGACTTGTGACGAACGTACGTCCCGTGAGAGACATGGCATTGGCCGAAAATCAAATGGTACTTTTTGCGTATTGGCTGTCCCATCGCTACAAAGCGGCGCTGGTATATAGCCCACTAGCCGAAAGCACTTCAAAAACCTTAACAGATTATCCCTAAATACTGAAAGTAATTCTGGTAAATCGTTGAGATGAAAATACATTTACCGAGCCAAGCATATTTCAACAGTGCATTTGTTCTTATCATAATACGAATCGCACTCAGTTTTCAATTGCTCGTCATGTGGTATCTTAAAGGTCATAAGAAGACGATAGATAGATCTGCGCATTAATACGCTTACAGTAGCCTACAATAACTGGATAGTGAGGTAAAAACCGATCAAATCAAATGCATCAAGTTCTTCGACGTTGCATATCGAATCCTCTAGATGTTACAGCTTATGGACTCGTGACACCAGTACTTTGTATACTTATTTTGAAAGATTATTTGTAGTGTCATACTATAAAGTACTATACAATTATAATTGTGGGGCACTTATGATACAAATAAATCAGTTTCAAAAGTTTTGTTAATATTTTATGATAATTAAAATATTTTACTAAACTGGCCAAAAATCACCTGGACTTGCTCGGTCATCTTGTAGCGCTTTGTGCCTGTCACTTTCGACCAGTGCACTTCTGCACAATACTGGTCGCAGATGTAGGCCACAACCCGGTCTCCGCTTCGATCGTTGCAGGAGCGCATGTTGACGTGGCGCAGCTTCTCGCTGGAGAAGATGTACTTCCCGATGGAGACAGACGGGAAGGTCAGGCTCCTTTTCGCCGACCTGGCTTGGTCTGCTGCTGTGGCGTCGCTTGAGCGCTGCATGATCGCCTTGCACGATCGAGGAAAATTCTGAAATGAACGTAAATCTGATCGAGAATTTGAGTGTATTTTCTTTTTATCGAAGTATGCAAGGCACATGCATACCGGCCAACGCGCTAGCGCACCATCACAAGCGGTCATGTTGAAGAAGTGTGTGAATTCTGAAATGAACGTAAATCTGATCGAGAATTTGAGTGTATTTTCTTTTTATCGAAGTATGCAAGGCACATGCATACCGGCCAACGCGCTAGCGCACCATCACAAGCGGTCATGTTGAAGAAGTGTGTGACTTGTGACGAACGTACGTCCCGTGAGAGACATGGCATTGGCCGAAAATCAAATGGTACTTTTTGCGTATTGGCTGTCCCATCGCTACAAAGCGGCGCTGGTATATAGCCCACTAGCCGAAAGCACTTCAAAAACCTTAACAGATTATCCCTAAATACTGAAAGTAATTCTGGTAAATCGTTGAGATGAAAATACATTTACCGAGCCAAGCATATTTCAACAGTGCATTTGTTCTTATCATAATACGAATTGCACTCAGTTTTCAATTGCTCGTCATGTGGTATCTTAAAGGTCATAAGAAGACGATAGATAGATCTGCGCATTAATACGCTTACAGTAGCCTACAATAACTGGATAGTGAGGTAAAAACCGATCAAATCAAATGCATCAAGTTCTTCGACGTTGCATATCGAATCCTCTAGATGTTACAGCTTATGGACTCGTGACACCAGTACTTTGTATACTTATTTTGAAAGATTATTTGTAGTGTCATACTATAAAGTACTATACAATTATAATTGTGGGGCACTTATGATACAAATAAATCAGTTTCAAAAGTTTTGTTAATATTTTATGATAATTAAAATATTTTACTAAACTGGCCAAAAATCACCTGGACTTGCTCGGTCATCTTGTAGCGCTTTGTGCCTGTCACTTTCGACCAGTGCACTTCTGCACAATACTGGTCGCAGATGTAGGCCACAACCCGGTCTCCGCTTCGATCGTTGCAGGAGCGCATGTTGACGTGGCGCAGCTTCTCGCTGGAGAAGATGTACTTCCCGATGGAGACAGACGGGAAGGTCAGGCTCCTTTTCGCCGACCTGGCTTGGTCTGCTGCTGTGGCGTCGCTTGAGCGCTGCATGACCGCCTTGCACGATCGAGGAAAATTCTGAAATGAACGTAAATCTGATCGAGAATTTGAGTGTATTTTCTTTTTATCGAAGTATGCAAGGCACATGCATACCGGCCAACGCGCTAGCGCACCATCACAAGCGGTCATGTTGAAGAAGTGTGTGACTTGTGACGAACGTACGTCCCGTGAGAGACATGGCATTGGCCGAAAATCAAATGGTACTTTTTGCGTATTGGCTGTCCCATCGCTACAAAGCGGCGCTGGTATATAGCCCACTAGCCGAAAGCACTTCAAAAACCTTAACAGATTATCCCTAAATACTGAAAGTAATTCTGGTAAATCGTTGAGATGAAAATACATTTACCGAGCCAAGCATATTTCAACAGTGCATTTGTTCTTATCATAATACGAATCGCACTCAGTTTTCAATTGCTCGTCATGTGGTATCTTAAAGGTCATAAGAAGACGATAGATAGATCTGCGCATTAATACGCTTACAGTAGCCTACAATAACTGGATAGTGAGGTAAAAACCGATCAAATCAAATGCATCAAGTTCTTCGACGTTGCATATCGAATCCTCTAGATGTTACAGCTTATGGACTCGTGACACCAGTACTTTGTATACTTATTTTGAAAGATTATTTGTAGTGTCATACTATAAAGTACTATACAATTATAATTGTGGGGCACTTATGATACAAATAAATCAGTTTCAAAAGTTTTGTTAATATTTTATGATAATTAAAATATTTTACTAAACTGGCCAAAAATCACCTGGACTTGCTCGGTCATCTTGTAGCGCTTTGTGCCTGTCACTTTCGACCAGTGCACTTCTGCACAATACTGGTCGCAGATGTAGGCCACAACCCGGTCTCCGCTTCGATCGTTGCAGGAGCGCATGTTGACGTGGCGCAGCTTCTCGCTGGAGAAGATGTACTTCCCGATGGAGACAGACGGGAAGGTCAGGCTCCTTTTCGCCGACCTGGCTTGGTCTGCTGCTGTGGCGTCGCTTGAGCGCTGCATGACCGCCTTGCACGATCGAGGAAAATTCTGAAATGAACGTAAATCTGATCGAGAATTTGAGTGTATTTTCTTTTTATCGAAGTATGCAAGGCACATGCATACCGGCCAACGCGCTAGCGCACCATCACAAGCGGTCATGTTGAAGAAGTGTGTGACTTGTGACGAACGTACGTCCCATGAGAGACATGGCATTGGCCGAAAATCAAATGGTACTTTTTGCGTATTGGCTGTCCCATCGCTACAAAGCGGCGCTGGTATATAGCCCACTAGCCGAAAGCACTTCAAAAACCTTAACAGATTATCCCTAAATACTGAAAGTAATTCTGGTAAATCGTTGAGATGAAAATACATTTACCGAGCCAAGCATATTTCAACAGTACATTTGTTCTTATCATAATACGAATCGCACTCAGTTTTCAATTGCTCGTCATGTGGTATCTTAAAGGTCATAAGAAGACGATAGATAGATCTGCGCATTAATACGGGTCGTAGGCTGCGGCGTCACAGGCTCAGCCGTGGTCGGCTCGGGCGTGACGGGCTCCGCGGTCGTAGGCTGCGGCGTCACGGGCTCAGCCGTGGTCGGCTCGGGCGTGACGGGCTCAGCCGTGGTCGGGTCGGGCGTGACGGGCTCAGGAGTCGTAGGCTGCGGCGTCACGGGCTCAGCCGTGGTCGGCTCGGGCGTGACGGGCTCCGCGGTCGTAGGCTGCGGCGTCACAGGGTCAGCCGTGGTCGGCTCGGGCGTGACGGGCTCAGAAGTCGTAGGCTGCGGCGTCACGGGCTCAGCCGTGGTCGGCTCGGGCGTGACGGGCTCCGCGGTCGTAGGCTGCGGCGTCACAGGCTCAGCCGTGGTCGGGTCGGGCGTCACGGGCTCCGCAGTCGTAGGCTGCGGCGTCACGGGCTCAGCCGTGGTCGGCTCGGGCGTGACGGGCTCCGCGGTCGTAGGCTGCGGCGTCACAGGCTCAGGAGTCGTAGGCTGCGGCGTCACGGGCTCAGCCGTGGTCGGCTCGGGCGTGACGGGCTCAGCCGTGGTCGGCTCGGGCGTGACGGGCTCCGCGGTCGTAGGCTGCGGCGTCACAGGCTCAGCCGTGGTCGGCTCGGGCGTGACGGGCTCAGCCGTCGTCGGCTCGGGCGTGACGGGCTCCGCGGTCGTAGGCTGCGGCGTCACGGGCTCAGCTGTGGTCGGCTCGGGCGTGACGGGCTCAGCCGTGGTCGGGTCGGGCGTGACGGGCTCAGCCGTCGTCGGCTCGGGCGTGACGGGCTCCGCGGTCGTAGGCTGCGGCGTCACGGGCTCAGCTGTGGTCGGCTCGGGCGTGACGGGCTCCGCGGTCGTAGGCTGCGGCGTCACGGGCTCAGCCGTGGTCGGCTCGGGCGTGACGGGCTCCGCGGTCGTAGGCTGCGGCGTCACAGGCTCAGCCGTGGTCGGCTCGGGCGTGACGGGCTCAGGAGTCGTAGGCTGCGGCGTCACGGGCTCAGCCGTGGTCGGCTCGGGCGTGACGGGCTCAGCCGTGGTCGGGTCCGCTTGTGATGGTGCGCTAGCGCGTTGGCCGGTATGCATGTGCCTTGCATACGTCGATAAAAAGAAAATACACTCAAATTCTCGATCAGATTTACGTTCATTTCAGAATTTTCCTCGATCGTGCAAGGCGGTCATGCAGCGCTCAAGCGACGCCACAGCAGCAGACCAAGCCAGGTCGGCGAAAAGGAGCCTGACCTTCCCGTCTGTCTCCATCGGGAAGTACATCTTCTCCAGCGAGAAGCTGCGCCACGTCAACATGCGCTCCTGCAACGATCGAAGCGGAGACCGGGTTGTGGCCTACATCTGCGACCAGTATTGTGCAGAAGTGCACTGGTCGAAAGTGACAGGCACAAAGCGCTACAAGATGACCGAGCAAGTCCAAGGTAATTTTTGGAGCGCTACAAGATGACCGAGCAAGTCCAGGTGATTTTTGGCCAGTTTAGTAAAATATTTTAATTATCATAAAATATTAACAAAACTTTTGAAACTGATTTATTTGTATCATAAGTGCCCCACAATTATAATTGTATAGTACTTTATAGTATGACACTACAAATAATCTTTCAAAATAAGTATACAAAGTACTGGTGTCACGAGTCCATAAGCTGTAACATCTAGAGGATTCGATATGCAACGTCGAAGAACTTGATGCATTTGATTTGATCGGTTTTTACCTCACTATCCAGTTATTGTAGGCTACTGTAAGCGTATTAATGCGCAGATCTATCTATCGTCTTCTTATGACCTTTAAGATACCACATGACGAGCAATTGAAAACTGAGTGCGATTCGTATTATGATAAGAACAAATGCACTGTTGAAATATGCTTGGCTCGGTAAATGTATTTTCATCTCAACGATTTACCAGAATTACTTTCAGTATTTAGGGATAATCTGTTAAGGTTTTTGAAGTGCTTTCGGCTAGTGAGCTATATACCAGCGCCGCTTTGTAGCGATGGGACAGCCAATACGCAAAAAGTACCATTTGATTTTCGGCCAATGCCATGTCTCTCACGGGACGTACGTTCGTCACAAGTCACACACTTCTTCAACATGACCGCTTGTGATGGTGCGCTAGCGCGTTGGCCGGTATGCATGTGCCTTGCATACTTCGATAAAAAGAAAATACACTCAAATTCTCGATCAGATTTACGTTCATTTCAGAATTTTCCTCGATCGTGCAAGGCGATCATGCAGCGCTCAAGCGACGCCACAGCAGCAGACCAAGCCAGGTCGGCGAAAAGGAGCCTGACCTTCCCGTCTGTCTCCATCGGGAAGTACATCTTCTCCAGCGAGAAGCTGCGCCACGTCAACATGCGCTCCTGCAACGATCGAAGCGGAGACCGGGTTGTGGCCTACATCTGCGACCAGTATTGTGCAGAAGTGCACTGGTCGAAAGTGACAGGCACAAAGCGCTACAAGATGACCGAGCAAGTCCAAGGTAATTTTTGGAGCGCTACAAGATGACCGAGCAAGTCCAGGTGATTTTTGGCCAGTTTAGTAAAATATTTTAATTATCATAAAATATTAACAAAACTTTTGAAACTGATTTATTTGTATCATAAGTGCCCCACAATTATAATTGTATAGTACTTTATAGTATGACACTACAAATAATCTTTCAAAATAAGTATACAAAGTACTGGTGTCACGAGTCCATAAGCTGTAACATCTAGAGGATTCGATATGCAACGTCGAAGAACTTGATGCATTTGATTTGATCGGTTTTTACCTCACTATCCAGTTATTGTAGGCTACTGTAAGCGTATTAATGCGCAGATCTATCTATCGTCTTCTTATGACCTTTAAGATACCACATGACGAGCAATTGAAAACTGAGTGCGATTCGTATTATGATAAGAACAAATGCACTGTTGAAATATGCTTGGCTCGGTAAATGTATTTTCATCTCAACGATTTACCAGAATTACTTTCAGTATTTAGGGATAATCTGTTAAGGTTTTTGAAGTGCTTTCGGCTAGTGGGCTATATACCAGCGCCGCTTTGTAGCGATGGGACAGCCAATACGCAAAAAGTACCATTTGATTTTCGGCCAATGCCATGTCTCTCATGGGACGTACGTTCGTCACAAGTCACACACTTCTTCAACATGACCGCTTGTGATGGTGCGCTAGCGCGTTGGCCGGTATGCATGTGCCTTGCATACTTCGATAAAAAGAAAATACACTCAAATTCTCGATCAGATTTACGTTCATTTCAGAATTTTCCTCGATCGTGCAAGGCGATCATGCAGCGCTCAAGCGACGCCACAGCAGCAGACCAAGCCAGGTCGGCGAAAAGGAGCCTGACCTTCCCGTCTGTCTCCATCGGGAAGTACATCTTCTCCAGCGAGAAGCTGCGCCACGTCAACATGCGCTCCTGCAACGATCGAAGCGGAGACCGGGTTGTGGCCTACATCTGCGACCAGTATTGTGCAGAAGTGCACTGGTCGAAAGTGACAGGCACAAAGCGCTACAAGATGACCGAGCAAGTCCAAGGTAATTTTTGGAGCGCTACAAGATGACCGAGCAAGTCCAGGTGATTTTTGGCCAGTTTAGTAAAATATTTTAATTATCATAAAATATTAACAAAACTTTTGAAACTGATTTATTTGTATCATAAGTGCCCCACAATTATAATTGTATAGTACTTTATAGTATGACACTACAAATAATCTTTCAAAATAAGTATACAAAGTACTGGTGTCACGAGTCCATAAGCTGTAACATCTAGAGGATTCGATATGCAACGTCGAAGAACTTGATGCATTTGATTTGATCGGTTTTTACCTCACTATCCAGTTATTGTAGGCTACTGTAAGCGTATTAATGCGCAGATCTATCTATCGTCTTCTTATGACCTTTAAGATACCACATGACGAGCAATTGAAAACTGAGTGCGATTCGTATTATGATAAGAACAAATGCACTGTTGAAATATGCTTGGCTCGGTAAATGTATTTTCATCTCAACGATTTACCAGAATTACTTTCAGTATTTAGGGATAATCTGTTAAGGTTTTTGAAGTGCTTTCGGCTAGTGGGCTATATACCAGCGCCGCTTTGTAGCGATGGGACAGCCAATACGCAAAAAGTACCATTTGATTTTCGGCCAATGCCATGTCTCTCAAGGGACGTACGTTCGTCACAAGTCACACACTTCTTCAACATGACCGCTTGTGATGGTGCGCTAGCGCGTTGGCCGGTATGCATGTGCCTTGCATACTTCGATAAAAAGAAAATACACTCAAATTCTCGATCAGATTTACGTTCATTTCAGAATTTTCCTCGATCGTGCAAGGCGGTCATGCAGCGCTCAAGCGACGCCACAGCAGCAGACCAAGCCAGGTCGGCGAAAAGGAGCCTGACCTTCCCGTCTGTCTCCATCGGGAAGTACATCTTCTCCAGCGAGAAGCTGCGCCACGTCAACATGCGCTCCTGCAACGATCGAAGCGGAGACCGGGTTGTGGCCTACATCTGCGACCAGTATTGTGCAGAAGTGCACTGGTCGAAAGTGACAGGCACAAAGCGCTACAAGATGACCGAGCAAGTCCAAGGTAATTTTTGGAGCGCTACAAGATGACCGAGCAAGTCCAAGGTAATTTTTGGAGCGCTACAAGATGACCGAGCAAGTCCAGGTGATTTTTGGCCAGTTTAGTAAAATATTTTAATTATCATAAAATATTAACAAAACTTTTGAAACTGATTTATTTGTATCATAAGTGCCCCACAATTATAATTGTATAGTACTTTATAGTATGACACTACAAATAATCTTTCAAAATAAGTATACAAAGTACTGGTGTCACGAGTCCATAAGCTGTAACATCTAGAGGATTCGATATGCAACGTCGAAGAACTTGATGCATTTGATTTGATCGGTTTTTACCTCACTATCCAGTTATTGTAGGCTACTGTAAGCGTATTAATGCGCAGATCTATCTATCGTCTTCTTATGACCTTTAAGATACCACATGACGAGCAATTGAAAACTGAGTGCGATTCGTATTATGATAAGAACAAATGCACTGTTGAAATATGCTTGGCTCGGTAAATGTATTTTCATCTCAACGATTTACCAGAATTACTTTCAGTATTTAGGGATAATCTGTTAAGGTTTTTGAAGTGCTTTCGGCTAGTGGGCTATATACCAGCGCCGCTTTGTAGCGATGGGACAGCCAATACGCAAAAAGTACCATTTGATTTTCGGCCAATGCCATGTCTCTCAAGGGACGTACGTTCGTCACAAGTCACAATATGATACAGGCGGAAAACAACACACTGAAAGTCGAGAAAGAGCAGCTCGCGGTATTGCTTGTTGAAAAATATTGTACAGTGTATTTATTTCTAACTGTTGATATGATGCCACAGGAGGAAATTCACATTCTGAGAGCCGAGAATGAACATCTCGCGGTAATATTTGCTGAAAAAAATTCTACAGCTTCTGTTTACTAACTCTAGATATGATACAGGAGAAATATCGCGAGCTAAGTGATAAGTTCGAGCAGATCACGAGCGCTGAGGTAATATTGTTGAACTTCTTGCAGCTTACGTATTTTACTTACCGCCAGTATGATCCAGGCGGAGAAATGCAACCAGGTTGAGCAGCTCGCAGGCTTTCAGGTAATTTATTCGTTGAAAATCTGTACCCTTTATTTTATTTCTAACCGTAGATGTCTTATACAGGAGGCAATGATATCCCAGAACGAGCAATTCGCGGTACTGATTGTTGAAAATGCTCTACTTTTTCTTTTTACTAACTGTATGATATGATACAGGAGCAAAATCGTGTTCTGAAAGAGCAGCTCGCAGACGCTCAGGTACTAGATGTTGGAAAAATTGTACGGTTTCATAGTTTACTAACCGTAATATTTGATATCAGTACAACCTGAACGAGAAAGTCAAGCAAGTCGCAGAACTTCAACACAAAACCCAGGAAATTCGCAAATCGAGTCACAACACGATCCAGGTAATGTTTTCTGCAACCTGGATTTATTTATTTTACTTACCGTAAAAATGTTTTCAGGAACTTCGAGGGAATGTTCGGGTCGTGGTTCGAGCCCGGCCAGCTCAAGGTTCAGGTGGCATCCTGTCATTTGGAAGCGACGGGGCCCGTTTGACCTTGAGCGAGGGCGATCAGGGCCAGTCGTACGAGTTCGACCGGGTTTTTAGCCCTTCATCGACCCAAGACCAAGTGTTTGAAGGTTGAAGAGCTTGAAGGGCTGGTCCAATCCGCCATCGACGGGTATAACGTCGCCCTCTTCGCCTATGGACAGACAGGGGCTGGAAAAACCCACACGGTAAATTTGTATGCATGATTTATTATATTGTCACCAAATGTTCTAAACCCAGTTTGTGTATCAATGTAGATGCTTGGATCTGACACCGGTCAACAGCGCGGGGTAATTCCGCGTGCGCTGGAGAAGATTTTTCAAGAGACTTCGGTTTTGACCGAAACTGGCTGGACGTTCAAGGTTCAAGTGTCCGCCGTCCAAGTTTTCAAGGAGGAGGTGCACGACTTGCTCTGCACCGGCGAGCTTGTGAATCTGAGGCTGATCGAGAGCAAGACCAGCCACCAAGTCGCTGTCCAGGGGTTAACCACCTCGCAGGTACGTTCCAGTGTGGAGGCCCTAGATCTGCTCACTCGAGCAACCGGGCGCCGCAACACTGCGAGCACGGCGATGAATCAGTCATCGTCGCGCTTGCACTTCGTTTTCATGGTGCGAGCCGTGGGGTCAAACCCCGACCGCCATGACAGCGTTGATGGGCTGCTCTATCTGGTCGACCTCGCGGGCAGCGAAAACGCTGGCCGCTTCCAGGTCTCCGGTGAGCGGCTTAAGGAAACGAAGGCAATCAACAAAAGCCTTTGTGCCCTCAGCAGTTTTCAACGCCATCGCCCATGGCCAGCAACATGTACGTGCATCTCATTTTTTATTTTACTGACTTCGGCTGAATTTCTAATCCGTGTTTTGTATGTTTACTTCTACTGTAGGTTCCTTATCGGAACTCGAGGTTGACGCGCCTGCTGGAACCGTGCCTCTCGAATGGAGGCAAGGTGCAACTGGTTGTCAACCTCTCAGCAGATGCTGAGTCTGCTCGCGAGACCTCGCAGTCTCTGCGCTTCGCGGCAACCGCCAAGTCCTGCGCCCTCGGGTAGTCGAGGAAGCGCCGTCACCATGAAGCGTAGTCGTAGCAACAAGAAACTAGCTAGCCAAGCAACAAGAGCAATCAAATTATATGTTTCCATTCATTACTTCAAGTTTTACCCCTCTTGACCTTGACGGAATCGTGTCGCGGGACTTGCGCGCAGTCTTCAGCGAGTCAAACGCGATGTGGGCGACATCGCCCGTCCAAGCGGTACCGATTCCGGGCATGCTGCAATATTTGCACAACGAATCTGCGCTCGAGCAGATTCCAGCTGGTGTTCTCGTCAAGGCAGCGGAGAATGGGCACTTGGATGTGGTGCGCTGGGTTATTGACTGTGACTGGGACGAAGAGGAAAACGAGGAAGATGGCGGTGACGAGGACTATTTCGATACGCCGTACCTGACTTCGCTCGGTGGTGAAGCAAGTCTTGCCATTCACGCTGCGGCAACGAACGGCCATCTTGATGTTGCGAAGTACCTCCACGCTCGAGTTGAGTTGACTGGCCGATGGATTACAAGGAACAAGAGCTGAGTTCCAAGCGTCAGACCATCAGCCTCGAAGCAGGTACTCGGCGACGACCACCCAGCGGCGCCAATTTCGAGCGACACGATGCTGACAGCCGTGAGAAAGGGGTTGGCGGAGGTGGTGAAGTGACTCTGCCTTGAGTTTAGCTGCAACGACACGATTGATCTCTTCCTGCCATCGCATGGAAATGGTTCAGCGATACATGTGATGGACGAAGCTGCAGCCTACGGACATTTGGAGATCGTGAAACACTTTCACGAAATTGCATCAGCGCTCAAGGCCGAGTTCTCAAGGAGCGAGCGGATACTGCAGCGGAAAAGGTGACGGGTGCGATGTTTGAGCAGAAGCGCAATCGCCACGGCATTCAATGCACGACAGCAGCGATGGATGGAGCAGCAGCCAACAATCACCTGGAAGTCGTCAAGTGGCTGCACGAAAATCGGTCCGAGGGATCCACAACCGATGCGCTGGACCGCGCAGCTGGAAATGGCCACATCGAGGTGGTCCAGTGGCTGCACGCTCATCGGGCTGAGGGTTGCACCACAATTGCCATGGATGCAGCGGCCATCTTGGCGTCGTGAAGTGGCTCCATGAGCACGCAACTGAAGGGTGCCCTACACAAGCGATGGACACCGCAGCGGCGTCCGGTCACCTGAGGTTGGTCAAGTGGTTGCAAGACAACAGGCTGCACGAAGGACGCAATGAATGGTGCAGCTGAGAACGGGTTGTAAAGTGGCTCCACGAGAATCGCAGTGAAGGGTGCACGGAAGCGGCTATGAATTTAGCCGCAGGAAGTGGAAAGCTTGAGTGGTGAAATTTCTCCATCGGTATCGAAGCGAGGGCTGTACAGTACACAGGACGCTATGATTGGGGCTGCGAGAGGTGACCACGTTCGAGTCATTGAATGGCTGCATGTGAATTGCCCCGACGATTGTTCAGGTCCAGCTATTGATGAGGTCACTGCACGGCGCTTGAGGCTACGCTGTTCCTCCACCTGGTTCGGAATGAAACGATGAGCCCAGAGGTCATCTCGAATTCCATGGTGAAACATCACCTGGGCATTGGCCACTTCATTGTGGATAACATGCCATGATCGGTGGTATAACTCGAGCTGGATACGGTTCTTTTTAAGCGATGGGGACACTCAGAAAGCTAACGGATATCTACTATATTTTATTCTTGTTGCGGTACAAGGTTCGCAACGTCGCAATGTTTGAATGAAGCAATTCGCGCTGCATGAATTGCCGAGACGAAACTTGATTGAATCGATACACTTACCAGATTCTTTCAGCTTTGAAACTAAGCTGAAGTAGCAGCGGACCAACCAGATGTCGAGCAGTGAAGTGCCAAGCCGCTTGAGTCCTGTTGAGTCGAATTGAGAACTGATTGATTGAATGAAGTTACTCCTGGCATCTCCTAGCAGCTAGACTACTCATGTAGCGCCTTGAAGACACCCTGTGTACCCAAAGCAAGGGTTCAAACGAACCCAGAACGAAACTCAGATGAAGTCAACCCTTACGCCAGGGAGAACAGGCGCTAGTGTCGACAGGGTGCAGAAGGAGTTGTCAGAAGACTGTGGTCGCCATGACACGGCGGCCCACCTCCGGCAATACCCGCGTGCTTTCGTTTCCGCTCGTGCCTTCCAGTTGCTTGCTATAGACTATAGCCATGACTTGATAAGGTTTTGCTGTCCAGTCAGGAGCTGCAGTGCCGACTAGCGTCGTGGGCAGTCCCTTAAAGATGTCACGAGTCCGAAGGAGGACCAGAGCAACCGTCATCCGCTGCATTGAGCTGCTGCGGGCTCTTCGAAAAAGCAGAGCCGAAGACTACGCGCAGATGGCGAAGGCAGCTAGAAGGTTACTTCTGGTTCGATATCGTTTTGGCATTTCGGTTCGCGTGGAAACACTGAATGTCCGGTATCCCGCTCGAACGTGAAGGACTGCGAACAGCGCTAGCCTTACCAGCAAGTGTCACCGTAGTATATCGGCGTAATGGACTGCTAGGAGCTCGTGGCGTTGTTTGGCCAGCAATCCCTGCTGCAGGACCACCAGTAGGTGCGTTCACGAGTAAATTACGTAATATATGAGTCTATGTTCAGATGTGTGATGAAATTTACGCCGAATTCTTCCACCAAGTAGGAAGAATCTTCCTGGAAGATGGAGCGGCGCGGCGTGGGCAAGCGGCTCACCGACGGCCAGCGCGTGGAGATCCTCAAGCTGCTCGACAGCGGCGCCCTCGTGAGCGAGGCCGACGTGGCGCGGCGCTACGGGGTCACGCGCTCGGCCATCTGGCGCTTGCGGCGATCAGGCCGCCGCATTCTCGAGCGCTACCAAGAGGGCGACCTCCAATCTCGGAACGAGCGGCGCCGCGGCTCCAGGCCCAACCACAGCAGCGGCAGCAGCAGCGACGCCCAGTCAATGCAAGCGCTCGGGGCGGCCGGGCCAGCGCCAGTGCCAATAGCAGCAGCAGCAGCAGCAGCAGCGCCCGCGATGCATCCAGCCAGCTCGATCCGGCCGATCCCGGCCCCCGCCCAAGTGACGGCCGACTGCCGGCCACAGCCACAGCAGACGCCGCGACATCAGCAGCAGCAGCAACCGGTCCAGAGTCTGGAGTCCATGGCGCCGCTCGTGTTCATGGCGGCCAAGGCCATCGGCAGCGTCCAGTCGCCCGGCGTCGTCAACTGGGAGCGCGTCAGCGGCCACGAGGACGAGGACTTCTTCGAGGTCGTGAACGACGGCGTCTCCGTGCTGCAGCCGGGCACGTACCAGATCAACGTGGACCTGCAGCACAGCCAGCCGAGGGTGAACTACAAGTTCGTCTTCAAGGTCTGGCACGGTAAGACGCTGCTGGGCCAGTGCTCGACCCCGCTGAGGACCAAGAAGGAGGTCTCACTGAGCCTGCTGGAGATGAGGTGTCAGCTGCCGGCGCTGGCCAAGCTGCGCGTGGAGTTCCTGGCGCCCGGGTTCGCCTTCCACGACAGTCGCATCGTGCTGCGCCTTGTGCAGTAGCTCCAGAGGCTGTCGACGGTGGTCAAGTGCCCGAAGGTGAGTGTGGTGCAACGCATTTTTTATTGTGTTGATGTATGTGAATGTAACGGGAATTGACGCGCTAACGGGTTTACCGCTGCTGGTGGTTGATGTAGCGCATGGCCAGCGCCGTGAGCACGCGGAAGAACACGATCATCCCGACCATGATGCCGAAATACTGGGCCACGTGCGCGTTCTTGATGCCGAAGACAGCCTCGACGTACGTCTGCACTGGGATCTCTCCGACTGTGGCAGGCGCGTTCTGCACGATCTGGCAGCCGTGCGGGTAGTCGGACATGTCGAGCGGCGCGATGCCGCCCGGACTGGCGCTTGCCACCATGATGTTCACGAGCTGCTTGTTGGAGCACTTGCCGAAGGCGATGGCTGCGAGCGCAGAGAACGAGTAGCGCAACGGCGCGATCGCGTAGAGCCACTTGTAGCCCTGAGGGATCTGCATCGCCGGAGGGTTGAAGCCCATGACCAGGAGGCAGATGGCGTTGAACAAGATGCCGATCACTGCGGCGACCTCGATGCTGGGCAGCGCGAAGACCAGCAGTTGGCCCATGTACGCTTGGAAGAGGATCATCAGAGCCACGTTGATCCAGTACACGACTCCGTTGACGAAGCCCTCCAGCCCAACCATGGGGTAGTAGATGACCGTGAACAGCGCGGCGCCGACGAACACGTACGGGAGCTCGACGATCGTGAAGCTGACGAAGTACCAGAGAGCAGAGTAAGTTTGTGATGCGCGCTCTCGATAGAATGCGGCTCGCTCCTCGAACGCCATAGGCAGAATGCTGATGAAGGACACCCCAATGAAGACCGTCGAAATGAAGACCATGCCAAGCCCGCTATTGATGCCCTGGTAGGTTTTGAACTCTGCGCTGATGTACACCAAGCCGAAGACCAAGCCGAGGAAGATTGAGATGCAGAGCCGAGTCAAGTTGTACGATGGAGTGTGCCAGTACATGGTGAAGAAGCGATCAAGAAGGAAGCGGAGCTGCGTGGCGCTGGACGCCGCACGCTTCTTGGAGTAGCTCACCGGCTTTAAGTGGTCGGACGACTGGAACAGACCAGCTTCGGTCATCTTGCCATCGAGAGACTTCTTGTTTGCGCTGGCATGGAAATACTTGACGAAATCAATGGGCTGCTGGTCTTCATTTGCCTGGCCGACTTGGCGTTGGCTTGCGACACCTGCACCGATGACTTCCAGCATCCATGTGGCGGGGTTGTATCCGTCCGTGATTCGCTGCACACTCGGAATGGCTTCAAAATAGTTGATTAGGGCACTGCATTCGTGCCCCAGGTCGCCGAAGTACACCGTCTCGCCGCCGCGCTTGAGGAGCAGAAGACTATCGAACAAGTGGAACACATCGGTAGACGGCTGATGGATGGTGCACAGCACCGTACGTCCCGAGTCTGCCACCTTTCGGACTCCGTCCATGATGACCTTGGCAGATCTCGCGTCAAGTCCACTGGTGGGTTCGTCCAAGAAGAGGATACTCGGCTGCGCAGCCATCTCGACACCGATCGTGAGGCGCTTCATTTTCTCCATGGAGCTGCCTCGGATCATCTGGTCCGCGATTTCTTCAAGGCCAAGCAGCTCGAGACACTCATCAACAGTGTCGAATTTGCGGCTGTCGGGGACGTCCGAGCCCTGACGAAGGAAAGCTGAGAAGGTGATGGCTTCGCGAAACGTTGAGCCGGTCGAATGGATGTCGTTCTGCTCACAGTAGCCTGTGCAGCGACGAACGCTCAGGTCGGAGGCCTCGAAACCATTCAGCAGGATCTTGCCCTTGATTGTTCCCTCGGTCTTGCGTCCAGCAATCACGTCGATCAACGTCGTCTTGCCGGCGCCAGTCGAGCCCATCAAGGCAGTGATTTTTCCAGGGGGGGCGTATCCAGTAATACCCTTCAGCAAGTCGAGCGACTGTACCGGTTGACCAGGTCCAGCAGGAGCTTGCACGGTGTACCAGAGGTCTTTGAAGGCGACTGAAACAGGATCCACATTTCTCTCGGGGTGTGAGCTGTTCACACGAAGCACCACGTCCCCGCTGCTCGGAGTGTCCGTCCGTGGAGACTTCATCAAGCCGTAGCCTTCCTCGTCATCGGTGGAAGCAGTCTCCTTCTCTTCGTGTGGCAGCGCGATATGCTCTGGTCGTTCGTAGCGGTGGTACTCGAGCGCAAAGTACGACATCATCATGAAGAACACGTAGGCGCCTGCCATGAAGAGGATGCCGTACCCCACCCAGCTCTTCTCCGAGGGCACGTCGAAGAGGCTGAGGGCATATTGACCCATGGTCATGTTGTACGCCGCGCAGTAGTCCACGCTCTCGTAGACGCAGACATCCAGCTCGCTGCTGCGGTACTGGCTCACGACGGCGCTGCGCACGGTCCAAGCCACGGGGTCGATCCCGTAGAGCCAAATTAGCCAGTCGGGGAGGCTGTTCTTGGCCACGACGTAGCCGCCGAAAAGAATGAAGATCATCAAGTTGACCATTGCGACGGGCTTGGCGATGCTCAAGTTCGGCGTCGCTGCGACGAGGAAGAAGAACAGCGCCAGGAACACCAAGATGACGAGCATGAGGAAGAGCTCGAACAGCAAGTACGCGCCCGCTTCGTTCACGAACCCGCCCACCCAGTAGACGAGCGAACCGAACATGAGACTCTCCAACAACGCCAACGGGATCTGGCTGATTGACGACGCCAGCACGAAGGACGAGGTGCGGTAGAAGTTGGCGGCGCGTTGCTTGTAGAAGACGTTGCGCGAGTCGTAGAACGTCGACAGCATTGCAGCTTGGCCCAGCCCCAGGAAGAGCATGGCGGCGAAGATGACGCCCATCGTGACTTGGGTGTCCGCCATGTCCATTTGGTAGAAGAGACTCGCGAAGATGAGCCCCATGATGATCACAAGCATCGCGCGGCCGATGAGGAACGCGTGGTTGCGCTTCGTCAGGATGAACTGGCGCTTCATCAGCGTCCACGTGCTCGGCCAGAAGCTCTGATGGAACTCGCGCACTGGTTTCATGAAGTTCGCAGCGTCGACGGAGTCTTTTAGGGCTGCAGCTCGCGCATCGTCCTCACTCTCAAGCACTTGGTAGAGCGAAGAGTTGACCCACAGATCGGCGAACTCGCTTGCAAGCATCGGGTGGGTGGGATGCTCCTGAGGGGGTCGACCTTGCTGGTACTGGATCTGCTGGGGCGTGGCGAGGTCGCACAGGAAGTCGGCGATGTCTCTCCTCGGCGGACAGATGAAGCCAAGTGACTCGAAGTAATGCTGCACCTGAGACGTGGGTCCATGGTACAACACGCGGCCCTCGTTAAGGAGCAGGACGCTGTCAAACAGCTCAAACACCTCAGGCGACGGCTGCAGGAGCGAAATGACCACCGTCTTGTGGAAGCGCTGGGCCATACTACGCTGCGCCGCGATAATGTCGAACGCCGCAGCGCTGTCAAGTCCCGTCGTGATCTCGTCCATGAGCGTGACGTACTTCATGCCGAACTCCATTTCGCCGGTCGTCATGCGCTTCTTCTCGCCACCGGAGATGCCGCGGTGAAGCGCATTGCCCACGATCATGTGCTGGCAGTCTTCTAGTCCGAGCGTCTGGAGGACGATCTCCGGGTAGTGCTTGAAGACGCTGCTGGCGGCTTGCAGAGCAGACGCGTTTTCCGCTGGCAAGCCACGCGAGAGGAGCTCCGACGTCCGCTTGTCCAGGTGCGGGCCGCAGCACTCGTGCGCGAACTCGAACGTCTCGCGGACGGTCATGGTCGGCATGTGAGTGTCATTTTGAGTCACGTAGTTGACGAGTTGCGGTAGGCGCTTCAGCAGTTTCTCGCGGGGGACGCCGCTATACGTCATCTCGCCCTCGACGGAGATCTCTTTCTTCATCGGGAACCGTCCGCTCAGCAGCTTCATGAGGGCCGACTTGCCGGCGCCGGACTGACCGAGGATAAGTGTGACCGTTCCTGGGCGGAAGGAGCCTGTGACGTCGTGCAGGATGTGCTTGCGCACCGAGTGCTTCTTGGCGGAGACCGCGGCGACCTTCTTCATGACGTGGTTGGGCAGCGTCGGCAGTTCGTTACGCGGGTCGGCGATCTCCTGGTCGTTGGCGTCCAGGCGCCGACGATGCCGCGGGTCGTGGACAGCCACGAGGTCGGCTGCCAACGACACGTGCTTGAAGTGCACCTCCATCTGGGCCATCGCGCGCCCGAGCGCGGTCTCCACCTTGGCGGAGATGTCTTCGTGCAGTGCGTACGGACCGCGTGCCATCATTTCCTGGCCGGTGTTGTACCCGACTGGCGGCTCGGGGGTTCTTGGCTCGGCCACCATGGCGCCCAGGGTGAACAAGGTTGAATGTGGCTTGTGGCTTGAGTGGATTTGCTTTCGACTGGTAAGTTGAGGAATGAGGGAGCGAGTATGGCAACTGCAGTCGAGTCTACCGAGCTTGCAGAGGCTGGATCACGCCCCGAACCATGGGCCGTCATCGCCTGTGTGGTACGGCGCGGTGCGTAAGCGGGCGCGATATTTACCGCTGAGAAATGATGACGGCCGCGCATCTTTTTCGCCAAATCGTGCCGTTTCGCGGGCACTTCAACCTGCTTCAGACTCGACGACTGCAGTTCGAGCTGAGGTTCATAATTCTGGGGGAAGATTGCTGAGTACGTTGAGCGTCCATGGTGACGCGCACCTGAAGGTGGTGACCAACAAAGACGTGTGGCTCTGCCTTGCCGTTGGCTGGCGATGTGGTGAAGCGAGGCGTTATGTTGCTTTGGTATCAATACCTTTCGCACCAAGGGGGCTGCTTTCAGTTGGGTGGAGAAAGCGTTTGAATTGGTGTCTTCCTGCGTCCAGTTCGGTCCATGAAGTACGACTACTACGCAGGACCTTGAAGCTCAATTCTGAAGTTTGAACGAATCGTGAACCACCCAAGCTGGGCTCTTTAGATCTGGGTTTTATTACGACCAGCGGTGCTCGCGCATCTTTTTTTCGACGAGTACGCGGTAATCACATTGAACTGAGCGGGGTTAAGAAGAACACACACTTGGCCTAGCGCTGTTGGTGGTTGCTGTACCGCATGGCGATCAAGGCGAGAATGCTGAGCAGCCCGATCATCCCGAGGAAGATGCCGAACGACCGCACCGTCTCGTCGTAGACAACGCCGAATACCTGGTCCACGTAGGTTTGAATGGGGATGGAACCGATCTCGGGCGGGGCGTTCTGCAGTATCTGACAGCCGAGCGGGTACTTGGACATATCGATCGAGGCCAAACTGCTCGCGCTGGCTGCAGATGCCAGGCTAGACGAAGACAGCGAGGCACCGGATACAGTGGCAGCGGTGGCAGGTGATGAAGCGCTCGTAGCCGCACCAGTCGCCGCTGCCGCCGCATTGGCAGCGGATTCACTGGCCACGGATGGGGTAGCGAGCTGGATCTCGGCCAGCTGCTCATCGGAGCACTCACTGAAGACCGTGCCCACAAGCGCCGCGAACGAATACCTGTGTGGAGAGATCGTGTAGAGCCACTTGTAGCCTGACGGGATCTGGTTCGCTGGCGGATTGAAGCCCATGAGCATGAACGAGATGGCGTTGATCTGCATCCCGATGATCGACGCCACCTCAATGCTAGGCGCCGCGAAGATGCAGACCTGCCCCAGGTACGACTCGAAAATGATCATGAGTGCCACGTTGATCCAGTAGAAGACGGCGTGAGTGAACCCTGAGAAGCCCACCATAGGGTAAAAGACGGCGGTGAACAGCATGGCACAGACGAACACGTTTGGAATCTCCACAACGGTGAAGCTGACGAAGTACCAAAGCGTATTGTATGTTTGCGATGAGCGCTCGCGGTAGAACGTAGCACGCTCCTCAAACGCCAGTGGTAGGACACTGATGAGAGCGACCAGACCGACGAAGACCGTGGAGAGGAAAATCAAGCCGAGGCCGCTGTTGATTCCCTGGTAGGTCGTGTAGTCCGCATCGGAGAACAGCAAGCCGAAGACCAGTCCGAGGAGAACCGAAATACCGAGACGAGTCAAGTTGTAGGAGGGTGTGCGCCAGTACGTGATGAGGAAGCGGTGCAGCAAGAAGCGGAGTTGAGTGATGTTCCGGGCCGCGCGCTTCTTGCCGTAGGTGACGGGTTGGTACTGCTCCGAGGGCTGGAAGAGACCAGGCTCCGTCAACTTGGAGTCGAGGAGCATCTTGCTGGCACTCCTATTGAAGACGTCGACAAAGTCGATGTCCTCTGTCGGCTGCTTCTCGCCGCGCTCAGCTACACCAGCACCAATGACCTCCAGCATCCACGTCGCCGGATTATATCCGCGTTTGATTCGCGGCACGCTCGGAATGGACTGGAAGTAGTCGACTATCGCTCGTGCTTCGCTGCCAAGCTCTCCAAAGTACACGGTCTCACCGCCCTTCTTGAGCAGCAGCAGACTGTCGAACAAGTGGAAAACGTCCGAGGACGGCTGGTGGATGGTGCACAGTACCGTTCGTCCGGAGTCAGCGACCTTGCGTACGCCGTCCATGATCACTTTCGCGGACCGTGCGTCGAGTCCGCTGGTGGGTTCGTCGAGGAAGAGGACGCTCGGCTGCGCTGCCATCTCGACACCGATCGTAAGACGCTTCATCTTCTCCATGGAGCTGCCTCGGATCATCTGGTCTGCGATTTCATCCAGGTCGAGCAGCTCCAAGCACTCGTCGACGGTGTCGTACTTCTCACTGTCGGGGACGTCGGCTCCTTGTCGCAGGAACGCCGAGAACGTGAGCGCCTCGCGGAAGGTCGAAGCTTTCGAGTGAATGTCCGTTTGCTCGCAGTACCCGGTGCAGCGTCGAACGCTGAGGTCCGAGGCTTCGAACCCGTTGAGCAGAATCTGGCCGCGAATGGTGCCTCCAGTCTTCCGTCCAGCAATTACGTCCATCAAGGTCGTCTTGCCCGCACCCGTCGAGCCCATGAGCGCTGTAATCGATCCAGGAAGTGCATACCCAGTGATACCTTTCAAGAGATCGAGTGCGTGGGCTGGTTGGCCGGGACCACCGGGGACTGAAACAGTGTACCACAAGTCCTTGAAGGCCACCGTCACCGGTTCCACCTTCTTCTTGCGGGCGATTCTATCCATGCGGAGGACGGTCTCCGTGCGTGCGTCGCTGTCCAAGATGTGGACGTCGGATGTGTAAGGCGACGCCATCTGATTGAAGGCGTTGTCTTTGGCCTCATCGGTCTTCGCCTTGCGGTCTTTCGGTTCCACGGGCAGCGCGACGTTCTCCGGGCGATCGAATCGGTAGTACTCGAGGACGAAATACGCCAGTAACGTGAACCCGAGGAAGATCAGCAGCAAGAAGACGATGCCGTAGCCGATCCAGTATTCCTCCGAGGGAACGTCAAAGAGGCCGAGCGAGAACTCGCCCATTGTCTGGTTGTACATGGCGCAGTAGTCGAACGCGCCGTAGACGCACACGTCGAGCTCCGGGTGGCGGTACTGGCTCACAGCGACGGCGCGTACGGTCCAGGCGACGGGGTCGAGCCAGTAAAGCCAAAGCAGCCACTCGGGGATCTGGTTCTTGGATACAACGAATCCAGCGAACAGAACGTACAAGAGCACGCAGACCATGGCGGCAGGCTCGGCGATGCTCAGGTTCGGCGACGCAGCAGCGAGGAAGAAGACGAGCGACAGGAAGACCACCAGAATGAGCAGGAGGAAGAGCTCGAACATGAGGAAGGCCCCCAGCTCGTACACGAAGCCTCCGACCCAGTACACAAGCGACCCGAACACGACGGTCTCCATGACCGCCAACGGGAACTGCACCAGCATTGTCGCCACCACGTAGGACGAGGTGCGGAAGAAGTTGGCAGCTCGCTGCTTGTAGAAGACGACGCGCGCGTCGTAGAAGGTGACGATCCAGGCCACCTGCCCCAGTCCCTGCGATAGCACGGACGCGTAGATGACCCCCATGGTCATTTGCGTGTCGTCCAGACCGAACTGGTAGAAGAGACTCGCGAACAAGAGCCCGACGACGATGACGAGCATCGCGCGGCCTTGAAGACACGCCGGGTCTCTCTTCATGAGAATCATTTGCCGCTTGGTCAGCGCCCACGTGCTGGCCCAGAACCCCTGGTGGAATTCCGAGACGGCCGCCATGAAGGCCTCAGCGTTGGCAGCCATCTCCTTGGACTCTCTCGCGTCCGCCTCCGCCTCGAGCTGCTGGAAGAGTGGGGAGCGGACCCAGAGATCGGCGAAGTCGCTGGCGTTTCGGGGGTGCACTTTGCGGCCTCCGAGAGGAACCCCCAGTTCGTATTGAGCCTGCTGCGGTGTAGCGAGGTCGCACAGGAAGTCGGCGAGGTCTCGTTCCGGGGGACAAATGAACCCCAGAGACTCGAAGTAGCCCTGCACTTCGCGCGTGGAGCCGTGGTAGATGACGCGCCCTTCGTTGAGCACCACGACGTCGTCGAAGAGCGCGAAGATCTCGGGCGACGGCTGCAGCAGCGAGATGACCACCGTCTTGTTCATCTGCTTGGCCAACTTGCGCTGCGCCGCGATGATGTCGAAGGCGGCGGCGCTGTCGAGCCCCGTGCTGATCTCGTCCATGAGCGTCACGTACTTCATGCCGAACTCCATCTCGCCCGTCGTCACGCGCCGCTTCTCGCCGCCAGAGATGCCGCGATGCATGCCATTGCCCACAATGGTGTGCTGGCAGTTGTCTAGCCCAAGCGTTCGCAGAACCACGTCCGGATAGTGCACCTCAGCGCTGCCTGCAGGGACGGCGTTCTCCGCGGGAGACCCGCAGCACTCGTGAGCGAACTCGAACGTCTCGCGCACGGTCAGCGTCGGCAGGTGCGTCTCTGTCTGCGTCACGTAGTTGACGAACTGCGGCAGACGCTTCAGCAGCTTCTCGTGGGGCACTCCGTTGTAGGACATTGTGCCCTCCACGGTGATCTCGTGGTGCATGGGGAACCTCCCGCTCAGCAGCTTCATGAAGGCCGACTTGCCCGAGCCCGACTGGCCCAGAAGGAGCGTGACGGCACCCGGACGGAAGGAGCCCGAGATGTCCTGCAGAATGTGCTTGCGCACCGAGTGCTTCATCCCGAGCATCTTCTTGACCACGTTGTTGCTGGACTCCTTGGATTGACTCCAGTCGTCGTTGGTGGAGCCCAGGTCGGCCGTGAGCGACAGGTGCTTGAAGCGCACCTCGATCTGCTGCAGGTCGCTCTGCATGCTCATCGTCTTCCGCCGGATCGCAGTGTCTCCCACCATAGTCACCGAGCTACGACCGACACCGAAGCTCGCTGTCCGCTTCTCGCGCGTCGGCGTCGGCGTTATCACGTACGAAGCCTTGTCGACTTTCTCCAACACGCCCATGGTTTGCTACTGGTACTCTCGAGGTGGGGCGGTTGGCGGGGTTGTCTTGCGCTGAGCAAGTTGGGGAATGAGGCTGAGAGAGGACAAAGGGCGTGGATTTGTTCGCCTTCAGGTTGTCGAATCGGCTCGAACGAAAGCTGAGCTAAAGGTGTGCACGAGCACAATACTTTAAACTACGCGCTTGAAAGCCATGTAGATGTGGCCACTTCTCTCCGTCCTGGGTCCTTTCTGAACCAAAGGGAATGGCTACTGCTGGCGTCACATACTTCAGCGTCCGGCGACTGGAAAGACACTCATGGCAATTTGTCTCCGGATCTCGAAAACCGAGGGGTTCTTTTTGTCGCGTTCACAGGGCAGTAGCGCCATCTCACCGCACGACCCCCTGCAGTGTCAAGTCGTTTAGTCGTGTCCGGTTGATCTCTGTTGGAACTGCACTTGAAGTCAAGTGTTCTAAGCCGCAGCTTAATGTCAACTTTTGCCCCGTAGGAGCTCTGTATCCTTCTTCTAGTAGAAGCGGACCCCTTCAGCGCCACTAGTCCAAGATAGACCCAACGCTCCATGACACGGCCATGATCGATCTGTCTAACTGTTATTCGAACAAAGTAGCGCTGGCTTGATCATGGACGTGGTAATATTAACGAAGCTTTTAGTCCTGCTCGCGAGGTTATCGCTCCATGCTGCATGCATTGGTACTTTAAGGTGAGGATTCAATTGGCACAGTGCCTCATACTGTAGTAATCGACAAAGGATCACACACTACAGGAAGGTACCCACCGCTCTTCTCTCTCGCAGCAAAGTGGCCAGCATACTTGAGTCTCGACGTCATGTTGCGACCACTTAGCAAATACAGCCACCGAAATCAAGGCAGGAGGCCCAGTGAGGTCTCTTTGCCCCTGCGACTGAAGTTCAGTTAAACATTGCCATCGCCATCGAGTTGCGTTCTTCGAGTTGCGTACTTCTCACGATCGAATAAGGTCCGCTCCCTGTGTGATGTGCGCAATGCTGTACTCACTCGAGCACTCACCAAAGATATTAGCGCTCCTCGTCCTCCTCCTCGACAAGTGACGGCTTCTGAAATCAAGCGCTTCAGCAAAGGATACAAACGAGCACTCGACTGTGCTTTTCGGCATTACTGCTTACCAGATTGCGATTTGGATGGTCGACGATATCAATGCTGCAGGCTTCATTTGCGGACAATGAAAGAGCCTGTTCGACAGCGTTAGAAGTGCCCTCACGCCATGCGTACTGCGAGGCATACACACGCGGTGGGCCCGATAGGCAACAGACGATGGAGCCGACAGGCAATGGACGTTGGACAGAACCAACTTGAGAAATTGACAGACTTGGGCTTCGAACACTGAAAAGGTAACCAAGCTGTTTGGAAATCCACAGTGCGCCAACGGTGGTCGACGTGCGGTTCGATTTCAGCAGTTGCCTAACTAGCGCAATGAAGTGAGTCTCGTGGCCAGGGCCTTCCTCCACGTGACGCCCACCGACGCACTGCCGCGGTTGGGGATAAGAAGTCTGCAACGCAGCGACTTCCTGCTACATCAGGTCTGTTCGCTTAGGCTGCTAGCGTAACGAGTTTGCTGACTCAAGAGAACCGGAGCTAGCTGGAATTTCGGCCCAGAATCGACCAGAGAAACGGAGACGACGCTCGCAACAGCAAACGAAGCACCATACAACGTAGCAGCACCGAAGCAATCATCGAAAGTCTATAGCCATTACAGTACGATAGCACTGGAGTCGAGACGTTCGCTGAAGAAGGCGTCCAGCTTGGCAGCAAGAGGCATGAATGCGTCTGGGTTCAAGTAGCAGGCGACCGCCGCGAGGGCCTCGAGAAACTCAGCCAGAGTCAATACAACGCTCTCATCGTGTTGTCCAGCCTTTGCCTTGCTCTTAGACCCAACACTCCTCGCCTCTGTCACACTGTCACCCGTGGTCGGTAGTGTGTCCGAGGCTCCAGTTGGCACTCTAGCCAAGTCGAAGTGGACACTGTCGCGCTCAAGCTGCAGCGTCTCGGCCAGAATGTGCTGGACGTCGTCGAAGTGCAGCAAGTTGTCGCGAAAGAGGTCGAAGTGCTGGCAGCAGTTGACAAACCCGTTCGCAGACAGCATCTTAGCTGTGCCCCGGAGCCCGGTACTGTCCTGACTAGCAAAGCGCCTCTCGGTCTTCGTCTCACTCAACACAAAGTGCGAGTACATCGATCGAAGTTTCTTGTGGTGCGTGGTGAAGACCTCCCGACACTCGAACGTCAGCAGCTGCGGTCGGAACGCGTTGCTCTTCTCGTCAGAGTGCATGGCGTTCGGGAAAATAATCTCCTCTAGAAACTTACGGAAGCGTAGTGCTAGCGGTAGAGTGAGCGTAGTATCCGCCCCTTGTTTCCACTGCACCCGATCACTACGGACGATGTGTACCAGAGCCTCCACGAACTCTGCTGGGGTCATCTCCCTTCCGTTGGTCCCACCCGATTCTTTGGACGGAGCGGACAGTATGTGCGTGAGTGGTAAAGTTGAGGTGGCGGCCCCCATTGAGGCTGCGACGTCGGGACTCACCTTCTCGAACACGCTCTGGAGCAAGTCGTACGGGAAGCACTGAGCTCTGCCGAAGACTTCGCACTCTTTGAGGAACGCATAGAACTCTGCCAACGACATACACGCCGAGATCTTGTAGAAGAACCGAGCTTCGTCCACGGGGCTGCCCCCAGTAGAGCTGCGATGGGATCGACTGCTGTCGATGTTGGCGTAGAAGCGGTAGATCCGGCGCAGATGCTCGTAGTGCTCGCCCAGCACTTCTTCGACCCGTTGCAGCTCGTCTGTGAGCTCTTCCGGCGTCTGCTTGCTGTCGTTTTGGCTCGTGAACGCCTGGACAAGCTTCGGGATGTGCAGCGTAGTGAGCATGTACTTCTCGCGCCATACTCTCCGATCGACCAGTTCAAACGGAGCTTGCTCGCGCCCTCGGCGTGCGAGAAGACGGAGCGCGTCTTGCTGGACACGGCGTTGCAGACATCCCCACACCCTCATGGCGATACTGCGCTTAGAACATGCGTACTGCACCGTGTTGACTGCATTCTGTAGCACAATGCTAGCCTTCGCCAGTAATTGCGGGGGCGACGTCACTTCCGGGGGTGCCTTTGTCGCCTCCAACACGTCGAATGGGGTGTGGAGCTCTCTCCATTGCGACCTCACGGAGTTCCAGACCTCACGAGCTTCATTCAGAGCCACTTGAGCCTCGCACCATGGGTACTTATTGGTAGAGTTTGATGTCTGCACAGTCGTAACTTGCTGCTGAGTACTGAGGCTCGGATGTTCACAGACCAGGAAGCTGAACAAGCAGAACACCAAGTCGCTCGCTATTTCGCTGCTCAATACGTGGTCGCTTAAGAACGCTGGGCACGCCGGGTTCAGCTGCTCAGCCAACGCAGCGCGCAGCTCCTCCCGAGTCGGAAAGGGGGTTTGCCTTGACGAAGCACTAGCAGCAGCAACACTGTCAGCCGCAGCTCGTGACAGAAGCATGAACGCGCTCTGCATTCTTGCAGCTCTTGGAGGGGTCCGTCGCCTTTTACACATCAACACCCGATCAAGAATATGGCGAAGCGCGTAGTAGTTGTGCATGTCGGAGGAGAAGTTCTGAATCAAGCCCGCGTTGAATGGGGAGAGGTATTTGAATGAGCCCCCGCACTGTTCGAGCTGAAAGTTGATCCATCGCAGCACCAACAGCTCGGAGGGTAAGCGGAGGAGGTCGTTCTCGTCCTCGCCTTTCATGACCAGCACGCCCATATCGACGTAGTCCTCCACGGAGACAGCGTCCAACATGTTTTGCAAGTAGTCGCACTCGCAGTCCACGAAGGCGAAGCAGAGCTTCCCCCACTGGTTGGAGATCGTCTGCAGTTTGCGCTCCTGGCTCTGTCGAACGCGCAGTTCCAGTTGAGTGAGCAGTTCTTCGAGCGACAGCGTGTGTCGTTTAGCCAGGTCGAGGTGTTCGCGGTGGGCTTTCATCTCGACTTTGGCGCCTTCAATCTGCACTTGCAGCCTGCCGATGAGCTCCTGGTAGTCGTGCTTGTTGTCGCGGTAGAGCTGGATCTGCTCGTGGGACTTGCGCACTTTTTCGGCGACGGCGTAGTCGCTCCAGCGCCGGAACAGCTTCATGAGCCGCTGCTTGGTCCAGCGCCAGCGCGTCTTCTCCAGCAGAACGCGCGTGTACTTCTTGCGGATGATGATCTTCTTCCAGTCCGCTAGCGTTTGGCGCATCACGAGACGACCCCATCGGTTGGCGACGCGGTCGACCATGAGCTCGTTGTTACGCAGTCGCTTGAGCATGAAGTCGTTCAGCGAGTCCAAGCGGGAGCTACATGTTGTAGACCAGTGTATCAGTAGATGAACGTAACTACTTGGGAATAATGAGGAGAAACACTCACAGACGTTGCTCTAGAGCCTCTTTCTCCGCCAGAACCTCCTTGAGCTCGGTAAAGTAGGCGCGACGCGCTAGTGCCCCCTTCAATGCCTCGGGGGCGAAGCCCGCGGTGGACTCCAAGGTTGAAATATTGTTTGGTTCCTCTTCTCTGTGTGAAGGATCCTTCATGTACGTGGACTTCTCGAGCTCGACTCGTGTAATCTGCGTGAGGTTCTGGAATCGCGGGAACTTGGAGCTGAGTTTTGAGAGAACATCGAAGCAAATCGCTGTACGCAGCGGATTTGGGACGCCCAAGTGTTCGGTTGACTGTAGTGCCTTGGAGAAATCGTACTCGAAGCGAGAGGCTGCGGTTTTGGGCACACCCTTCTGTCAGATCAACTACATTTTGTCGCTATCAAGTACAATTGGCGCCACCTTGCTGCTCGAAATTCAGCTCTTCCGACCCGCACTTGGCCCTCCACGTCTCGATGTTCCGCAGTCGCTGCGTCTTGAAGTAAGATTCGACTTGTTCATGTTTCAGCGGGGCCAGAGTGTTGTCGTTGGCCTTCGCTGGTCCGTTCGTCACCTCCTGATTGCCCGCTCCAGCTCCATCTTCAGATTGCATCGCGAACTCGGCCCAGCGACCTTCTCGTGGGACGTTGCCAAGATATCGACCGATCGATCGGTGATCGTTTCGCTCAGCCCAAGTTGGCGCCAGCGCTGCTATTCCTGACGATTGATCGTTTGGGGGGGTGGAGTTCATTCATGGCTCCCTTTCATCACTGCAGGCACAGATAATTTGGCCGTATACCCAGCAGCCACCAATGACCGACTACGTGCCGTGCGCGACGCCCCCTGCCCCTGCCAAGGGCTTCTTCTCGAGCATGAACCCGCTTTCGCTTTTCGATGATGTGGAGACGCTCACGCCGCACGAATTTCTCCGCGATTTCTACACGCGTCAAGGCCTGTACGACAAGTTGGAAGACGTGGACGCGTTGGTGGAGACGTACGGCCACCAAATGCACATCCTGTACGCCGAGCTCGACAAGAAGTGCGCAACGAAACTTTTGAGTATTTTCAACCACCCTCCGGGTCTATCAACTAATCTGCTTTGCATGTAGGTACGGCACCTCATTTTGTACCAACCCTCCACCTGTGGCGTCTGAAACCCGCATCGCGGAGCCCGTCACACCGTCATACACGTACGCTGCTCCCACGACCCCCAAAAGTCCCGGTAAAGCTCCGGTCAACAAAAGTACGGCTCTAATTACACGTATTTCAACGCATAGTAACTGAGCTAACTTAACGTGACGTGACTTTGACAATACCTCAGTTGTCCTGTTGGGGAACTCCGGAGTGGGGAAGACCAACTTGATCAGTCGCCTGCACAAGGGCGAGTTCAATGAGGAGTTCGCGTCTACGATCGGTGTCGAGTTCCTCACCCACGTGGTGAAGGTCGACAACGCGGACGTGAAGGCCCAGATCTGGGACACCGCAGGACAGGAGCGGTTCCACGCCATGATGTCGACCTACTACCGCAAGGCTGCAGGAGCGCTGCTGGTGTTTGATGTCGGGAACCGCGCGAGTTTGCAAGACGTCGAGCGGTGGCTCGATCAGCTGCTGAATGTCGCTGAGCCCGGACTGCACGCCACACTCGTCGGCAACAAGTGCGACCTGCCCGCCGACAAACGAGCGGTGACAGCAGAGGAAGCCCGACAGTTTGCAGCGGCCCACCACATGGCCTACGTTGAGACGTCCGCCAAGACGGGCCTCAACGTCGAGGAGGCTTTCCGTGGCCTGGTTGCAGCCATCCACAGGGCGAGACTGGCGGACATTCAAGAAGCCACTCTCGCTACAGTCGAACTCAGCGGCAAGAAGAGTAGCTCCAACTCGCTCTTCGACTGCAAATTCTTCTAAACACTTTCGCTAAACACAAAATATGAACTTGATCCAATTCCTCAGTATTTTCAAACGATTAGATCCTTCATCGCTGCTGCTACTCTGTTGTACCGCACTGGGCTGCGAAACTTATCAGATCTGCGAGTTGCTCGTAGATTTCTTGTCCACCGACTCGATCATTTGGCTTACACGAGATGATAACTTCGATATACTATTCAGATAACCAGGAAACGTCAGAAATTTAACAGTGGATGAAGACAAAAGCGGTTGACTTGCGTACCTCTAGCAGCGAGCGCTTGGTCTCGTCGTAGCGGCGTTCCAACTCTGAAGAAGAACAGGATTAGTAAGTCTGAATAATATCGACTTTCATTTGAGATGCAGGACACTTACCTCGAACTTGTTGCGTTTCTTCCTTCAGTATCCTCGCGAACTCTGCCGTTTTCACTCCAGGGGCGCTGGGTCTTGGAGATGTTCGAGGTCGGTCCTCAGGTCGGCTCTTAGCTTTCGCTTTGGTGCTCAGCTCGGAGTTTTCAAGCAGTGACGCCGGACCTGCCGACATGACTGGGCGCTCCACCACCCGATTCCGAGGCAGGCCGTACCAGCGACGCAGCTTGGACGACGACGTGGGTTTTCGAGGATCGTATTCCTTCATGTGGCCCTGCTGCTGGATCTGCATCTCACTCCGGTTCAAGGCGACGCGCAGCGCCTGCATCTCTTGCGTGTCCATTAACCTCGGAGTGTACGGGCGGTAGTCAGAGGTCACTTCCAGCTCGGAGACGCCCTCTTCGAACCAAGTTTCGCTCTCGTCGTTTTCCCAGGCTTGTCCGTCGCTGTCGCGCTCGCAGTCGTCTTGGCCTTCGTGTTGGTTCATCCTGGGCTGGTACTACTCCGCACTTGCGAGATCGATGGCGATAAACAACACAGTTAGACGAGAGTTCTCCACCTATTCTCCACCTATTTTCGGCACGCGATAGCAGGCAGATCGCTGGTTTCTCTCGAGGTGCACCCGAGACACTGTGAGCGAAAGCTCAGAGAGGATGTACGTGGGCGAGGAGGTCTTCGGAAGGCAAGTACACCAGAGAGTTGATCTACTATTAATAATATTAATTTAATATTAGTAAAGGAGAAATATTGATGGATCTGCAGAGTTGTATCGGACGTTGGTGCTGACTGATCGGTTGTCTCAATCATGACCGCAGCAGTTGTTCACACGTGAGTACAAAGATTTTGACGAGGGCTTTGGAAATGTCCTGTGTTCGCTGCTACTGTCCACGTATAACCTTGCTCGGCAAGTGTATGCTCCAAGCTTCTGCTCGCACACCGTCGCAGCGCATGACAACCACCTCGCTATAGCACTCGACGCCAGCCTGTCAACGTGACAAATAGCTCGCGCATAACCAGCAGCGATGAGCGATTGTGCCACATGGCTGGAACCACAATCAAACCTCGCAAAAGTTGACGGCAGGGGGCATGAACCGCAAGCGTTTGCACCGCATTATGGCTCGAATTCCCAGCCGCAATTCTTCGACTCGTTGCCCCTGAAGCAGGCTAAGCCATCGTTCATTTTCTGATTCCCCGGCGACCAACACCTACAACGCTGTCCCCACCGCCCGCCCACGTCGGCTACAATGCCAACCCCGGAGGTCGTGTACACTTCGGGCAAGGAGATGCTGGGGCATGGGCCCATGGAGCTGCACCAGGACATCGCCACCAAGATCGAGGCCGCTCTCGGGGAACCGTTTCCTCGGATGGGAGTTCGCTTCAAGCACGTGTCGCTCTCCGCCGACCTGGTGGCGTTGACAACCAAGGACCCACAAACAGCCGATGAGCTACCGACGCTCACCAACGAAGTCCTGAAAGCTTTCGCGTCGCGGTCGTCCAAGACGCGCGCAGTACGGAAACCCATTCTGCAGGACGTCACGGGGTCCTTCCGACCGGGCACCATCACGCTCGTGCTCGGTCAGCCTGGCTCGGGCAAGTCGGCTCTCATGAAGCTGCTCAGTGGACGCTTCCCCATGGGCAAAGCCGTCACTCTGGAGGGTGAAATGACCTACAACGGCGTGGCTCGCGAGACGCTATTAAAGCGCCTGCCGCAGCTCGTCAACTACGTGACCCAGACGGTCACGCACTTGCCCACGCTGACTGTGCGTGAGACGCTCGAGTTCGCCTACGAGTGCTGCGGCTCCAAGCTCAGCGCGTGAGCGGAGGCTCATCTAGCTTACGGATCCCCGGAGGAAAACGCTCGTGCTGTTGACGCGGCGCGCGGCGTCTTCCAGTACTACCCGGACATCACTCTACAGTCTCTCGGGCTCACCGATTGCCAGAACACGATCGTGGGCAACGAAATGTATCGAGGCATCTCCGGAGGCGAGAAGCGACGCATGACCACAGGCGAGATGGAGTTCGGGCTCAAGTACGTGACGTTCATGGACGAGATCAGCACGGGGCTCGACAGCGCCGCTGCCTTCGACATTGTCGCTGCCCAACGCAGTATCGCCAAGAAGCTCCATCGCATTGTGGTGATCTCACTGTTCCAACCGTCACCGGAGATTTTCTCTCTGTTCGACGACGTCCTCCTTCTGAACGACGGTCGAGTGCTGTACCATGGACCCACGCAATCGGTCCAGAGCTACTTCGAGTCGTTGGGGCTGACTTGTCCGCCCGAAAAGGACATCGCCGACTTCCTCTGTGAACTCGCTACTCCCGACCAAAGCGTGTACGAGTCCGTGCAGTCGATTCCAGGTCGTATCGCACCTCCACGCACTGCTCACGAGTACGCGGACCGCTGGATGACGCCACCACTCTTCCAGCAACGAGAAGCCGAAGCGGACGCACAAGATTGACAAGTGAACGACCACAGCAACGTCACGAGGAGGTGCATGGCCGACGTAACGGAGTTCCAGCAGAGTCTCCTGGCCAGTTTGCGGACGCTTCTGAAGCGTGAAGCCATTCTGAGCAAGCGCAACGACGCGTTCGTAAAAGGCCGACTCACTCTCGTTCTCATCGTCGGCCTCATTTTCGGAAGTCTCTTCTTCAGATGGATCTGGCGGACGCTCAAGTCTCGATGGGCGTCATCTTCGCGGCGTCCCTCTTTCTTGGTCTCGGTCAAGACGCAAACCTCGTCGTATTCTACGACGCGCGTAGTGTCTTCTACAAGCAGCGAACCGCCAACTTCTACCGCACCGCTGCATATGTACTCGCGTGCTCGCTGATCGAGATTCCGCTGGCCCTAGCGGTGAGTCTCATCTTCGGGTCGCTGGTGTATTGGCTTGGAGGTTTGGTGCACGAGGTGGGGGCGTTCCTCCTCTTCGAGTTCTTCCTCACTCTCACCATCTTAGTGTTCGCAGCCATGTACTTCCTGTTGGCGGCAGTGTCACCGAATCTCAACATTGCCAAACCCGGACTGGTTGACGTGGCTCTATTGGCTCGACCCCGTGGCGTGGACTGTGCGCAGCATTGCAGTGAGTCAGTATCGCAGCAGCAAGCTCGACGTCCGCGTCTACAAGGGCGTGGACTACTGCTCGACCTACGGCCACACCATGGGCGAGTACTCGCTCGGTCTGTTCGATGTGCCCTCCGACAAGACGTGGGTGGTCTACGGCGTCGTCTACTTGGTCGCGACGTACGCCGCGATCATGACGATCTCGTACTTCGTTCTGGAGTATCACCGCTACGAGCGGCCCGAAAATGTGGCACTGCCTCACGACGAGTCTGTGGACGAGGTGCCAGCGGAAGCAGCGTACAATTTGCTAGCTTCACCGCACGCGAGTAAACCCGAGAAGAGCTTGGTATTGGCGATGATGACGTCGTTGTCAATATGAAGACTTCGACGCACCAAATCAAGATTCCGCCCCTGGTCGTCGCTCAAAGACTTGTGGCACACCGTCTCGGTGCCTGGCGGTCGAGGCCAGCCTGCGAAGAACGTCGACTTGCTCAAGGGGATCACCGGATACGCCTTGCCAGGGACGATGACAGCGCTCATGGGATCCACTGGAGCTGGCAAAACCACGCTCATGGACGTGATCGCGGGTCGGAAGACGGCAGGCATCATCAAGGGCGATATCCTGCTCAACGGGTTCCCGGCCACCGACTTGAGCATCCGCCGCTGCACCGGGTACTGCGAGCAGACCGACGTCCACTCCACCGCTTCGACGTTCCGCGAGGCGCTAACGTTCTCGGCGTTTCTCCGCCAGGACGCTACAGTCCCCGACAGCGTCAAGTACGACACGGTGGACGAGTGTCTGGAGCTGCTCGGGCTTGACGACGTCGCCGACCACATCATCCGTGCCAGCTCCATGGAGAAGATGAAGCGCCTCGCGATCGGCGTCGAGATGGCTGCGCAGCCGAGCGTGCTGTTCCTGGACGAGCCGACCAGCGGCCTGGACGCGCGCTCCGCCAAGTTGATCATGGGCGGCGTGCGTCGAGTGGCCGACTCGGGACGAACCGTGCTTTGCACGATCCACCAGCCGTCGTCGGACGTCTTCTCTCTCTTCGACAGCTTGCTGCTGCTCAAGCGAGGGGATGAGACGGTGTACTTTGGTGAATTAGGGCGTGGGGGCAGCTCGATCGTCCGGTACTTTGAGGCCATCCCGAGTGTCCCTCGCATCGAGAAAGGCTACAACCCGGCCACGTGGATGCTGGAAGTGATCGGAGCCGGTGTCGACAGCCACCGCAAGGCCGACCCAAGCGTAGCCACTACGCCAAACGGACCCCAGCAGGCGGGGATAGCGTCACCACCGACTTTGTGTCAGTCTTCAACGCGAGCTCCAACAAGGCGCTTCTGGACGCCAAACTCGCGGAGTCGGGGCTCTTCCAGCCGTCGACGGAGCTGCAGCCCCTGAACTACGCGGGCAAGCGCGCGGCCGGCAACGCCACGCAACTGCGCTTCCTGCTGCGGCGCTTCTTCACCACGTACTGGCGCACGCCGTCGTACAACCTGACGCGCCTCGGCATCTCGCTGCTGCTGGGCTTCATCTTTGGCTTCGTCTACCTGGGCGCCGAGTACGACACGTACCAGGGCATCAACAGCGGCCTCGGCATGGTCTACCTGTCCACCATGTTCGTCGCGCTGGTGTCCTTCATGAGCGGACTTCCGCTGGTGTACGAGGAGCGGTCGGTCTTTTACCGCGAGCGCGCGGCGCAGGCCTACAACAGCGTGTGGTCCTTCCTGAGCTTCAGCCTCGTGGAGATCCCGTACGTGCTGGCGGGCGCGGTGCTCTTCACGGCCGTGTACTACCCCATGGTGGGGCTCGGAGGCCTGGCCGAGGCCGCACTCTACTGGGTCAACCTCGCGCTGCTGATCCTGTTCGAGGCGTACCTGGCGCAGCTGGCCATGTTCTCGTCCCCGACCATGGAGCTCGCGACCATCCTCGGCGTCATGATCAACGCGTTCGGGCTCATGCTCACGGGCTTCAACCCTCCGGCGCTGCAGATCCCGGCGGGCTACAAGTGGATCTACGACGTCTGTCCGCACCGCTACAGCTTCTCCGTGCTGGTGGCCATCGTCTTCGGCGACTGCTCGGACGCGCAACTCGCCGAGATCGCGCTCGCCAGCGCCAATGACACGAGCGCGCTGGGCCTCTCGAGTGCTCACAGCGTTGGCCATGCGCTTCGTCAACCACCAGCGGCGTTAGGTACAAATAGATGCATCTACAAGTTGAAGTTGATATCATGTTCCACCAATCAGAGCTCCGTTATGTGAACAAAAAATGTGTTCACGAGTTCAAAGATGTTCACCTTGAGCAGATATAGAAGGCAACTAACCATTGCCCTTGCCTGCAACTCGCGAAGTAGGAGAGATTTTATTTTGTCTACTACGGTAGCCATTAGAATCCTAAAATCCACGGCGGCGGAAACACTAATACCAGCCCAATCTTTCTTCAAGCAGTCTGCAGCATCACTACCGGTAAGCTCCCGGCACCCAAAGTCTATGGGTCTCATAAAAATCGACTGCGCCTGTGGGTTAGTTGAATCGCGATTCGTACATGGTTGATTACATCACTTTGTTTAATCGCGATTCGTAGCTAAGTTGATGAGTACTATCAAGTACAGTACATGTACACAACCGTAGGTGGAGCAGCTTTACTGCATTAGCAGTGCTATTCTGGAATTAACAGCAAGCTTTGGCTGCTACGTGTACATGATATAGGCACGCGCTCGCGTCAGTTGCGACGGGCACAGCGGGGTATCTCTCGTCAGATAACTTGTTGAAGCGCTGGATTGTAAGGGAAAGCTGCAGGATCGGTTGTGCCCCTTCTTTCGAGTGTTTGCCAACTTGGCACTGCCAACGTCTGGGTGGCTCCAATTTGTCAATCGTCGACAACCAGCCTCTTTCTCACTTCCCAGAAAGCGCGCCCGGAGGACGATGCGGCGCTTTTTCCTCGTGTTGCTGGTTGTCGCCCTCTTCACGGTCGTCGATGCTGCTTTGACGACTTCGGTAAGGAAATTGACCACGCTAAGTACTGACCTCCCCGGCAAGAGGTTATTAAGAATTGAGACAAAGAGAGGGAAGGACAGTGGAGGAGGAGAAGAAGAAGGAGCGAGCGATCACTGCTCCTGGCCTGTCGAAGCTGTCAAAGGTTAAAGAGTGGTCGTCGAAGGTGAAAGAGTGGAGGCTGTCCAAAGTCAAGGAGTGACCTTGACAGATTCAAGGCCTGGTACGCCGATTACAAGCAGGTGAAAGCCTGGACGAAGGAGAAGAAGACGCCGGACGAAGTATTCAAGCTGCTGCAGCTCGACCAAAACATCGATACCGTTCTCAATAGCCCAAAGCTCACGACGTGGGCCAGGTTCCTGCTGTCCTACAACAAGAAGAGCGAGAATGATGTGACCTTGCTCGGAACGCTGACCAAGTTCTACGGCAACGAACCGTTGGCGAAGATTCTCGAACTGTCGAGATGGAAGTCGGATACGAGGCTACTTGCTAGCGGGCTGCAGAACGCGCAGTTGACTGGTTGGCAGGGCAACGGGCTGACCACGGACATCGTCTACAGTATGCTGAAGGTTGGCGATCAGAGCGTGGAGAAGCTGCTCGCGAACCCGGCGTTGCACGTCTGGACCTACGTCTCCTTTCGGAGGACCGCGCACGACCCAGAGAGTTACGTGTACATGGTCATAGTTGATGGCGTCGTACGACGAGATGGGACTAGCCAAGGCGATCCAGGTGGCGACCAAGGACAAGATGGTGACCGAGTTTATCTCCAAGCGACTGCCGACGGCGCAGTTCAAGTTGTGGAAAGAGGAAGGCCGGGCGCCGAAGGAAATCTTCAACATGCTCAGCCTGGACACGAACAAGTGGCCATATGACCCCAACGTGGAGGTCTACAGAGCATACAAGTTGTATCTATTGTAGGCATTTCGTGTTACTTGTTTTATGAAGCGATTCATGGTCTACCGCAACACATTTGTGGTGGCTCGCTTCAAGTGGTGCGATGCTTCGTCGCCACTTGTGGATGGTCAGTGGCGTGTTGCTGGAGCCAAACCATCTTGAATTCCAAGCTGGAACGTGAAGTGACCCACCTTGATTAACAGTTGAAGTTGTTAATATCATTTTCCACCAATCATCGACCGTCGTCCGCTCGACGGGCTCCGTTATGTGAGACTTGTGACTCAGGCGCACCGCTTCGTCGCTAAGAGCCTAAGTCCGCTCACTCGCTCGTTCGCCTGCGGTTGGACAGCAGCAGCCACGCGCGTCTTGGAGGAAGGCGGATCCTTCGCGGAGTGGAGTGATCGCCGTCGATATGGTACGAGCGAGAGTGCTGTCTACCTGCACTTGTGTGTAGCCATTGGGGCGACTGCAGCTTCAGATTCCGAGTGAACTTTGTTCTGACGTTGTGGCGACGACATGAATCGTAGGCATCCGATGCACAAGATCCGCAGCGCCGCGCTGCCTCGTCACAGCCGACTCCGCCGGAGCAGTTCTCCATCTTCCCAGCCTTCACGCCGGACCCCATTCGACTGGCGGAACTCGCGGGCTCGTCGCTCTACTCGCCGCCAGTTTCGTCCCGAGGGGCGGAGACGCGGGAGATCTTCGCCTCAGTCAGCAACGGTCAGGCGTTCTTTGAGCTGCTGGAGGCTCGCGGACTCTCGCTCGGTCCTGCAAGTGGTGGGGGCTCAGAGGGTGGGGACTCTACCGGGAATGGAAGGATCGACGTAGTTCGCTGCGAGGACGGGAGGAGGAGGACGCTGCTGCACCAGGCGTGTCGGTGCGGCAACGTGCAGGTGGCCAAGTGTCTGCTGTTCCATGGAGCCAACGCCTCGGCGCGGTGTCGAGATGGGAGGACGCCGTTCCACAATGCGGCGGCGTCGACGCGAGCGACGGCGCTGCAGCTACTGAAGCTGCTGTTCGAGCACGACCCGACAGGAATCACAGCGGTGGACGCGAATGGCTCGCATTTGCTGCACCTTGCTGCTATTCACGGCAATCTCGAAGTTATCCAGTGGTGTGCAGAGCTGACAACGCAGCCGACCGGCAAGAAAGATGCGTTGAGGAGCCCCAGGCCTCTCATATCTCGATACATGGTGCCGCTGGGGGTCACGTCCTTCAGCGGGCGGAGTATTCTCCACTATGCAGCGTACAATGGACGCTTGGATATACTGAAATGGCTTCTTGGTGAGGAGAACCCGCGTCGTGGTGAGCTGGCGTTGGGCGCGATGGACGCCAATGGGTATTCCGTTCTGCATTACGCAGCGATGGGGGCGCCGCTGGAAGTCTGTGAATGGCTCGTGCTCGAAGCCCCACCGCGGCATCAACTCAATCTGACAGCAAGAACCAGCGAGGGGAAGTCAGTTGTGGAACTTGCTGCAGCTCGGCCAGCTTCTATCCAGAAGTTCCTGGCTGAGGTGACCAGAGTGCCGAGTGTTCCTTCAGGTTTGCGTTGTTTAGGCGCAGACACGACTTCGTTGGGCGTGGGCTGGGACTTGGAGCCGGCCAGCACAGACACGCGCCTTTGGGAGACTCTGAAGCCCTTGTACTTCCACTTGGAGGTGTGCAAGAAGCCCGCGAGCTTATCCCATGCCAGTGGATTCCTCACAATGCTCATGTTAATGCCACCGGCATCGCCAGCGAGCCCGAGAGCATCGCCAGCTGTGTCTTCTGCGCTGCTGTCAGCAACATCCTTGTTGCACTGGGAACCGCTCGGCGTTCTACTACAGCCTGAGGCACGTGAACATTGGCTCTGTGGACTGGAGAAAGACACCGAGTATCTCGTGAGAATGCGCGCACGGAATCGCAATGGCTTCAGCGGATACTCGTTGCCGAATCTCTCTGGAGTATTCACGACTAGCGATGGTGGTCGACGCCGCAGCACCTCAAGTCTCCAACGGTTCTTTGGGGCCATTAAAGTGGATCCGCCGATGGAAGACATCGCTCTCTCGTTTATTGGAGACCTGCACTTCGAGCTGATAGAGGCTCGAGGTCTACCGCGTGCCAGCACGTCCACTCTGTTGGCATCACCAATGAGCCCGAAGTCCCAGAAAGCTTCTCAAGGGCGCTACTACGGAGTGGTAATCATTGAAACACCCGCAACACCGGACGTCGAATGCAGTGGAGACTCGCGCGCCAGCAACAGATTAATTTATTGCGTGCGGTCTCCGCTGGCATCGCTGCAGCAAGATCTGGTGCTATCCGGGAGCTCGCAGGTGTGGCGGCATCCTCGATTCGCACTCAGCACTGTGTTTCGTGTACCCGAGTCTCTCTCGAACACCCAAGTAACCATCGCCGTACACCACGAAACCCAAGGACAATGTGATTCAAGCTGCGTCGGTCGACTCACACTCTCCCTGCTCGATCTGGTGCAAGGGATGCCGGCTAAAATGCAGTGGCTGCCTCTGATTATTATGAACGACCAACAAGCCGATAGTAGGGTAGTTCTGCTGCGTACACTTTTCCTCCCGAACGGAATCTCGGAGCTACCGCATCCGACAGTGCCCGATATGTGGGGCTCTACGGCTGAGGAACTGCTCAGCACACCACAAGCGCTGACATCTGGAAAAGGAGATGAAATTGGAAGGGGTTCGCCTCCCAGTTCGTCGAGTTCGTCAGCGTCGACATCTTCCACCTCCTCGTGCTCAAGCTCGTCGCCGTTCTCACACTCCTCCTCGTGTGTAGATCGATTGGGTTTTGCAGTTTTTGATCCCGAGATGCAGCTACGGAATGGCGAGTGGTGTCCCCGCAGAGTCCCCTCTGGAGCTACGAGGTCCTACGCGTACTATCAACTCTTGGTCGATGCTCTGGAACGGCTACAGGAGACACGATGGCGAAGTCTCCGGTGCAAAGTTCATGCTGGGAAAACGAACGAAGTGCCTTCCGTCTGCTACGTTAAAGGTACGAACACTTCAACTGGCAAAAACTGCGACGACTTTTTCGGACCTGAACCGTGTTCCTTCGGCACGAGTGAGCGACGAGAAGTGCGGGAGCTGGTCTGGCGGGGGATACCCATGTCTCGTCGAGCCGAGTTGTATTCACAGATGAGCGGGGTGTCTACGACTCAGCACCAATTCCCGCGAAACTACTTCTTGGGCCTAACTCATCGACTCGAAGACCCGGCGGATGCGGTGCATTCTGGAGCGAAGAACTCGCGCTTCGCAGTCGCCAAGAAGCAGATCCAAGTGGACTTGAAGCGCACTTTTGCTGGTAATGACGAGTGCTGGCTCACGTCGGATGCAGGGCAGAAGTCGCTACAGCGCGTGCTACTCGCCTATGCGCTGCACAATGACGATCTGGGCTACTGCCAGTCCATGACGTTTGTCGTGGGGCGTCTGCTGTGTCTGTTCCACAGCCAAAGTTGCGATGGTGAGGCTGAACTACCGATTCAAGACGAGGAACGCGTGTTCTGGCTCCTTCACGTGCTCTGCGAGGACTTCTTCCCGTCCTACTACACGCAGGGAATGACTGGGTTGCAGGTGGACGGCGCCGTGCTGGAAAAGCTCATGCGGATGCGGCTCCCGAAGTTGTACCGGCACTTCCAGCAGCTGCACACGCCTCCGATGGGACTTGTACTCGTAACACAATGGCTGCTGCCGCTCTGCTGCGCCGTCTTCCCCAGCGAGACGACGTTCCGGTTCCTGGATGTGCTCTTCTACGAGGGATCCTCGGTTGTGTTTGCAGTGGCGATCGCGCTGCTACGCGTCTCACAGCACGAACTGCTGGCCGAGAATGTGGACTACACGCAGCTTTTCCGCTTTCTCCGCGCCCGAGACCAGCGCCTTCACGACGCACCATTGCTGATGGAGGTGGCGTTTGAAGAGCACCAGCTACTCGCGCCTCAAATCGGGTCTCTACGACAGCAAGCGGCTCGAGAACTAGGCATCGACCAGGACCAGCAAACGTCAAAGCCCGCACGCGCCAAGAAGATGTCCAAGCTTCCAGTCGACGAGTTGAGACCGGGAGACGTCGACATCAGCATCTGAGACCCCGCGAACTTCTACAGGAATTCAATGTTTATTAGCACAATACTGCAACAACCGTGCCTTTTACTCGGCCAGCGTGGCCGTTGTAGCGGCCTGGATGGCAGCTTTGACCGTCGTCTCGCGCTCGTCACCGCTGCCGCTGCTCTCCCCGTCACTAGATGATGCGTTCGTGTCGGAAGTGTCAGCCGTGATGTCGCTGCCGTCGTCGCTGGGAGCTGTGGTCGCAGCCAACGCCTTGGCCTTGGCTTTCTTCTCCTTCTTCTCCTTCTCCCTCTCCTCTCTGCGCTCCTTCTTCTGCTCCTGCACGCGGTCGATCGTCTGCAGCAACGTCGTCATGATGTGGACGGTCTCCTGCGGGTTCGAGATCCAGATCGTCGTGGCCGCGTCTCGCGAGCGCGTGTCGTTGCCTGTCCTAGTGAAGCGGTCGCCCACGTGGAGACACTCCTGGCCCTGGATGTTGCGCAGCTCCTCGCTGTCGCGCAGCTCCTTGGGCAGGAACCGGAAGACGTACTTCTGCAGCGCCTGGATGCCCAGCGCCTTGTGGCCAATGTCCACCCACACGTCGTTGCCTCCGTTGAACGCGCAGAAGGGCACGCTGAAGTGCCGCAGCTCGTGCTGCAGCGTGAGGCTGATCTCCTCGAGGTTCTCGTACAGAATGCGCTTGTCCGACGTGTTGATGATGCCGATGGCGCGCTCCTTGCGCAGGATCTTGGCCGACAGGTGCAGCGTCTTGACCGTCTCCTCCAGCACCTTCTCGGCCGCGTCCAGCAGCGCCGTGACCTCGTGCTCGGGCCAGCGCTCGCCGCGTCCGTCCTTCCAGACGGCGCCGTCGATCTCGCGCAGCCCCACGACGCCCGAGACCTTGTCCGTGTACGTCTCGAAGAGGTAGTTGCACTCTCCGCCCATGACCAGGAAGCGCGCACGCTCCTCCATCGTGAGCTGCTCGAGCGCGTCCAGGATGCCGCGCAGCCGCTGCTCGTAGCGCCCCGGGTTGCCCGGGTACCCGGCGGCCGTCACGAGGGACACGACGACGCCCCGGCGCAGCAGCTCGACGATGATCCGCACCATCCTGGACGCCTTGCTGATGCTGCCGCCGTCCTCGTAGATGGTGTCGTCGGCGTCGAACGTCACGAGCTTGAGCTTGCCGGCGATGGCGTTGGTCGTGGCCAGGTTCAAAATGTGGCGCACCTCCTTGAACGTGGGCGGCACGCGCTTGCGCGCCAGGAAGTGCGTGCGCGCGTCGTACTCGAGCGCGGCGCGCGTGAGGTCCAGCGGCAGGAAGATCTTCTTGAGCTTGGGCAGGAACTTGAGCAGGCGGCTGCGCTGCGGGCTCTCGACGTGCTCGGCGATGAGCTCGCTCATGAAGCGGAAGACCTCGAGCACCGACACGCGCAGCTCCGCGCCGTCGTCCACGGGCGACATGATCCACTCGCGCAGCAGCTCGATCATCGGGTCCTGCTCCTTCAGCATGGTGTATTGGCGGGCGTGGGCTCTTGGTCCTGGCCTGGTACTGGTCTAGGCGGTGAGGTCTGGTGGGTGAATTCGGAAGTGAGCTGAGCCTTGTGCCCCATTTTTTGCGGCTGAATGCGAATCGTGGGACCATTTTTGGTCAATTGGTGGTCCCGTCAGTATTCTCACTTGGCGTTTGTATGGAGCACTGAAGCGGGGAAAGATGGGCCGCGCAACGTCACCCTGCAACGTCATACGCTAGCTGTTGATGGCCCAGATGTGGCCCGATCGGCCATCATATCTATCATAGTCTCCGATACCCCCTACAGCTCTGGCAATGCTGCCGCTCCGAGCACTGCAAGTGTCTGGATAGCCCCCCGCGTCAAGCTGCCCGTGGTGGATCTTCTCAGCGTTTTTGCTTCTCTTCTCGGCTCTCTGCTTCTCGTCCAGTCGCGACTCGCGACGACCGCCGGCAACGCCTGCACCGTTGAAGCGTTGACCAAAGAGCAGAGCGTGCTGTTGTCGCCGTGGATTCTCGCCACGAACATTCGAGAGTAGAGAGCTGCTGCTTCGCACCGAACTCGGCGCCTATTTTGAGGCGATGGCCCCGACGTTCCACGCCCGCCACGCTGGACGCGAACCGCGAAGCGACGCGAAGCGCGCCTAAAGCTGGTCGACTGGAGGCCGCATGGCGTTCAAGCTGACCCCGACCGAGAGCCTGCGCGCGTGCGGCGTGCTGGAGGAGTCGCTGGAGAAGATGAGCTTCCTGGGCAGCATCACGCCCGACATCCTGCAGCACCGCGAGGAGCTGTCGCAGGTCGTGGGCGAGGAGATCTCGCGCATCATCCAGGAGCAGCGCCAGCTCGAGGGCAAGTACGAGAAGCTCATCGCCCAGCGCGCGGTGCTCAAAGGGCTGGCCAACAAGTCCAAGTTCAAGGAGAACCAGCGCGAGATCCAGGAGGTCAGTCGCCTGCTGCGCGAGTCCACCAAGAGCCTGTGCCGCAATCTCAAGGAGAACCCCAACTTTGCCGGGAACCTGCTCAAGATCCAGCAGGAGCGCGAAGGTTTGCTGGAGCTGCTCGGCCATACGCTGACGGAGATGAAGAAGCACGGCACGTTCGAGACGCTGCTGACGTTCGTGGCCGACGGCAAGAGCACGCAGGAGAAGGCCCACGAGATCCTCAAAAAGGAGCGAGAAGCAGTCGACGAGGTCAAGAGGCTCGGGGCGGAACTAGCGAGGGAGAAGCTCGAGCACCAGAAGGAGGTGGCGGAGCACAAGGCCGCGATCCTCCGCCTCAAGGAGCAGATCCTCGCTGTCAAGTCCAAGACGCAGATCGACATCCGCTACGCGCGGAACGAGGCCAAGGCCAAGCGCAGCAGCACGGCTCGAATGTACCACCAGCTGATGGAGGAGCAGCACGACCGAATCAAGGATCTGCAGGGCAAGTGCTCGACCGAGACCAAGGTGCACGACGAGACTGTGCACTTTCTCAAGGACCGTCACGAGCAACTTCAGACCGAGCTGGCCGAATGGAACGCTAAGTATCAACAGGACACGCAGGCAAAGCAGGCACAACTGCGAGAGCTACAGGAACGGAAGGCCGCGAACGCTCTGAGACTGGAGAATTTCCAGAAGAGGTGGCAGCAAGAGATGACCACCATTAAGCAGAAAGAGGAGGAGCGTCAGCGGCTGCTGGAGCTCGAGGCACTGCGCAAGGAAGAGCTCAAGGCTCAGAATACGGCTGCGAGGATCATCCAGGTCGCCTACCGCGCGTACATGGCTAAGAAAGAGGAGAAGCGCAAAGCTACTGAATCCGAGAAGAAGGCAGGGAAGAAAGGAGGCAAGAAGAAGGGCAAAAAGTAGCGTACACTATCGGCAAATACGAGCTCAGTACAACTTTATAATTCTAACGCGTTTGCGAGTATGGAAGTTGTCGCTGGATTTTGTACTTCCATCGTCCTCGGTCAGAATTGGAACCAGCTTAAGTTTAGGAATCTTATAGCAGCTCATTCTGCGAGGAATCTCTCTTGCCATGGTGCTCGGTAGTATTCCACGTTGATGCGATGCCAGTTCCTCAATTCGCTGATCAGTACCAAGTGCGCACACTGCGATGCCGAGTGATAAGCAATTCCTGTTGTGGTCCCTCCCGCTGGCACTGGTGGCGTTTCTGGCGGGTCCTCTGGCTGTGCTGCACTCCTTCGACTTGATAGCGCCAACTCCAGCAACGAATAATGCACCGCCAATCGACACCAGCGACTTTGGATTAGTCGCAAACAACAGTGCTGCTGCCAGTTTACCCGACACCATTCCGCTCATGTTCGAGGTGGCGAAATACCCGGCAATCGGTCGCCAAACGCTAGAAGTGCACCACCTCCGCTTGCTGAACTTGACGTCATTTGCCGAGATGGTGAGTCGATCAGCAGACGAGAGGGCTCCATCGACTGCGATCGTCGGGTATTTGTCAATGACTGAGGTCTTGAGGCACAAGAAGAGAAACCCTGGAAGCTACCCCGTCGGCGATCTGCTTCTCGTGACTGATGTCCACTTCACTGGCTTCGACGATGAAACTGGAGAGCGCGAGTCGTTGATCCTTGAAACCCAGCGAGTTCGACGCTTCCGACTCAAGAACGTGCAGTACGACGAATCCACTGAGCTGCTCTTTGGCCAAGTAGAGTGGATCGGAGAGCAGTCAGCATAGCAATTTGTAGAGCCCATTACTCCAATTAATCCTTTTATCTTAGAGCAGGAAGGTGTCCATTACGTGGTGGACGACGTCGATACCCGAGTCCAAGGGCTTGTCTGGGTTTGCTCGCTTGGCAATAATGTGCTCATGCGAGAAGATGCCTCCAAACAGGACATCAATGCGGCGCCACCCCACGCTCTGCACTGAGAGCAGCATGCCACGCAGCTCGTCTTGCTCGACGTCGGCAGTGAAGGCGTACGGCAGTTGGTCCAATATCACGTCGCCTGCCTCGAACGGCTCTGGTCGTGTGTCGGCTGAATGCTTTGACGGCGCACTGCCGACAGTTTTCCCACGATGACGATGGAAATGGTGTTTGCGTCTGCCACTGTCGCTGGAGTGCGAAGTCTTCCTGCCAGGGTCGGACGCGTGGCGCCGATTGCTTCTACTGCTGCTTGGAGTGCTGCTGGTGTTACTGATGCCGCTGCCTTCGACATCTTGGCCACTGCTCGACTGCTCCTCGTCATTTGAGGGAGAAGAAGCAGCCGCGTGATTCGGCGTCATGTACTTGAGGGCGAGACGCTTGACCTTGAGCGGAATCGTGTCGCGCAGCTTGCGTGCGCTCTTCAGCGAGTCGAACGCGATGTGGGTGTATATCGGCGACATCAGGAACTCCCTCCCGCTCAAGCGGTACGGATTGAACGCGCGTACAGCGGCGCACGTGTACGGCACCTGCATGTCGAAGAAGATGCTCGAGTACAGCGTGCGCGCCTTGAACATTTGTAGCGCCTGCATGAACTGACCCCGCGTCAAGCAGCTGAGCAGAGGGGGCGCAGTGGATTCACCGTGCTTGCTCTTCTTGACACTCTCACCAGACGTCACGCAGCGCACACCAAAGCTCGTGTTACTAAGCGCCACGAGCCATCTCCAGTCACGCTGAACGTCTTCCTCTGGGATGCGAAGCACGCAAAGGTTCGTCTCAATTGGCGTTGCGCCGGAAGACTCGGCAGTCCAACGGATCTGGATGTCGAAGTTGCCGAAGTCGTCGGTCTTCTCGTCTTCACCGTTTTGCCCCCATCCGATGAAGCTGGAGTAGTAGCTGGCGTCGTCGTCAATCTTCTTCCCATTGGGGAGCAGTACCTTTACGTCTGCGCACGAGAGATCAACCTCGAACTTCAACTTGCTCGCAACGCCGTCCTCTTTGTTCGCGAACACTTGCAGCTTCCGATCACTGAGAGCGCAGTCGTACAGCTCGAATGCTTCTTGATCATGGTGTGTCTTCGCACCACCTGGGAGGCTGACAAGCAGCGGCCCCTTCACATCCGACCAAGCTGCACAACACCGTCACAGTCAGCTCGATATCCCCAAGCAAATAACAGCTCCCTTAGGTTGCCGTACCTGGATGGAAGTCCTTGTCCATAAACGCCCTGGACGCATTGCTCAGCTCCTGTGTTTCTTCCGTTGCCTCGTCATTCAGAGTCAACTGGGCCCCCGTCCTGCTGAAGATCTTGGGCATCAGCGCATTGAACACGACGTTGGTCGCGCCGCGCCGAGGTCGCCGGATTCCGAGGTGCGGCGTCGCCAGCGTCACGAAGTTCTGCACCGCGTCCAATAAACCACAAACAAACCGGTAAGTCAACCTACACTCCTACAGCTATCTATACGTCGTCTGCACCCTACCATCGGCTCTACTTTGTCGAAGAACCCGCGGACCAGCAGCAGCCCGATGCAGTAGCGGTTGTAGAGTCCGCCGAGCGAGTGGCCGATCATCGAGAGCTTCTGCAGCTTAGGCATCTTCGCGGCCAGCTGCTGGATCTCGTCGGCCAGCCGCTCGCCGCCCTGGTCCACGCCGTCGTACGTCTGGAAGAAGCTCGCACCGTTGCTCTCGCCCGCGTGCAGGTACAGCTCGTCCGCCTGGAACTGCGCGCGGAAGATCTCCACGAAGCGCGCGAAGTCGTGCTTGCTGCCCAACAGCCCGTGCTGCAGCACCACCAGGTGCGTGGCGCGCTGCAGCTGCGCGGCGTCTTCGTGGGTGTCGCGGCGAGGCGAGCGCATCGTGCTGTGGGCTCCGAGGAGAATTGAGGAATGACGCACTTGGGCTTCCGCGTAGCTCCTGGTTTGATTATGGCGCGGGTGCAGCCATTTTCTCAGCGTGAACCGCGATTGGCTAAATAGATGAAAATCCATTTCCTGCGACGTGTGACGAGGTCAATTGTGCATGTTTTGGTGTTGATGCCGATGGGCATTTGGCCGCTGCCGGTGCGGTAAACATCGCTGCAGGGCGAATCGCCCTGGACGATCTATGGAGAGCGAACGAGTATTGGCTGGCGACTACGAGGCATTATCCTGGCCAGTGGCGGTCTGGACGTGCATCTGCGCCTGTCGTGGACGTTAGTTGAAGTGCCCAACAGTTAAGAGGATGAAGTACAGCTCATTCATTGGATATGCTGGTCTACTCTTCACTACGAGGCAGCTTGCACCACTCGACACCGAAGAATGCGGAGACGTCGAACGTAGGATCGGTCGGATCGATGTCGTCCAGGCGGCTTGTGAGCTTGCGGTAGCGGAGAGCCTTGCGCGCTATTTGACTGTTGCTGGAGTTGGTGTCGGCGCCCTGCAGCACGGAGTCTAGCAACTGCTGAGCTTTCGCGCAGTAGCGAGAGCGCTGGTCTTCGTCCTTGTATAGCAGACGCACCCGGGGCCTCACGAGGGAATTGCAAGTATGGTCGAGGTCCTCGTCCCACGAGAATCGTCCGTCTTGTGATGTTTCGGGTGTCCTCCGTCCTTTTGATACAGCGCAATAGGAAATACCTCCGCTGTATTGGTAGCGCAGGCGAGACGTTCGTATCGGGCTTGAAGCCATGAAGGGGGGTTGTTCTTCTACCGAGTAGAATGGAAAATGACGAAACGCGGCTGGAACACAACGACGACCAGTTGGAAGCGAGTACTCACTCGCACGTACCTGAAGTCCAGAGAGGCTCTGGTCGCTCCTAAGAGACCAGTAGTGGCTTCGTCAGAGTAACGTATACTTTGCTGGTCGTGCACTGCTCCTGGTAGGGATATTTGTGTTATCTGCCCTGAATCTACAAGTTACTCGTCGCTAAGAACATTGTGGGCAATCGCTATACAGCTACTGTAGTTATCAATGGTCAGTTAATAGCTACACTCGTCTGGTAGTTTATGAGCATCCAGCATCATCAAGCTGGTCTTGAGCACCGGTGGTAGACATCTATGAACTAGTGTGTGTGGAACGTAAATTCGTTTTTGTTCACATAACGGAGCTTTGATTGGTGGAACATGATATCAACTTCAACTTGTAGATGCACCTATGTGTCTCTAGCGCTGCTGGTGGTTGACGAAGCGCATGGCCAACGCTGTGAGCGCTCGAAAGACGAGCAGGATGGCCACGAAGACGCCAATGTACTCTCCAATGCGCTCGTGCTTGACTCCGAAGACCTCGTCCACGTATAGCTTGACTGGGATCTCGCCCACGCTCGCAGGCGCGTTCTGCACGACTCGACAGCCCAACGGGTAGCTCGAGAGGTCCAGCGCGCTGGTGTTATCAGCGCTGGCCAGCGCGATCTCGCCGAGTTGCGCGTCCGAGCAGTCGCCGAAGACGATGGCCACCAGCACGGAGAAGCTGTAGCGGTGCGGACAGACGTCGTAGATCCACTTGTAGCCCGCCGGGATCTGCAGCGCCGGAGGGTTGAAGCCCGTGAGCATGAGCCCGAACGCGTTGATCATGACGCCGAGGATGGTCGCGAGCTCCATGGTCGGGGACGAGAACATGGCCAGCTGCGCCAGGTACGCCTCGAACAGGATCAGCAGCGCGAGGTTGACCCAGTAGAGTGCGGCCTCGGCCAGGCCTCCGAGCCCCACCATGGGGTAGTACACGACCGTGAAGAGCAGCGCGCCAGCCAACACGTACGGGATCTCCACGAGGCTGAAGCTCAGGAAGAACCACACGCTGTTGTAGGCCTGCGCCGCGCGCTCGCGGTAAAGACCGACCGCTCCTCGTACACCAGCGGAAGTCCGCTCATGAAGGACACCAGCGCGACGAACATGGTGGACAGGTAGACCATGCCGAGGCCGCTGTTGATGCCCTGGTACGTGTCGTACTCGGCGCCCAGGTAGACGAAGCCAAAGATGAAGCCCAGCAGCAGCGAGATGCCGAGGCGCGTCAGGTTGTACGACGGCGTGCGCCAGTACGTGGTGAAGAAGCGCCGCAGCAGGAAGCGCAGTTGCGTGGCGTTGCCGGCCGCGCGCTTGCCCGCGTAGTTCAGGGGCTGCAGCTCCGTCGACGGCTGGAAGAGCCCCGACTCCGCGAGTTTGGCGTCCAGAAGCGCCTTGTTGGAGCTCGCGTTGAAGACTGACACAAAGTCGGTGGTGACGCTATCCCCGCCTGCTGGGGTCCGTTTGGCGTAGTGGCTACGCTTGGGTCGGCCTTGCGGTGGCTGTCGACACCGGCTCCGATCACTTCCAGCATCCACGTGGCCGGGTTGTAGCCTTTCTCGATGCGAGGGACACTCGGGATGGCCTCAAAGTACCGGACTATCGAGCTGCCCCCACGCCCTAATTCACCAAAGTACACCGTCTCACCCCCTCGTTTGAGCAGCAGCAAGCTGTCGAAGAGAGAGAAGACGTCCGACGACGGCTGGTGGATCGTGCACAGCACGGTTCGTCCCGAGTCGGCCACTCGACGCACGCCGCCCATGATCAACTTGGCGGAGCGCGCGTCCAGGCCGCTGGTCGGCTCGTCCAGGAACAGCACGCTCGGCTGCGCAGCCATCTCGACGCCGATCGCGAGGCGCTTCATCTTCTCCATGGAGCTGGCACGGATGATGTGGTCGGCGACGTCGTCAAGCCCGAGCAGCTCCAGACACTCGTCCACCGTGTCGTACTTGACGCTGTCGGGGACTGTAGCGTCCTGGCGGAGAAACGCCGAGAACGTTAGCGCCTCGCGGAACGTCGAAGCGGTGGAGTGGACGTCGGTCTGCTCGCAGTACCCGGTGCAGCGGCGGATGCTCAAGTCGGTGGCCGGGAACCCGTTGAGCAGGATATCGCCCTTGATGATGCCTGCCGTCTTCCGACCCGCGATCACGTCCATGAGCGTGGTTTTGCCAGCTCCAGTGGATCCCATGAGCGCTGTCATCGTCCCTGGCAAGGCGTATCCGGTGATCCCCTTGAGCAAGTCGACGTTCTTCGCAGGCTGGCCTCGACCGCCAGGCACCGAGACGGTGTGCCACAAGTCTTTGAACGCGACGACCACGGGCGGAATCTTGATTTGGTGCGTCGAAGTCTTCATATTGACAACGACGTCATCATCGCCAATACCAAGCTCGTTCTCGGGTTTACTCGCGTGCGGTGAAGCTAGCAAATTGTACGCTGCTTCCGCTGGCACCTCGTCCACAGACTCGTCGTGAGGCAGTGCCACATTTTCGGGCCGCTCGTAGCGGTGATACTCCAGAACGAAGTACGAGATCGTCATGATCGCGGCGTACGTCGCGACCAAGTAGACGACGCCGTAGACCACCCACGTCTTGTCGGAGGGCACATCGAACAGACCGAGCGAGTACTCGCCCATGGTGTGGCCGTAGGTCGAGCAGTAGTCCACGCCCTTGTAGACGCGGACGTCGAGCTTGCTGCTGCGATACTGACTCACTGCAATGCTGCGCACAGGCCACGCCACGGGGTCGAGCCAATAGAGCCACGTCAACCTGTCCGGGTTTGGCAATGTTGAGATTCGGTGACACTGCCGCCAACAGGAAGTACATGGCTGCGAACACTAAGATGGTGAGAGTGAGGAAGAACTCGAAGAGGAGGAACGCCCCCACCTCGTGCACCAAACCTCCAAGCCAATACACCAGCGACCCGAAGATGAGACTCACCGCTAGGGCCAGCGGAATCTGGATCAGCGAGCACGCGAGTACATATGCAGCGGTGCGGTAGAAGTTGGCGGTTCGCTGCTTGTAGAAGACACTACGCGCGTCGTAGAATACGACGAGGTTTGCGTCTTGACCGAGACCAAGAAAGAGGGACGCCGCGAAGATGACGCCCATCGAGACTTGAGCGTCCGCCAGATCCATCTGAAGAAGAGACTTCCGAAAATGAGGCCGACGATGAGAACGAGAGTGAGTCGGCCTTTTACGAACGCGTCGTTGCGCTTGCTCAGAATGGCTTCACGCTTCAGAAGCGTCCGCAAACTGGCCAGGAGACTCTGCTGGAACTCCGGTACGTCGGCCATGCACCTCCTCGTGACGTTGCTGTGGTCGTTCACTTGTCAATCTTGTGCGTCCGCTTCGGCTTCTCGTTGCTGGAAGAGTGGTGGCTTCATCCAGCGGTCCGCGTACTCGTGAGCAGTGCGTGGAGGTGCGATACGACCTGGAATCGACTGCACGGACTCGTACACGCTTTGGTCGGGAGTAGCGAGTTCACAGAGGAAGTCGGCGATGTCTTTCCCAGACGGACAGACTAACCCCAGCGACGCGAAGTAATCCTTCGCCGATGCTGTGGGTCCGTGATACAAGATTCGTCCCTCATTCATCAGGAGAACGTCGTCAAAAGTGCGAATATCTCGGGCGAAGGCTGAAGCAGTGAAATGACCACAGTTCGGTTCAGTGTCTTGCCGATACTTCGTTGAGCCGCAACAATGTCGAAGGTGGCGGCGCTATCGAGCCCCGTGCTGATTTCGTCCATGAGCGACACGTACTTGACACCGAACTCCATCTCGCCCGTTGTCGTTCGTCGCTTCTCTCCGCCCGAGATGCCGCGATACATGGCGTTGCCTACGATGGTGTTCTGGCACGATTCAAGACCGAGAGACCGCAGGACGATGTCGGGGAAGTGATGAATGACGCTGCGTGCCGCCTTAACCGCCAGTCCGTTCTCTTCCGGTGATCCATGAATGAGTTGCCGCTCCAGGTCTCGCTGAGCTCGGCCCCGCAGCATTCGTGCGCGAACTCGAACGTCTCGCGCACGGTCAAAGTGGGCAGATGCGTGTCGGTTTGGGTCACGTAGCCGACAAACTGGGGCAACCTCTTCAAGAGAACCTCGCGAGGGACCCCGTCGTACTCGATCTCGCCCTCAAGATTGATCTCTTTGTCCAAGGGGAAGCGCCCACTAAGCAGCTTCATGAGCGCCGACTTGCCCGACCCGGATTGCCCGAGCACGAGCGTGATAGTCCCGGGGCGAAATGATCCCGTGACGTCGCGCAGAATGTGCTTGCGCACCGTGTGCTTCTTGGCGGAGATGGCCGCGACGGATTTCATGACTTGGTTGGTGAGCGTTGGGAGTTCGCGTTGCGCGTTGGCAATGTGAGAGTCCGTGGGCTGGAGGCTAACGAGATCGGCCGACAGCGACACGTGCTTGAACCGAGTGCCCATTCGCGGGAAGGAGTCGCCGAGCGCGGTCTCAACTTTGCCGGCGATGTCTTGGTGGAACTTGGTGGGCCCAAGCGCCAGCATGTCCTTCCCGGAGGAGTACACAACTTCGGGCGCCATCGTTGCCATCGCGTGTGTATCCCTCACTGGCCGTTTGTTGATAAGTTGGTGCTGGTGGTGCTTGCGGATTGAAAAGTGAACGCCTAGGGCAACGACCGATGAGTACCGCAAAGTGTCAAACCAACCGATTGCGGTTTGCTGCGTGAGGCGTAACACTGCGCGATGACGACCCGGCAAAGGATCGACGGGGGGGGCAAGGAAACTGAAGTCCGTTGCAGATACTGTGCAAATCTTCAGCGCTGATTCTCGCACCGCACCGCTGCCATAATAGTCGCGCAATCTCTATACACAGCATTTGCAGCGTTGCCAGATTGAAAAGTGAGCTCAACGACCTTATCCTCCAACACACACGCAGCATGTAAGTTATGTACCTGTACAGGGCCATTTGGCTTGCTTGGTTGTAGAGTTTGTTGTTGATACCTCATACCGTCCGACATTAGGCTGCTGGTACCTGCCCACGTGTGCTACACGCGTAACGAATAACACCATGATAAACACGAGACGAGAACTTCTACTTTTTCACCGGTACCTCATCTTCCACTCTACTGCTGTTTGGACTCGGTGGCTGCCGTGTCTACAACGGTTGCCCCTCCGGTGGTGTCTGGTGCTGCCTTCCCTAGCATTTCCGCTGCAGCGGCAGCAGGCGACTCCGTGTGCGCGATTCGGGGCTTAAGCCCGATGCGCCGGCGGAAGTTGTTGTTGTCCATCGCGATGGTCTGAGCCATCGACGACCACGACGCCCCCAGCCAGTAGAAGAACACACCCTGCGGCAGATTCGCCATGAGCGGGATGGCAAAGATAGTGCCGTATTGCCCGAACTGGAGAACCTGCGTCCAGAAAGAACTCTTCTTGCGGATGGAGAGTTCCAGGTTGCCGTACGTCGATGCCGCTGCGATGATAGGTAGGATATACGTGCTATCCGTCTCCATCAGGTTTTTCCAGAAGAGCAGTCCGCCCGAATCGAAGCCCGCAAAGTTGCCGGAGCGCACCATGTCGCGCGCGCTGTACGCCATGAGGACGAAGATGGGGATGTAAGCAACAGAGCCCATGACCGTCTGCACGGGCCGCGTGTTGTACTTCTTCGTCACAGCCTTGACGCCTTTCCTTCCGAGTAAGATGGCGTCAAGATGTCCCTTGTGGTCCGAACCAGGCTGCACCACAACATCATCGTCAAGTCAGATCAATGCACCACAGCTACAGCAACAATAAATTCGCCAAAATTCCACCTACCGTGAACGTACGCGCGTACTTGTAGGCCGAGTACAGCTTGCTAAAGTCCGGCTTTGCCTGAACCAGCCTATGATCACCAAACAAAATCACTTCACTTGAGTGCACTGTACACCTCTATAATTGCCAGTCTAAAAGCTGTTTGCACCTCTGCATGGCCTGGATCTGGAACACGTAGAACGGGAAGATGGCGGCGCGCACCGTCACACCCGAGAGCTGCAGACAACGCACACAGCACAGCACAGCACCACAGCATTAGCCTTCTTCCACCTCTCATCAGTCGGCCAATAAACCTCCGTCCTACCATGAGCGTCGCCCACCAGGGCAGCCCCGTGGTGGTGTGCACCGCCTCCAGCACCGACTGCACGCCCTGCACGATGGCCCACGGCTCGCCGCCCGTGCCGCTGCCAGTGACCGCAGCTGCCACGTCTGCAAATGTATACGCTCCAGCATCAGTATCTGCTGTCACTTAGTGAGTAAACGCATTGGAGACGCACCTGTGAGCTGTCCGTCGGCCATCGTCAGCTCCAGCGTCGGCGGCGCCGCATCAGAGGTGGAGAAGTGGCGGTTGTCGAGCGACAGCGGCACTCCCAGCGCCGGGAAAGCGGCCTGCACGCTGCCCAGACGCAGCGGGTGCTGGGCTCCAGATAGCGGCGTGCGGCGCAGCCCCTGCGCCCCGCGACGCAGCGCCCCGAGCGCTCGTTGCTGTCCGCTCATCGTCGGCGGCGTCAAGTGCGCTTTGCTTTGCGGTCGCCGCTCATTGAGACGCTCGATTGGACAAAATGAGTCCAATTTCTACCAATTGAATAACCATCTAACACCGGTAGAATACCGATTTACCGGTTTTCACGACGGATCTTTGAAGTGACGTTGACGTGAACCTGCTTCAACTACGGCGCGTGACATCACTCCCCGATCCTTCGTCGCGATGCTACCCAAGCGCTGCTCCCCCTCGCTGCTGCGGACGCCGCTCGCGCGCGCCAAGAGCACGGCCAAGCCGCGCACGGCGCCCGTGCTGAGCACCATGCTGCCGCGCGGCACGTTCGACGGCAAGGTGGCGCTGGTCACGGGCGGCGGCACGGGGCTGGGCAAGGGCATCGCCACCAAGCTGTCGGACCTGGGCGCCACCGTGGCCATCATGAGCCGCAAGCGCGGCGTCGTGGAGGTGGCGGCCAAGGAGATCCAGGCGCTCACGGGCAACAGCGTGATCCCGCTCACGGGCGACGTGCGCGACGCCGAGCAGGTCAAGCAGGCGCTGGACGAGCTGGACGAGCTCGCGGGCGTGCCCACGGTCGTGGTCAACAACGCGGCGGGCAACTTCATCTCGCCCTTCGAGCGGCTCAACGCCAAGGGCTTCGGTACCATCGTGGACATCGTGCTCAAGGGCACGGCCAACGTGACGCTGGACGCGGGCAAGCGCATGATCCAGCACGAAAAGGGCGGCGTCTTCCTCAACATCACCACCACGTACGCCGAGACGGGCTCGGGCTACGTCGTGCCCTCCGCTGCGGCCAAGGCTGGCGTCAGCGTACGTTGCTGCCCGTGACTGCAGTTGGGGGCTTTAGTATTCGAGCTAAACTATTGTTGTTGCGGTTGCTGCAGGCCATGATCAAGTCGCTGGCGGTGGAGTGGGGCAAGTACGGCATCCGCTTCGTGGGCATCGCGCCGGGTCCGATCAAGACCAAGGGCGCGTTCGACCGCCTGGACCCCTCGGGCGCCTTCGAGGAGGTCATGCTGCAGAACAACCCGCTCAAGCGCTTCGGCGAGGTGGACGAGCTGGCCAACCTGGCGTCCTACATGACGAGCGACTACGCCAGCTGGCTCAACGGCGAGATCATCCGCTTCGACGGCGGTGAGACGGTCTCGAACGCCGGCGAGTTCAACATGTTTGGCTCCGTGTCCAAGGAGAAGTGGGACGACCTGGAGGCCACCATCCGCGATTCCAACGCCAAGAGCAAGAAGTAGTGTCGACAACACACAACTTGAATGATGCCGCTCCGACAGCGTCTCGCTACTTATATTGATACTACATCCAGAAAAACTAAAGAAACACCTGCCTTCCCATTGAATCGGTGTCGAGCACATGTTGAACGTTCGTTTACCAGCTCTTCTGCGATGAAATGAGATGAAAAGCTTCAAGTAGAGTGAGTAGGTGGATTATATACAGATCAAGGTTCTCCTCTGATGAAACACGAATAAAGTAGGTAAACCGATCGAGCGCTGCTTCCTTTGCTTGCTTGTGTACGTCACTGGGCGCTCGATCCGATCCCGCTCATAGATTACGACGCTGCCGTTGCGAGGTGGTACTTGGCCCGGAGCTGCTCGCGCTTCTCGGCGCGGCGGCGCATGCGGTCTTCCTGGAACGTGGCGCGGCGCTCCTCCATCTTCTGCAGGTTCTCCGACATCTTGCGGATCTCTTCGTTCTCCTTCTCGACCTGCTTCGCGCGCTTCTCGCGCTCTGCGGCCAGCATGGCTCCGCGCACCTGGCGCGCGCCTGCGATGGCCTCTACCCACTGCTGCCTCTTGAGCGCCGTAGTGGCGTCGAACCTGTGCTCCTGCGGGCCCACGGCGATGACGATGCCCACGTCGGCGTTGTCCTGACCCGCGTCCACCTCGCGCACGTCCGTGATGTCGTCGAGCGAGATGGCCTTGATGTCGCCCTCGTAGCTCCTCGACTCGGGGTCGAACTTCTGGTACTGCAGGATGTTCTTGGCGCGCACGAACTTGAGGTGCACGTGCCGCTTGCGCAGCAGCCCGTACTTGCTGAAGAGGTCGCCGCCCTCGAGCAGCGGCAGGAACTTCTCGTAGAAGACGTTCTCGGTCTGCGCCGTGCCCGCGCAGTTGTTGCAGAGCCGCACGGGCTCCACGAAGCCGAACTTGACCACGCGGTCGAAGTGCGCCGTGCAGCGGCCGCAGAACACGAGCCCGCAGCCGCGGCAGTGGTGCTTGCGCTTGAGCAGGTCGAACTCGACGCCGCACAGCACGCACGCCTCGATGAAGTCGTCCTTGACCCACCGCGGCGGCTCCTGGTAGTTGGGGAGGATGGCGTCGGCCGGGCTCTCGGCGTCCGCGGGCGATCGGCGCTTGGGCTTCTCCTGCAGCATGTACCGCGCCTCGTCCGTGGGCTCGGGCGTGTGCGCCGGCTGGAAGCAGCACGCTACCAGCGCGCACAGACCCGCCTTGGCCTTCTGCGGGAACGTGGCCACCATGGCTGTAGGAGCTGGAGGGGGCTGGTAGTCGGAACTGGGAGCTGGCAGAGGTGGCGATACACGCGCACGTATGGCGTTCTGCGCTCCGCCTGTTCAGGTCTGTCAGATGAAGGTACCCTATGCAAAAAGTATCGAATGATACACATCGGACTTAGCGGAGGGAACCTTCCCTTTGTGTGCCTTTGCCATGACTGCCTATTTACTGCAGGACGCTCGCAATGTGCCGATAGACGGCGGGATCTGGCCAACTATGGAGGCGAAAGGTGACGGTGGCACCAGAGGAAGCGATGCTGCGGAGCTGGTGCTCGACCTCTATTATAGGAATAAGAGTGTCTCGGTCGGAATCGACCGCTGATCCGATGGATTGAACGCTTGAAATTGCATCCAACGCCCAGGCTGTCGCAGCCACCCCGCTGTCTTACCCACTGCCGATGGTGCTGTACAAAGCTGGACTTGGATCGGTGGAAATGTACGTGTGCAAAAGTGAGCCCAGCGTAAACCGGGAGATTACCTTTGAAGCGCTCAAATGGGGCGTTGAAGGGTGAGGCCCGCCGCGGTTAAGCAGCTCCTGGCCCGCCGACATTGAGTTCATTCTCCAATTTGCCAGCCAGCCAGTCTCGCCTGACTCTCAATTCACAGCACAACTCCACCTCACTATGGTCGCCAAGGGAACCCGCGCTGCCAAGGGGCTGATCAACCTCTGGGCCACCGACCGCGGCACCTTTCCCGTCGTGATGCTAGTGGGCTTCGCCATGACCGCTGCGCTCGGCAACTGCGTCCGGCATCTCATGAGCAACCCGGACGTGTGCGTGACCAAGGCCAAGCGCGACAACTTTCTGCACTACAACGAGGAGCAGGGCGCCGAGTGGCAGTCCAAGCGCCGCAACCTCGCCAACCTCCAGAAGAACGTGATCAACCAGACTTTCGAGAACGAGGGTGACAAGTAAGTTTAAGGATCAACTGGACGCGTGCAGGCAATTAATACACGTCAGTGGGTTTGTCTCGATAGCAACGCGTGCCTGCAGTAAGTTACTTACTGTGCGTACTTACTTTTGCTGCGAATCACATCGATCTCGGTCTTGCTGTAGCAATCGGCCGCTGAGCAACTACATGAACATGGAGACTTGGGACTGTCAAGCTGTCGTGCACGTTGGCGCAGGAGGGTTCTTTTCCGGTGGGCACCGAAATGACTCAGCACTTATGCGTTGTGCTTGTGCGTACTTAACCAAGCGTAAAGCAAGGCTACCAAGCGTAAACTGCAAGTTTGTGCTCCCGAGTTGCAATTCCTGAGCTTGTCGTTGACGGCCCCAGTACGTGACAGCGCACGGTCAGGCGCTTGTGCCGGCGGTCAGGCTCGTGTCAGTCGTCTGCAACAAGCAATGCGTCTTCGCCTTCAATACTAAACTTACGCGTCAGGATTTGAATGCAGTGTCAAACGGTTCTCGCCCGAAGCTCATTGTGCAAGTTGCCAGCTTCAGGCGAAACTCGTCCCACTCCGCCTCACAACCAAGCCTCAGCTCATAATGGCCGTCAATGGAGCCCGTGCTGCCAAGTGAGTTCTCGATCTCTGGGTCACCGACCGCGGCACCTTCCCCGTCATTCTGCTCTGCGGCGTGGCCATGACCGCCGCCATCGGCAATGACTTCCGACACCTTATGAAGAATTCAGACGTGTGCGTGAGCAAGGACAAACGCAACTCGCTGCGCTACAGCGAGGAGCAAGGCACCGAGTGGCAGGCCAAGCGCTGCCTCGCCAAATCTCCAGGACAACGTGATTAACCAGACCTTTGCGCACGAGGCCGCCAGGAAATGAAGCCGGTGTAGATCCAGCATTGAGTCGTCTTGAAATGAGAACCATCAAATACATGTCGTTGTTGTTTTACTTCAAAAACCATTAGGCTTGCCGTAGAAGGCGTCTTGCTGCTGGGCATGTCGAACTAAATTCAAGGTTGAAAACGAGTTAGGGTCGACCGCCGCCGTGTGATCATAGCTCGCCCGCTGCAGTTGAATTATCCTCGAGGTCTCGAACCGCGCAATGTTCAGTTTGACCTGCGAAGTCACTGTGGCCGACCTGTCACAGCCACAACCTTTTGCCAATTTGTCAGTCACCAATGACGCATAATCTGCCGGGTCATCAATCACGGTTCTCGCGCTTTCTAAAGGGTGAGAGGATGCTGGAGTCGTCCGAGCTCACTCGGCAATTTGCCAGCTTCTGAGCACTCGCATCAACTTCACTCCACGCCTACAGCAGCAGGACTTCACTCCATCGACTCGCAATGGTCGTCGCCAAGGGAACGCGCGCTGCTAAGGGCTTGCTCAGCCTCTGGTCCACCGACAGCAGCACCTTCCCCGTCGTGTTCCTCGTCGGCATCGCCATGACGGCCGCCATCGGCATCGGCGCTCGCTACCTCATGAACAACCCGGACGTAGGTCCAAGCGCAACAACTTTATGCATTACAACGAGGACCAGGGCTCGGACTGGCGGGCTCGGCGCTTCCGCTTCGCCAACATCAAGAAGAACGCGATCAACCAGTCGCGCCAGTTCGACCCCGCCTTCGAGAAGGAGGAGAACAAGAGCGTCCACAGAGACTAGGATGCGGGTGAGCCTGGAAGGCGACACCCACCCTGCCAATATACGTATTATGTAGTCGTTCACCATTTATCCATGACCTCGCTCGCCTTCTCACGTTATGCTTCATGCAATAGCGGCCGACAGTCCTACCCAAGAGCGGGTAGACACGCGGCCAATTCCTGAACAATACCATACAAAGCAGCAGCGATCGCTGGCCCCACATTTTCCTAGGATACGCTTATTTAGATGTATGACTTCTGCTGTGCTTGCTCCCCAGTCCCAAGCTTCTGGCTTAAACATTTTCCAGTTATATCGCTGTTTCTGTCGATCCGCACTAACAACCAAGCTACACGGCAACACCAAGGCAACCACCACCAACTCGACTCGGTAGCTCTTCCGCACCGTAGACCAACTTCAACTATCCAGTAGTTCTATGTGGGACACACCACCCTGTCCTAAGAATGGCTACATCTCATGTGCTCTGAGCGAGCAGCCACGTAAAGAGTATTGAGGTGGACCATGCCGCAGCTCAAGGAGGAGGAGGAGGAGGAGCGCACGTCGACGACGACCGTGACGGAGGACGAGGAGGAGATGGAGCACATGGACGAGCACTCGTCGCTGCGGCAGGGCGCGCAGGGCGACGATCACTCGCCGCCCTCCAGCGTGCAGACCCAGCTCAAGAAGCCCAAGAAGTTGGCGCCCGACGCCACGAGCGACAAGGCGAATGGCACGTTGCGGCAGGGCTCGGCGCCTCGGCTGCTGTCCACCGAGAGTGTGGGACTCATCTCGCAGTACGCGGCCGTGGGGCTCGTCTACGGCGTGCTGCCCAGCACCATCACGCCCTTCCTCACGTACTACCTCAACATGGAGGGCACGGCCACCACGTCGGCGCGCGCGCTGATCTCCATCCCCTGGAGCTTCAAGGTCTTCATCGGCGTGCTGTCCGACTGCGTGCCGCTCTTCGGGTACCGGCGCCGGCCCTACATGGTGCTGGGCTGGTCCGTCACGGTGCTGTGTCTGCTGGCCATGGCGGCGTCGCCGCTGGAGGAGCCGTACTTCCCCGACCCGGAGCTGAGGAACGTCAAGCCCGCGGACTACTCCATCGAGATGGCGCAGTCGCTCAACAAGAGCGCGCCCAGCAGCGGCGCCAAGTACATTGTGCTCATGATGTTCGCCACGCTCGGATATCTCTTCGCCGACGTGGCAGCGGACGCGGTGGTGGTCGAGTACGCCCAGCGAGAGCCCGAGGAGACGCGCGGACGCACCCAGACGGCGATTTACACGGTGCGAACGCTGTTCAACGTCGTGGCGCAGGCCATCACGGGCTTCGGACTCAGCACGCCGGACTACGGCGGCAGTTTTGACTTCGGCATCTCGTTCCCGGACACGATGCTGCTCCTGGCGGTGTTTTGTCTGCCGGTGATCCCCATGACGTGGATGTTTGTGCGTGAGGAGCGTGTGAAGGACCAGCCGACGTTCAGGAAGTACATTGGGGACTTGTGGGGTGCCATCCAGAGTCGCGCGGTGTACCAGGTGATCGCGTACAGCTTCTTGTCGGGCGTGTTCAGCGGGTTCACGTACGTGGCGCAGGACCCCATGACGTCGTACTGGGTGCACGCCACGAGTTTCAACCTGAGTCTGAGCAGCATCTTCGGCAGCTTTGTGACAGTGGTCACGCTCACGCTGACAGGCAAGTACGGCCTGCACTGGAACTGGCGGACGATGCAAGTGGTCACGATGGTGAGTGTGATCGCGCTCGACGCCATGTGCACCATGCTGGTGACGTGGGACATCGTGCGGAAGCAGTGGTTCTGGCTGGGCGTCCCGATCGTCGAGGCCGTGCCGAACGCCGTGGGGTTCATCATCTCGACGTACGTCGTGGTCGAGCTCGCTGGCCAGGGCAACGAAGGAGCGATCTACGGTCTGCTGACCACGGTGAGCAACCTGGGCGGACCGTTCGCGCTCACGCTGACGAAGAACGTGAATGCGGCGTTCATGGTCTACAACGAAGACATCCTGAACGACACGCTGGAGGTGCGTCGCGACGTGACCATCACGATCCTGATCTCGTACGTGATGAAGCTGCTGGCGCTGCTCTTCCTGCCGCTGCTGCCTCGCCAGAAGGCCGAGGCGCAGGCGCTCAAGAGATCAGGCGGCAGCAGTCGACGCATGGGCGCCTTCACGATCGCGTATCTATCGTTCGCGCTCGTGTGGGCGATTTTGACCAACCTGCTGGGCATCTTCGAGAGCACTCGGTGCTGGGTCATCACCGGGGGCTGTAAAGAGTAAGCAATGATGTCTCGGGGGCACCAGCGACAACAGGGATATGTATGTGTAGCCATCAAAGAGAAGCAAATGAAAGGATAAACAAGCAGAACTGTGGATCAAAACCGAATAAATGTATGTGGTGTGTGTGACTTGTAGACCGACAGCTACGCGCTGTAGACCGAAGAGAGAAAGGCCGCTTATCTGGAGACGTTCTTGTTCTCCTCCTTGGCGAAGGCCGGGTCGAACTGGCGCGACTGGTTGATGGCGTTGCGGTGGATGTTGGCGAAGCGGAAGCGACGCGCGCGCCAGCCCGCGCCGTCCTCGGTCTGGTAGTGCATGGAGCTGTTGCGTTTGCTCTTGTCGAAGCACACGTCCGGGTTGTGCAGCAGGTAGCGGCTGGCCGAGGCGCCCGCGGCCACGGCGGCGAAGCTGCAGATGATGACGACCGGGAAGGTGCCGCTGTCCGTGGTCCAGAGCTTGAAGAGGCCCATGCTGGAGCGCGCTGCCTTGGCGGACATGATTGGCGGGGTGGTGGTGGTGGTGGTGGTGGGTGTCTGGAGAGACTGGAAGTGCTCGATGCAGTGCAAAATGTGCAATGAGCTTTGGGGCAGTCGGCTTTTGGTGATCCGATTCCTTTTCCGACGATGTTCAACGCTCACTGCAGGTTTTCGCTATAGATACGCGATTCGGTGCGTGTCTAAGCCAGGATCAGTGTCGGTGATTTGTGAAGTAACAAAAATTGTCTCGGCGATACCGTCCTGAGCGATACCATACCGGTTTATAGCGGTTCCCTGCGCATGTACTTCAACTAGCGGTGTGACGAAGGCTCTCTCGTCGTTGACAGCGCTGCAGACTGCAGACTGCGTACTTCGGCTTGCGCTGGAGGGGTCTGGAAGGCAAGAGTAGAGCCACTTCGGTGGTCGTTGCTATCTTCACTCCGTTAAAAGAATCGACGCGCCTCTTTGGAGTTAACGCTAGTCGAGCCTTGTTGGCAAAGACATGCCGGGGCTACATGTAAATTGTGTTTCCCAACGATGCGAATTGCCGAAACACGGCTGTGCGTGATCTCTATCTCCTGAACACGCACAAACTCGGCCCCGGCCAACGAAGTGACCGAAGTTCTTTCGTGCGGGAAGGCGACCTGAAGTGTTGCTGTGACTTCTCGCTTTTGGTTGACAGGCTGAGCGCGTGTCCATGCCTTATCATAGAAGCATCACCGGAACCGGATTTGCGCTTCACCTCGGCTTGGCCATTGCGGGCCGCTTCAGCACTTCCCTGCACCGCATTTCCCTGCGCGTCGAAGACGACAGCCACGTCTCCGCTAAGATTAGACTGACGAACACTTTGTAGCAATAGCGTTGGCGTGGGGTACTGTACTTCTAAAGCGCTCTTACACATCCAGAAATAGCGGTGTTGCTGAGCAGACCAGACCCCTGCGCAGCTACAGTACTAATAGAAGTAGTGCTTGGTGCGGTCTGCCGTCTGTCTGGTTGGTTGTGGTTGCCTTCTTTCGCCAATGGACCCCCATCGATGCACACAGGGAGGGAAACGCGAGGCACACGGGGATGACCGACCGTTTCCGGATGCCGTTGCAGACACCACCGCGCGCCACCGCTCCACACCCGCGCGAACCGATCGGCTCAAATACCCCGCAGTCACTATCTCATGCAGGTCCCAACCAACTGCATCTTGACTGGTACACTTCTGTCAATAAATATCTAGGTCAATGACAGGTAGCTATGGAAGCGTTTCAGGCTACCCGCCGCTGACTTGCGTCGAGCTGCTGGGCTCCAAGCAGGGCTGGCAAGCGCTCCACGCCGCTGCTGCTGGAAGTGCGCCACAGATACGCGGTTCCGTCGGTGCCACTCTGAAGTAACATTGGCAGTTGAATACCGGTTCGTGGACAGTTCAGCGCCATTGTTACTTCAGTGCTCGAAGAAACGCGTCCGTGCGTATCTCTAGACCCGCCTCGCGTTCATACAGTTTGTATGGGGCGAGTCCGGCGTAAGTTCTTACAGCGTGGGCATTCCTCCCGCCGACACCCGATCTCTGAAGTTAAACGCAAGGCCGGCCCCGCGTATCTCTTGCGTCGCCAACGTGTGGCCAGGCTGACGGAGGAGGAAGAGGGCCTTCATGGGCGACGGCACAACGGGCCGATAGCCCCATAGCCCCCCAAAAGCTCATTGCACATTTTGCACTGCATCGAGCACTTCCAGTCTCTCCAGACACCCACCACCACCACCACCACCACCCCGCCAATCATGTCCGCCAAGGCAGCGCGCTCCAGCATGGGCCTCTTCAAGCTCTGGACCACGGACAGCGGCACCTTCCCGGTCGTCATCATCTGCAGCTTCGCCGCCGTGGCCGCGGGCGCCTCGGCCAGCCGCTACCTGCTGCACAACCCGGACGTGTGCTTCGACAAGAGCAAACGCAACAGCTCCATGCACTACCAGACCGAGGACGGCGCGGGCTGGCGCGCGCGTCGCTTCCGCTTCGCCAACATCCACCGCAACGCCATCAACCAGTCGCGCCAGTTCGACCCGGCCTTCGCCAAGGAGGAGAACAAGAACGTCTCCAGATAAGCGTTGTTGCAGCGAGGACTATCTACAGTCAGCCAGTCTGTCGATAACTGAGGCGGGTGCTGTTGTTCGGCGCTCGCTTCTGTAAACATGTACTATTTTGCGAGTTATCTCGGTTGTTCGCGTTTGGATGCAGATTTCAAACTTGTCATGTTGCGTATGAATTCATACTACTAGTATAGATACAAGGGGATACTGTAGTAGTTGCTCCTCGTGGTGACTTCAGTTGAGCCCGATGCTGAACATGGCGAGCTGGTCCTCTTCGATTTCCTGCTGCTCCTCGCTGAGGTCCGCCCAACCCATCGAGAGGCAGTAGAATCGACGGCGCAGTGAGCCCAGCACCTGCTGGCGGAAGCGGCAGAACCACTTGAACTTGAGCAGCACAGGCTTGATCACTGCAGATTGACGGCGAGCAGTGTGGGCAACGAACGCAGCGCGGCACTCGTCAAGCAGCGTTCGGTGGAAGCGTCGCCGTCGCCAGGTCAGCGCTCGGAGCGATTCCCTGAACACGGGGTACAACCGGATCACGAACTTGTGACGCAGTGTCAGCTCGGCGTTCGTGATCAGCTGACGGAATCGCCTCCTCCAGACGAACCGACGCAAAGTCTCGCGGAAGACCGGGCGGGAGTTGTTGACACTGTGCAGCAGCGCGGACTGCCTCAGCTCCCAGAAGTCCTCGCCTGCAGCGCTCCGGAACGCGTTGAGCCACGACTCCCAGCAGTCGAACATCGTCATGTCAAAGGGGTCCACTGGGAGCAGCCTCCGCCGGTGGAGCCTCTTGATGCGCAGCTCGTCCGTCCAGCTCATGCCGAGTCCGCACACACACCAGACGCTGCTGCAGCCGTCGACCTTGACGAGCATCACGCGGCAGGAGCGGCACTCGACGATGTCTTCGTCGCCGATCTCTTCCTGGTCCTCCGTCTCGCACGGGCACGGCGCACTCCCGTCGCCCAGATACCGTTTGCAGTTGAAGCAGGCGGAGAAGCCGCAGCAGCGAGTCACGACGCGGCGGTGGACGCTGTGATACGCAAGCAGCAGCGTCGCGCGACGCTCTTCGTCCTGGATGAGCGGGAGCACCTTGTGGACGATGCAATGGGTCTTGGAGGCCGGGAAGTTGTCGGTGATGTGGCGGATCACATCGCGTGCAGTGGCCGTCTGACGGTGTCGACAGAATTGGCGGACGACGCGCCGAAGCTCAGGGATACAAGCCGCTTCACTCGGTCGAAGTGTAAGAGCTACAGCGTTGGCGAAGTCCAGACGGCCGTCCGTGTCTGTGTGGGAGCCCGGTAGCTGCGTGTAGTGCGGGTTATGGCAACCCGGACACGTGAAGCTGCAGGCAGCGTCGCATCGCTGCTTGTACTGCCGGAGCAGGGGCATCGTTGTCACGGCGTCGGGGCTCAGCCAGCGAGCCCACTGCTGTCTGTTCACGGGGACGAGACACACAGGGCAGCGGACCTTGGGCAACGCCCCAGCGTACGGGACGTGCATGGCCATTTGCAGGTGCTTTTCGAGGCACGGCGTGCAGAAGACGGCGGGGCAGACCGACGAGCAGAAGCGCGTGACGGGCTTGAGGGTTGTCTGGTCCTTCAACGTGAGCTCCTCCAGGCAGATCTGGCAGGTCACAGAGCTGGAGGCGGTGCAGATTGCCTCGCGAGTGTCCGACTGCGCATTAGGAGGCATGGTAGTTGGATGCGGACCGCGAAATGTGAAGTGAAGAGTTCTACTGCAGGCAGGACGCAACAAGTGTAGCCATCTGACAGTTCAGCCGACCTTCACCCGTGGTTTTCCCAGATGGCTACTTTCGGAGTGCTGGTCCTTGAAGTGCGTGCCAGCAGTGAGCACTTTACCTCTTGTATCCCCCCTCCTAGCCCTCGGGGTTGATAATCGCATGGCCCAGAGCGTGTAGTAAAGCCGTTGTTGCACTTAGCCAGTCTGTTATCGCACGCTACGAGCTGCCACCGGTGCAGTTAATACAGTATCGCGAAACACAGCTTGTGCAATGGAATGACCCACATAAAAACATCCAAACGACACCAACATAACTCGCAAAATAGTACATGTTTACAGAAGCGAGCGCCGAACAACAGCACCCGCCTCAGTTATCGACAGACTGGCTGACTGTAGATAGTCCTCGCTGCAACAACGCTTATCTGGAGACGTTCTTGTTCTCCTCCTTGGCGAAGGCCGGGTCGAACTGGCGCGACTGGTTGATGGCGTTGCGGTGGATGTTGGCGAAGCGGAAGCGACGCGCGCGCCAGCCCGCGCCGTCCTCGGTCTGGTAGTGCATGGAGCTGTTGCGTTTGCTCTTGTCGAAGCACACGTCCGGGTTGTGCAGCAGGTAGCGGCTGGCCGAGGCGCCCGCGGCCACGGCGGCGAAGCTGCAGATGATGACGACCGGGAAGGTGCCGCTGTCCGTGGTCCAGAGCTTGAAGAGGCCCATGCTGGAGCGCGCTGCCTTGGCGGACATGATTGGCGGGGTGGTGGTGGTGGTGGTGGTGGGTGTCTGGAGAGACTGGAAGTGCTCGATGCAGTGCAAAATGTGCAATGAGCTTTTGGGGGGCTATGGGGCTATCGGCCCGTTGTGCCGTCGCCCATGAAGGCCCTCTTCCTCCTCCGTCAGCCTGGCCACACGTTGGCGACGCAAGAGATACGCGGGGCCGGCCTTGCGTTTAACTTCAGAGATCGGGTGTCGGCGGGAGGAATGCCCACGCTGTAAGAACTTACGCCGGACTCGCCCCATACAAACTGTATGAACGCGAGGCGGGTCTAGAGATACGCACGGACGCGTTTCTTCGAGCACTGAAGTAACAATGGCGCTGAACTGTCCACGAACCGGTATTCAACTGCCAATGTTACTTCAGAGTGGCACCGACGGAACCGCGTATCTGTGGCGCACTTCCAGCAGCAGCGGCGTGGAGCGCTTGCCAGCCCTGCTTGGAGCCCAGCAGCTCGACGCAAGTCAGCGGCGGGTAGCCTGAAACGCTTCCATAGCTACCTGTCATTGACCTAGATATTTATTGACAGAAGTGTACCAGTCAAGATGCAGTTGGTTGGGACCTGCATGAGATAGTGACTGCGGGGTATTTGAGCCGATCGGTTCGCGCGGGTGTGGAGCGGTGGCGCGCGGTGGTGTCTGCAACGGCATCCGGAAACGGTCGGTCATCCCCGTGTGCCTCGCGTTTCCCTCCCTGTGTGCATCGATGGGGGTCCATTGGCGAAAGAAGGCAACCACAACCAACCAGACAGACGGCAGACCGCACCAAGCACTACTTCTATTAGTACTGTAGCTGCGCAGGGGTCTGGTCTGCTCAGCAACACCGCTATTTCTGGATGTGTAAGAGCGCTTTAGAAGTACAGTACCCCACGCCAACGCTATTGCTACAAAGTGTTCGTCAGTCTAATCTTAGCGGAGACGTGGCTGTCGTCTTCGACGCGCAGGGAAATGCGGTGCAGGGAAGTGCTGAAGCGGCCCGCAATGGCCAAGCCGAGGTGAAGCGCAAATCCGGTTCCGGTGATGCTTCTATGATAAGGCATGGACACGCGCTCAGCCTGTCAACCAAAAGCGAGAAGTCACAGCAACACTTCAGGTCGCCTTCCCGCACGAAAGAACTTCGGTCACTTCGTTGGCCGGGGCCGAGTTTGTGCGTGTTCAGGAGATAGAGATCACGCACAGCCGTGTTTCGGCAATTCGCATCGTTGGGAAACACAATTTACATGTAGCCCCGGCATGTCTTTGCCAACAAGGCTCGACTAGCGTTAACTCCAAAGAGGCGCGTCGATTCTTTTAACGGAGTGAAGATAGCAACGACCACCGAAGTGGCTCTACTCTTGCCTTCCAGACCCCTCCAGCGCAAGCCGAAGTACGCAGTCTGCAGTCTGCAGCGCTGTCAACGACGAGAGAGCCTTCGTCACACCGCTAGTTGAAGTACATGCGCAGGGAACCGCTATAAACCGGTATGGTATCGCTCAGGACGGTATCGCCGAGACAATTTTTGTTACTTCACAAATCACCGACACTGATCCTGGCTTAGACACGCACCGAATCGCGTATCTATAGCGAAAACCTGCAGTGAGCGTTGAACATCGTCGGAAAAGGAATCGGATCACCAAAAGCCGACTGCCCCAAAGCTCATTGCACATTTTGCACTGCATCGAGCACTTCCAGTCTCTCCAGACACCCACCACCACCACCACCACCACCCCGCCAATCATGTCCGCCAAGGCAGCGCGCTCCAGCATGGGCCTCTTCAAGCTCTGGACCACGGACAGCGGCACCTTCCCGGTCGTCATCATCTGCAGCTTCGCCGCCGTGGCCGCGGGCGCCTCGGCCAGCCGCTACCTGCTGCACAACCCGGACGTGTGCTTCGACAAGAGCAAACGCAACAGCTCCATGCACTACCAGACCGAGGACGGCGCGGGCTGGCGCGCGCGTCGCTTCCGCTTCGCCAACATCCACCGCAACGCCATCAACCAGTCGCGCCAGTTCGACCCGGCCTTCGCCAAGGAGGAGAACAAGAACGTCTCCAGATAAGCGTTGTTGCAGCGAGGACTATCTACAGTCAGCCAGTCTGTCGATAACTGAGGCGGGTGCTGTTGTTCGGCGCTCGCTTCTGTAAACATGTACTATTTTGCGAGTTATCTCGCCTTTGTGAGCTTAGAAACTTTTATCACTTCAATTACAACGAGTGGTACTATGTTATCGCTGATCCAGCGCTCTCGCTCACGCGGATGAAGAGTAGCCTACAGACGAGTTAAATTACCAAAGCGCTTTGTAGATACTGTAAGAAATGTACGATACGAATATTTGTTTTTCTATTTAGTTCGACTTGTACTCTACAAGGCAATGCCTTCCTTGCGTTGCCCTCATATCATAGTAAGTCGGCCGAGTTGATCTACGGCCGGGTGGCTGCGATGTACATGGCCCACGATCGGGAGAGCCCGTCGTCCATGGTCACGTTGCGCAGCTTCTCGAGCGCGAACTCCTTGTTGACGGTGGCGTAGTTCATGTAGAGCAGCGAGAGCCACGGGTTGGTCTGCTCGTCGTTCTGGACGATGGACTCGCGCGACAGGATCTGGTCCCATTCCTGCGAGACGAAGTCGCGCGTGCGCACGAACTCGGTCACGGCCGTGGCCGGCAGCATCTGGATGCCGTGGATCGCGTACTTCTCGCCGCTGAACCACGTGGCGTAGTTGACCTTGTTGTCGAAGAGGATGCCCATGACCTTGTTGTCGCGGTAGCGGTCCGGGTGCGCGCGGTTGCCGTCCTCGAGCAGGAAATACGTTTGAATAGCGCGGGCGTTGAGCTTGACCATGAGCTTGCCAACCGTCTCAAGGTGGGTGTCACCCGTGACCTTGCCCAACAGCGTCATGCCGTAGTAGAAGTTCATGTCCTCGGACGTGCTCTCCTCGTCCTTGCCGTCTCCCAGCGCCGTGATGCCGTGCGAGTACGAGTGGCCGCGGTACCAGTCGAGACTGCGGAACTTGGGGAAGTACGGGTCGGCGTCCGACGGGTTGGCGACGTCGCGGATCAAGAAGCCGGCCATGCGGTTGAGCGCGGGGATGCCCGACCAAGTGGGGTCCAGCTTGTTGATGATAGCGGCGGTGACGACCCAGTAGCCGTAGTGGTAGTGGTGGTCGTTGTACATGGTGTTGCCGAAGTCCACGTTCGGGTCGTGGAGGGTGAAGCCCTGCGAGCTTACCACGCCGCGGTAGATGGTGTCGTAGTTGAGCGGGTTGGTCCACGTGTTGTTGAGGAACGGCGCCAACATGCCCTCCAGCTTCTTGATACAGCGCGGGAGTAGCGTCGTGTCGTCTGCGCCCACAACGGATGCATCTCCAGCCATCAGACAGAGAGAAGCGTACTTCTGCGCGGCCTTGCCGTTGAAGTAGTAGCTCTGGCCCAGCGCGATGGACCACTCGGAGTCGATATCGGCGATAAGGTTCTTCTTCATCTCGTAGTTTGCGACGACGCTAGCGTCGGGCTTCCGAGGCGGGTAGAAGTCAATCGGGAAATCCACGGTCTCCACCATGCGCCACTCGGGCGGCGACGTCTTGGTCACCACGCCCTGCATGAGTCCGCGCGTCGTGGAGTGAGCAGCGACTCCCTCAGCCTCCACAGCGTATCTGCGGTCCAGAGTGTCGATGTGGTGCACCTGCGCGTAGTGCAGCATTCCGCTGGTGGCACAGTCGCCGCTGGTCTGCCACTTGTACGCGTACGCGTTCTCGTTGTGGGCCTCCACTCGGCCACCGTTGAGCACGCAGCTCGCCGTGTCGTCAAAGACCTTTTGCTCCTGCGCAGAGGCGTCCGGGATCAGCGCCACGCGGGACACGCCCGTGAACGGCTGCTTCATGTCGAGCGTCGAGTGGCCATCGAAGTATAGCGAGACTTGCGTGGAGAAGTAGAGCGTCCAGGTGGCGCCGTTGTCGAACTGCAGCACGTAGCGGGTGTTGGTAAGTGGGCGGTTGATTGACTCGGTGGCGTCGAGGCCGTTGATGGTCGAGATGTTGTACACCGTCTGGAAGCGCGGCGTGAGCCCCGAGTAGTGCACGGTGACGAAGGCCATGCCGCTCGCGAGCGTCGCCTCGAACTTCTTGGAGTTGTCGCGGCGGTCCATGAAACGCAGCTGCACGCTGAGGTCGTCCCAGTCGAAGACCTCGAAGACCGGGTGCGACGCGTTGGAGAACTCGGTGGCGGAGAAGGTGAACTCGGGCACTTGGCCGTGGAGGTAGTACATCTCGGCATCGCCGTTGCCGGTCAGGCCGCCGCCGAACTCGCGGGTCGTGAACGGGTAGTTCATCGTGAGGCCGAAGGGCTCCATGTAGATGGAGGGCGTGACGCTGTACGGGTTGGTCCAAACGGGGTACACAACGTCTTCCTCGGCGGTGGCGCCGATCATGTTGCCCCACCAGTCGTTGGTCGGGATGGGGCGCGAGCCCACGAGGCCCGGGGCCAGGTACTTGGGCGGTAGCAGCGTCTTGTGGGCGTCCGTGTGGTTGAAGAGGCTTTCAGGCGGGACCTCGGCGTTGAAGATGGGCGTGAACAGGTCGAACTTGGCATCGGGCGCCACGGTCGTCACGCTGCGCAGCGTCGACGGACTGGGCTTGAACACGCCGAAGACCGCGGCGCCGAACAGCAGCGTCGAGGTGACTGCGAGCACGCCCCAGCGACTGACGCGGTGGCTGGTCGGCGGCTGCTGCGTGAGCGGCACGGCGGCGTGCGTCTCGAGCAGCGGATGCACCTCGCCGCTATGGTTGGGCCTAGGACTGGGGGACAACATGGTTGAGCGAGCGACTGCAAGTGTCGGTGGCGAGGCTGTCGTTGTTGGTGTTGCTGTTGAAGTGGTAGGCAAATTGAAGAGTGAGCTTAGAAGCGGCGGACGGGTTTCGGGGCCTGCTGAAGTTCAGTGTCCGTCCGACCGACAGCCCCATGGGGCGCGCCGGCCGGCCGATCGCAGAGCAGGGCGTTGCGGTCACAGCAGCCACAAAGGCGCATATTTACGCCGGTGCGAAGCCATGAGCTGGAGCCGCGCCTGCGCCCGATGAGACGAAAGCGTGCTCTCGCTGTGGACGAGCCTGGCCGTTTTGCCGTAACAACCGTTAAATCGATACGCCCGCACACGATTGGCTGAAAAGTTGAAGCAGGAATACACCCACTATAACTAATATAATGTGATCAATGATATTCGTATCTTCATACGTGTACTAGTACAAGAATAAGAGGATTCTAATATTTAATTACCCTTGCAATCTACCGCTACTCCCGCAAGCGGCTCGATTAACTGGATCGTCAGTCGAAAACTGCACTTTCAATACTGAAGATTTGCACTGTCGACACCACTTCAACGTCGGCAGAAAACGGCTCAGCTCGGGCCAAGTGCAAGGTGGGCACGCCACAGTCTGGGCGCTCTGCATGCAAAATCTCCTCTCATCGAGCGCGAAACGTGAGGCGGAGGGATGCCTCTTGGCCAGCAGCGCGCTGGCCGGCCCAGTCAGATCTTGCCGCCGGGAGGTTTCGTCGCCGACCGTCATCGCTCAGCCCGCTGGGTGTCGCACCCGAAACGCAAATGGTGGCTGGGGAGTGTCAACCACTAAGACGATTAAAACAAATACTGTCGCGACCGGCTCAGCTCAGTCGAATCTGGTGGTGTCACTGACTGAGTCTTTCGCAACTGTGAAAGCCCATGGTACGAACTGCAGGGCGAACGCCAAGGCTGTCGGTTTGGTGTGGGTTCACTTGAAGCTGCAAAGGATCAGCGTGAAATCCAGCTCGATGTGTCCGTAGCGCGTTGTGGGGATCGTGTTCAGCGCATTGAAGTTGCGGGCACAACGCGGACGACCAAGCAACAATTGACACCAAAAGCTCGCAAAGACGAGCCCCGAACTCTCGCTGGAAGTCCGCGTCGATCGTGTCGATCATCGGTAGAGCACACCAAATGCCAAGCGCTCCGAGCAATCGTCACCCCGAACCGAGGCCGCCGATGTGACATGAGATGGGAGTACACTCGTGGGGTGGACTGCATGTCGCTCATAAGAATGTCCCCCTGCGGCCAACTTGCTGGCAGCTCTGGGCGGGGTGCTTATCTGTTTCAAAGATGGCTACATGTACATCTTGGCTCGACGTCAACGAAATAGTTTCATGTATTCGTACAAGCAAGCGGCTGCGCCGTTTGAGGCAACGCCAGCCTTATTCATTCTTGTGCAGTTGCTACAACTGGTGACCTACCACCAACCCCCTCAAGTGTCACGGTGCGTCCGACGCTACCGACCCATTGCTTCGCTCTGCGAACAGCGGCGACAGCGACTCCTCCGCGACTGAAACCTGAAGTTTCAGCGCCGAGAAGCCACTGAAGCAGTCGCGCAGAGTCGACTCCACGACTTCCTCTACCGTGTCGGGGGCTCGAAGGATCCGCTCGGACCCCACACGCTTCGGGTCCTCGACACTTTGGTTGCCCTTGCCTTTCTTCTTCTTCTGGCCCTTGTTGTTACCTCCGCTGAGCATGTCGGTCACGGCGCCCGTGATACCCCTCGACTTCAAGTTGTTCTCGTCGTAAGCGCGACCGGCGGCTGCCAAGTCGTTCATGACGTCGGACGTCGCGTTCATGGCGCTGCGAGCCACTGTGATCTCCGCCGTCGTGTCCTTCGCTGCGCGGATGTCGCCCCTCAGGAAGGCCTTGCTCGTGCTGATGAAGCGCAGGCCGTGGCGACTGTCGTAGTCGGCGATGTTGCCCTTGAGCATCTTGAGGCAGTTCACCGCGTCGTCCGCCGTCTGGACCAGCAGCATCTCCAGCTTGGAGAACTCTTGCTCGGTGGCGATGCGGTCGGTGGACATGCCCATGCTAAAAACACTGTCGAATTCGAAATGGGTTGACTCGAGGAAGGCCTACTGATGTCGGCACCGCAGCCAGCGTTGCACGAAATTGAAAAAAAAAATCGATAGTGGCTGACTAGCTGCGCGACAAATGAGAGACAAAGCGGCCCCGCCCATTGTTCGCAATGGCGAACTAACGGTATTCGCATCCGACTTGTATTAATCTTCGCTCTGGAAGACGGTCGATGGCTAGCGAAAGCTCGTCTCATACCGAAGTAGGCTGCCGCTGTTGAGGTTCCTTCTCGACCCCGGGTCCCAGTCATCTCTTCTTCAACCGCGCTCGAGCTCGCAATCTGCTTTGCCCATTTCAAAACTCGACCTCAAGCGCACAAGCCAACCAACACCGACAACAACACCCCCCAACTCGATCATGGGCAAGTCCACCGAGCACAACGTTACCCAGGAGGAGTTCTACAAGCTGGAGCAGGTGTTGAACCAGACCGTGGACGACGCGTCCAACTGCCTCAAGCTGCTCAAAAAGCACCTCTCCGACTACGACAGCCGCAATGGCAACCACTTTGTCAACACGGCCTCGCACTTCATGCGCGGCGACATCCGCACCGCCAAGGACACGGCCATGGACCTCAAGCACGTGGCGCACAAGATCAATAAAAGCCACAAGCCGTCCAAGGCGGAGGTGTCTTCGGCGCGCAACATGATGGACGCCACGTCCAAGGCCATGGACACGCTGAAGATCACGGCGCGCAACTACGACAAGGAGAACGGCCAGTCGATGGGGGTCAAGGGCAGAATCGACGCCGCAGTCGGTGGCCACCACGACCACGATAAGGAGAAGCATGAGCAGCAGCACGGGCTCCTCGGCAAGAGTGACAAGGATGAGAAGGACAAGCACGAAGGCTTCTTTGGGAAGGACGACAACGGCAAGGAGGGTGAAGGTGGGCTCTTCGGCAAGAGCGACAACGACAAGGAGCGTGAAGGAGGAGGTCTCTTCGGGAGGAGTGAGAAGGACAAGGAGCATGAGGGAGGCCTCTTCGGCAAGAGCGATAAGGAGAAGGAGCATGAGGGCGGAGGTCTCTTCGGCAAGAGTGACAAGGAGAAGGAGCACCGTGGAGGCATGCTCGACAACCCCGACAACAACGGTGGAGGTATCATGGGCAGCTCCGACACCGTCGAGACGTTGGTGAAGAAGACTCTGCGCGACAACTTCAGTCTCAACGCGCTGGACCAGCAAATCAAGGCTGCGGAGAAGTCCCTGTCGCCCTCCATCGCGGAGCGTGCGAAGCCCTCCATCGTGGACCGCGCGAAGGAAGCCATGCACGACGTCAAGGACAAGCTCAAGGGAGACAAGTCCAGCTCGGCCCACCATGAGAGCCACCCCCACGAAGGCCTCCACGACGAAGGCCACCACGCCCAGCACACGGCGATGCCGTAAGAGAGCTCTTCCCCGAGCTGAAAGACGATCGGCATCTAAGCTTCCACTTTGCACTTTGCACGTAGCTGATCAGGAGGGAACGTTCACAATCATTTAACATTGACACCAAACACGGCAAGCAGCTTTTTTATCAACCTTCGGGCCATGGTGATATCCGTGAAACTTTCCTCATTGCCTGCTCAGCTGTCCGAGATCTTGGTGGCGATCGTTGTGTGGGTCCACGGCTGGTCGAACACGCTAACGGAAAACCTGCGTGGGGACTTGCACGCACTGCTGCAGTCTCCTCCGCGCAGACCACGACAGCCGTCGATCTGGAATTCGTAGTTGGTCCCTGCGACCACTTGACTTCTCGCCGACAGGATCGAGTTCACGCAGACGCTCGTCTTGGACAAGGCCCGCACCAGGGCAGCGCGAGTGTCTGGTGTGACGGGGGCGGCGGACCAACCTCCCAGTATCAACGCGTCCGCGGTGGCGGCTCCAGTCAGGGCCAGCAGCAGCAAATACCCTAAGCTGAGCCTCAGCATCCACATTTTCTTCAGAAGAAGACTGTTCCGAAGTGAACACGTCCGATGGGTCTTGATCCTCATTAGTTTCTATCAGTCTATTTATTGTACTTTTCGCAAACTTTATTCACATCTCGCCGAATATGTCACGAGAGATCGGCTTCATCGGGGGCGGACGACCACCTTGACGCTGGTGCAACGGGACACTCGATACATTGGGCACCAGCGATTCGATGTCACCGTTGCTGCTAGCAGCAGAGCGCTGGAGAACTGAGACTTTCACGTTGCCAGCTGACCGACGCCCCGCCATCGTGCCTTGCTCTGGATCAGGTTCAATTGGCGCCGCGACACTCACCACGAACTGCCGAAGCGTTTCAATAGCGTCGTGCGGCAGCTTGTACCCCCACTGCTGCTCCTGGATGACGTCGGAGAGCACGTGGAATAGCGCGCTCCCGCCGCTGAGCGTCGACTGGGACCCCACCAGCAGCAGCTTCTGCTTCGCGCGCGTAAGTGCCACGTTGATGCGGCGCCAGTCCGTCAGCAGCTCCCCCACGTGCTTCTCCTCGTTGCAGCGAACGAACGAGACCAAAATCACGCCCTTGTCCTTGCCCTGGTACTTGTCGATGGTGCTTACTTCGACCGAATGGACCCATTCCGACCCGCCGGCTCGGCGGAATGCTGCGACAGCAGTGAGGTGCTGCTGGATCAGCGCGACCTGAGAACGAAAGGGAGAAATCACGGCGATCTCCTCGGCCGGTATCGATCCCAGCACCAGGAGCTCCACCAGTCCAGCAACCACCTTAGCCTCCACGACGTTCTCCATTAGCCGACGGCCGTTGTTGCCCATCTGCGCCGTGCTCGAGCTCTCCGCCGTAGGCCCACCCATCGTATCTGTGTCCAAGAACATGACGCCGTGGTTGTTGGTCAGCACTTGAATGGGCCACAACAACTTCTGTCCGAGAGTGTTCTGCCGCTGCCATTTCAACTTGAGGTGGTTCGATGCGACTTTATAAGAGCCACACTTCAGCTTGTCGCCGTACACCAGTCGATTCGCCAGCAGCATGATGTCTCGGTTCATTCGGTACTGGTAGGATAGCTGCTGAGTCGCTTCCGGGTGCGCCTCAGCCAGCCGGCGGAACAAGCTGACGTCCATGCCTTCTTTACGGGCCTGCGCGTTCGCCACTAGCGGTGGGAGCTGGTAATGGTCTCCCACGAGTACAAACGTATCTGCGCAACGCAGAGCGCTCAGGACGATAGGCTGCGTGATCTGGGTCGCTTCGTCGACGATGCAAAAATCAAATCTCCGCATGGCGAACAGGACGTGGCTGTTGACACTCAGACAAGTGCAGCCCACCAACTGCGCGTTAAACAGCTTCGCTTCCATCGCCTGCACGCTTGAAATACCCTCGCGCTCGGCTAGCCGGTCCAGTGTGAAGTCAGCAATTGACGGGTGCACTTGCGCGGTGTTGCCGATGCGAAGCATGGGAACTTGACACGCCAGCAGCTTCAGCAATAGGTTGTCCACGGCCGAATGCGTATAACTTGTCACCAGCACAGAGAATCCGAGAAACAGCAGCACCCGTACAGTGAAGGCGATTGTCGCCGTCTTACCGGTTCCCGGCATTCCTAAAACCAGCGCGTAGTCGAGAGAGCTCAGCACGCGCTGGACAGCCCGTTGCTGATCGATGTTCAATTCAAAGAACGCGTCCAGCAGAGCCCGACCATGAGCTGCCACGCTGCCATCGTAGTCGTCTTTGGCGCGTTCTCGGCACCGTTGTGTCACTAGGTCGGTCACCCGGCAAGGCTTGAAGTGCGGGCGAGCAAGATGTACAATTAGGTTGCGCCTCCTTGTGTCACCGACGCCTGGTGCTTCCTCGTTCCCGTCACCACCCGAAGTGACGATTGAGGCCATTCGAACCTGCAACTCTGGTCTGCTCGTCAAGGCCGTGCCAGCTGAAACAACCTCGGGAGGGGTTCCAATAAATAATCGCACGAGATTTTCCTTCGCGCGTCGTAAGCCGCTCATGATGGCATCCTTGTCTAATCTCCACGTATACTCCTTACCGACGGTAGACTGCCCGCTTATCACGATCGACGGAATAGATTGACGAGCCTCGATCGTGATGAGCCCGTGCTCAATTTTGCGGACAGTTGCCCGAGAAACGTGAACCAGCAAACTCTTCCCATCCAACGACTCCGCTGACAAAATGACACGCTCGTCTACTCGAAAGCGTACGCCTGCAAACGAAGTTGGTTGCACATAGCCTCCACCCCCGCTTTCCATGGGGATATCCTGTCGTTTCCGTCGATCACGAACGAACCTTAGAGTTCGCTTTGCCCCAGAGTCTGATGGTGCGGGTGTATCGGACACCAGCTTGAGGCTTGCTATGCAGGTGCTGCTCTCCTGCGCTTGCTCTCGCTTCCATCCAACCTGGAGCCACAGTGCACGAAGATTTCTCTCGGCGTGCTGCTGCTCCAGGTCGATGAGCCGATTCCATTGTCTAAAATAAGTTAAATCTGCTTCGCCAAGGTGCCTTGTCTTTTGCGTGAATAGCTCATCCAGCCCGCTAGATTCCTCCGTGCCGTTCTCCGTTGCCGCATGGTGCAAGACGCACTCGTGTAGCTGAAAGCAGCGCTGGCAATCTGTGCGATTTCGAATCATCGGCGGGAACACCTGCGCGGATGTGGAGCTTCCAATCGCTTTCACTTTGGCGATGGCGCTGGCGAAATTGTTGCGGGCCATGATGAGCCCACGGATATGCGTAGCCATTGCGGCAATGCGGTTGGTTTCGATGGGCGGGACGTAGATAAGCAAGCCATCCTGACAGCGTTGCCGATAGCGTTCATTCAGCAGCAGCGTGTACAGGATCACTTGGCCCTGGTGCTCGACCCCAGCATACTTTTTGCTCCCTGTCTTCAGCTCAAGGGGCAGAACTCCACTTCCAGCTTGCGCACCATTTGAAATCCCGGGATCATTGATAGTCCCTTCAACTGAGGCATCGGTGGCACCTTTCAGCCCCCATTTAATGGACCACATCATCTCCTCGGTCGCCAAAACTCGGCTAACGCGCACCCTCGATCCATTCTTGGGAGGTACCTCGTTTAGCGTCGTACCAGATCCAGCGATGGCCCCACCTACCCATGACCGATAGTCTTCGATAACTTTTTGTAGTTCCAATAACGCCTTTTCTTCGTTTAATCCGCACTCGACAAGCCCTAAAATGCTGCACGAATGGAAACAAGAGTTCGTTAGACAACTGGTATAAAGAACCCAAAAAATTGTCTTGAACTTCCAACATACTTTGAATGCACGATTCGCTTGGCCTCTTGGAAAAGACCCTCAGTATTGTACACACCATTGCGAACCGCATATTCGAAAAGATCGTGCTTTAATGTACCAAGGAAAGCCTTTTCCCCGGTCGTACCACTGACTGCTAGCGTTTCCTGAAGTACAGCGCGGCGTAAGCAGCCAAAACTTGTCGTAACTCTTGTGGGTGATACCTGGGGTAATAGAGAACAGAGGTAAATGCACAATCAGCACTATTACCATATCACCCTCACCGCAATGATCGATCATCGTACCAGAATATCAGGGTGGACGACCACGACGTTGTGCATGTTGTCGACCTGAATGCGAGTTGAGTGCCGCCCTGCCGGCACATTGCTGCATTCTTGCGAGAAGAATCCATTCCTATCCTGCTCAGTAAACACAATATTGATCGTATCGCCAGCCTCGACAAGCACGTCATACCAGTCTTCGGTCAGCAAAGCCTCCAGCTGCACGTCTTGATCATCTAAGAGGCGCAAAAGCAGCGAGCGGTTAACGACGTCGCGGTCCACTTCCAAAACTAAAAATCGCCTGAAGCTCTCGGGCCGATCAGGCTGTTGGGCTGCGCCGACGTCATGCATTGATCGCACCACTGGAGCCGGAACATTGGCTGGTGGCATCGGCGGAGGCTTCTTCGGTCCGTCAAACGCAGCCGACGGCATCGGCCGCGGCGTCAGCGCGAAGCTCTGAGACGACACGAGCTCCGTCTGCGACTGTGACTGCGTTTGGGTAGCGTCAACCATTGCTCGTTGGCTCACCAACTGATCCATCAGGTCCCAGGATTCGTCCGGCAGGTCGCCAAACGGATCCTCCTCCTCCACAACTACCGGCTTTGGCGGCGTTTTCACTGCCTCCTGCTCTTTGACTGGTGCGATAGCCCTGGCCGGTTCCTGGTTCCTGTTCAGCTCCTGAGTCTTCAACATTTCCTGTGTCCGTAGCGACCGAGGAGACAGCGTGCCGGTGGACGAATAGGTGGGAGCTGGGGTCGGCGTCAGGTTCATCTCCGTTGCTGCTGCTACTGCCGTAGTAGTGCTGGTCACTGCAGGCTGCTGATACAGCTGCCGCCTCCTGGGCGACGCCGGCCTTGACGCCGTCAGCGGCAGCGCCACGTCGGGGCTGGCATATTTCTGCTCAATCTTGTCCAGCACACTGAAGAGCTCGTCCTGCGAGTCCCCTCTCTCGGTGGATCGCCGTCTCGACGCCGTATTGGGCGTCCTCTGTGCGGCATCAGCTCCCTCTGCTCTCTCGGGGCTGAACATCAAGAGCCTCGAGGCGGCTGCATAGACCTTTAATTAGTCATAATACAATAATACACCCCCGATCAAGTATAATAATTATTTGAGGCCCCCACCTTTCTCCTCCTCAGCCGCCGCCTTCCGCCGCGCGCGCACGCGCTCTCGGGCCGGCGGCTTCTTCTGCTCTTCCTGGCTGGAGGGCGGCGACTGCTGGCTGGCGCGCGCCAGGCGCCCCACGAAGCCCTGCATCTCGCGCCGCACCGCCATCTTGCCCGTGCCCGAGACCTTGATCTGCTTGTCGGCGGGCGAGTCCTTCCACACGATCTTGGACTCGGCGCCGCCCGAGCCGGTCGTGCGGTTGGCCGAGGACGAAGAGGAGGCGCCCTTCTTGCCGCCACGTCGAGGCGTGGACGACTCGGCGCGGCGGCGCTTGCGCTTGGGCGAGCGAGACCGGTCCATTATTGGCGGAGGCGCTGGAAGTGCGCGCTATTTGTTGCACTTGTGAAAGCGCGCCAGTAGAATATTCGATTGGAGAGGGTTTTAGTCGGTTAAGTTCGGATCGAATTACGGCTAAGTTCGTGTCACTTCAACTTGGCGGATGAATCTTCGTCAAGCGGTTGACACCGAAGAGGCAAGGACGTATCAGGGCGTCTATCGGGCGAGCTTAGTTTACTTGTATTGAGGCGAGTGTAAGGATTACCTGGACTACGTAGCTATACATGTGATTGGCAGCGTTTAGTTGAGCCCGATGCTGAACATGGCGAGCTGGTCCTCTTCGACTTCCTGCTGCTCCTCACTGAGGCCCGCCCAACCCATCGAGAGGCAGTAGAATCGACGCCGTAGTGAGCCCAGCACCTGCCGGCGGAACCGGCAGAACCACATGAATTTGAGCAGCACAGGTCTGATCACTGCAGCTTGCCGACGGGTAGTGCGGGCAACAAATGCAACGCGGCACTCGTCAAGCAGTTTTCGGTGGAAGCGTCGTCGTCGCCAAGTCAGCGCTCGGAGCGATTCCCTGAATGCGGGGTGCAACCGGATCACAAACTTGTGGCGCAGCGTCAGCTCGGCGTTCGTGATCAGCTGACGGAATCGCCTCCTCCAGACGAACCGACGCAAAGTCTCGCGGAAGACCGGGCGGGAGTTGTTGACACTGTGCAGCAGCGCGGACTGCCTCAGCTCCCAGAAGTCCTCGCCTGCAGCGCTCCGGAACGCGTTGAGCCACGACTCCCAGCAGTCGAACATCGTCATGTCAAAGGGGTCCACTGGGAGCAGCCTCCGCCGGTGGAGCCTCTTGATGCGCAGCTCGTCCGTCCAGCTCATGCCGAGTCCGCACACACACCAGACGCTGCTGCAGCCGTCGACCTTGACGAGCATCACGCGGCAGGAGCGGCACTCGACGATGTCTTCGTCGCCGATCTCTTCCTGGTCCTCCGTCTCGCACGGGCACGGCGCACTCCCGTCGCCCAGATACCGTTTGCAGTTGAAGCAGGCGGAGAAGCCGCAGCAGCGAGTCACGACGCGGCGGTGGACGCTGTGATACGCAAGCAGCAGCGTCGCGCGACGCTCTTCGTCCTGGATGAGCGGGAGCACCTTGTGGACGATGCAATGGGTCTTGGAGGCCGGGAAGTTGTCGGTGATGTGGCGGATCACATCGCGTGCAGTGGCCGTCTGACGGTGTCGACAGAATTGGCGGACGACGCGCCGAAGCTCAGGGATACGAGCCGCTTCACTCGGTCGAAGTGTAAGAGCTACAGCGTTGGCGAAGTCCAGACGGCCGTCCGTGTCTGTGTGGGAGCCCGGTAGCTGCGTGTAGTGCGGGTTATGGCAACCCGGACACGTGAAGCTGCAGGCAGCGTCGCATCGCTGCTTGTACTGCCGGAGCAGGGGCATCGTTGTCACGGCGTCGGGGCTCAGCCAGCGAGCCCACTGCTGTCTGTTCACGGGGACGAGACACACAGGGCAGCGGACCTTGGGCAACGCCCCAGCGTACGGGACGTGCATGGCCATTTGCAGGTGCTTTTCGAGGCACGGCGTGCAGAAGACGGCGGGGCAGACCGACGAGCAGAAGCGCGTGACGGGCTTGAGGGTTGTCTGGTCCTTCAACGTGAGCTCCTCCAGGCAGATCTGGCAGGTCACAGAGCTGGAGGCGGTGCAGATTGCCTCGCGAGTGTCCGACTGCGCATTAGGAGGCATGGTAGTTGGATGCGGACCGCGAAATGTGAAGTGAAGAGTTCTACTGCAGGCAGGACGCAAAAAGTGTAGCCATCTGACAGTTCAGCTGACCTTCACTCGTGATTGTCTTCGGAGTGCTGGTCGTTGAAGTGCCATAAAATGGCTACACATATTGCATGCTTCCAGCAGTATAGTACTTCCTCGCTTTTAGCTTCAAGTAGATTGCACGTTGCCAGGATCCCGATCGAGAATGGTTGATACATGCACCCCCTTTAGTATATTTCTCGAAAAAGGCAACCAGCATCACGCAGCCCCAACGCTGCGCTACAGTAGCAGTTGCAGTTAGAAATCATACTCGTCTCCTCTCGGACTGGCGATCGACAGCTCTTCCTTTGCGGCAGCCCCCTCGGGATTTCCCTTCAAGTCCGCATCAGGGTTGGCAGACTTCTTCGAGCCGTGCTTCCACTCGCGGATCTCTTCGCGAAGTGTTTCGTCGCTCACAAGCTGCAGGAGCGTTAGAGGCTCCCCTGTTAGTGGGCAACGATTGCCAAAGTCGCGGAACCACGCCTCGATGACCTGGCGCTCGAACACTTGTCCGTACGGTGACCGCATCGGGTCTTTCATCAGTTTCAGCGACACTGCGCATTTGAACTCGGGCGGGGTATCTCGTGATCCCGACTTCTTTTTCTTCTTCCTGGAGGGGTCTCGCTGTTTCTTCTTGTGTTTCTCCTTGGGTGGTGAGTCAGCAGCAGGTGTCTTGGCGTCGGTGTCCTCTTCAGCTTCGTCGTCGCCATCGTCAACCGCATCGGCATCTTGAATGGTGATAGCGTTCAGGCTTGGCAAGTCTCCCAATAACTCATACTCTTCCTTGCGCGACAAAGGCGTAGCCTTCTTCGCTGGGGTCGGCTTGTCCTCAGGTTTCGGAGATGAGGGCGAGGCTGCAGCTTCGCTCGGTTTTGGCGGAGATGGAGACGGCGCAGTCGGTAGGTGTGACGCGATATCTTCCAGCATGGTGCGAATCTCGCTATGGATAGTGAGGTCTCTCGCAATAGAACCACGGTCAGTCTTGAGCAGCACGTCAGCGCCGTACACGACCAGCATCTTCACTATCGGCACACGAGAATGATATGCCGCCTCGTGTAACGCCGTCCAGCCGAGTTTGTTCGTCGCGTTCTTGTTGACTCCCCACTCTAGCAGCATTTTAACAGTAGGGCCATGGCCTTGACGAGCAGCTTCTGCGAGTGGAAATTGCCCGGGGAACGGGCACAACGCAAACTCGGGGCATATCACATCGTGCTTGGCACCGGCACGCAGCAGCTCCTGTGCAATTGTAGTGTACCCCCGATGGCAAGCGTCATAAAGCGGAGTCCATCCTACTGAGTTCATCGTATTTACATTGGCGCCAGCACGAATGAGCTTGATGGCCAGCGCCTCCAGTCCGTAGGCACAAGCGATGTGCAGTGCCGTCCAGCCGCACGAGAACGAACCGGGTCCACGACGCGTCACCAGGTTTAAGTCGGCCTTGCGCGCGACGAGCTCCTTGAGGATGGCGATGCCTGCCTCCTGCGCGTTGAGCATGTGGCAAGCAGAGTGCAGGGGCGTCCAGCCATCGTTGTTAGGCAAATGCAGAGTGGCCTTGTCCAGCACAATCTTGTCATTGCCGATGTAGACAACCAACTTGCTTTCTTCTTGAGCCTCGTCTACTATCGGTGGTTTGTCGCCCTTGTCGGCGGCAGGCTTGACCACTTCTCCGTTCTCGAGCATCAATTGCTGGAACTTGCCCTCTTGGTCAGGCGAATGCACGAGCAGCACCATGTTGCCGCCCTTGAAGCCGCGCGCTTGGTCTCGAGGGTTCTTGGGTCCGATGTGGAAGTCGTACAGTCGATACAAGTCCGGGAAGCGCACGAAGCGCGGATCCAGCCCCTGCACCATGGCATCCCCGAGGATCATGGTGCACGCCAGCATCTGCTCGAAGGACGCTTGCGTTGATGCCGCGCCCCCCATAGCTCCGTCACCTCTGGTTCACAATAAGTCGCTACAGGCCAAACAACTACAGCGCAGAAAGGTTAGTGGGAAGCTTCGCACGAAGGCGACCGTTCGGCGTGAAGATGTGGAGTACACAAGCACAATGGTCAAGCGAAGTCGGTTGCAATTTGGTCAACGGATCCTGCTTTGGATGGCAACCGTCTGGGGCTGCGGGTGCTTCATTCAGTTGCTGGAGATCACTATGGCGCTGGGGCCGCGATGACAGACGTGAGCTCGGTGGTGTTGGTCCATGGCTGGTCGAAAACTTTCACCAGGAAGCGGCTGACTTGGTTGTGCGAGGCGCTCGAGCCCTCCACCTCGAACTCGTAGTTGGTGCCCGCCACGACCTGCGAACGCACGGACAAAATGGTGGTCACGGTCAGGTCAGAGCCGACCAGCGCACGCTCCAAGGCGGCGCACGCCTCAGGCGTCACAACGCCGGTGGACCAGCCGCCGACGATCACGATGGTCTCCGACATCTTCTGCAGTGGGGGAAGCTTCAGCTCGTTGGATCCCGTTTCAGTTTTATGTTCCGCTGGATGCAAGCAAGGTTGTTAACCGAAATCACCAGCAAGAGAGCAGCAGGGATCAACACATTATACAGCTCACGAATCAACATGTAAACCCCATTCCGGTGCGGCTGGCACTAACGCTCGCCGTCTGCTGCTCTGCTGATCTACCGTTTTCAACACTGGAGGCCGGATCCCCGACTGACCCTGCACACTTGGGCCCACCATCCCCGCCTTAGTTTGTCATACCTCAGTTGCCTATTCGTCCTTCTTGAACATTTTCTTGAACATGCCTCCGATGCGCGACTTGCGGTGGCCATCGTCTGAGTACACACTGCTCCGGTTGAGACTGCCACGATCAGGAGGGCTAATTCCCTCGCCCTGAGGCGACACTCCTTGCGGCACCGGGTTGTTCATAATCGTATCTAGAGTCGCACGACGTTCGTTGCGCGTGGGGTTCGAGCCGACGGCCACCGACACTGGCACAGTTCCCAGCGAAGTCGCTGTGTCCGAGCGTTTATCGCGATACTCGCTTTCCCTTCCCGTCCTTGAGCTGGCAGTCCTGCATATCAACACAAAGTTACCAATTTGACATCAAGTCTTGACACGACAATATGCCATCAGGGAACTTACGAGGAGCGACGACCCGTAGGTGGACGAGTGTACTCGCTGCTACGCCTTCCGTTCTCATACGACGGCTTCGAGTCAACCGCCATTGCCCGCATGCGTTCCAGCAAGTCTTCGGAAACGCCGTCGGACTCCGCTAGGTTGATGATGTCCACCAGAACTTCCTGCTGCTGCACACGGGCCTTAAGCTCCGCCGAGTACACGGAGCGCTGCATGCGCAGGTCCTCCTTCAATTCTGCCACCTGCTTCTTGTACTTCTTCATCTTCTCCTCCTGGGACTTGATCAAAGCAGCGTGGGTGCTCATGAGCCGAAGGTTGGCCTTCGACTGCTGCTTGTTGTGCTGATTTAGCGCAGCGAAAGACGCGCCGGCTGCCGTGTACGCATCCTTAATCTTCTTGTTTTCCGCCTTCAGATTTTCATTCTCCTGGGACAACAGTTGAATGAGCTCACGGCCCTTGGTGACCTCCTTGCGCAAGTAATCGATCATGCGCTCCGAGTCATCAAGCAGCTTGCCGTCATCCATAGACTCGCGCTCTATCCTGCTTAACCGCATGCTGCTGTTTCGGAAATTAGGCGGTCCTTCGCTCTCATAAATGCTGCTGTCCGCGCTAGGTACAGAGGAACTCCGAACCTGGTTCAGCTCTTGCTGAAGCGATGAGTTCTCCGCCTCAATTTCCATGCGCGCACGCTTTTCATCTTCCAGGCGGTGCTTGAGCAGCTCAACTTCAGTTTCCATGGCATCCTGCTCTTTTCGTTCGGACAAAAGTTTGTGGTACTTGCCCACCTGCTTCTTCATCTTCAGCGTACTCTGGATCTTGATGACAGCATTGCGGAACGTTGCGTACTTCTTTTCGGAGAGGTACTTACGGTAAGCAGTCTGCACCTTAATCGCGCTCTTCTCCTTCATCAGCAAATACACGCGCTGACGTGAACGGACTCCACGCCACACGCTCTGCACAACAATGCACTTCCTGCGCTTCTCCAGGAACGAGCGTCGTTGCATCCGACAACGGTGAAGAGCCTGAATATTTGAGATCATAGTCCGGACCTTCTTGATCCTTCGCCGAGCCATCCACCGGCGAGCAGTCTGCTGAATCACAATCGCTCGCTCATGCACAAACGTAGTGCGCCTGTGCTCCAGGAACTCGAGAACGTCCTTACCGAAGTAGACCAGGCTCTTACCAACCACGAAAGTTGGCGTTCTGGAATGCTCGCTACCCTCTTGCGTTTTCGCAAAGTCGTCTCCACTCAGCAGTTCCTTGGCTAGCTGTTCGCATGCCTCAGTCACAGTCGTAGATGCTGGTGCAGCACTCGCATTCTTTTTGCTTCGCATCATCACGAATCGGCGCAAGAACTTCTCGTGCGCCATCTTGTTCGGGAACGCCGCTCGTGTAATACGAATAGCTTCAACAACACCAGCACACCGAAGCTGGCTCACAACTGCGTCGATTTCATAGCTGTTGGGGCTCTTCTCCGAGTTGGGCTTGATGCAGCGTACGTAGTGAACTTCAGTGCTGGAGATGTCGCTCATCAGCAGTGACAACTGCGCCTTGAACTTGTAGCTCACCGTTTCCTGCATGAACGTGGACGTCTTCCGACTGACAGTGCTACGCCGACCACCCTCCATCATGGTAGCGGCACGGACAGCCAGGTCTGCGTCCGTCATGAAAGCAGTGTTGTCGTCATCGCTGAATACCATCGACATCAAGCCGTTCGAGCTCGTGCCAAGCAGCTCCAGCAGATCAGTCTGGAGTGAGTCCTTGTTCTTCTCAACGAAGCCCTCTGCGTCGTACGTTACAGGTCCCGCGTAGTGGTGCAGCATGAAGTGCATCTGACTCAAGCGGGCTCGCTCAAGACGAGGATGTGACTCTCGTAGTGATACCAGCTTCGATACGAACGATAGATCGCTGCCCATGGGGCGGACACACTCTTCATTCAGCAGTGCCATCACGCCCATCGAGTTCTCCAGCAGGTCAAGCATATCTTGGTTATCGCGGTACTTGACAAACTCCCACGCGACACCCTCCTGCTGGTACTCTTCCTGAACCGTCTTGAACACATCCAATGTGAACTTCTGCTGCAGCTTTTCGTTGGCAAAGTTAATGCAGAACTGCTCGAAGCTGTTGTGCTTGAAGGACTCGAAGCCGAAGATATCCAGCAGGTCAATGTGCAGATACGACGGCGTCGACGCACCTCTGTCGGCCGAGTTCGAAATACTGTGGTTCACACGGCGCACCAAGTAGCCGAACACGCGCGCATAGATTTCCTTGGCCAGAGCATCACGGTTGTTGCCAGCATGCAGAGCCGACAGCGGCACGCAGTACACCTCCTGTCGCGCCTTGACCGTGCGACTGCAGAGCTGCTTGCTCAGTGCAGCAACCTCCACGCCCAGGAGCTTGGCGCACTGCTCGATTTCGATCTTCTGCTGGTCGATCTGCTCGGCTGAGACTGAGTCGGACGCCGAAGCGGCAGCAACGGCCTGGCTGGCGTCGTCCTTGTTGGACTCGAGCGGGACAAAGTCGAGCTGACCCAAACGCAAGATGCCGCACAGAGCGCTGAAGAGCTCGTTCTGCTCCTTGTCGCTGAGCCCGATAGTGGTCAGCGCGTCGCGGGTCACCTGGTAGCGCTCCAGGTCCGTCTGACCGTCCAGAATAAGCTTCTCGTCCTGCAGGTATCGGAACTCCTTGGCCGACGAGTCTTCCGTGAAGCCGAAGACGTCCTCCTTGGCGCTCACGAGCTGGTAGAAGATGTGGTAGTTGCGCTCGCCCGCCGCCTGGGCCACGACGCGGGACTTCTCGAGCAAGTAGTGCCTGCACTCGGCGCCCACGAGGCAGTAGTCGCTGTTGAACTGCAGCTGCGTGAACTTGCCGAAGCGACTCGAGTTGTCGTTGCGGATGGTCTTGGCGTTGCCGAAGGCTTCGAGCAGCGGGTTGCTCTTGAGCACCTTCTCCACCACGATGGTCTCGCCGCTCTCGGCGGGGTGCAGCCGCTTGGCGATGCCCATGGAGATGCTGGCCAGGTGCTCCATCATGATCTTGACGGTCTCGGTCTTGCCGGCGCCGCTCTCGCCGCTCACGAGGATGCTCTGCGGGATGCGGTGCTGCTTCATGTGGTGGAAGGCCTCGGCGCTCGTGGCGTACACGTGCGGCGGCATCTCGTCCCACGGCCGCTGCGTGTACAGGTCGCGCAGCTCCTCCGAGTAGTTCTCCTTGATCCACTGGTACGGGTTCACGGCCACGACGATCTTGCCCGTGTACGTGTACGGCTCCTTGGCGAAGAAGCGCTCGCGCACGTTGTACACGATGGCGGGCTCGTGCAGGTGGCCCAGCTCGCACATGTCCTCGGCGCCGACGCCCGCGTGCTTGGCCTTTGCGTCCTCCTCGTCGCCCTCGTGCGGGCCGTTCTGCAGCGGCAGCGAGTCGGGCATGCCGTCGTCGTTCAGGTCGATGGTGCGCTCCTCGGCGGGCGCGTCGGCCTCATAGTCCGAGGAGGAGGGGGAGGAGGCCAGCGGCTGCACACGCACGCAGAAGACCTTGCCGCTCGCGTCCACGGAGAGGACGGTGGCCGGCACCCACACGAGCTTCTCGTCCGGGATGAACACGCGGATGCCCTCCATGAGTGCGCACACAGGAGTGATGGTCAGGCAAGGAGCTCTCCCCTCTCGACTAGCTTTGAGCCCGAAGCCTTTTTGGCTTGGGCTCGAGGGAGCTGTTGCGTGACGTCGAGCAACACGATCGCTTTAAGGAGGGTTGTGGCCATTTTATGTGCTAATCACCTAGCTTTTGTATGGTGTCTTTGGGCAGGCAACTCACCCGCGCATAAGTGAATCTGCTCGATTTGGCGTGAGATAGGCTGCCTAGGATGGAGGCGCTCAGGCAAGGGGGCGATCTCCTGGTGGCCAATGGCGGCGGCGGCAAGCGCTGCAGCGTGTGTCTGTACGACGCGTAGAAGCTCGAGCTCGTTGTGGGCTTTGCCAAAGCCCAACGTAACGACGACGACATGGGTACCGTCTCCACCGAATTTTAGTGACCCACTCGACACAGTGACATGGCTACACTTTTCCGATTACCACTGCTATTTTTACGGGCGAGAGCATGAGGCCCATGGCCATGCATGCATCGAGCGTGCTCTTTGCCCCCAGCAAGGCTAAGGCTGCTGGTCTCGTGCATTTGTGCATATCGTCGTAGACGCACTGTGCGAAATGCCCGCCGTGCGCTTCCAGGAGCGCGACGACCGCTTCGAGTACGACGCGTTCACGACTGCGGAGCTGCTCGGCTCGCAGGAAGGGGACGACGAGACCCTCACCGGCCGGAGTGCAGGCACCGAAGGCAGCGAGCAACCTTCGGTGAGTGAAGAAGACGACGAGCAATCGCTGCTGAGCCAGCTGTCGACGCTGCAGTCCGTCGACCGGCCTCGGTCGGTGCGGTTCGACGACGAGCAGTCCGATGTTTCAGAGGAGCCACAGTGCTCGCGCGCCGTCGCGGCTGGAGTCACGTCCTCGTCGTCGCCTCCGCGGTCTCCGCTGCTCAAGAAGTTCGCTCCGGTCCAGGATCGACGCGTTAACACAATCATCCAAGAGGCATTGCACCTCACCGACATTTCCCGAGACGAGATCGGCCTGATCGAGCGATCGGTCAAGCGGCTCAATGACGCGATCCTGGGCTTTGTGTTGCTGGTAGACAAGCAGGTGAAGATCGTGGGCACTCCGACTCCCGAGGAGCGCGGCCGTATCAAAGCCGATATCGCGGATCTGTCCTGCCAGTTGAAGGCCTCGAACGGTTTGATAGAGAGCACCTGCGCGCGAATGAAGAAGCACTTGGTAGCGGGGAGGAACCAGCTCAGCGCGCACAAACGCAGACTCTTCACGGAGCAAGCCGATGTAGACAATTCAGCCAGCGAAGTGTCGGAGTGCACGTCGCCACGCTGTAGCGTCAATGATCAACAGCAACAACAGCACTATTTGTACCAGCCACAGCATCAACTGCCGCAGTGTCGACCTCAGACGGCTGGGCAGACTGGAATTCGCTTCAACCGATCGCCTCCACGGCCTACAGTTGCACCAAACATCCCGTACGGCTGCAGGGGCCTGGCAACGAGGAGCGGGCTGTCGCCTATGAAGGGCGGCGCTTCTCCTGGCAGGAGAAGTAGCTCCGGGTCAGGCCCTCGAACGCCGCGAGCGTCGAAAGTGCCGCTGATGTGGATCCTCAAGCCCCGTCCGGCTCACGACAATGACGAAGATGACGAAGATGAGCGCTCTCCCACGGGCATCGTCTCACCTGACCTGCTCTCGTCGGTGCTCGACGCAGTGGGGCTTCAAGACAAGGAGTTCCTGGAAATGAGGGACCTGCGGACGTTCCTGCACGGCGTGCTCGCCTTCTTCATCGCGCGGAACCCGGCGCTGCGGTTCCTGGACAAGGCCTACCACCGGCGCCTCATGCCCGAGTACGTCAACGAGCTGGCCGACGCGCTGGTGATGGACATGCAGCTTATCCCGCAGGTGAGCTGCTCAGTCGCTTTACCTCCCATCCTTGGGATAGATTCGTCACTAACTTCACCTTGTGCGATGCAATGCAATACGTAGCTCTCGGGCAGGTCAGTCATCGTAACTCCGACCAGCACGCTGGAGGAGTATGTGTGTACGGAGCCCTTCCGCTTCGACCGCCTGCTGCACCGCGTCCACGTGAACCCGAGCGACAGCTCCGTCAAGGACCCGTCACCCAACGGCTTCTTCACGCCGCCGCCGTTCGCAGACGCCGCGGCGGAGGCGGCGGCCAAGACGTTCCCCACGAGCCCGTTCAAGGAGCAGATGACTCGCAACGGAGGCATCATGAATGGGGGCAAGGTCGTGGAGCTCGTCGTGACCAAGCCGCGCGAGCCCGAGCTGATCGAGACCGCGGAGCAGACGCTCGGCATGGCCAAGCTGCTGCACGAGCTGGCCACGGCCGAGTGTGAGGCGCGCAACGGCAACCGCATGTCGATCCGCGCGCCCGTGCCGCACACCAAGGAGTTCTCGCGCGCCTACATCGCCTCGTCCAAGGAGCTGATGCTGCAGGAGACGAGCTTCCTATGAAGAGGATGGATCGATCGGTCGGTTCAAATAAAATAACGGGTTGAGTTCGTGTTCATGCAGTAGACGGAAGCCAACATGCTGCACGCCATACTGCTCGCTAGTCGCCGTGGCGCTCGACTACTCGTTTACACACGCACGACCACTTAACCACTACCTATTGTCACACCCTTGCTCGGCCGCTGGCGTCCCCACTGTTGCTGTTGTCTCCGTCCCTCACTGCTTCCCTGACTGCTTCACGTTCAATACTACACGGTGCTTGAAGAAAAAAAAATCGATCCACTGCTCGACGCGCTCAATACTCCACCATCCGCGTCGAGTGGTTGCTTGCGCTGCTGTTGCGCCGGTACTGTTGTGCCCGCCGCTTGCGCTCGCGCTGCTCCTCCTCGGGGTTGAGCGTCGGCACGCTGTACTCGCAGAGCGAGACGTAAGATGAGCCGCGCTCCCGAATAGCACAGGGTGCGACACTCAGGAACTTCTGCATGGCGAACGACTCTCTGAGGAAGGCCATTTGCTGCACGGCACGCAGCAGCTCCTGGAAGCTGTCGCACCTCGACTGCAGGTGCGATCGGTCGTGTCGTTTCCAGAACGTCAGGAAGCCCGCGTGGGGTAGCGAGGGCAGCGCGAACGCCATGATGGCGCGCTCGAGCTTGTCCTCCTGGGTCATGGCGTCGGCGGGCACGGGGGCCACGCCCCTGGCCAGTCTGGACAGCGCCTTGCTGCGGTAGTAGGCCTGCCGGTTCTCGAGGATCTCGGTGAGCTGGCTGTGCAGGTCCTTGAAGTCCGAGTAGCTGCGCCGGATGGTGTACGTCTGCAGGGGCGCGTCGTGGTCCACCACGTCGATGTGGTACATGACCTTCTTCTCGCGCCCGCGCATGGAGAAGCCCGAGAGCACGAGGTCCGTGCAGCCGCCCGACGACGACGCCGTGGACCGGCGACTGGACGCGGTCGACTGGCCGAGCTCCTGCTCTCTGATCTGTTGGTGCTGGTGCTGCTGCTGGTGCTGCTGGTGCTGCTGCTGTTGCCGGGCCGCCTGCTTCTCGAGCTCGAGCTCGTCGTCCGCGCAGGTCATGGTGGCGTTGGACGGGGGCTCCCGCGGCTTGAGCAGGTCGTCCTCGTCCAGGGGCTGCGCCTTGTCCTCGGTCTCACATACGGGCCCCAGCGCCGCGTAGAAGCTCGAGCTCAGCCCCAGCGCGTCGCTCTGGATGGGCGACTGCTGCAGCACCTGCGCCGCCGCCGCGAAGTACCAATCGGGCAGGCGGTCCACCGCCGCCTCCAGCTGCTCGCCGCGCGATACAATAGGCTCCGCCATCCACCGCGCGAATTCACTTGTGACTTGAGCAGCGCAGAAACGGCGGCCATGCAGCTGTGCGGGGAACGCCCGAGCAGCGCATCCACGGGAACCTGTCGGGGCTATGCTCGCCGGCACGGGCAGTTGTCAAAGCTGGATCGAATCTCTTGAGTTGAGACCGTGGCGGATCTGCCCGTAAACGCGAAAACTTATACAATACCCAGGGGTATCACGGCGATTTCGGGTCAACTTAGGGGAACCTCTGCAAGCGATAATGCACAATGTATGCGCGCTTGACCGGGGCTGCTGCTGTTTGAGCACTGCAGCGCGCAGCTGTTGTGCATGATCCAGCGCTTCGGCGCAACCAGGAGGCCAAGTCTTGGCGAGCTGCTGTGCCTTGAAAATACGGTGCCTCGCCCATGTGTCGGCGCGGGAGCTTGAACCATTTGTATTAATCCAGGCCGAGCAAACCACCACGCCGCTGCCAGACGCAGGCAATGGCAATGCTCACGACGCTGTTTGCAGGCTCTGGGATGTGGATCAGCCATTTGAGTTGCTGGAAGTGAAATACGCAGGATAAGACAAGTTGTAAATATTGCTCGACGTTCGACGTCGCGATCCTTAACTGCGAAAAGTCAGCGAGAGAGAGCGCTTATTCTTCGAGATCCTCGCGATCCGGCCCCTGCGAGACTTATAAAGCTGCAGTACAGTACTCTCGGTTGGCCGTGCTGCATTGGTTCATCGCAGAGGGATACCTGAGCCTGATCGCCGCCGCCGAGCCGCTTTTTGTGTGTGCGCAAGCCATGCAAAGGTTTTACAGCAAAACGCGATTCAAAACGACAAGTGTCTTCTGCCAGAATGATGGTCGGATCAGTTGAAGTAGTCGCACACCGAGCCTGAGGCCGCCGAGATCCGATCATTTAGGCTAAAGGGCCCCTTGCAAAGTTTCTTGCTTCGCCAGCATGCCACCACCGCGGTGGTTCTCCCCTGCACTGCAAGGGAGACTGCACACTGCGTACGAACTCAAATCCCCGGCGTGGTGCAGAGCGTGGCCCAGATAGATGGATAAATATCCATTTGGGCTGTACGCTCAGCACCGGCGAAACGCTACGTTCTCTCTTGGTTGCCGGCTCCGACTCCTTCCGGCTCCGCGCAGCGCCTTGCTTGGTCTCGCTTCTTCCACTACTCAACGACTCGGGGCGCATTATTCGCCAGACAAGCCAGGCTCGCTCGATCCAGGAATACCCCGTATTAATAGTCATAGAGCGCTGGCTTGCCTCTCCTGGAGGCCTTCACTGCAGCCTCCATCGGCGTCGCGAGTGTGATCCGTCCAGCTGGCGTCTGGATTCGTCTACTTCGCCAACCAACGCCAGCATGACGCTACAGAGATCTCCACGGTCCGATGCCGACCGCCGTCGCGAGCGGGAGATGCAGCACGAGCTGCTCAAGTTCCACCGAGAGCAGGACGACCCGATCGCCACCAACCTCACCAAGAAGCGCGTGCGCGAGCCGCGCGTGGAAGTCGAGACCAATCCGTTCTGCGTGGAGCGCCAACTGGCCGACAGCTACCAGCAGTTAAACTTCAACAAGGTGAGTGACAAGTGTTCGCGCTGACCCCACGCTGACTCACCGCAGACGTTGCGTGGCCCTGACTGCTGTTTATTGTGCCACTTCAACCCAGAATCCGCGCTTCTACCAGGTCTCGGTGCAGGACGGCGCGCGCGCCGGACAGAACCCGCGGAACCACTCGAGCGTAAGGATTCACGGTGAAACCTGGATCCTATTGAAGTGTATCTTACATCTACGTCCACGCCTTCTGTTAGTTCATCAACCAGTCGGCCGACCTCGCGGCCAGTTCGCGCGTGGATCTCCGAGCACGGCCCGAGTTCTCCACGCTGCCACCCGCCACGTCGTACACGCCAGCAGTAGCGCACTTCGCGACGCCAAAGGTTTTCAGTGTGGACTCGAGCGATCTACGACAAGAGCGCAACTGTAAATGCAGCGGGGATGCCAAAGCTAGTGCCCGACGGTTGTTCCCGCCAGGTCACGATCAGTACGGGTATGTGATCCTCTCGAATCATACTTTCGACGGCTCAAACGTTCAGAACTCACGCTCGAAACTATGATTTTGGGTATCGTTTTACCTCAGAGCACAGCTGACGTCCCAAAGCGTGACATTCGGCCACCGTCCTAGCGTACGAACAACCCAAACTTGATCAGAAGATGCAAGGTAGCATTGCCACCTCATTGACTTACGAGCATCCTCTTGTGCTTCTGTTCAATTTCAGTCTGCCGCAAGGATGTTCGATCATTTGAGCAACACGGTCAGCGGCACCAGCAGTCCTCGCAACCAACGAAGTACCAAGAGTTCGTCTCGCAGAGCCACTTCGACTCCAGTGAGGACGGGAATGAGCGTCATGGAGCTGGCGCAACTGTTGACTCCAGCAAAATCCGCACAGTCCTCGTCACTAGCTAGCAAAAGCTCGAGCAAAACCCTGCAACGCTGGAAACCGGGTTCGACAAAAAGCTCGCCTGACCCGTGCGAAGCTTTCTCTCTGGATGAAGAAGTGGACGACGAGCTCAGACGACAAGATGCGGACAGGAAGAAGAAGGCGCGCGAGATGAAACTGGAGAAAGGCTTCATCAACTACGTCTACAACCCGCCGCGAGAGCTCAAGCCCGGCCAGTTCCCACCTCCAGACCAAACGACTGCGCAGCTTATTGATAAGTACCGTAAACTCGCTGTCGGCAAAATGCCCGACTTCTAATCGTACAAGTACATCAGTAGTTTCCTACTGTAGCCCTTCTCCAGGCTTAGTGATCCTCCTTTTCTGACAACAAAGTAACTAAATATGCGTTGTATTATCTTGAACACTGGTCTAGAAGTCCGGGTCCCAGTCACATTCAAGACCAGGATCCTCGATTTCGTGGCGAAAGTCCTCGAAGTTGGACGTGTCGAAGTCGTCACGGACCTGGGGCACGATGGGGGGCTTGATGCTCTTGTTCCGCAGACTGTCCCACTGGAAGCCCGAGAACCAGCGGTGGTTGATGATATCCTTGATCCCGTGCTTCATGTTGCCAAGCCGCCGTACCGGATTCTGACATAGCAGTTTCTGCACTAGGTCGACAACAGCTCGTCTGTACATCAAGTATCGAAGTTAGTGCAAATTCGAGACCACAGTCAACAATCAAAGCTAACTAACCCCATGTACGTTGGGAACTTGACGTTTCCTTGGATAATGAGAGCGTAGATCTGCATCGGGTCTTGAGCGTAGAACGGGGCTGATCCAGTCATGAGCTCATAGATGAGGATACCCAACGCCCAGTAGTCGACGGCCTTGTCGTGGCCCTTGTTCAGGATAATCTCCGGTGCGAGGTAGTCGGGCGTGCCACAAAGCGTCCAAGTGCGGTCGGTCACGAGCTTGGCCAGCCCGAAGTCGGCCAGCTTCATGAAGCCTTCGTTGTCGAGCAGAATGTTCTCGGGCTTGAGGTCCCGGTATATAATACTCTTGGAGTGCATGTGCTGGAAAACCAGCACAACACTGGCGATGTAGAACCGCGCGACGGGCTCCTCGAAGTGGTCCCTCCGGCGCAAATACGTGAAGAGTTCGCCTCCCAATGCAAGCTCCACAAGGAAATACAAGTGTGTGCGGTCCTTGAAGGTCGTGTAGAGCTTGAGGATGAACGGGTGATCAAGCGCGAGCATCACGCGCTTCTCGTTCAATACGTGCTCCTTAAGGTTATTCTCCACAATGTGCGACTTGATAAGGCACTTCAGTGCGTACGCGCGGTTTGAAGCTGCGTGGCGTACAAGGCGGACACGTCCGAACGCCCCACGTCCCAAAGTCTGCAGCACCTCCAGCTCTTCGCGTGGGATCTGCATGTAGTACTTGTAGTCTGCAGGATCCACTAGCGCCTCCGTTGAAGTCCGCCGAGTCGCGAGGTCCTTCGCCTCGAGATGGGCTGGTTCTCGGTCCATGAGCTCCTGCAGCGTTCCGAGCATGGCGATAAATTGAGCGCGTTCGAGCGTGATGCACTGCACTCTCGTCACGGCGGTGCACGTGGCCGACCTCATTTCATCCTTGAACAGCGCCATTTCTCCAAAGTGATCGGACTCCTTCAGCCTTCGGATGATGTTTTCCTCGCCCGTGTTGGCGTCCACCTGGGTGACCACGATCTCGCCCTTGTTGATGATGTAGAACTTCTCGCCCACCTCGCCCTGCCGCACAATTACCGCTTTCTCTTCGAATTCCTCCCAGTCCATCGCTGCAGCGACTTGCTGTAGCTCTGATGATGTCAATTTGCTCAGTAGCGCGATCTTCCCGAGAACTTCCAGCGTCCGGTTGAGTCGATTGAGTTTGTGCGAAGCCAGGATTTCTCGGAAAGTGTTTCGCTCCAGAGCCCACAGCTCGCCGTCCGTCACGGCACGAATCGTGGCTGCTCGAGGCATGTTGTACAGCAACGCCAGCTCGCCAAAGCCCAGTCCGGGGCCTAGATATCCGTACCGAATAGGCGGAGCCCCTCCCATCGACACGAGAATCTCGAGCTGGCCTGACTCAACGGCGTAGAAATTGTCGCCCTGCGCTCCTTGTTTGATCACAGTCTGGCCAGGCGTGACGTGCATGGGGAAGAACGCGTCCAAGCAGTCGCGAAGTTCGCCATGCGATTGGCCTTTGAACAGCACGTTGGACTGCAGGACTTTGAGCAGAAGCTCTCGTGATCGTTCACTCTTCGGGTAGACCACGCGTTCCTTGGTGGCCATGATCTTGCGGCTCGGCATGACCTCGGCACTCACCTCGATACGTCTCAGTTTACCCTTGGAGCCATTGGGACCAGCACTGAAGGAGCCGTCGAGTCCTCTAGCCTCAGCTGCGGCACTGTATTGGTTTGGTGCGTCGCTGTCGGGCAGGTCGATGCTGTCTCCGAGCAGCTCCTTGGCTTCGTGCAGCAACGTAAACCGCGAGCTGAAGCTGGCACCTTTCTGCAGCGTCAGCTCTGCGTTCGACACTCGGGATTCCTTCACCTTGGGCAAGGCTGCAGCTGTAGCCGCTCGGTCGGGCGGCACTTTGTTGTCCCCTCCAGTCTGGGCCGGGCCAAGGTACGCGGTGCTTTCCAGTCGCTCTTGCAAGGTCCGGATGACCTGGTCCTTCACTACCAGCTCCTTGCGGATGCGCTCATACTCCGTCTTGGACACGCCGCCGCCCATCGTTAAGCAGTCGACAGCGAGAGAACTCTTTCGTTAGGCGTGGGGCATCCCCGAGGGCCCGCTCAAGTATGAAGTGGAGATAGGAAGTCTGGCTGTCTCACAGTCAGCGGTGAGAACTTCGCTCGCTTGTCGTCGATGTGAATGCTCTTGGTGGTCCACGCGCGACCAAGGCGAGAGCGTCTATTCTGTTCTTGGTCGGCAGCGCGGGGCTGGCTCAGACCAGGTCAAGCGGGCAAAAATAGCGGCCTCGGCTGGGTGGTGGTTCTCGATATACTTATCACGAAAACAGACGCGCCGATGGAAATGCTTTCGACCCGCCCGCATTCGCGCACATGGCTCGCTTCAACGTGGCGGTGGATTAGAATATCGATACGTGTGCCAAATCCCCGACGGGCTCCGCAAAGTCGAAAGTGAAGTAAAGTTGAAGCAATTGCGCACTTCCGACATGGCTACATTCTGGACCGGCTTCCCGTCTGACTACAGAATTGGCCGACAAATCCTGAAGGGACGCAATGGGGCAAGACAACTGCAGCCGGCGTGATGGCAGCTTCGCGCCGAATGCTGCTGTCTCAGCCTTCCCATCACGTTGACGAGACGGGGGTCGCGCGCTGCCCGGTCGCCGGCGCGAACGAAACCTGCCAAAACGCCAAGTGGCCACTGAATGGAACGCTGTCGTGCGCGCTTTGCGGAGTCGGCGGCGCCCAGGAAGGTGCAGGTTGCCAGCGAACGCCGCACCACGTGGTGGGCATTTAACGATCGCTGCGCTTCCGGCGCGCTCATGAAAAATTCAATGGCTTGTTCTTGCGGCTCCAAGTCTCCATCGCCGGTGTTAGTGCTCTCGGGCGGGATAGAGCGCAGCCGAGTTGCCCTGAAATCCAACACGCGCCAATAACCTGGCGGTTCCGTAAAGAAAGAGAGCGAGTAACCGCAGCGAATGCATTGCGATACTCCGGCAGCCCAGGCACCAAACAGTGTCATTCGCCAACCGACCGAGCAGCCCCGCGGACGCGTCTTCCCGATACCGACGGCGCCCTGCCTGGAGCTGACAGCTCTAGGGTTACCAAGCCTTCCCCCAGTTGCTAACGCTGCACAAGCAGCAGGTACGTCCACAGCAGCGCTCGTTGCCTAACTATTTTCCGGTACTCACGGCGGATGTGCGACTGGGACAGCAAACAACCGGCCCAAAGACACACCAACCCAAGGCGGAGCTCAGCCAGCCGACGAGTGGGAACCCAGATTGCTCTTTACCACTCCGCCTTCATTCCGCGATCGGCCGAGCGTCGAGCAAGCAAGTGAAGTGAGAAGAAGCCCTCATGCGGGTCGTCGCTCCCCCCTCTCTGCGCTACAGCGAGTCGGCGCTGCCCGAGCGCCTGGACCCAGCGTTCCCGCTGCCGCCGAGCAACAACCGCAGCAGCCTGGCGGCGCTCGACAAGCCGCACGCGGCGGGCCTGGGCGACCCCTTCGCGCTGCGCGACAGCTACACGAGCGAGGCCAGCGGCTTCGACGTCTTCCAGTTCTGGAACGCCGAGACGGACCACGACGCGTCTGCGAGCCAGCTGCTGACCCCCACGGGGCTGCTGGACCCGTACCAGGGCGTGACCATTGAGGTCAACAACCACTCCATCAACAACCAGGGCGTCGTCATGTACCACGTGGACATCAAGGGCCCGGACGGCATCCTGTCCACCTACACGATCCGCCGCCGCTTCCGCGCCTTCAAGAACCTGCACACGGAGCTCAGCCGCCTGCTGCTCGAGTACCAGAACGCGCGCGCGCAGCAGGAGGCTCTGGCCGACGGCCCGGAGAACCACATCCCGCTGAGCCCGCACAGCGCCGCGGCGCTCGAGAAGGCGCCGCCGCTGTCCAACACCAACTACCGCACGGTTGCGCTGCCTTCGCTGCCCAGCGCGGGCGTCTGGAGCTATCTCAAGCGCCACGACGTGCGGCTCGTGGAGCAGCGCAAGAAGCGCTTCCAGGAGATCCTGCGCCTTGCCATCCGCCACCCGGCCACCAAGACGAGCAGCGTGCTGGACGAGTTCTTGAGCGTCGCGCCCAGCGAGATCTCGCAGCGGGGCTCGTCCTACGTGTCGCTGCAGGACTACAGCGTGCCCGTGTTCGACCGCCAGCGCGAGTCCATCGAGCGGCGGCAGAGGAAGATGCGGGTGCTGGAAGATCGACGGCTCCGAGCAGGCTCCGACAGTCAGTTCGGGGAGAGACCGCAGTACCAGGTATAGCTGCAATGGTGGGTGGGTAGGTAGTACAGTAGCTGTATCGATAGTAATGAACGTTTTCGTGACGGGAAAAATCACGGTCCTCCAACGTCCGCCTTGTGTGTTGCAAGTCCGTCGTCGTCGTCCTTCTCCTCCTCCTCCTCCACCCTAGAACTGCGAGCGCAGTCCTCCTTTGCTCTTGCCGATGTGCACGGGCAGCTTGGACTTGGCGTCTTGGCCTGAGCGCTTCGGCTTTCGGAACAGGATGCGGCCATCGGCGCCGGTAGCTGCTCGAGGAGGAGTGTCGGGCTCCTTGGCGGTTTTCTGCTTCTTGTTCTTTGACACTGTCGATGACGGAGCGGACGGTAACCCCAGCGCTCCAGAGCTGCCCGATATCGCTCCGCTCACTTCCTTGGCACGGTAGAAATCGGGTGCGAGATCCACGAGCCAACGCGGATCAATGCGGGACACGTCGCGCACGAACTCCTCCGTGGTGAGCACGCTCTGGTGGAACAGGATCCAGTCGGGCAGCGTGCCCATGTGGTAGTACACGGACGTCGGGTGGAGCTGCACCGGTCGCTGGTCGCGCAGGGTGCGGTACACTCCGTCCGCGTGCAGCTTAGCAGCATTCGCAAAGTAGCCACTGACCAGGCACTTGCGGATGACGGCACTGCGAGCCTTGTCGTCTTCGTCGTTGCCACTGCCAAGGCTCACATAGTCTTCCTCGCCGCCGTTGCCATTTCCAAGCGACTTGAAGCGAGTCACGTACCGCTTGAGATGCCGCCGAATCTCCGTAGCTCGCAACAGTGCGCGATGGCTCAGCAAGTACTCGTCACACCACGAGCGGCTTTTGTTGTTGTCCACGAACTCGTCGTATATCGCCAGGTACATCATGTGGTCACCATCCGGATGAGCAAAATGCTCCATGGCCTCCGCGATTTTCTCCTGTCGCTCTCTGGAACCGCGTGAAGCCAGGAAAACATCTCCAACTGATAAGACACTGGCAATGCTCAGTATCTCGCGTGTACAGTCGAAGCGGAACGACGACAACAGCACCTTGGCGAGCGCTGGAGCCACTGGAAACTCGGCCATTTGTGTGCCCAGTGGATCTACGAGACGGCAGTCCGTGTCGATGGCTCCAAGCGAGAACAACAGCTCCAGAGCGCGGATCAGAGCTTCTGGCGACGGAGACGACACGAAATCGAAGTGTGCCAGGTCCTGAATGCCCATGCTCAGCAAGTACAACGCCACGGTTGCCAGATTCGTCCGCTGCATCTGCGGGATGGTTTCCTTGGCGAGTTTGGTCCGGAAGTGCTCTTGTGTGCAGAGGCGAAAGCACTTCCCGGGGCGTGACCGACCTGCGCGTCCAGCTCGTTGCTTTGCCGAAGCCTTAGATACAGGCGCTGTAAGCAACGCCTCCACTCCTGTGAGCGGGTTGAAAAACGCAAGCTTGGTGAAGCACCCGTCCACCACGAAGACGACACCCTCGATAGTCACGGACGTCTCGGCGATAGTGGTCGCCACGATCACCTTGCGTCGCACTCCTCGAGGCGCCGGCAAGAATGCGTTCTGCTGCATGTGCAGTGGCAGCGTCCCGTACAGAGGCACAGGCAGCATATGAGTTGGGGCTCTGTCGTTGAGCGCTCTGACGACGAAATCGATCTCTTCTTGGCCAGGTAGGAACACCAGTACGTCACCTTCCCCTTCACGCTCGTCAATTGCCAGCACTGTGTCGATAGCTTTCTGCAGATAATCGCCACACGGTTCCTGGAGGTACTCAATGTCCACGGGAAACTGTCGTCCTTCCACTGACACTGCAACGACGTCCTTCAGCACCGGCGACGACTTGGTTGACCCAGTTTCACCGTTCTGCCCCATATCCTTCCTCTTTGAGCGGAAGAACCGCACGAAAGTGTCCACTTGCAACGTCGCCGATGCGATAATCACCCGCAGATCCGGCCGCTTCCTTTGGATCTTCTTGATCAGCCCGAGCAGCAAGTCCGTCTCCAAATTCCGCTCATGAGCCTCGTCCTAGAATCAAACGAAAAGAACCCTCAGTTAGTACATCACTTATATCTTAAATCCTGGCCACACACGGTTGCCAACATACCAGCATCACGACTGAGTAGCGCGACAGCAGCGGGTCCCGCATGGTCTCTCTCAGCAGCAGTCCGTCCGTGACGAACTTGATCTTGGTGCGCTCCGGGTCCCACTTCTCCTCGAACCGGACGGCGTAGCCCACCTCCTCCCCGACCCGACAGCCCATTTCCTGGGCCACGCGACCCGCGATCGTCACGGCAGCGACGCGCCGCGGCTGCGTGCACACGATGACCCTGTTTCTCGGGGTTTCTGCATTAAATTGGGCCCTTCTCGGCTGAGACGCCGCCCATCCAGCCTCCAGCAGGTACTGCGGCACCTGCGTCGTCTTGCCGGAGCCCGTGGCGCCCACGAGGATCGTCGTGGTGTGCGTCTCCACCGCGTAGAGGATCTCCTCGCGGTGTTTGGACACCGGCAGCCGCGCTCTCTGCGCGCGCAGCGAGAGCCCGTGCAGCGGGTTGAACTGCACCGCCGGCACCTCCGCGTCCTTGGGCAGGTCTCGAGCCGCTTCAGCCTCGGCTCCCGAGCCCTGCAGCGTCGAGCCAGGTCGCCAGAACGCAGCCATCCTTGCAGATACACTTGCCTTGCAGGTGCAGGTTGCAGTCCGCTGTAACATCACTATTTCGAGGGAGTGACCGATTTTCGCTGTCACTGTTTCGAGAGAGTGACAGTTTCGAGCGGTTCAGTGACCGGGCTGCGCGTTTTAACCGGTTAACCCTCGTCCTGGAAATCGGGACCGCCGAGGCCGATCGGATGGCTGGCCTCGGCCTTTCGGCGCCGAAAATCCCAATACGGCAGCACTAGCTATTAAACAGGGAGCGTAGTACAAGTCACCATGGTAAGCCTGCCTGCCTCTACACCAACATGATAGCCTGAGTATGAGCCTCCGGACGCGACGGAGCTGCTACTGCTGCGGGTGCTAGCGCTGGTGCATTCAATTCCGACGTGGCGGCGGCAATGCAGCGCAAAGGAAGCGGAGGATTGGACGAACGGAGCGAACAATAAATACAGGGACAACACAGGATCAATGCACTCAGGCGCCAATACAGCAGCAGCAGCTCCAGCTCCAGCTCCAGCTCAATGGGCAGACAGCGACCAATACCACTACAGGCTTCATTCTGTAGATGGAGAGCAGTATGAAGAAGATGGTGCATTGGTGCTAACGCCTTGTTCGCGTTTGTGTTGCTGATGCCGCCGTGCAGCCGCCGAAGACTCAGCAGAAGACCAAGGAGCAGAAGATGGCCGCCGCCATGGCCGGTGGCAAGGGCAAGGGCAAGAAGAAATGGTCCAAGGGCAAGGTCCGCGAGAAAGTCGCCAACAAGGTTCTGTACGACCAGGAGACGTACGAGCGCCTGCTGGTGGAGGTCCCCAAGATGAAGCTGATCACCGCCTCGGCCATCGTGGAGCGCCTCAAGGTGAACGCCGCGCTTGCCCGCGCCTCGATCCACGAGCTGGAGGAGAACGGCACCATCTCGAAGGTGCTGGCCCACCACGCTCAGCTCATCTACACTCGCGCTGTTGCCGCCGAGGAGTAAGAAGTTGCTCAAGTTCGATGATGGCCGCCACATTGAAAGCTCCGATTGCCCGCCAACTGCCTCTTCTAGGGGGGAAACGTCGTTGAAGAATGGATCTACGCGATTGCTGCTCGATGGCGAGGACAGGCGAGCGGAGCAGGCACAATGTGTCCCGTGTGGCGAAAACACCGCGCTCCTAGTAGTAGAGTGAGGACGTGGCTCCTTTGCCGTCTCCTGTCGTCGTGGTAACCCCGCAGCAAAAGAGCGAAAATGGAACACGTCCCTCCCTGTTTAACTTACTGGTCCTCCTCTATCGGCTCTGTGCGTCTTCCCATCCATTGCGTTGCTGTGTGTGTGTGCCTGTTGTAGTGCTACTTGTCAAAGAGGTTCGCGAAGGCGTTCTGCTGCTTCTTGCGGAGCTGCGTCCTGGCTGCTTGAGCGCGCGTCAACGCAGATCGGAACAACTTGTTGTCCGGCTCAAGCTCGCGCAGCTTGGTGAGATCAGCCACCGCTAGTTCAAACTCCTTGGACGACACATAAGCCTGACTGCGACGGTAGCGAGCCTTAACGTGCGAGGCATCCAGGTCCAGCGCGCTCGACGCCGCAGCGATGCAGCGATCCACGTCTCCGTCGCCGTCCAGCTTCGAATAGCATGTAGCCATGTTGGCGTAGCACGCGACAGCCACAGGGTTCACGAGCTGCAGCTCCTCCACCGAGTACTCGACCTTCGCGTCCAGAGTGGCGTCCGACCGCAAGATCGGCGGCTCGAGCCACGCCAACGCTCGCTTGTAGAGCCGCACGGCCGCGCTGTAGTGCTCCTGCTTGAAGGCCTCGTTCCCGCGCGCTCGGTACTCCCCCGCCCGCGCCAACTTCCACGAGAACCATCCACCTTCCTGTTCGCTTACTGCAGTCTCCGCTTCAGGCTGCACGTCCAGCTCCAGCTTGCAAAAAAGCATAGTCTTGGCCTCCAACCCCAATTCTGCAGCCCTGGAGCCTAAAGTGAGATCTCCCACGGCGACGGGGACCGCGTCGTTGCCTAAGTACATTGAAGCTTCATTGCTGTCACTCCTGACACCTTGTTCCCGGTCCAGAAGGCACTGCAGACGCTGCTGGAGCTCCGGAACGAGCTGAATCCCAGTCGAATCCAGCGCGAAAAGCGTCGAGTTTGCAGCGCTGTCAGGAGAGTTCGGGAGCGTTTGAGGCTGCGCACACCGCACCTGATCAACAGGGAGGCTTCCGCTCAACAAACAAGCTGTCTCCGAGCACGCCGCGTCTCGGTAGAGCGACCAACGGATGCATCCAGCGCCGCGATCCGTGGTCATCTTCGGTGGTGATTTGCTAAATAGAGTGTAACCTCAATGTATCCATTCACGTAACCATTAGCAAGTATCTACGAGCGCTATACCAGCCAAGACGCAGCGAGCGCTAGCGCCGTTATAGCTACACTAAGTGATGCACGAGAGCTCACACATGGATACAGATGGTCCCATTCGTAGCGCAGGCAGTTGAAGTCTTCGAGCTGGCAGCCCCAGTGGCCGCATTCGCTCAGATGGGTACACAGCAGGCGAGCGGAGCTCTCGAGGCAGAAGTCGTGCCTCACGAACGTGTCAGCAGACACCTCAGTGCACGTACAGCGCGATAGAGACAGTGCCTTCCTGTGCAGTTCGTCGCTACGGAGACACTCGTCCGAGCACATGGCCGAGAAGAGATCCGCCTGCGGCACGGGTCCGTACCACCCAGCTCGAGCGTTCTTGAGGTACACGATACGCGACTCGCACATTGTAGCCTGGATGAAGATGTCTTGGCCGTCCTCGGACTCGATGAAGTTGTTGTAGATGTCCAGGTCGCACCCCAGTCCTTCTACCAGCCGTCGAGTTGCTGCATCGCTGGCGTTGGACGACGCCATCGACAGCGCCGTCACGTTTGAAGCCGCAGCCATTGCGTGAAGCGGTAGCGAGGCTTGGATTGTACAGCATAACCATACTAATAAAAGGGAACACCTTACTGCTGTACGTGTACCAAGCAATGTTTCTCCCATGTCGTTCGTGCTAGACGTGCGCGATCCTGATGCCCGTTGCGTCGTTTCGCCTAAGTTCGCTTTAGATTCGTGTTAAGTGCGAGGTCACATTGGCGTTGGTGGTCATCGCCAGGATGGAGGAGTTCCTGCTGCACCACTGCGTCACGTCGGACGCGCCCAAGTCCGGGGACGATGCCGAATCTCAAGCTTCGCCTTCAATCTGGCGGTCCTCGGGGCGAGCGGAGTGCGTCCTGGTGCAAGAAAACCGCCACGCGCATGGCGCGTCTCGTGTGATCCTGTCGGCCATGCTGAAGCTCTTGCTGCAGTCCGCCAAGACGTCCAACGTGCTGCTGCTGACGCTGGTACGGCGTACGAAGTCTCCGTGGCTGGTGTTGCAAGCAAGTAGAATGGTGCTGACTGTTGTTATACCGATGAATTGCTTTGTATTAACGGCGTGCAGGATTCGCCTCACGTGGCTCAAGGAGTTGAAGCCTCAAACAAGTTCACGCACGTCGACTACTCTGCCGACGCTAGCAACTTCCAGTCGTCCATTGCAGGCTCTCAACTAGTATCTACATTGATGCGTGATATTGAGAGTGTTGAAGCGAAAGTCCGCCTGAAGGGAGCGACCTCTGCACGGCCGATGGTCGTGGTGCTGGACTCGCTGAACGTGCTGTTGCAGCAGACGTCACTGCAACAAGTGCTGCTGTTTCTGCGTCAACTGCGCAGCCACGCGGTCATTGGGTCGGTGATCGCGCGTTTGAATGCCGGTGCGGAGTCTTCTGAAGTCGCGCTAGCGCTTGCGGCTCAGGCGACAGCGTCGGTGTTGGTGGAAACACGTTCGTCGCTACGATCTTACCCGGTCCTAGCGAAGGAGCGAAGGCGCGAGATTCCCCAGGGTATGCACGGGTTTGTGCTGCTGGTCCGACAGAAGAAGGTAATTGACTCCGCTAGTGGCTGTAGTCTAGTCCTCCCCTCTAACAATTTAATGTGCTGCTCTTGCTCCCCCAGAATGGTCGAAGCAGCGAAACTCTCGAGTACGTTCATGTGCTCGGTAAACAGATCGAGTTCGTTGCTGCCGGTGACGTCGACAGCCAGTCTGCCGCGGTGGATTCTGCTCCCAAGCAAAAGGAAGCCGGCACGAAGGCATCGCTGGCAGGCGCCAAGATGTCAGAGTTTAAGCGGAAATCTCAACCTGAAGCAAATCCCATCACGCCCGAAAACTCTGGCCAAGCCCCACTCCCCGTTCGGCAGGAAGAGGTGAGCTTCAACTTGTCCATCAGCGCTGTGGAGCAACGCGCGAAAAGCCAAGTCCAACTGCCGTACATGCACCAAGGCTCTGGTGGTGCTAGCAGCGGGCCAAATGCAAACAATTTTGGCAGCAATGGCCCTGCTGGAGCGAACAACGCACTTTTCTTCATTGATGAGGACGACCCGGATTGGGACGACGATGATCTCGATGACGACTTGGACATTTAGACGTTTAAATTAAAAGTAAACGGACCCGCACATCATCATCTTGCTTTTGTAGGTAGCTCGTACAAACTTCTGTCTCGAAGTATAATATCTTTTTGTCGCGTGTCTGCGTCGTCAAAGAAGCTCTTCAGCGAGCACCGACATGCTTGCGCCAACTGAAAACTTTTCGTCAATTTATCACGATAGTGTAGTCTCTACTGTATATCGAGATGGAGAAGAACGTGTAGCGTCTCGAGATGGAGTTCGTTCAAACATGGATGGCAGGGTCTCTCTACTCCTGTACAATTCCTCAATGCAGCGCTACAAGCGCCAAGGAGGGGGGAGTGGCCTCGCGCGTCTCCTTTTCGCGTTGAAAGAACGACGATCCTTTTTGTAGTGATAGCCTCGCATTTTTATCACTATTCAGAGGCATAGATGTACCATATTGGCGGTACAGCCGAAAAGGTGGCCGCGAACTTACATACATGTGAGGATAAGATCGCGCCCTTTCGGACGTTTTCGCTGCAGAAAACGAGCGGTCTTTCCGATACGTTTCCGTAAGTTCGCGGCCACCTTTTCGGCGAGTATGGAACGTAAAGTACCAATTTTTGGCCCTCGATTCTTGGTCTCTTGAAGTTTGTAGCTTGCAGCTACAAAACAGGTTTCTTACCTTAACTGAAGTCGTATCAGTTTATACATCCCTAATATCGGTTTTGAAGTTCCCGCAGAACACGGCGATGAGCAGGAGCGGCCGAAGGTGTCGAAGTTGTATGTAGGTCCGCCCGCAGTGTATGCGGCGACGACAGCTTGTGCTGGCCGCTGAAGCTCACGTCCAAGTTGTTGAACACAAGTTTCCCCGTAGTGCAGAAGACCACGACCATGTCGAATAATCGCTCCGTGCTGCTCAGATAGATGCAGCCCCAAGAGCATGGATGAACTGGATGGCCAAGCGACCGAAGCCTGCATTGCCAATGACACCGACGCGGTCGCGAGCCTTGACGTTCTGGCGCTTCAGCGGAGAGAACACGGTCGCACTAGCGCACAGCAGTGGAGCAGCAACGTCCGACAGAGGCGAACGCGCTCGGCATGCGCACGTAGTCGGCGTAGCCGCCGTAGGCCATGACGCCGTCGTCGTACTTGAAATCGTGCGTGAGCACAGCTCGGTTAACTGGACCTTGTCGGCGCAGTTGACGCACGGCTTGGGAGGGAAAGAGTGCCACAGGACAGCTACAAGAACATCGGAGGGAAGCGGTAATCGAGGGAACGCGTCGAAGCCTCGTGTCGAGGGGTTTTCAAGGACATTCCTCACGACGAGCATAAGAGGAATGAGGAACCAGCTCGCGGTCTCCTCGTGCTCATTCAGCAGCCCCTCCATGAGCACACGCTGCTGCTATGAGGACTCGGGAAATCGAGAACTGAAGCGGGGCTCGGGCGTCTGAAAACCATGAACGAGAGGGACGAGAGCGATCTGGCCACGCATCAGCTCTGCGACTTTTGTTCACGGACTGTGGATCTTCTTCAGCTCACCGTGCAGGGGTAATGGATGGCACTCATTGAGTCACATGCACAGCTGCAGTCTTACCACAAATGTGCGGCACGTCGGCGCGCTACCTAAGAGCCCTGGGCACGAAGGAGACCAGCCATTCTTGCCCAGGCCCCTAATACCAGCTTCGTGTTTGTGTGGATAACGAGACGCCGGTTGGCTGAAGCTCAACGCGGGGCTGGAAGCTGCACTTTATGACTGTCGAGACCGCCAAGTGATGATACTCAAGCGACGAGACTTTCGGAGCTCGACACGGACACGCCGCGCTCTATTCGAAGCGGGTGACGTACACCGAAAATCTCGCTGGTCGACGAGTTGTACCCATATCTTGAAGAGACACATGTGTGGCACACAAAAAGATACGAGGCAACCGGCCGGGCAGCGTAGCCCTCTCACCAAGAGACCTCGCCGCGCAGGACACACTCAACGAGAGATGCGGCACGTCGTGACAGCCGCATGGGTGGCGCTCGGCGCCGTGCACGCCGCGTACGCCGCCGTGTCGGTGCCGTCGGCCCCGCTGAACGTGGCGCTGGATGTGCTGGGGCCCGACGCGCTGGCCGTGGCCTGGGAACCGCCCGCGACGGACGGCGGCTCGCCGGTGTCGGCGTACCTGGTAGAATGGGACCCGGACCCGGGCGTGCGCGAGGTGCAGGTGGTGCAAACGAGCGCCAACACGGGCGCCAACGAGGTGCAGACCGTGCAGACGTACGCCGGCCTGGTCAAGGAGCAGCAGCGCGTGACGACGAGCGCCACGCCGACGCCCGAAGTACAGACGATCACGACGAGTGCAGCACCCGGGGAGACGCTGGGAGGAGTCTTCACAGTGCAGCTCGACACCACAGCAACCGGAGGCAGTGTGCAGCGCTCCGGCGTGATCGGATTCAACGCGCAGGAGTCTGGAGATCGGTCAGGCGTGATGGAGATCCTCAATTCGATGGCAAATATTGGACCGACAGGTGTGCAGAGTGTGCAGAAGTCGACGGCCGACGCGCAGGGGGGCATCACGTGGAAGATCACGTTTAGCACGGCGCTGGGCAACGTGCCACAGCTGACGCTCTCGAGCAACTTTCTCACAGGTAGTGGCGCGAACGTGGTGCTGAGCACACCAACACAAGGCAACGTGATTGCCGGAGGCACGTTCACGCTGGGCTTTCTCGGGAGCGTCACGAAAAGCCTCGCGCCAGATATTACGGATGCCGGTATGCAGCAGGCGCTTGAAACGCTCGACACCATCGAGTCTGTGGACGTCACGAGAGTTGGCCCAGACGCACAGAACGGCTACTACTGGGACATCACGTTCACGGGAGAGTCGAACTCGGGCAACCTACCGCTCCTGACGGTGCCGTCCAAGTCGCTGACCGCTGTAGGCGCAAATGTGGTGGTCACAGAGCGGTCCGCAGGTAACCAGCTCAAGGGTTCGTTCAAACTGAGCTACAACTCGGCTTGGACAGCGGATTTACCTTACAACTGCGACGCTGCAACGATGAAGAGCGCATTGGAAGCGCTGGGATCAGTCGGCACGCTGGATGTCGTGCGCTCGGCCAAGCCAGATCTGCAAGGCGGGTACACCTGGACCATTTCGTTCCTTACGGAGAAAGGGTCACTCCTTCAGCTGGGAAAAGATATCACGAACCTTGGCGAGACGCGTACCGATGGCGCAACATCATCTGTGGGGCTGCTCGTCACGCGGACACGACCCGGGACCGTTCAAGAAGTGCAGACTATTCAAGTGACCACGGCAAATACCAATGTAAAACCGACGACATCTTTCCAGCTCCAGACGACCTTCGCGGGGCAGACGACCACCACAGGACCGATCTTCGCCAACCCCTTAGGCGGCGGAACGTGCATGCCGACGCAGCCTGAAGTCCAGCAAATCGCCGTCACTACTGTAGACACGACGGGCATCGGAGGAGACGCAATCGTGTCCAAGCAGACTGCGATTCATCTGATCTACACGAGTAACACAGAGGGCGGGGCCATCTCGAAGACTGGACCGATTTATGTTGATCAAGCAGGCGATGGAGACTGTACGAAGGGCGCTACTTCGATAGCTGCCGAGCTGAGCAAGCTCCCTGGCATTGCCGGCCCTGTGACTGTGAGCTCAAGTGCTTATGTTGCTACGCACGCGTGTACGTGGCTAGTGACGTTCGCCAACCAGCCGGGCAACGTCGTTCAAATGAAGGCAATGCCAGCTTCGAGTGGCGCGGGACCTGCGACTACCGTCACGATTGGAGACGATACCATCTCGCTCTCTACCGTCACGGACGGCACCATCAACATCATCAAAACGGAGCTAGAGCGTCTGACGAACGTCGCCCAAGTCACCGTCACGGCCACGCCTGGAGCGAAGCAGACGTGTACGTGGAGTGTCACCTTTGACGGCAACGCGGGCAACCTGCTGCCGATGACTGTCTCCATAGACGGAGGCGTCACCTTTGGCGCTACTGGAACGGTGAGTGGGGACACGATTTCCGTCCCTGTCGCTGCAGTCACGGACGGCACTTCTTCTGTACTCGGGGGCGTCTTCGCGCTGGAGTTTGAGGGCCAGCGCACGGGCTACATGCCGTTCGACGCGAGTGCCGCAGTGATGAAAACGCAGCTTGAGATGCTCTCTACAATCGGCAGCGTGGCTGTCACGAGGTCAAGTGCGGATCCTAATAAAGGCTACGCGTGGACTGTGTCCTTCTTGGATAACCTCGGCGATCTGCCAGCTTTCCAACCAGACGCACTTGCCCTCACCGGCACAACACCGAAGATCGACGTGACGGAAGCTACGAAAGGCGTGCTCCCGCCTTTCAACAGCAAGGACCGAGTCACCGGACTCAGCTTCGACAGCCTCGTGGTGACCGACCTCAGTGACTTGTCCGTGACAGCGTACCATGTCGACGAGAACGTCCCGTTCTACTTCCGCGTGTCGGCGATCAACGCCGCGGGGGTAGGACCCTACTCTTTCTCGACACCGCAGTTCGGCGTGCCTACCGCTCAAGTTCCCAGCGTCCCGACGAATGTCTCTCTAACTTCTGTGGACGGAACTACCATCGCGGTGAGCTTAAGCTCCCCAGAGAATGACGGTGGAGCGACGCTCGACTCGTACCGAGTCGAGTACGGCTCGAACCCCATCGTGGACGAGGTGCAGCAGGTCCGCTTGGTTGTTCCAGTGACGAACGAAGTCCAAACAGTTTCCACAACGACGGCCACCATGGGCGAAGTCCAGCTCGTGCGCTTGACGAACACCTACACCGGCTCACCGACCAGCGAGATCCAGCAGGTGAACTGCGACGCCGACAGCACCACAGGCACCTTCTCCTTCAACTTCCTGGGGGAAACGACGGCTCCCATCCAGTCGAGTGAGACGTCGAAGGCAAAGATCAAAGCTGTGCTGGAGGAGCTCAAGTCGATCACCACCGTATCAGTGGTGTTCTATGGCGGACAGACGACGGCTTGTAGTCCCTGTCTTGCTTTGGGCTGTACGTCCGGCTTCAAGGTTACGTTTACAGCAGTCGTGGGCTATCAGGGAGACATGCCGATGCTCACAGCCAACACGTACGACCTCGTCGGCAACCGTCGAATCGATATCACCGAGGCTACTAAGGGACAAGCGCCTGTCAGCGGCACGTTCAAGCTGACGTACCTGAGAGGCAAAGACGCAGACACCGTGCCACTTCAGTACAATGTCGGCGTGGATACCATGAAAGCGGCCTTGGCCACGCTAGATGCCTCGATGACCATTGTAGTGACGGACGGAACGACCGCGTTACCGCAAGCCAACAGAGACAGGGGCGAGCGGTTGTGGCGGGTCACCTTCCAGAACAGTGGGTATGTCCCCCCAATGCTCCTCCGACCGGCGAACAACCTCCTCCAGGGCAACGGGGCCGGCATTATCGTGTACACGAAGGGCACGACGCCGTTCTCCGGTGTTCCGGCGTCGGAGCCTGGCAATCGAGTCTCGGGTTACTTCAAACTGACGCTGGGCGGACACACGACCGACCGGATCGACCACGACGCGTCCGACACGACCATGAAGAGCAAGCTCGAAGCGCTGCCCAACATCGGGACGGTGGCGGTGACGCGCTCAGCGCCCTCACTGAAGAATGAATACTCGTGGACTATCACCTTCACCTCGAACCCGGGCAGTTCCCCGCTTGGCGCGGGCAATATCGACACTTTGGTGCCAGACTCGACGTTGCTGAAAGGAACGAGCAGCCTAGCGTCCGTGGTGGTGACTCAGCAGGGATCTTTGCCTTTGGATGGCACCTTTCAGCTAGCGTACACAGTAGGCTCAGTTACCCAGACTACTGCCAACTTGTCGCCCTATGACGCCGGTCCAGGGATTCAACAAGCGCTGCAGACCCTCCCTTCAATTGGAGGTGTACGTATCTCGCGCCAGACGAATGCGGACGGCTACTCGTGGTTCGTCACCTTCAGCGGGTGCAGGCAAAACCCAGCGATATGCAACATCGGCGACGTCAGCATGCTCTCGGGGGTGACCCCCACCAATCTGATCGGAGGGCTTGGAGGTGCGGTGCCGACTGTAGTGGTGACGGAGGTTGTCAAGGGTGTCGCGCCAGCGAGCACGGTTCTCGTGACGGATTTATCAGGAGGAGACCCGTTCCAAACGGTAATTTCCAGCCTGACCTACGGTACCAAGTACTTCACGCGCGTCTACTTCCACAACTCCGTGAGCTTCGGAGACCGCGCGCTGTCTGTACCAGAGTTTGTGAGGACAAGGAACCTGCCGCCTGGCGCGCCTTGGCCTGTGACGCTCGTCTCGTCAACCGCGACGTCCATTACCGTGGCGTGGGAGGCCCCGACAGTGAATGGAGGTGCCA